CGCCTCTGAGGCAGACCTGAGCCAACAAGGAAAACACCTTTGCAGCCTGTTTTCCTCGGAGACGTCCCTCAGGAAGTGGAGACATCCTCCAAAATGGCGGTCTGATTGATTCCCACATCACAAACAGGAGTACAAAGGAGAGAGGAGACAAGGAGGCACGGCATACCATAGGAGAAAATCCCAGAGTCTTTTAGAACTCTCCTCGCCTGTCATCTTCAGATTAGTCAAACCGCTCTCTGTTAAGTCCTCTTTTATTTCTGGCTTCTGTGAAAAGGAGCAACGCTGAACGACCTACCCTCAATCAAAGTTACCAGTCCTGTGATTAGCTGAAGCCTGCCAGGCAATGCACTTTCATGATAATGTAAAACCACCATCAACCCATTAACCAAAGTGACTCATGAACCAAACAAGATTACGATGACACTATCATCTTCAGCACCTTCAGTCATCATCATCATCATCATCATCAGGTGCAGAAATGTTCAAAGCCCAGAGCAGAAGAGTCTGGCTGGTGACTTGAGGACTTGTTGTGTTGCAAACACTCGTCAACTTTCATCGTTCAGAGCATCATTTATATGATAAAATATATAAATGATATTATATACAGTATGATGAGATATGATATGATAGAATCTAATATGACATAATACAATAGGATACAATAGGATATAATTATAATATGATATGACACAATGCTGCCATGAACGATACAGGTTAGTGCAGTATGATTTGAGATATGATATAATAGAAAATGATAAGATATGATGAAAGACAGTACAACACAACCACGATACAAAATGACACATTTCAAACAATATGATGGATGTGAGAGGACACTATACAATATGACACAATATGACATGACACGATACGACTATATGACGCATTATGATAAAATACATAATGATACAATACAATATGATATGATATAATGTAAAATAACACAATAAAATGTAATTAAAAAACAAAGTGATATAATATTTAAGTTTGATAGAATACAATACAACATGACATGAAATGATAAGAAAGAATACGCTAAAATATAAGATTTGATTCAATAGGATATGATTCAGTATGATACTACAATTAATACAGTATGACATAATACAATATATGATTCAATATATTAGGATAGAATATAATAGGGGACAATATGATATGAAGCCATATTTTATATGATATACAAAACCCAATTCCACTGAAATTGTGATAAACATAAATAAAAAACAGAATACAATGATTTTGCTAATCCTTTTTAACCTATATCGAATTGAATATACTCCAAAGACAAGATATTTAATGTTTAAACTCATAAACATTTTTTTTTTTTGCAAATAATAATAATAATAATAATAATGCATCAGCTGCAACACGTGCCAAAGTAGTTGGGACAAGAGCATGTTTACCACTGTGTTACATCACCTTTCCCTTTAACAACACTCAATAAACGTTTGGGAACTGAGGAGACTAATTGTTGAAGCTTTGAAGGTGGAATTCTTTCCCATTCTTGCTTGATGTACAGCTTCGTTGTTCAACAGTCCGGGGTCTCCGTTGTCGTGTTTTACGTTTTTCTACAATGACATTAAAACATGTTGATAACATATAACTGATGTGACAGTACGATGCAGGACGACACACTATGATACACTATGATATGATAAGATTTGATACAACACGATTCGATATGATATGATTTGTTGTGATAGAATGAGGTTTGATACAATGTGATATGATGTGATATAATATATAGTTTGATGAAATACAGAAAGACATGATATGTTACTCTATGATATGATCTGGTATGATACTTTATAATCTGCTACATCATAATACACTACGGTACACATGTTTGTCTTTTTGGGGACTATCTCATGGACTCAGGTTCTCTACATGCCTGACCACCTCCACATACCACCGTCCCTGCAGACTGTGATCTAGATCTAAAATATCCTGCCTGGTTTATCAGGTGTGTGCACAAAGTGATTATTTCCTGCACAGGATATTAGGTTTGAGTTGCTGCAGGCACTGAATAAAATGTATCACTCAGAGGGACCTCAGCGGTTCTTTCTGATCTAAACTTGACCACGGTCTGATTGGAAACCTTTACCTCCATTTGCTGATGAGCTCCCTCTCCTCTCCTCTTCGTTCATCTCCTTTTGTCTTTAAACGTCTCCACGTCTTTGCTATTCTCTCTTTAATAGACCAAATCACTTCCCCTCCACCCACGGGCCCGCCTCTGACTGCAGCCCACATTTCTCTCTAAGGGAGACTCGTCCTGGATGGTGTTGTCAGGAGGACTGCATCACTGTGGGTGACTGTGGTGACACCGTGGAGACCAGAGACCTTGGCTGATTTGTGTTCATTAGTAACGTCAGAGAAGCTCCAGGCGACAAGCATCTTAACTACAGAGAGAGTGAGTTTAGAAAAGTTTCAACCGGGAGTGACGGACAGTTTGCTGACGCTCCGATTAACCAAACTGACTCATCACTGTGTGTGTGTGTTTGATTGTGTGTGTGAGTGTGTGCTGCTTTAACATCTACACACCATTCAAACCTGCTCCTATACATCCCTCCTCGTCAAATCTCTCCAAAAGAAAGCTGCGGATTAGACTAGAAAATAGAGAAATGATAATCCCTCAATTGAATATCATCCCCCTTTCACAACACCTGATTATGTAAAGAGTGTGTGTCAAAGAGTGTGAGTGTGTGGCTCTGAGATGCAGGATTCAGACTGCGATTGTGTTCAACGTAAACAACCCCAAAAATGTTTCATATTTTCCTCTGAGACACAAAATCTAAAGATGACGTTGACATAATTTTATTGGCAAATCAGACCGAGGACCGGAGCTTTATCTGTGTGTGTGTGTGTGTGTGTGTGTGTGTGTGTGTGTGTGTGTGTGTGTGTGTGTGTGTGTGTGTGTGTGTGTGTGTAAGAGGGCTCTATATAAGGGCTGAAAGGTCGAACCTTGAGTCAGTTTCAGTGTGGATCACCAGAGGAGCTGCTGCGTCACCAACAGAATCAGTGTGAGTACCTTTGAATCACCTTTTATCATCAGAACTCTTTAATCATCTTTATTTATTTCTTATTTAATTGTTTTCATCTCATTTTAATTTCGATTTGACAGGATTTATTCTCACATTGTTTCGTATTTCACTCCTGTAATACTGGTTTAAGTCTCTCATGTAAATGTGGTGGATTTGTAGGACTGGTTTGTTGTCACTGTTTGTATGTTTCCAGCAAAGGAACAGACAAATTGGTCGTCTGAATTACAAAATAGAATTACTTATTTAAGATCCTTAGACCTTCCTATCGCAGTATGAGCTACTTTCCCAGCAATATGTATTAAAGAGGATCAGACAGAGCATTCAGATTGATTAAAAAGTGATTAAAATGACTGAAAAGCTCAGTGGCATGTCTTTATTCTAAAGGTATTACTGTAAATTACTTTAAAATTAAATTCAATATTAAAGATTTTAATCTGTGTCCATCAGATTGAAAATATTCATTGTAAACATAGCTTCAAAATCAGGTGGAGTTTCTGTTTTTATTTGTGGATTTCTTTGATTATAGGCTTATTTTTTAACTACCCACATTCTTATCACCACTTCAGTGATATCTGTTTATCTCTAACTCTTTTTGTCCTTTATTTTCTCAACAACTCTAATTTTTAGTGTTTTTATGCTTAAATTTGATCATTATTCAGTTATTTTGCATTAGTCTTTTTATTTAAAGCCATTTTATTTTGATATAAAACATATTTTGTCTTTACTTTTACTTTTTTTTAATGAATTTGATGTGTGAAAGGTGCTTCAGACATGAAGCTTGATTATTGATTGGTATACTGATTAATTGATTGATAGATTGATAAGAGGCTCATGCTGTTCTCTAATCCTAGTCGGGTCAACTCTTTCAGATTAGATGAGTTCAACAGTTCTTCATTAACATTAAATATTCACCCCTTGGTCTCATTTTTAAAAAATTATTATTGTATTTGTGTTAATTGATCATCATTGCACATAATCTACTTGTGCCTTTCTTTTCTTTAATTAAACTAAAAGCCTGACTCGGGGCAGAAGTCACCTTTAATCTCTGTAAATTGACTACAACAGTCTGTTTGTAACTAGCAATTATCCCAATCAAATAAACTTTATGAATAAATAGAAATTTTAAAAAAGAAAAATGTATCCCGATCTATCGGTGACATTCAGAAAAGGAGCAGTACTTCGATTTTATGGTGTCTAATATTGATCTCTCTGATTCAAGCCCTGGATCATCCTGAAATAAACCGAAACTGTTATCTTTGGAACACTAACATCATCCTCCACATGTGCTGAATTGTCTGCAGAAAAACAACCACATTAGAATCCCTGAGGTGCAAATTCTAGTTGCTAAAAAGGAGGATAAGAGTCACATTAAGGACAAAAAAGGAGATTTTGAACATGAAGTCACTGCGGGAAAAGTTGTAATCTTTGTAAAGATAGTTTTTATGGAGAAAGAGGTCATAATTACAGGTTATAGTTAATGAACAAGTTAAATTAAAAATACTTTTTTTTCACATTACAGTAAAGTCTTTGGTCAAACTAATTTGTAAATAATTATTATTTTTTTTTTCTCTGTGAAAAAAAAATAGAAACCAAAACAAGCTCATCAGACTGCGCTTGCATCAAATTGCACAGACACCAGGAGAGCAGTGTTGGTAGAGCAGACACATACACATCTTACAGTCCTTTAAAATAATAAGGAAATGCATGCACGTTTATCGTTTATTTTGACCTCTCTCTGCCAAAAACACCATCATTATCATCATCTTTTGCAGATTACTCTTTGCATCAGTCTGCAGATAGTTTCCCTCCTGCATATGTCTTTAGCAATGTGAAGACAAAAGTGTTGCAACCTTTATAAATAAAGAATAAATGGTCTCAGTAAACTTTTAAATCAAATCATGTTTGCCGTCTTGTCAGATTTATATTTGGTTATTTCTGCTGTTTTTGTTCCAGAAGATGCAAACGTCCCACAGACCCGTGCAGCTGCTTGCTGTCATGCTTCTTATCGTCTCCACATTTGGGCAGTATGAACAGGACAAAAGGTGGGATGTGTATTACTTATTTGTTTATTCATGTATTTATTTTAGTTATTTGTTTATTTCATTATTTATTAAAACTGTTAAAAGCTGGGAATGATTTCAAACAGCTTTGACATTAAAAATGCGGTGGCTTTATAAATGCAGCCACAGATGGAGGTGTTTGTTGAGCATCAGCTGCGGTTTAGATGAGTCACTTTGAAAAAACACATTAAAAAAGAGAAATAACATTCAAATTAAACAAAATCTTAATATACTATAAAAATACATGATAGCAGTGTCTAATTATCTCATCCTGAGTCACCATGGGAATATTATCTATTTGTAAATATCTCCATTTCTTCTGTATAAATCACTGTGTGAACGCGGGTGTTGATAGACCTTTTGCCAGTTTAGGGAGTCAGCCTCTAGTGGACACTTGAGGGACTGCAGCTTTTTTTTTGGACTTGTGTATTAGTTCTATTTTTAAAACAGTAGTTTGCCGGTTGGTGGAAGCCTCAAGGCTGAACAGTTATTAAAATGCAGACAAGTTAGAAAGTGCAGTTCTTAGAGTGACCACTAGAGTCAGGCTCCAAAGTGAGTTAACGCCCATAGACAATAATACACAATCTTACAGCAGAATTAAACATTTTTACAGCCTGGTGCTTTGAAGTTTTTTTTTATTTTAATTATTGTTATTATCAAAGTCAAAGTTACAGAGAGTACTTGTTAGAATAACTCACTTATTTAAATTAAATTATGCCTAACTTTTGCAGAATTAGAAGTGGTGATTTTTTGACTGATAACTGGACGCTGTCTGCTGAATAACATCCTTTCCTTCTTTCTGCAGTCGTCGAGCTGTAACTGAACACCAGCTGATGCACGACCGCAGCCAAAACATCCAGAGTCTGAAGAGACTCATCTGGCTGTCCAGCGCCATTGAGGGTCTGCACACAGCCCAGACCCGCTCTGCAGTTTTTAACCCCTCAAAGTCCCTGAATCTGGCTCAAAACCCTGTGCTGATCCCTGCAGCTGAAAGCCCCCAACCCAGCCGAGTCCACAGCCTTCTCAGAGACTCTTTCAACAGCCTTTACCTGAGCAAACTGCCCGACAGAGAGGCCTGACAGCATGCTGAGGCACCAACATGAAGCTACTGTACATGTACATAGAATAACTGATTGTGATTTGGACATTAAAACAGTGGTCAGACATCCATGTGTTAAAAAAGCAGATAAAGATGTAGTCATGAAGGATTTGAGCTGCTTCAGGGTGAATAAGAGGGTACAAAGGAGTAACATGTGTCTTCATGGAGGGCTGAGCCAAACGAAAAATAAAATTGTTTTCATGCACAGGGACTCACTTTTCCAGAAACCTACAAACAGGCACAGAAAGATATCCAGAACCATGAAACTGAAATATTGTGTGTTTATATTACTGCTATTGTGTTTTCTCCAAAGATGTGAACATGTTGAACTTGATGCTTTGGCAGCATTGTTTTTGAATTGTCATGCCAATAAAGCACTTTGAATTGAGCTTTGACATCACTGATGATTTATCTGCTCTGTTTGTGTCTTATTGTCACCAGCCTGAAAACTAGAGACCAAAACAAGATGCTAGTGTCCATCTATAGTCAGCTGACAACATAAATGACACAGTTGAACTAAAATGTGTGCATGAATTATCACAGATTACTTTTGTTGTTCAGGGGTGGGATCCAGAAAGTCTCTTAAATACACTGATCGTCTCTGTAGGACAGAAAAGCCCCTGGAGTTTGCAGACACTGAGTTTTTCCCTAAAAGCTGTCAGTCTCATAAAGTGAGTGGATTTTAAAATAAGTTGCTATGTGTACCATTCTCTTTTCTAAACTGATGTAAAAATTGAGGAATAAAATTTCAACCCAACCTTTTGTAAACCCAGATTTAGGCAGAGGGGTGGAGGTGGGTCTTAAGCCTCAGGGTAAATAGCTACTCACCCACCTGTCAGTCAAATCAGCCACGCCTAAGTGTATACATGACTCTGAGCCTGCAGGAAAGTGGAGAAAATCTGGTGAAACAGGACTAATAGCATTCACATTTTTATCCAAGTACAAGTTCAAGGTTTAACTACTCTGTCCTATTTCAAACACTGTGTGTTGGGCAAGTTAACTGCTTTTTCACCAGTTTTAAGTCAATGAAAGTAGAAAAACAAACCCATTTCAGATTTGGGAAACTGATCATCTGAATTAATATACTTAATTCGTCAAAGACAGCTCCTGTGCGTAATTCTTGTTGTCCATCAAATGTAGTGCCCCCTGTTTTCAAAGCCTTTGTCTAATCTTTCTGTGGATTTTCTGATGAAAACCTCCTCCATCTATCTGATGCCTCTATTTTTGTGAATTTATACTGTGACATTTTACATGAGCCTCATTCTGGAGTGTCCTTTTTCTCATATTGAAAAAAAAGCGTTTATTGTTATTAAAATGGGATCATAGAAATAGTCGCTGTTGTTGCAAATGGTCTCATTTGTTTTTGTTTCATAATAAGGCATCTCTCTGTTTGATAAACGGTCAGAATTCCTTACAGGGCTTCGGTGATCAATCAATCAGTAGTCATCAATTTTATTTCTATAGCACATTTAAAAGAACCACGGGGGTCACCAAAGTGCTGTACATTGTGACATAAAAACAAATACAACAAGCAGAGAACAAGATAGAGCGAGCAAAAATACATAAATGCAATAAATAAATATATGTATAAATAAGCAGGTTCACGGCATGTGCTAAATAAACATTACATTACAGGCTGGTAACCGCCTATGTCTCATGGAGAGCAAGGCAAGAGTCTAAATTTCCTTACGCAGACCTGCCTGTTAGACCAAACTCAGGGCATACATGCATTAACAGAAAAGTGACAGCAACGCGATACTTCCGTGTCGGCTAACGAGAACTAGCTCGCTGTGACAGCCACCGTGACACCGGTCGTAGTGATCCACGTACAGCAGCAATCGTCGCTCCGGTGTTTGAGCCGTAAAGGAGAATTCCGACACTTTACACCCACACAGAGGTGCTGTCTGCTGGCTTTAGGCGCCCTCACCGCACCTCGGACTGTCCGCAGATCTCGTCCTTTGATCGGCCAGGTCAGTCTGTCACAGCTAGCTGGCTCCGGGTTAGCTGAGGTTCGCCGCTGTCTTCGTTAGTATTGTCTGATATTCTCAATATTATTAATGGGCAGTGATATATAAAGTAATAAACATGTTGAGGAGGGGATACAAGCCAACAAAAAGCAGTTTAACTTGAATTATGTAACTGACACAAGTCTTCCGTGGTGTTGCTGAGCGGACGTTAAAACCAGCTAATGCTAATGCTAAAGCTAATGCTAATATTCAGCATCAGCAGGTCTGGGGTAACCGTGCTAGTCTGTTTGTTTGTTTGTTTGTTTGTTTGTTGTCAGTCTCCGGAGAGAGTTAAAGAGAACATGAAGAGGATTATCCAGAGCCTGCCAGGTCTGATCAGAGTTTAGAATGACCTGATAAAAGCCTGCAGGTCTGTTTGGGGTCCAGAGTGGACCATGATCAGGGATTCAGTTTACTTTACTGTCACTCATGAATCCTGTAAACATCATCTGACAGGTCAGGGCAGTTTCTCAGGAGTCCTCATGTTTAAAGTGACTCGAGTTTGACTCCAGTTCTGTGGATTTACTCGACTGTGGCAAACATCACAACCATGATCAGTTTGATCGATATTGTTATTAATGGTTATCCGTGATTTTCCATCTGCATCACACACATTTATGTAAATGACAACCTTATTAGATATACCTGAATCAAATAAGTGACAAAACAATGTCTTTTATCCACCTCTCTTTGTTTACCAAATGTGTCTGATATAGATATAGATTGATATAGATAATATAGATTTTCTAAAAGGTCATATGAACTTTTGAAAGGAATCTTCAGCTCACCTGAAGAGCGTTGTCGTAGTTTTGGTGACAATTCTCACTAAACTAAACATCAGATTAGGACTGGGCAATTATATGATCGGGATTAATGATCGGGATCAATTTCAGTCCGATCATGGTGAACAGCTGTGAGTTTATTTACTCGATCAAACTTCGCGAAAATGTGCATCACAACAGCCAATCAGAGTCGGGCTTTTCCTGCTCACTTCTGTAAGTTACTAAAGAAACTAATGTCTAGTTTCTTTAGTTTGTTGTACAGATGCTTTACAACTGGCAGTTTTTAAAAAATTGTAATAATAGTCGAGATCGGACAAAATGACAGAATATATCGTGATCATTTTTTTAAAATTGTAATAATAGTCGAGATCGGACAAAATGACAGAATATATCGTGATCATTTTTTTTGCCAAACCGCCCAGGCCTACCCAGTAGTCATTAGCTTGTTGGGGTTTGTGAACGCTCCAGCCTCTCTCGTTGTGCTCATTCTGTCCCTTGGCTTTTACAGACACACTCACAGATACACACCTGCCTCCTCCTGTTCCTCTCCCTGCTCTCCTCTCTCCCTCTTCTGTTCCTCTCCCTGCTCTCCTCTCTCCCTCTTCTGTTCCTCTCCCAGCTCTCTCCTCTCTCCTCCCGTGGCTTCCACTTTTTGACTTCTTTACCAAACACGTTGAAGATACAGTGGTCCACCTTTAATCTTAGCTAGAGCAGCAACTTCCTTGTTCTGTCAAACTTTGTTTCACGCTGACTTGAGCTGCCTATGATGAAGTGAAAGACTTAATTTAACATACAGGATGTAACGGGGGCAGCGCAGCAGGTGGCACAACATTATTCAGTCTTGATTTGTGTCTGCAGACAGAAACTCCATCCTGTTGTCTTGAACAGTGAAACCTATGACTCACTATGCTGTGTGAAAGTCAGAGAGGATGTTTTTCCAGCCTGTTGTCAATCATCTGGTTTGACACTTTCCCCTCTCAGCATTTTTGAGCTTTAAAGATAATTGCTTTGAAATGATCAGACTTGTTACTGATAGTCTTGTTTGCATTTTAGGGCCACAAAGAGGCGTCTGTGTCGGTATCTCAACTGGTTGACAACTCCTCACAATGCTCCTTACAGTTTAGGGTGGAGTTCACACGCTGCTGCTGCTGCTGCGTATATTTTAGGTATTACTCTTGCTGGTATACGTAAAGTTGCATCCTATGTTTGCTTAGAGTTGAGTAAATAAAAGTTGCGTCTTCAGTCTGAAACGGTGGGTGTAAAAACATCTCATTGTCACGGCACATCATTTATAACTTTGAGGGTTGATGACTGAAGAGTTTGGCGTTCACGGAGCGTTTCTGAGAGATTTGAAACCCTGCTTCAGTGGTGTACCCTGCGGTGCTTCTTTCTTTTGTAGATTCGCTGTTTTCTGTTGTTGTGTCAGAACATCTTCAAGATTTGTACTAAGAACTAAAATTCAAAGCAAAGATTGTTTAGTGATGAAAAAAATGAGTCACCAAAGCTCAACGTTCAAGAAGGTTTGAGGCTCAGAGGTCTGAAAGAAGCTCAGACTACAGATGCTGCTGATTTGCATCAAAAAGAGCAAGTGAAGGTCAGTCTAATGATGGATTGTATCCTGCCTGTGTGGCCTCATCACAAATGTATGTATATTTTTATCTGATATGTGCTAATATGAGCAGATTTTTACAGGACATGTATTCAGAAAAACTGCTGGAGGAGGATTTTATGAAGGTTGTCATCACATGGTGCTTCAGCAGAGACGGCCTTATAGTTTGTCATAGTCCTTGCCTTGTCTGTTAGCAGCAGGGCATCACAGCGTATAATAAACCTATAATGAGTGGAAATGCTCAGGGCGCTATCCTCTGATCTAATTATTTGTTTAAGTTCATTAAATGCGGCTTTCATTGGTTGCTGTTTGAACATAATCATTATTGGCCTCGGTGCGGATAATCTGAGGAGTCACTCGCTCATAAAGTCAGGCCCTCGTCTGAGTAAAGGGTTTCCTTGTGTCGCTGTTTTGACTTCAATGATTTTCAGACTGGACAGTTCAATCACAGTTTGTTTCTCTTCCAGGTGTTGCCCAGCCTCTCCCAGCCCCATTGTGGATCTGTAGCCCTCCCGGCAGGACAGTGGCAGAGCCAGAGCCAGACCCATCGGGGACCAGACCACCAGGCAGCAGGGCTCCATGAGCGCGACGGGGCAGCAGCAAGGGGGGGGCCTGCGTTCTCGCCGAAGCCTTGTCCGGGACAAGGACCCCGGGCAGGGCATGGGCATGGAGGCGGCCTGCTGGCTGGCCCCCGGAGTGCTGCGCAGGCTGATTGAGCTGCCTTCACCCCCCCTGTCCAGACACCAGCTGAAGAGGCTGGAGGAGCACAGGTAACACGGATCCCTGTAGACAGAGTTAGTCCAGTTCTGTGGTGGAGCTGTGACGTGTTTGGGATGTACGGACAGTTATGCCCAGAGGTGAAAGTGTCTGTTGTGGACGAGTTCAGTGTGTACTGATCAGAGAGCCTTATTTGTGGTTCTACGGTATGAAGGAGGTCTTTGTGACGTTTTCAGGCTCTTCATTGAGAAGCTGTTCAGATATTTGAGTTTACTTCAAATTTTATGATCTGCTCAGTTTAGAGGAGGATGTTCATGTTCATCATGTTTAGGGTAAAGCAAAGTGAAGCAGTTTTATTCCAACCCTCAAAATCCATTTAGATTAGCGATATTGTTGTTAGCCCGCTTAATTGGTGGCATTTTGAGATAATTGGCATCCTTTGATTTCTGGGCTCATGAGGCTGATTTAAACCGGGGACTGCAGACACTGCTGGAAGCCTCATCAGTGTAGCTGCTGTCAAGAAATGTCAACATCCCCTATAATGAGAACATGTTAAATGACAGCAGATCAAATTCAGCAGTGACTAACAAGTGTTTGACGTGTTTTCTGTTATGATCCGTAAGATAACGGAGTTTAATGTGGCCTCAGGCATAAATATGTCATGTTTTGGCTTCTATAGCACAGCCTTGTTTGTCTGTCTTTCATCTAGAAAGTCATCACTGTGAAAGGAAGTGTGAGGGACTCACTTCCTGCTAACAGTGCAGCAGGTTGAGAGATTACAAGACGTATGGCTGTCTGATTAGAAACCGCTGAAGACGCTGAATGTTCCTCTTTCAAACTGACTGTACTTTGTTTTTTTAACACTTAACTGATGTGTGAATTCGGTCAGACTGTAAGTGTGACTTGGTTCATTGCGTGATAGTGCTTTTATGTGTCTCCATCAGGGGTCTGACTCGGTTCGGTTTGGTGCACACTGCACAATTTTTTCTGTTTCCTTTGTTAAAAGTTGAGAAATGTACCCAAATAACCTGCCAGTACAGTTTTACTTTGTGTCCCGATACAACTACATTACTTATATGATACCGATGTTGTATTCTCAGTATTGGCCGATACCGATATTGATCTGATATAAGCACAAACTTGTGCACGACAAGTTTCGCACTCAGCTGCAAAGTCTTTAGGGGACTTAAACAATAAAATACTGCCACACGGCCAACATCACTCCTACTCCTTTCTACTTTTTTAGTACAGTTGTTGTGATTACACGGGCTCTGCATGCTGCATCTGGGTGCTGCTAGACAGTGATCAATACCTACATAAATGTTATACTGTAGGATCTGGATCTTTCCATTTGAAGGTATATGAAACACATTGTTATGTTGTCATGTTTCATCACCAGTTGCTGCACAATCAAGCAGGCAACTAATAACAAAAGCCAAGTCACTGTGTAAAAGAGCGGGTCCAGTTCTGCCTCTTACTCTCTGTTAGAGTGGAATTGCTGCAGTCGTTTATAAAGTAGAAGCAAAGGTGCATGTTACAATGAAGTGTGTGATAACATTGCTCAATATTGGAGTAATGATTCGAAGTTGTGATATGAAGTAGAAAAACACACATACAGGGAATTTCGACCCCCGTGAACTTTGCTCGCAGTAATTTATCCAAGTCTGCAGCAGAAATTCAACTTTAAGGTCATTACTCACAGTTTTTCAGTCGGTCTGCTGTTCTAAAAGTTTGACACGATTCTTGCTTTTGGAGTTTGTTTTAACCTAATCCAAATAAAACTCACAAGTTATTTTTGCCTCTCAGTTGGTACTTGTTAATCTAAGGGGTGCAGATAACCCTAGGACTGGGCGATTTTAAATTTTAGTTCGATCACAGTGATCAGCTGTGAGCATATTTACTCCATCAAACATAGAGGAAATGTGCGTCACAACAGCCAATCAGAGTCGAGCTTTTCCTGCTCACTTCTGTAAGTTGCCGGAGAAGTAAACAGAGGAAGTAAACAGAATGACCGAATGTGGAGCTAAACACGGAGCTGAGGGCAGCAAGATTGATGTCAGCCGTGACTTTGAGTCATCCTCCGAAGATGTAATTGTTGAGAAGTTATTCAACGTCGGTTGTGTGGCGGTGGTTCCGGTATCTCAAAAGTGAAGGTATGTCGGTGACTGGTGCCCTCAAAAACCGGCTACACAACAGATCCAAGTAGCGGTGCAGCCACCAGACCAAAGCAGCAATCAATCGTATCATCTACGTTTACATCATTTACACACATTTTAAGGCGTCTAGTTAGTTAATTTCTAGTTTCTTTAGTTTTTAGTACAGATGCTTTAAAACAGGCAGTTAAAAAAAAAACGTGATAATAATCGAGATCGGACGATAGGACAAAATCATGATCTTTTTTTGTGCCAAATCACCCAGGCCTACTTTGGAGATTGCTTGTTAACATAATACAGTTTCTTTTCTTTATAGCAGTAAATTCTGATAAAAATGTTGGTAAAACAAATTCTTATGTCACAATAATGATGAAAAAGGGATTTCTTTTGCTGCCCTTGTGTTAAATATGCTGAATTTTTAACGTTCAACAGCTGAATCTGCACATTTCCTCAGTTTTAGCCCAGATGATAAAACTGCTAATGTAAAAATATCAACATGTTGGACTGACTTCCTTTAAAGACTCGCCTTTGTGGACGAGATAATGGCAGCTGAGTGCCTGAAGGAGGAGAACATTACTTTTTACACATGAAGATGTTCGCTGCCTCCTCAGAGTTGCTTGAAGCTTTTTCGCTCATATGACTTCCTGCTCCGAGAGAACGGGGGGAAAAGCAGAGATTTATTTTTATCAAACTCAAACACTAGCACGACAAATATGCTGAGAAAGCTGGCATCTTAACCCCCTCTGCTCAGCACACATGCTCAGTTAGCCTTCTAGACTGACAGGACCAACTGGTTCACAGCTCTGATTCTTTGAGGTCTCACTCCAGAGCATCACAGACGACGAGTTTACAAGAATGAAGGTCCACAGCATTCATATTGAAATTACACAGAGTCTGAAGTTGTGTCATGATTGTTTCTGCAGGTACAGCAGTGCCGGGCGCTCCCTGCTGGAGCCTCTCATGCAGCGTTACTGGGAGTGGTTGGTGGGACGAGTCCCCTCCTGGATCGCCCCAAACCTCATCACCATCATCGGCCTCGCCACCAACGTCTTCACCACCCTCGTGCTCGTCTATTACTGCCCCACTGCCACCGAACAAGTGAGGCAATAACTCATCACTAAGTTTTGTGGTATTTAACACAGAAGGGTCATTGTGTATTTCTTGTTTTTTTTTTTTTTTTTTTGGTGCTTAAACAAACACGTCAGATTCAGGGTATAAAAAATAAAAGAAATGTGGGTTAAATGAATGAGAAGGACTTTGTAGAAACAGGTGACAAAAGATAGATTCATCCATCCCTGTTGGAAAAAAGGAGAAAAACAGCAGCTTTCAGAATCATGTTTTTCTGCTTTTTGCTTTCAGCAGGTTATAGATGAACAGAAATTCAGATAAAATGAGATTAGACTTAACGAGACTTGATCAATCTGCAGAGAGGAAATGTAGTTGTTGCAGCAACACAGACATTTAGAAGGTAAGAACAGATCAAGATTAAGAGACAGTTGATTGAAATAGATTTATGAGTTCTGAGCAGGGTGAGTTGAGACCACTTTGAGACTGCCATTGGGCCAGATTTGGTCTGAGAGCCAGCGGTTGAGCAGCCTTGGATTTCAGTGCTGAGAGCTGCTGTTCCTCGGTTTCCTTTAGCTGTATGTCTTCAGATCAACAGTCTGTATTTGTGTTGTTTCAGGCTCCTCTCTGGGCGTACCTGCTCTGTGCAGTGGGTCTGTTTATCTACCAATCGTTGGATGCCATCGACGGGAAGCAGGCGAGACGCACCAACAGCAGCTCTCCGCTGGGCGAACTGTTTGACCACGGCTGTGACTCCCTTTCCACAGGTCAGTGTTTTCCTCTTTGCCTCTCTGTGATCCTGAAGCTCGTTTTAAAACCTCCTCTCTCGGTCTCTGCAGTGTTTGTGGTGCTGGGAACCAGTATAGCTGTTCAAATGGGAACCAACCCGGACTGGATGTTCTTCTGCTGCTTCGCCGGGATGTTCATGTTCTACTGCGCCCACTGGCAGACATACGTGTCGGGAACGCTGCGCTTCGGCATGTGAGTCGACAAATCTGAGCAGGTTTTTTTTTAATCTTAGCAGGTCTGAACGCCGTATTCAATACTGTCAGTTTCAGGATCTAAAAGATGTTTTAAAATTGATCAAATGAATGTGAATGTGTCTTAAAGTGTTTTAAAAGATTTCTAGCTAAACAGTTTAAAATTAATTATGGCTGAAAACACGAAGAAAATTCACAGAGATGATTAAAAAACAAGCGCACATCCTCTGAAAAGGCATCAAGGTCCTTACTCAGGTGTGACGGCGAGGGTGTCGTTTGGATCTCTGATGGAGTGAAGTCCACAAACACACCTGCATTTGCCAAAAGAAGAAAATTAAAATGGAGACTCTTGTAATTCTGTCCTGGTCGAAAGAAAAGTGTAATCCAGCCTCCTGTCAGATTTTCAATGATTACTTTCCTCTCTGTAGATTTCGGTGTCTGTCAGTCATGAAACTTGAGCAGTTATTTGTGAGCTGCAGTAAACGTGGATGTATTCTGTGTGTAGATTTGACATAACAGAGGTGCAGATCTGTCTAGCAGGATTACAGACGCTCACAGCCACTGTGGGTCCCTGTCTGTGGAACGTGATGGTAAACCTCCTGGCTGCTGCTGCTGCTGCTGATGCTGCTGCATGGCTCGCTGTTGTCTTCTTCCACAACCGATGAGGCGTTTGATTATAAGTCAGTGTTTTCTGATGAAGATGCAGTCAGTAAAGTGTGGCTCAGAAAGACACTAACTGTTGGAAATGTCTACAAAACAGTTATCTCTGCATTTACTTGTAAGATCCTGTTTAAATCAAAATGCTCATTCAGCTCCTTGAAATGAAGATCAAGTTTCAAGTTTCAAGTTTTATTTGTCACATGCCTAAATGTACAGGTACAGTGGCAGTGAAATAAAAGTCATGTCTGCCAAAGAAACAGAATAATAATAAGAAGAAAATCAAATAATATTTAGAAAGAGATAAAATAAAAAATAGAAATAAGATAAATATCCACCCCTATATACATCCTATGTACAATAACCGTAAAACAAAAATAAAATTTAAATATTTAAAAAATATTGACTCCTATAAAGTAAACAAGGTAACAGAGGTTACCTGGAGCTCAGTTTTAACATTCAATATGATGTTTTTGCCGTATTTTCAACTAAATTTAGGCTTTGAATGATTTTCAAAACATCAAATTCAGTTTTATTAATATTTTACACAGCAGCTAAATTTTTTTTTATTGTAGAAAAGTGAACTTCATCTCTTCTTAATACAGTCTAAACAGGAGAAATTGAGAAAACGTTTTCTTTTTTTTCTTTTAAACCTATCAAATCTGATTTCTCTTTGCAACCAGAGGATCCGCGTCCTGCTAGTCAGTAGTGAGAAAGCAGGTTTAAAGTTCATCAAAGTCTCCTCAGCTCAGTATTTAAAACATGTGCTCTCTTAAATCTTTTAACCAATAGAAAAGTTGTGATTCTGTTGAAAGGTTATTTTTTAAATCAGGAGACAGGATGAGAATTCTTGAGGTGATAACATGTTACTGATTGGATCTTTAAAGCAGATACTTCACCGTCCAAATGAAACCTGGGAAACGTTGGCGTCCCGTCAGCCGTGTGTGTTGTGGAAGACGGCTGCAGGTTGAGTGTGTGCTGGTAGACGTCACTAATCCTCACTGTCAATTCTCTGCTTTCTCCTCCCACTCAGCATTGATGTGACTGAGGTGCAAATCTTCATAATAATCATGTATTTGCTGGCCGCCGTGGGAGGATCAGCTTTTTGGCAGTCACTGGTAATTGTGATTGGTTCTAATTCCTACAGATTGACCTTAATTTGACTGTTTGTGTCGTAATTATAGAAAGATGTTTGTGTTGGTTTGTAGAAAAGCCGCTCTAACAGTCTTGTTTACCGTAATTGTTTACAGAGTTATAAAGAACGTCACTCGGACCATTTTCTAACATTACTCATGATGCTTTGATTGTGGATTTGAACCAAAATGTTCTCACCAATGACCAAAAATAACAGGAAGATTACTGAGAGATAAACCCGTGTTGATGTGAGCGTTTGTGTTGTCTTATTGTCTCTTAATTTCAGTGTTTGGGTGTCTCAATTTTCAGATTCCGATCTTAAATGTCCAGATGAAAATGATTCCAGCCGTCTGCACTTTTTTAGGAGCCATCTTCTCTTGCACCAATTACTTCAGAGTTATTTTTACAGGAGGCGTGGGCAAAAACGGATCCACAATAGCGGTAAGTTTGGAAACAAAACTCTTGGACGAGTTATCCTCGGGTCACATTTTTCATAAGGTTTAGCCGTGAACAGCAGCAGCTCTGTTGGGTATTTTCAGCGATATTAACAGTCTGTGTCTTTGTGTTTCTGTCCGCAGGGAACCAGCGTCCTCTCTCCCGTCTTACATATTGGTTCAGTTATTATTTTGGCCATGATGATTTACAAGAAGTCTGCTGTCCAGCTCTTTGAGAAACATCCATGTCTTTATATCCTGGCGTTTGGCTTCGTCTCGGCCAAAATCACCAATAAATTAGTTGTAAGTCAAATCAACTTCATATAGAGAGAGAGAGAGTGCCACAAAAACATGATGCAAACTGTGCTGTTTAAGTTTACCTGCTCGGATAAATAAGAATTAAATTGACTGAAACTGAGTTTTTAGTTTAAGGGTTTGGTACAAATGTTTGAACTTTTTCATTTTTCATCCACAGGTAGCACATATGACAAAAAGTGAGATGCATCTCCACGATTTAGCCTTCCTGGGCCCAGGACTTCTGTTCCTGGATCAGTATTTCAATAGTTTTATTGATGAGTACCTGGTGCTATGGATTGCATTGGTAAGAAAACACGTTACATTCATTTGTACTCAGTTATAGTGCCACCATATCCTGCATGTGATCTGTGTGTGTTTATGTAGTTTCATTTGTTTGATAGGAGGATGTAAGAACCCGAACAAAAGTCAATGATGACATGAAAATACTCTGAATATGTCACAGTTTTAGACCTAAAATTTGTCTTAGTAGAATAAAAGCTACATTGAAATGAAAAACAGAAACTCTGTCACAGTGGTAATAATAATAATAATAAGTAGTATTATTCACTAGAAAGAAATGATTAAAATATTGATCCTGAGCAGAAATAAAGACAGTAAAAGGTAGAACAGATGAAAACAAATGTCACTGCAGAACTGTAACAGAGTTCTGAGTCGAGAAAGGGTGGACCTCCATCTCTGTTTGACCACGACTTTGGCTCAGGAACTGTCAGCTGATCCAAGAGGTCTTCATGGGGAACAGGTCTTAAAAGCTCACTTACTGTATGTATTCAGGTGTATGTATACTGTGAGTAAAGAGTCAGCAGTGCAGTCAATCTAAGATGGGAGAGATCAGTTAGAGATACTGTGTTGTTGATCAGAGTATGAAGATGATAGAGCTCTGGTAAAATAAAGTCTTTATTTCTCATTTTTGAATAATAAAAATCTAAATAATAAGACTCAGGGGCTGTACTCTGAAAGATTCTTAGTGCTAAGGATTCCTTGTTAGGACTTTTGAGGTAAAGTTAGGAGCTCTCTGAGAGGATCCTCAGAATCTTTAGGAACGCAGGCCCAGATCTTTAGCTGCTTTAAAAACAGACAACGCAGCAGCTCTCCAAGTAACTAAATCTGTTTACAAAACAGATGAAACACGAGTCAGACTCCAGAGTTAGACCACACGTTTAAAAGTGTGAGTTCTGTCCTCAGTGTCGTGTCTCATCATGTTCAGAGACATTTTAGTTTAAATAGACAGTTTATTGACACTCTCTCAAAAGACTGAATTTATGAAGTCAAGTCTGACAGATTTTCAGTAAAATTGGTGATGAAATAGCTTCAAGCTGTGTATTTGTGATTCTATAATTCTGATATGATTATAAGTAAGAGCTTGGTCGTAGCACTTGTGTGGTTTTTACATATTTCCTGTCAGTACGGTGTTGATGTCGTGTGCAGGTCATTGTGGTCTCTTTTCCTGTAAACACTGATTTATTCTCCTCCCCCTGTTTCTCCTGCAGATCATTTCCTTCTTCGACTTGGTGCGTTACTGTGTCAGTGTTTGCAACCAGATTGCCTGCCATCTTCACATCTTTGTTTTTAAAATCAAGCCTTGTTCGGCGCTCAGCTCCGCCCCTCACTGAGGACACGCCGGCCGATAACTGACTCTGTCCCTCCCTGTTAGCCGCTCTCATCTTCTCCTCCAGCTGTTTGTCCACGTAGAGACGCAGGAGACGACGACAAAGACGTGGTGTAAAAGTATGTGCTTCTGCCAACTGAATGTGAGGACAAATAATATATACTAAGATACTGGAGTATTACTCTCATCCTTTCTTCTGCCCATTAATAAGACATCTCTGACAAACACACACACACACAGCAGGTGTTTCAGGAGAGTACAGGTGCTACTCAGTCTGTTCTTAGAGAGGCGTCCGTGTGTTTTAACTGTTACTGTGCAAAGAAAATGTATAGGAAGCGAATCAAAGTCTTTGCTCTCATGATTATAAGTTTTGTAATATTTGCATCACTTTACCTTTTTGCTATTGTAAATACCAAACCTGTTACGGTGTCTGTGCTTCTCTCTTCGTTAAAAATCCGGCTTTGACACATTTATAAACCTTTTCCTTCATGCTTTTGGTTTTCGAAGCGACTTCACCTCCTGCACGTTTCACCGAACCGTCAGCTGTGTGATTTCGGAGGAAACAAAAGGACAACTTTTCCTTTTACATATCTGAATGTTCTCATCCAACAAAGCTGCAAATTTCTCACGTATTGTGCTTTTTCATTCGTTTGTCCACTTTTAGTTTGTTTTTAAAATTGCACGTTGAGTATTTTGGGGGTGTCTTTAAATCTTTGTGGTATTTGGGTTTATTTATTATCATTTATGACCTTATTTGCTCACATTTTTGTAGTTAAATTGAAACCAGAGTTTTCCTCACCTAATTATTCAAATGTAAATAAGTCATAACACGCACAAGAGGATGAAAACTCGAGAAAACCTCTCAAAAGTAAGAATGTCTTTTAGGTCGAACATCAGTTTGACTCCACTTTGAAGTTGGTGCAAGCAAATCTTAAAATGGTAAAAGGAAGCAGCTGCTGTCACTGGGTTAGAGAAAGTCATTTCCTCACCTTCATCTCCGTGTAGTGGGACTATTCTGTGATCTTCTATTTACCAACAAATCCCATGAGGAGTTTTCAAAATCAAAGTTTTTTTAAACTGGAAAAAAACTTAAAAATTTAAGTCTTTTCGCTTGATGACTGAAGTTTGAGCTCCAGAAATGTTTACGACTCGGTCAATTTTAATCCCTTCCAAATCCGACTGAGATTAATACTGCAAGATTAACTTTCTTTGTAATGGTTTTAGTGCCTAAAGAGTTAAAGTGAGTTTTTCTTTTGTTTTGAACTTTCTCTTCAAATGTTTAAGTGAACCATCAGATTTATTGTTAAAAGAAAGAGACAAGTTTTGTCCAGAGGGGGCGCCAAAGTTGACACAAACAAAATTGTTGTGAACTTGAAAACTTTATTTTGGCTGGTTACAAAACTGACTGAAATTAATACTCATGTTACTGTGAACCCTGGAAGAGAAAATGTGACTACAAAGCTACAAATACATGGTTTCATTTTCATAACCCTAAAATAATCATTATGAATGTCTTGAAGCATTTGCTGGTAGATGATTTCTATTTGTTACAGAGCGGTCCAGCTTGTTGCTGCAGAGACAGCCTTAACTTTCACTTTCCTCTGAGTCTCAGTTAAGCGAGAAAAGAAACACTGCCCATGTCAGCAAAGAGGTCAGAGGGGCTGCTTTGCTCACAGGTGTGGAGGAATCAGTGAAAACAGTCACTTTGAATGAGTTTCTGCTTCTTTGACAGCTTTCATTTCAGCATCATTCAGCCTCTGCCTGAAACTCGTTGTTTTCGGCTGGTTTTCAATTATTTATATTTAGACAGAGTCTGTGTGAGTTACTTTTGACACAATGACCTGAAGGTTAAACTGGCTGTCATGTCGCCTGTTGTTACATTATTTGTTGTTACATTATCTGCTGCGATTTTGTTACTTTATGTTGTAGTCCTGAGGAAAAAAAAACGCTGACCAGTATCACTCAGAAAACAGCTGATGTAGTTCATTAGTGGTTTTGTTGAACTTGTGACTCAGGACTGAAGCCTTAAAGCTTCTGTGAGAAACTCTCTGTATGTAAAGACTTTAGCGACCCCTCTGGACAAAGTAATCCCTTTCATCTCTTTACTAATCTGATGACAACAATCACTTTAAAGAGATATGTAGCATCACTGATGGTCTCATTTGCTCTTGTAGGTCATAAAGAAGCTTCACTGTTAATTTCAGTGTCTCATAGCCACTTAAAAAAACTACTCACAGGGACTTCAAATTTGCCTCTACTACAGCACCCTGCTGGTGATTTTGTTTCCATCTAAAAAAATATTAAAATGGTGACCTTTATAGAGACAACAGTAAAGTTATTGCTTAATTGGTGCTGAATTTCTTCACAGAACAGCAGTTTAATGTAGTCTGTATGAACCATATTTCATATGTTAGGTGATACTGAGGTGTTGGTCTTCTCATGGGGTATGTTGACATACACGATATAACGGTTATTTACGAAGCTTCTCAGTCCCTCCCACTCAGCCTCATCACCCTTTTTAAATGAATGTTAAACATGAATCTGGACGTTATTGTGTTTCCTCCAAAAACTCAGCTGCTGAGGCAGACCAAGGTGTACACAGACTGAAAATGCAGGAGATGAAGTCTCACCCTGACGTTACAGTTCTGGAGGTGGTTTACTGACAGTCAATAAAATCCTCTTTCTTTGACATTGCTGCCCCTCTGATGCTGTAACAGGACCTGTACCTGCAGCGACGGCCCGGGTTTATGTGCAGAACATGTTTGTCCAGGAATTCTTCGCTTTTGCTTCTCGTGCCTCTTTTATTTATATTTAGTTGAATCAGCTCCGACTGCAGATAGAGTTCAAAGCAGCTACAGTTTTTTTTTTTTATGTGAAAAATAATTACAGGTATTCATGACTGCATTTAGAATAAACAGTATAAAACCGTCTTTTTTTTCCTCCAGGTTCAGGCTGGTTTTGTTGTGAACAGCAGTGATTTAGATGCAGCTGTATGACTGATTCATTAAGAAAAACTGGACTCCACATCGGGTCATCATTTCTGCAAATAACAAAAAGAAAAAAAAAACTGCCCTCAAATGCCTTTCAATAATTTAGGGTGGAGATATAGATAAAAATATTACAAATAGAGAAAAAAAAGGTGTTGAATATGAGAGAAAAATGCATTTATTTGACTTTTGAATAGAGTAAAAATTCTGAGATTTAATATATCGATGATAAAGTCACAAGTTTCATTTTTTTGAGGACAAAATCACAGCTAAAAATGAAAAACATTGAAAGTCAGCATCTTCAAACAACAAATTTCATAACAAAAATAGAAGTAATACTTATAGTCAAGTGTTCAAATATGAAATCAATTGCCATAGATGAAAATAAAAGAATAAAAAATAAAGATATGCAGTATTTTGAAAATATGATAAACTGGTACATCCCAAAAAATATTATTGGCAACAAACTTCATTTTTTTTTTGTAATAACTTGAATTTAAGTGACTTGAAATGAATATTCCAATATTTAAAGATGTGCTGTAGGCCATGATCATCAAATTCATGTAAAGAAATACTTAATACATTTTATTGTGTGTTGTATGTAATCTGAAATTTGTTAAGATTTTACTTCCTCAAATAACTGATGGAAATGATCAAACTATTACAAGATACTCTATTTTCTTTTATATTTAGAACCAGAACAAGGAAAAAGAGGCACATTACCAGTTGCAATAATTCCGTTTTTTTGTATATTTGAAGGAAAAAAAAAAGAAATGTACTACTGCATGTCAAAAAATTAGAATACCTGTATGGATAAGTAAGAAAAACTATAACGTTTCAAGCTTTTTTAAGTTTTAATAATCAATTAATAAAATATAATCTACAGCTCTAAAAATCAAACAGCAAATCTCAAAATAATGTATTTCATTTCAAGTTATTTTACTTACTTCAAGTTATAGCAGAAAAAAAAGTAAATGTATTTGTAAATAAGATACTACTTTCAAATTCTATTATTATTGAAGAGAAGTCAAATATATGTTTGGAAATGACCAATCTGTACAAAAGAAAGCTGCAATAAAAGATAAAAAACTGTGATGTTTTGGGAGATGAGGATTTGATTTATGAGAAATTAAGTAATTTAAGGGTGAAGTTGTGGTTTTATTATATCTTTGCAATAAACGTATTGATAAAATGAAGCGCTATCTGGTGTAATTCTACCGAAACTTTACATAAACCATAACTCTTAAAATTGTTTGAGGAAAAGCTCAGTGATGTTTGATTTTACATTTTTCCTCAGAAATATTTTGACTGACATGATGACAAAGGTGTATGTGATCTGCTACGATCTGCAATAAGTAACTACTATTAACAACAAACAGTCTCCAGTATAAATGTCACATTTCATTATTTATCTTTACTCAGAGCGTGGGAAGTTTTTTTGTCTGTCCAAACTTGGTAAAGTGAACTGATGCCCATATCTGCATGTGTATCATACTGCTGTACAGTTTGTATTATAGCAGGACATGAACAACTCTATGAGATACAACATTAACAGCCCATTAGTTACTGATGTCAGCACGACTCTCTCATTGTTCTTAGTAAAAGTTTGCCTTAAACAACTTTTTTTTTCTTTGGTTTTGTACAGAGATGAGCATGTTGTCACTGTGTGTGTCTCCACTGTCCAAAGTTTGTGTAAGTTTGTCTTCTGTTGGCCAGACTGCCCAGCTCAGGTAAATCAAGACAGACAGCGTATTCTTGAGATGAGAAAACCAGACCACCTGAAAAAATTCTCCTTCAACTTTAAATGCAAATAAATTTCATACTCCCACCTGAAACCAGCATGTTCTTGTGTTTTACTGAAAACCTCATGAAAGGAAATGATAAAAAATCTGTGTCATAAAGGCATTTTATTATTCTTATGCACCATTCAAATAAGGCTTAGATAGTCTGTCTCTTTCAGAAATGTGTGCTGAGTCAGAAAAAAATGAAATCGTCTTCTGTGTTAAATCGGTTATTAAGCCAGTAGTTAGCCAATGCAGTTTTTGCTCTGCTTTTTCTAGAAGTGTTTATTTTTCATTGTATTCATTTCATTTCAAATAAAAAAACCATTATTTGTCCCTGGGGTACAATAAAAGGCAGCTAGAGCAGCAAGTAAATGATGTGAACACTGTAACAACCGTATACAAATGATGAGAAAAACAGTCAGCTCAGAATTCAGTATTGAAAATGGTCCAGTATTTACCCCCGAAATAATGTGCCTCAACTTCAGTTTTAATTTACGTAGAAAGAAACTATTCTAGTCAATATTGTTAATGTCTGAGAAGGGTGAATATTTTTTCACTCCTTTCTGTGTCACCTGCAATTTCTGTTGCGACCACACTTGGCGCCAAATCACCGTCTTGCCTGCGAGGTAAAGTCCAGGACACAATTAACCCAAGTCTGTGTTTTCCTGCTGACATGCGCATGCGTGCTCCTCCCTGGACAGGAACCGCGGAACGAGCACTGCTCCGCAATGTTAACTTTAAAACTTTGTTTATAAATGGAAGACCGCCGAAGGAGGACAGCAGCACACCGAGGACTAGTGACATTTGACGGGGTCTTACTGAGTACCAGAGTCGGGTTTGGGTGTTCAGGGTCGAGGACTTGGGTGGATGAAGGTTGAGGTCGCTGAAATAACGTGAGTGTCATTATTGTCAATTAAAAACCGACTTTCTGTCAGCTGGACTGAATCACATGATGTTTTCTGATCAGACCCACAGATGTTTGAATTTAACTATGAAAACACTTACATGAAACACAAGATTGACTTATATTGGTCAAACAACCTTGGCTAACAGTCCTTGAGCTTTCACTTGATTGTTTAACATTTCCATAATAGTGTTTATTTGAATTTTTGAGCCTCTCAGCTTTGTGTTTTTATATGTTATCGTCATGGGAATGAATTAAGTTTCCGTATCTGAAAGAAAATCTTTTTAAAATACTCAGCCCTCTGGTTTGTAGGCTGAGTTTGGAGTTTCAGGGATAATTAAAGACGGATAATTTTACACTCTTTCTGTCCATCTTTAAGTTTCACTTCCTCGCTGTAAGAAAGGACTGAGCCCCGAACAGCTGCATGACTGTGAATCATAAAGTTTTATCCCTCAAGATCAAAGGTGAAAGTGGAGCTATGAATGGGAAAGAGTTTGTGTATTATTGAAATTCTGTCTGTCACTGATGGACTGAGGGTCCTCAAAGAAATTAAGAGCGTCAAACTCTCTTTTTCTTGTATTTTCACAGATTTTTACCCCATAGCCGTTGGCCTTTTCCCCTCATGATGAAAATGAAAGTAAACTCCTGAGCTGTTTTTTTACTGACAGTGGTCTTATGAGAAGAGTTACAAAAGCATAATACAAACATGAAAATAAGTTAACTTACCTTGTTAGCAGAGGTGGGGCAAAGTCCATATGTTGCAAGTCCAAGTCGAGTCTCAAGTCTTTCCTCCAAGTTTGAGGCAAGTCCAAATCCTTTGCTTTCAAGTCTCCAGTCAAGTCCAAGTCAACACAGACAAGTCCCAAGTCAAGTCCAAGTCCTGAACTTTTTGTTTCGAGTCCCAACCAAGTCCAAGTACCGTTTCTTTCAAGTCAAAAACAAGTCGTATCAAAGCCATAAACCATTTGTAAAGATTTACATAAATCATGAGCATTTTTCACTATTTGCATTTATTATTAAACAAGGGTTCTTGTTTGTGTTAAGTTACATAGTGCAGCTTTAACCAAACTATTTTACATGTCATACAAAAAATAATCAGGTAAACTTTGATAACTGGAAACTTAGACAATGTGCACAAAAATAAGGAAGACTCAAATACAATTAAACATTAAACTGATTCTCTAATTCACTGTTCCAAAACAAAAGAGAGACACAAGGAAACACGTGGAAACAGGCGGGCAATACTAGTGAGTGATTTATGTTCAGTCCTCCCGGTGTTGTCGTTATGAGGGAGGCTAGAGTTTGAGACAGTGTTGCCAAGTTTCATGAGAGAAATAAGGAAACAGACCTCCAGAAACAAGACAAAAACAAGTAATTTTTTGTGGGAAATAAGCAGACCTGGCAACACAACACGGTGTTACCAACGGCTGTAATTCCTGACTATTAGTTGATGCGACACTTTTTAAACGGTTTGGGCTGTAAGGTATTAAGTGACTTGAAAAGACTTGACTTGACTTTTCAAGTCACTGGGCTCAAGTCAAGTCAAGTCTCAAGTCTCAAGTCTTTAGCAATCAAGTCCCAAGCAAGTCCAAGTCATTTCTTGATTTCATCTAGCAAGTCAAAAACGGGACTCAAGTCCAAGTCGAGTCTCGAGTCGAGTCGTCAAGCCCCCACCTCTGCTTGTTAGTGTGGGCAGTGGTGTGTTCTGGTCTGGACTATTACAGGGACCAACCTGTTGTTTGGATAAGATGTCCTAGTGAGACTCAAAAATTACTCAAATAACCACAATAAGGTGACTGTTACTGGATGGCTGCTTGAAACTGACCTAAATCCACATCGGGCCCAAATGTGTTTCCTAATCTGGGATTTACCACTACAGCATTCTTCAGTCACACTCAGTGAAACGTTTTTATTCTGTTCATCAACATAAACCACATGTGCCAGGGTACTCACAGGCCAGGGAAACACTGTTTCTACCCAAATGATGTTTTCATCAGTGAAGGATGTTGTTTAAGGAGACGCATCAATTTAGAAATGACAGGAGCAGCACAGGTGAGAGTGGCTGCTGTGTGTCATCATTGTAATTTGTGCATGATACCATTTTATGTGCAGGAGGACACACACACAGACGCACACTCACAGAGCGAGCAGGGAGCCATGTGGTGGTTCCAGCGGGGTCTGTGCATCCTGCCTGTGGCGCTGGTCATCTGGACTGCAGCCTCCTTCATCTTTGCATATATCACCGCCGTGGTGCTGAGACACGTGGATCCTCTGGTACCTTATATCAGGTCAGAGTCTGAACACACAAACACCTGTGTGTGCAATATGTGAGCGATCTAGTAAACATGGCTCGCAAGTGTCAGTAATAATCCTCACTGATAAACTTGTTTTGTATTGCAGCGACACGGGGACAATGGCACCAGAGAGGTGTGTGTTTGGCATCATGCTCGACATATCGGCTTTTCTAGGTAACACATGTACACACTCACACCAATCACAAATTGTAGAGCTTTTTAAGCAGGTCAAGCCCTTCATTTGTGAATCATAAGAAAGATTAAGGGCCTTTGTCCACTGACAGCAGTTTTCATGTCTCCAGCACATAGGACCTTGATTTCAGAGCGCTCCTCATCAGCACTTAGTGTTCGGATACAAAGGTTGTCTCATGCCATTTCGACTTCTTTTAGATAAATCTCATTTCAGCCTATTTAAAAAAAAAAAATCATACTTAACATTTGCCATAATTTTAGAAAATATTATGAAGTTTCCATAAAAACAGTGGAAAAGTGTCTTCAGCGTTATTAGTAGGAACAGACCTGTTAAATATACCCTAGAAAAATCAAGAACAGCGACAAAAATAGGGCTCCTACCTACACCTTAAAAGCCAAACTGCAGAAAACAGGTGGCCAGTGCAAAAATGATGCAAGTGGACACAGGCCCTAAAGGTGACCCAGTTGAATGCTTGCACTCGCAGAACCTTAAAAGACTCAAGCAGTAAAGTGAGTTAAGAGTGCAGGATGTTGCAGGATGAGGATCAGATATATTAGATGTAGAATGTAAACATGCAAACTTAATTTGACTTTAATTTCTGTGTGTGTGTGTGTGTGTGTGTGTGTATGTGTGTGTGTGTGTGTCTGAGCAGGTATTGCCACAGTGTATGTGCGGTACAAACAGGTGGAGGGTCTAACAGGTGAAGACGAGCTCAAACTGAAACGCCTGAACCGTTTCGGGCTGCTGCTCGGCTGGATCAGCTCCTTCGGGATGTGCGTGGTCGCAAACTTCCAGGTGAGTCCAGCTGCTCCTGGATCAGCTCACACCTGCGCTGAGTCTGCAGAGTTTAACGGCTGTGTTTCTGTGTGTGTTTGTGCATTCTCGTGTGTGTGTGTGTCGGAGCAGAAGACCACCCTATTCTCCATGCACCTGGTGGGAGCGGTGCTGACCTTTGGTGTCGGAGCTCTGTACATCTTTGTGCAGACGCTGCTCTCCTGCTATATGCAGCCTCACGTCCACAGTAAATCCACCTTCCTGGTCCGCCTCGGCATTGGGCTGTGGACGCTGAGCAGCATCATCAGCAGTATCCTCTGACATCATCACAGTGCGACGATCCAGCTGTGATTGAGTTAATTACACCTTTATTTACGTGAAAATTTGGCCTGAATCTGCTCTTTTGCTGCTTGGCTCTGTGCTTCCTTGTCCTTTAACATCCACCGGCTGTATTTTCAAAGTGCAGGAAGGAGAATCACCAGCTGGAATCACTGATTGGACCTTTACGGGTCAGCTAGATTATCTGTGGTTTTATCCAAAATTCAAGCTCTTATTCAAATGTACAGATAAAGTATTTAATTCAAAATACATAAAGCACATCAGGTTGTCTGAAGTAGCTCTAGTTGTAACCTGACCATCGAATGGCAATCTTGACCCATACAGTAATGAGTTTCGATGTTGTTTCGATAAAAACCTTAAAAAATGGGCATCTGAGCTCATCAAACCTCTCCTATTGCTGCTAAAATTATATCTTTATTGTGCTTAAAGGATTTTAATGAGCAAAAAGTTGTGATCCTTAACCTCCTCTCAGTGTTTATATCCTCAGTCATCATGTACAGCATCCTGAGAGGAGTGGATGTCCCTCACAAACTTCACTGGACTCCCGGAGAGAAGGTCAGTCGTCCAGAATTGTTTCACAGATGTTAAATGTCGTCTAAGCTTTAAGTAACTAAACTTTTCTGTTGGAAGAAGACACAGACACAGAGCTGGTTACTCAACATTTTGCTTTATTAGCGGTTTGTTTCTCATCTCTTCAGGGCTACACGGCTCACATCGTCAGCACTGTGTCGGAGTGGTCTCTGGCTCTCTCCTTCATCATGTTCTTCCTCACCTACATCAGAGACTTTCAGGTACTATGGTTTCCATCTGTTGTGGAGATACAGTCAGAGAAGTGCAGCTTAGCTTTGTTCAATTGATTTTTGCTTTTAAGTAAACCTTCAGTTTGATTCTCAGTAACATGATAGTGTTGTGAGGGATTGGATGTGGACAGACTCTGAAACTACACTGATCTTCTCTGTGGGATAGAAAAACACAGAGTTTGCAACAGAAATAAAATGCAGGTCTCACAAAGCGAGTGGATTTTACTGTAAATTGTTGCATTGGTACAGTTCTGTTTGGTCCGCTCCCGTCCTCTACTCCCTTGACTCCTTGGCTTGTAGTTTGCACTGACTGCCTCTTATGTCATTGTTTTGCAGGTCACTATCAGGCAATATTAACAGAGTTTTAATGTTTTTAATTTTGTTATAGAAAATTCAGTTACGAGCAGAAGCAGTGATGCAGAGCAGACACCTGTATGACCTGCTGCCGGATCACAAAGGTGAAGCCTCCGAGGACTCTCCACTGCTGGGAGGACGGACGTGACGAGCAGCAGATCAGCTCTTTTTTTTTTTTATGATTTTACCTTTTTAATCCGTTTTAAAAGCCTTTTACAAAGACTCTCTTAAAGCTGGTGCAGTGGCTCTTAAAGGGGCAGTACATCCAAACATATCCTTTTTTATCCCTGCAGCTGCATAGTTTTGGTCTTTGTTTGTACAAGTTTGAGATATCTGCCTCTGTGTGTAAACAGTGGAGGAATTTATTAACCACAGAATTTATTTTAATAAAAGTGACACCTGTACAAACAAAAACCTGAACTGAATAAGAGTTTATTATATATTTCTCCTGAGGCCAAATACAAACTTTGATGCTTTGCACTTTCACTGCTGCATTTAACAGAATTTATATTTGAAAATGTTGAAAAAGGCTCTACTGTGTTTTATTCTAAGAAAATGTGCCTACTGCTCTTTACTTACATGTTAATGAAGCCCAGAGGAGAACATAGACTGTGTTAGAAAATTGCAAACTACTTGATGTTAAAATCAAAAAACTAAACTACTAATGAAGGGTATTTGTTTGAGAGCTGAGGTCGAGTCTATTCACTGTAAAAAAACAGGATTAGCTCATATTTTCACAGTTTTTCATGCACAGTATTCATATCACAACTAATAAAGACTTATCTCTGTAGACGTGTTTGTTTACTGTGGTTATGACACAGACTGAAATGTCTCTTTGTGAATGTCATGCTTATGCTATCTTTCCCCTGGATGGTCAAGCTCAGTCTGACTTTCCTGCAACAGTTATGTCTGAGTTTTTATACAGGACAACCAGTGTAGTGCAGGTGAGAAGTTGCCTCCCTGAAGGATCAGCTGACTGGAATGTTTTAACTCCACCTTGACACCCTCAAACTTGCACATCATACAATTCACAATTCCAGAAAGCTTGGACACACCCCTGATGGTATGAGGATGCAGACATAATTAGACATGATTAGTCCCAAATTTTTAAAAATCCAGTTTGTGGTCACATCTCAAGACTTCCTTGATATTTTCCATTTACAGAGGCTGTCTTTTTCATCCTTAATCTGCAGATTTGTGGAAGACAAATACTAATTAACTTCAGCTTTAGCTTAAACTCGGACTAGATCGTGGTTTCATATAAACCTTTGAAGCAGCAGTTGGGATTAACTACAACATAGTGTAAAGAAGTCAAGGTTGATTTTGATTCCTGCTGATCATCACCAGAAAAGGAGACTTTGGGCACTAATTTCTGACATCTAAAGGATAGAATTAGAAATATGAGTTTGTCAACATACCAAATATTTCAGCTGTCTGATAACTTGTACTTTGATGGTTTTATCTGAGCTAAAGATGTTCAATTTACATTAGATTAAACTTTTCAGGACTCCAAAGTGGGACAAATTCTGCAACTTCACCCAAAACTATAGAGAGAGTTGCCTATTTTGCAAAGTTTCCTTACAAGAGCAGTTCTATTTTGGGAGGAAAAAAGTACTCATGAGCTCTTTGTATTATTTTGCATTAGCACAAACGAGCTGTAAAGAAAAGCTTATTATATTTCAATTGAATCAAAAAGTTCAGTTTCTAGACTTACAGCTTAATGAATGCCTTCTATGAACCAAATCCACAAAAACTTAAACCTTTACACGTGAGGAGTTAAAGCAGCGTTTTTGGACCAGACTGCATTGGAGGCTTATAAACTAATATCTGCTGTCACCAATCCTTTGAAGGTTAACATTAAACGTCAGCCATCAGCAGCTCAAGCTGGACACAGATTTCTATAGAGGTATGGATTTTTCCTGCTGATTAATACCCTGCTTTCCTGTTATCACCTGACTGTGTTAAATACTTGGTTCTGATTGGTCTACATCGCCTATCAACAAGCGTGACGCCAGAGACAAGCAGATCACCCAACGTCATGACAAATCAATTCGCGGAAAGTAGTTCCGGCCCTTTGCCTGCTTCTTGACATCATGGGCGAAGACGTTGCCTCCTCGCTGGGTGAAGCCACTCAGAGAACAGCACCCTCTGTTGACGGGCTGAAGTATAGGTCATAAACCCCGCCTCCGCCAGCAAAGCTTATGGGGCTGTGGGTTCATGTTTTCTATGATTGACACTTGATACAGCCTATTGGCATTCAATGATTGCGTAGCTCACCCGAGGGATAGTGTTTGTGCCGAGCGCCATCACAGCGACTCTCCCGCCGAAAGCGTGCAACGCTACTGCGCAGCGCTGGTTTCAGGAAATGAAGAAAAATCCCGGAAATACCGAGAGCTTTTTGGCTTCAAATCCGTATACAGGCGGTAGGCGGAACCAAGTTGTCCATAGTATATACAGTCTATGGTGTCAGTATATTAATGATACAATAATTTGTCAACTATTGTTATAAAATTATCAACTCTGAGAACAGTAAAACATTCACACCGTTTAAATAAATCAACACAAACACCCCAAACAGATGGAAGCAAATACATGACAAGTTTTAATTTTCTCATAAAACTATGACATTTCTACGCAGAGCGTCCACTTCACATGATCCAATGTCTGACTTCCTCTCTGGTGAGCGCTGAGGACCAAAAAGAGAGAGCGTCTGTTTATACTATGATCTGACAGGCATTAACTTTGGCAAACCTCTTCAGATTCATTCGGACTCTTCACAGACCCACAAGAACCAGATTAGAGACAAAATCTAAATCCTCCGCTGGGCAGGAAAAGTAGCAGCTGATCAGATGTTAACTTCTGTCGGTACTCATCAAATAACATTACAACACATCAATGTTATTAAAATTAATGGCTTGAACATATATATACATACAATCATAACAATAAATAAAGACACTGGAATTAGAGAAGCAGCTTCATCATTTGATCAATAAAAGAACAGTTCAGGAAACCATCTGGAGCTGATCCTGATGAAGCTGAAAATAAACTACAGTGCTGTAATGCTGGTTGGTTGTTTGAGCAGTGACAGGTTTTAAAGGCTCAGTTTACCCAAATTACAAATTAAAATACCAAACAAAAACTTTAACTTTCATAACTTTACAATCGAGTGATACTGGTTTAATTTGAGGAAGTTTCCTGGTTTTATTGCAGAGATTTTTGCCTCGTCACCAACATGAAAACTGAAGGAAAATAACTTCAGTTTGGGATGAACTTTCCCAACAAGGAACAAACAGATAAGAGCAGAAAACAAAACTGAAGGCCCAAACCTCCAGGAGGTCCCCACACCAGAATCACATGACAGAAATTTCCCAGAGTGCACCGCAGAAACTAGTGAGTCCTCCTTAAAAGCTGTTGTTCCTTCAGCAGTTACACACAGTAATAAACTCTTTTTATTTGATTTAATTGACTAAATATAGAGTTCTAACTCTGATCTGACATCATCTTTACATGTCAGGTTATAAATAAAATCTATCTCTGTGCTGTGAGGGACTTTTAGTTTGTTTAGATTTTAATGCTTTTGGGCAGAGTGGGACATCTTACCTCTTTTCTGAATTTGATCTGTACGTGTTTAAAAAGTGTTTTAATCAGAAGTTCACCCTGCTTCCCTTTAAACAGTCAAACGTTTCACTCAGTGAGAATCGCTGCTGTGGAAAAGTTTTAAAACGGTGCTTTTAAATCACAACCCAACAGCCCTATTCCAAAGCTAGGGTTAGGGTTAGATGGTGACATGTGTTATGTTGCTGTGGAATCGAAGGCTCTTGTGATTTAGGGGGAAAAAAGACGCATCTTACATTATTCTTGTCATTGGAAATATCAAACTTTTATAACAAGTTGATCATTAACATTTCCATTTCTGCTTCACATCCCTTAAACATGAAAGATCCAGAAACAACTTATCCCATTGCTGATGATTGTGTTTACTTTTGTAGGTCATCACAAGGTTATTAATTCATTTCAGGGTTTCATAACCAGATAGAAACTCCTCACGGGAGCTTTAAGTTTGTAAGTTATAAGTCTTAACTTCTAGGACTGATCACTGATCTGGGATTTTTTTGTGATTTGGCCAATCAGGGTGTGACTGTCTCTGGGTCAAAATGATAGTATTCCTGTTTTTAACCCTGTCTATGAGGTTCTTGCTGGCTGGAATTCAAGGAGAAGGATGTAAATAAACACAACAGCAGAGACCAGACAGAATCAAAGATGGTTTCAGGGGACTGAGATCAACAAGATCGGCAATGACCATCGGTATCTTCTGTTCATCATTTTAACTTGTTAGAGTTCAGCTTGAAGCTATGGCACGAGCACTGAACATCCAGAACATCTGAGCGCTGCAGAGTTATAAGCCTGATGTTGCTCTTGTGGAGACAAAGTGAAAACGTTCCTCTGACTTCCGCCCTTAAAAACCTGCGAGAGGTTTCTGTATTCAGAGCTGAAGTCATGTGTGCAGTGGTTTCCAGTTCTCTGAGGACACTGGGAGGAGTTTTACCAGACAGGGTTATAAGGCATCAGTGGGCTGAGCCACAGAAAGAGTGAGTAGCTCTGAAGAACGCCTCAGCCCAAGTTCCATATTCAGCCCTCCGACACTCGGCTGATCCTGAAGGTTAAAAAGCCGACCCGTCACAGATGATGTTCTGTCCTCGACCGGGGAACAGCTCCATCTGCCAATAACGAGGGTCGGCGTACACTGTAGGGTTAAAGGTCAGAGGAAACATGTGAAAATCTTTCTGACCTGAGGCTGAGTCACACTGAGAGCAGCACATTCAGGGATCAGATCTGTTTTTCAGAGCTGGAGACAGATGCTGTCAATTAAAGCGAGATGCTTTCAAAGTGTCTGCTTCATTTGAAGCCTGAAGAAGAAAAACTTGTTTCTGAAAATATTCAAAGGCTGTTGTAATGATGCAGTTAATCTAGTTTGTGGTTTCAGCTGATAAAAGTTAAAGTCATAAGACTGAATCTTCACTTTCATCAGCTGAAAGTTCTCAGTGGTCTGTAATATGAAGGCATCAGACAGAAAGGCAGGAAAATCACACCAAAATATACAAATATCCTAGTTTACTAAACTCCAAAGTTTACTTTGGAGCAAATCAATAACTCTGGATTCTCCATTTTTCTCATGACTTTAATTGTTTTTGTGGTGAAAAACAGACGTTTTGGTCGTTACCCATGTCTCCAGGTGTTAGCCACAGGTTGAAAGAGCTGCAGTGCTTCTGACAGCGCTGAACTGGCAGAACTCGAACCGTTGGCAGTCCTTCACCCACCACCAGCCAACCGAACACCCCGACACCCTGAAATGCACAAAAAAAAATCACTACATAAAAACCTCGGGTATTAAAGGCTTTTGGTGGATAATAAAGGAGAATGAAGCATCACCCCAAAGTCAAGGAAACATCTGCATCTGTATCAAGTTCTCCTCACTCAGTCTCCATGTAAATATGTTAAAGCAGGCACAAAAATCAGTTTAAGATCCCTCCTCTTCAGTTTGTTAGTGAGCTCCCATCTTGATCGGCGTTCTCACCTTGCTCTGGGAGTTTGTGCTGTGTGTGACCAGGCAGCGCTGCACAATAGTTCCAGCGCTGTCCAGCAGAGGGCAGAGCTCAGCCTTCGGGAAGAGCCACCTCAACACTTTCTCCCTGGTCCCAGAGCTGAACCGCCTACACAAACAAAACCACGCACAAAAAAATAACACACAGTCATTCAATATGATTTCAGCACCACTGCTGATCTTCATAACTCCTTTTCAGAGACATGTGAGTGACATTTCAGAGACCAGGTCCAAGTCTGTGTGGAAAAACACTTGGGTAGGTGGCCTTGATTCCTTAACTCCAGAAATCTGTATATGGAAAAGAAGTGTGTACCAGAGCAGGGTGAAGTTTGCAGGTCCTTGGGGAAGGCCATGGTTGAGGTTCTGCAGACCATCGTCCTCCTCCAGTAGGATGGACATTGAGCCTGAGTGAGCCAAGTAGAGCTCCTCCAGCTGCTGCCGCTGGACGCTGAGAGACTCCCCACCCTGCAGAGCCCCGAGAGAACAACCAGAATGAGGAGGCAGAAATCAGTAAAGATGAACCACTTCTAATGTAAAAAGCGGTTCAGGAGTTATTTGTGTGCAAAGGACCCTGTATGTGTCGACATCTGACCTTCAACAGGACCAGCTGTGGTCCTCGGCGCAGAGTCACCGTCCCTCTAAGGCTCTCTGGGACCTCCAGCACCGAGGAGATCTCTGCACAGCCTGAACAGTTCACCAGATTCTGTCTGAGAGAGCCGGCACTCCACCACTCATGGAAACCTGCAGCAAACACAGAGACATGCCGAAAACTGTGTCCTGGGCTGCATGTGTGTTTGTCGCTGTGAGAGTGACTCAGAGTTGATAAAGCTTCAGACCTTGCAGGTTGTACTTCTTAGCGATGGGCAGAGACAGCAGGCGGACATGGCTGAGGGGCGAAGACCAGTTGTAACAGCCCAGGTGGACTAGACCCAGCTGGGGGGTACTTTGAGGGTAGGTGAAGGCCAGCACCACTATGAGGAGGAAACCCACTGCCACTACAAACTGCAGAGATAAGAAGGAAAACATTAGGAACACTGAGAGCTTCACCACGACACACTCTGGAGGAATAAATTGATCATTATTAGATCAATTTTCATTGTGCTCCTAAAGTTCTTTGTGTGCTCCTTGTAAAAAAAAAGTTAGTGTCAAGCCCTGCTCAAAAAAAAATTCATACTGGAGCTTTACACACAATCTGCATTGGGGAGAGTCTCTGCTCTTCAAAGGGATTTTCAGAACTTTTACATGATTAGGTCTGGACTAATTCAGTATAAAACTGTTAACACACACTGACCTTTATGGTGGCTCTCATGATGGGAAACTGTGGTGGCTCTCTCCTGGGCTCGTTGGTCTCCAGGACCTGCTTGATAAATCTCTCGATCTCCCTCTCTGACATGCCATAACGGTAGCCCGACTGTCGGAGGATGTCGATGCTCTCAGACAGTTTGTCGTAGATACACGGCTCACTCATCGTTGTTCCCATGACCGCAGCAGAAGAGACAGCAGCTTCTTATTTTAACGCGTCAATCTTCAGCCGTGGAGGGCTCCTGGAGCATGGTGACACCTGGGAAACAAACCAGTCTGTTATCACTTATATGCTGTGTGATTTTTAAACCATGTCTCAAGGGTCTCCTAGTTTAAGGGCATCAAAAGATGCTTTCCTCAAGTCTGAAGATACTGGACCTCATGCAGGAGCCGCTCATACTAACAGATTTGGTCTCAAGTGAGTGTAGAGTTATCCAGAGCAAAGTACAGCATATGTATGTAAACCCAGAGGACATGAACCACTGAACGCTTGTGACCCCCAGATGGAGACTGTGATTATTGATCCCTGAGCTAATCTTGTGTTTGGTCTGAGTCAGTCACCCAACAGTCAAAGAAACCTCTTAGTACGAGCTGTATCCTTCAGCCATGCATTTAGCAGGTCTAAACTCCCTCACTGAGTATGTCCCCAAATTATTCAGTATTTTTGATGTTTGTACCCAAGTCTAAAGTAACAGATGTCCTTAAAAACCAGCTATAGTGGAACATTTGGTAGAACTTGATATCAAGAGTTTTATGGTTAACAGTCTGATCTAGAAACTGAAGGAAACCATGGCAACAGTTCCGATGATCATGGTAATAGTTCTGATGGTAACCATGGTTACCATCAGGCCTGTTGCAATGATCATCAGAACTGTCACCATGGTTACCATCAGAACTATTACCATGACCATCAAAACTTTAATAGTTCTAATAAATTATAAGTTATAGTATAGTTTATAGTTCTAAGATTATAATAGTTCTGATGGTAACCATGGTGATAGTTCTGATGGTCATGGCAATAATCCTAGTGGTTACTGTAGGTGCCATATGCAGAAGTGGTTAGGTTTGTGTGTGTTGACATCAACTGTCTGGGCTGCACCTTTCATGCACGTCACGAGGGGGTGTGGTCAAGGCGCGTTGATTGAATGATTGAATGAATGGACATATAGTCACCTGGGTGCTGCGGCGGCTGCATGGAGAGGGGGTGAGTAGGGAGAGCGTATTTTTTGTTGACCGCTTGATTTAAACGTCAAACTAAGCCCATAGATCATCTTGCCTTGCCTTGCCCTGTCTGTCTGTTTGTGCGGCGTTGGAAATAAATGTGAACTCAATCGGAAAACACGGAAATGGCTTGTGGTTTGTGTAGCGAGTCACCAATGCGGAAGCTCCCTCACTTAGCCTCTCAGTGACTTTGTTTTCGTTCCTAGTCACTATATTTTGTCAACAAAAAAGGAGTACCAACACCCGAACGGCATATACGGACGCGATCACGCCACACGGTGTCTAACTGCAACGCCAGACTGATCGCAACGTGGACTTCAGACCGGTAGGACTGTATCACTCGCATCCATTCATTCTGTGTATGTTGGACGGAACGCAGTTTGATTACAGCGCATACAGCGCATTCATTGGGGAGCGCTGCGCGTTTGTGAAAGTCCGCTGAGACAGCCTGTCCTGCTCGTTGAGAGTAAATACCTGTGGTGTTTTCCGATGTTAATTGATGTGAAACAAGCTGTGGAAAAATAAAACTATGCTGGGTGTATTGTGGATTCACTGCCCGAACCACTGAACTGCCGAATCTCAAAAGAACAATATGAGTGAAGCCATGGAACAAGTGGAAAACAATGAAACTGTGGTTGCTAAAAGGAATGTGAAACTTACTGCAAAAGCATTGGCATATAAAGTGGTAAATCTACAAAATGAACGTAAAACACATGTGAATAAAATAAAAGGCTTAATACCTGCAATGAAAGAGCTGATGAAACGAAAGGAAAATGTACAGGAAGTGAAATCTCACTTGCAAACTATTACTCAGCTCCTTGATACTGCTATCAACCTGCATCAAACAATAATTCCACTGTTACCTGAGGATGAAAAACTTAAACAGAATGATTGGTTCTCCAGTATTGAACGTTACAGCAGTACATTCAAGGATGATGTGACTCAGTGGTTGGATGAGAATGAACATGTTCTAAATATCATGGATAATGATGAGGCCGCAGCAACAAAGCATGTGTGTGACCCTCAAATGGATGATGCTTTACAGGCAGCAGCATTGGACACAGGCCCCATCACACCTTATAAAGGTCTACAGGATGACGTGAACCCAAGTGATAGCATATCAAATGTGCAAAGCAAACGATCTGCAAAAAGTGCTGTGAGTGGAAAAAGCTCTGGGAGTGGTAAAAGGTCCAACGTATCAGGAACTTCTTCTGCTCGTATCAAGGCAGAAGCTGATTTAGCTGCACTGATGGCACGGCAAAAACTTTTACAGGACAGACATGCACTGGAAGAGGAGGAGCAGCAAATACGGAAACGCAAGGAAAAGCTCAAGTTGGATGAAGAGATTGCTGCACACTTGGCTAAAGTGAGCGTTCTAAGGGCTGCAAGCATATCTGGTTCAAAAAGTACTACAACAGACAAGTCCAATGCAATGAATTCCTACGTTAAAAATGAACAAGAAACAACAAAGTTCAATGTCAATGCCACTCCTTTCATTCCTCTGAGGCTGGAAACATCTAAACAGCAATCGAAAATCATGGACCGTGACCCTGTGACAAGGCCTAAATCAGATGGCTCGACCCATGCTGCTCACTTTCAGCCTCCCACTTTGAAGAGCCACTTACCTGATTTTAATCCTCTGCTCAATGCTCATAATGATCACTTACATCATGGAATCAGTCTTAATGTTGGGGATTCAGCAAGTCATGGGGAGCAAAACAATGTTCTTGACATCATGAAAAGACAGAATGAAATTACAACACTACTGATACAACAGCAGCAACATGCGCTCTTGCCTAAAAGAGACATCCAGGTGTTTGATGGTGACCCACTGCAGTTCCATACGTTCCTGAGAGCCTTTGAAAACTGCGTTGAAAGCAAGTCCAACAGTCATAGTGATTGCCTGTACTTCCTCGAGCAATACACTAGAGGTCGTCCAAGAGATCTTGTGAGAAGCTGCCAGCATATGGACCCAAACAGGGGCTATGCTCAAGCTAAAATCCTATTACAAGAACATTTTGGGGATGAACAGAGGGTTGCTGCTGCTTATATGGACAAGGCGTTGTCATGGGCTCCAATAAAATCAGAGGACGTTAAAGCTCTCCAAGATTATAGCCTATTTCTCAGAGGCTGCGCAAATGCGATGAACAAAGTGCAGTATATGTTCGAAATGGATATGCCTGCTAACATGCTGACAATAATAAAAAAACTGCCTTACAAGCTGAGGGATCGATGGAGGACAACTGCTTGTGAAATACAAGAAAGACGTAACCAAAGGGCTACATTCAATGATATTGTCCATTTCATCGAAAGGCAAGCAAGGATTCTAACAGACCCAGTATTTGGAGACATACAAGACTCATCACCAGCAGTAAACAGAGGCATGAATCGAACCAGCTTAAAACCTAGATCTCGGCCAAAGGGAAGTAGTTTCGCCACAACAGTGACTACTGTACAGCACAATTACACAGCAACAAAAGGAAGGAGGCCAGACACAACCTCATCAGCCAAGAAAGTCTGTCTGTTTTGTGAGGGTGGGCACATGTTGGAGTATTGCTCTCGAATGGAGAAGATGACTCACACTGAAAAGATCACCTTTTTAAGGGAAAAGGGAATATGCTTCGGCTGTTTGTGTATAGGACACATCAGCAAGGACTGTCGAAAGCGCCTGTCATGCAAAGTGTGTAGTTTGAAACACCCCACAATGCTTCACATCCATTCAAAGGAAAAGGACCCAGTGACAGAAGAAGAACCAGGCGCCGCAGTGGGCTGTGCTCTGGTATCTAATGGGTTGACTGGGGCTGGTGGCCATGAGTGCAAGCTTCCTATAGTTCCTGTATTGGTTAAATCCAAGAAAGGTAATCATGTAGTGGCTACTTATGCCTTCTTGGATCAAGGTAGCACGGCTGTTTTCTGCACAGTGAAACTCATGAACAAGCTCAACCTCTCAGGAAAAAGGACAAGAATCCTTTTGCGGACAATGGGTCAGGAGAAGGTTGTTAACAGCTGTGTGGTCACGGGACTGGAGGTGGCCGGTTTGGACGGAGAGACGTACTGTGATTTGCCCAACACCTATACACAGGAGTGCATGCCGGTGCATAGAGGAAATATTCCGCGTCAAAAGGATCTCGAGAGGTGGGCATACTTGAGAGATGTTCACTTACCTGATATCGACTCCGAAGTTGAGCTGTTGATTGGAACAAATGTACCAAGGGCACTGGAACCATTACAAGTCATCCGTAGTGTGGACAATGGACCGTATGCCATCAAGACTATCTTGGGTTGGACTGTTAATGGGCCACTGGGGGGAGACAGTGGCGATGGAATGGATGTTGCGACCGTTAACAGAATTTCAGTCCTGAACTTGGAGGAGCTCTGGCAGCAGCAGTTCAGAACAGATTTCCCAGAATGTGGCTACGATGAGCAACCTGGCCAGTCAAGAGAGGACCAAAAGTTCATGAAGTTGGTCCAGGATTCAGCCAAGCTTGTAGATGGTCATTACCAGATTGCATTGCCCCTGCGAAGCTCAGTGACCATGCCAAATAACAAGAAGGTTGCCGAGCAGCGTGCTCTAAACCTGAAGAGGAGGTTCAAAAGGGACTCGTTATTTCATCAGCAGTACACTGATTTCATGAATGATATGGTCACCAAGGGATACGCAGAGCAAGTACCTTCAGATGAGCTGGCACGTACTGATGGAAGATTGTGGTATATCCCACACCATGGTGTGTATCACCCACAAAAGGGAAAAATCCGTGTGGTTTTTGACTGTGCTGCCACTTTCCAGTCGGCATCTCTCAACGCTCAACTGCTGCAAGGGCCAGATCTCACTAGCTCGCTGATTGGCGTCCTGGCCAGATTCCGGAAAGAACCGGTAGTGATCATGGCAGACATAGAGTCCATGTTTCACCAAGTAAAGGTGCCAAGGGAAGATGCTGATCTACTGAGGTTTCTCTGGTGGCCCAACGGTGACTGCACCCAAGACCTGGTAGACTTTAGAATGATGGTACATCTTTTTGGTGCAACGTCCTCACCAAGTTGTGCTAACTTTGCATTGAGGAAATGCGCTAAGGACAATGAAGAACAGTTCTGCCGAGAGACCATTGAGAGGATTCTGCACTGCTTTTATGTGGACGATTGTCTGGTATCGACGGCCAGTGAGGAAGAAGCAGTGGCACTGTATCATGACCTGGTCTCTGTATGTGCCAAAGGAGGCTTTAAGTTGACCAAATGGATGAGCAATAGCCGTGCAGTGATGGCAGCAATTCCAGGGGACCAAAGAGCTAAGGGCATGAAGGACCTGGATTTGGACCATGACCTGCTACCAGTGGAGAGGGTGCTCGGAGTGCAATGGTGCATACAGTCTGATGTCTTCAAGTTTAGAATCCTGGTGCAGGACAGGCCCCTGACAACGAGGGGGATCCTCTCTGTCATCAGTTCAGTATACGATCCTCTAGGAATCCTGAGTCCCATTGTTCTTTCTGCCAAGATCATCCTGCAGGAGCTGTGTAGGCAAAGACTTGGTTGGGATGACCCTATACCACCATCAGCTGCACAGGAATGGACGAGCTGGTTAAAGGAGCTCCATCAGTTAGAGCACTTCCAGGTTTCGCGGTGCCTTAAACCCCCAGACTTTGGTGAGGTCACTGTGGCGCAACTGCACCATTTTACAGATGCAAGTAATAATGGTTATGGTGTAGTGACCTACCTTCTCCTGCGGAATGCATGTTCCCAGATGCACAGCAGCTTTGTCATGGGAAAGTCCAGGGTGTCTCCTTTGAAGCCAGTCTCAATACCCCGCATGGAGCTCACAGCTGCTACAATGGCAAGCCGTCTGGACACCTTTTGGAAAAAGGAGTTGCACATGTCATTAATAGAGTCAACGTTTTGGACTGACAGCACCTCTGTGCTGAAGTACATCAGGAATGAGACTTCCAGGTTCCGTACCTTTGTCGCCAACAGGGTAGCAGAAATACTCAAAGTGTCAGATCCATCGCAGTGGAAGTATGTAAACACCCTAAGCAATCCTGCAGATGTGGCCTCCAGGGGACTGAGGGTTGACATGTTCCTGAGGAACAAGGCGTGGTTGTCAGGACCTGCATATCTCCTGCAACCTGAACGAGACTGGCCTGTGAGTCCAGATTGCTTGGGCGAACTCCTGCTGAACGATCCAGAAGTCAAGGCCAGTGTGGCAGTGAATGCAGTGCAGGCCTCAGAGGATGTGGATGCAACCACTCAACTAATCCATCATTTTTCCTCTTGGACCCATCTGAGAAGGGCTGTGGCTTGGTTTCTCAGGCTAAAAAACATGCTGCGGGGTCTCAGCCAGAAGAGGACTGACTCTGCGTCCACTCAGTCGGAGTCAGGGAAACAACAAAGACCGTCCTCGGAGCTTGGAAAAGGAGGGTTCAAAGACCTGGCACCGAGAGGTTTCCTCACGGTAGACGAGTTGCAGGTAGCTGAAAAGGAAATCATCAGGTTTTGTCAGAGGAAGAGGTTTCCTGATGAACTCTCTAGTTTGCAGAAGGGCGAAAGTGTGAAAAGGAGAAGTCACATCTTCAAGCTCACTCCTGTGTCGGAGGATGGTATCCTGAGGGTTGGTGGTCGGTTGAGCCGAGCAGCCTTACCTGAAGACGCAAAACACCCTGCCATTCTGACCAAAGAGCTCCACATTTCAGACGTTCTCCTGAGACACATACATCAACAAGTTGGTCATGGAGGACGCAACTACATGTTGTCCAAACTACGTGAAAGATACTGGATTCCTGGGGTCAGCACAGCCATAAGGAGAATTTTGTCAAAGTGTGTTGTCTGCCGCAGGTTGCAAGCTGCCCCAGGGTGTCAGCTGATGGCTGATCTTCCTGTTGACAGGGTCTGCCCAGACAAACCTCCATTCACCAGAGTCGGTGTGGACTACTTTGGACCATTCGAGGTTAAGAGCCGGAGGAGCATTGTAAAGAGATATGGAGTCATGTTCACCTGTTTGGCAATACGGGCTGTTCATATCGAAGTGGCTCCTTCGCTGGATACAGACGCCTTTATTAATGCACTACGACGATTCATGGCAAGACGTGGCCAAGTCCAAGAAATTCGATCAGACAATGGAACGAACTTTATTGGAGGAGAGCGTGAGCTGAGAGAGGCTATCAGAGGTTGGAATCAAGCTCAGATAAATGGTGTTCTTCTTCAGAAGGAGGTGAAATGGATTTTTAACCCCCCAGCTGGATCGCACCATGGTGGTGCCTGGGAAAGGTTGATCAGATCAGTGCGCAAGGTCTTGAACTCCATCTTGAAAGTTCAAAATCTGGACGAGGAGGGACTGCACACTGTCCTCTGTGAGGTGGAAGCAGTCATTAACGGCCGTCCAATTACTAAGGCCTCAACCGACCCTAACGACCTCGAAGCTCTGACGCCTAACCATCTCTTGCTGTTGAAAACCTCTCCTTCCCTGCCACCTGGGCAGTTTCAAAGAGATGACATCTACGCTCATCGACGCTGGAGGCAGGTCCAGTACATGTCTGATTTATTTTGGAAGCGATGGACTAAGGAGTATTTGCCACAGTTGCAGGAACGTCAGAAGTGGACTGGTATCAAGCGCAACTTTGTAGAAGGGGACGTTGTGCTTATTGTGGATGAAACAGCACCACGGAACTCGTGGGTCATGGGAAGGGTTATCCAAACCTTCCCAGACAGAAGAGGATTTGTGCGACGGCTGCAGATCAAGACCAAGACCAGCTCCTTGGAAAGGCCCATAACCAAAGTCTGTCTTCTGCAGGAATCGGACGCCTGACTCTTCCGTTCTGGGAGGACAGTTTGATTAACTTTACTGACTGACAGCACGACATGACTTTCCTCCGTGAAGCTGTGTGTCTGAACTTTTGAACTTTTGAACTTGGCTAGACTTGACTTGTGTTCCAGGAAGAAGAGCACATTGACGAACTGTATTGATGGACTATTACAAGAACATTGGTGGATTTCGTGGTTCATTTATTTGTCATAGTGTAATTATTATAATGGTAATAATTAGGGGCTGGGTTGTAGGTGCCATATGCAGAAGTGGTTAGGTTTGTGTGTGTTGACATCAACTGTCTGGGCTGCACCTTTCATGCACGTCACGAGGGGGTGTGGTCAAGGCGCGTTGATTGAATGATTGAATGAATGGACATATAGTCACCTGGGTGCTGCGGCGGCTGCATGGAGAGGGGGTGAGTAGGGAGAGCGTATTTTTTGTTGACCGCTTGATTTAAACGTCAAACTAAGCCCATAGATCATCTTGCCTTGCCTTGCCCTGTCTGTCTGTTTGTGCGGCGTTGGAAATAAATGTGAACTCAATCGGAAAACACGGAAATGGCTTGTGGTTTGTGTAGCGAGTCACCAATGCGGAAGCTCCCTCACTTAGCCTCTCAGTGACTTTGTTTTCGTTCCTAGTCACTATAGTTACCATGGCAACAGTCCTGATGGTAACCATGGTGACAGTTCTGATGGTCATGGCAATAAGCCTGATGGGAACCATGGTAACAGTCCTGATGGTCATGGTAATAATCCTAGTGGTTACCATGGCAACAGTCCTGACGGTAACCATGGTGACAGTTCTGATGGTCATGGCAATAAGCCTGATGGTAACCATGGTAACAGTCCTGATGGTATCTGTTAACTGAATGATGAATTCAGCTCCACGATCTGGTATAATGTCTCTGTTGGTGAGCAAAATACAGGAGACCCTGAACTAACAGGATTCTCATAACCATTATATTTGAGCGTCCACAGATCCACATTCATAATTTATAAGTATATTTAAGGTAAATTACATTAAAATGGTCGTTTCCGTTTAAAACTGACTCCTGTCTATCTGCTGCGGTCAGGTCGGTTACAAATCGTTAGTAACATCTGGGTTAACGTAAATGTCAATGATGTAAACTAGACGCAAGAACTGTGAGGTGACATGATTCAAAATACGCAGATTACCGTTTTATACGTTTCAAATGGGGAAAAAAAAACTTACAAACAAAACACCGCAGAGCAGTCGTGATCACAGCTGTACTCTGTCATAACAGCTCTGCATGCTAACGCTAGCCTGGGTAAACGCATCCAGTTCTCGTCACTCAAAGGTAACCACAGAAAATCAAAGACCTCACCTTAAAGAGATCTGCAGTGTCGTGGATTATGTCTCTTCATTCTGTAGTAACCATGAAAATAACTGATAATTGTCGTTGACTTCGCTGCTAGCTTAGGGGCATGTCCCCGATAAACAGTCAGTCCGGATACTATCTTCTTCGTCTGTAAACAGCTGTTTGAAAGAACTCACCAGCGCCACCGCCCAGTGTGGAATAGCCATGACATGCGGTAAGACATTAAATCAATTGTATTTATGTTTAATATGAAATTGATTACATTTATACGGCACCTTAAAAAACAAAATATGTCTGCATCTAGGTGTTTGCTTTACAAGAATAATTAAAACTCCAGAACCTAGTATCCTCTGTTCACGAAACTTCACAAGTTGTGACATGAAAAGGTGATGTAACACAGAGAGGTAAATGTATCCCAACTTTTCTCAATTTCATTGCAGTGGGTCTCTATGTTCTTCAGGCACCTTGTTTGGCCCCTTTCTCGTGTTTCCCCCCCAGCTATGATTGATCACGCTTAATATTAAGTTCTCCCAATCAAACAGGATCCTTGAAGACACCTTAACATGAGCTTTTTGATCTGCACCTGTGATGGCACTTTGTCATGTTTGCTCCACTTGGAGAGCTCCTGAGGACGCACACTGGCCACCAAGACAAGGTTACTCTGTGAGATAGTTAAAGTAAGACAGCCAAACTATCGGAGGAATGTGCTTTGTCTGCAGAGAATGAATAAGTCAATTTCAGTCCAATTGAACGGAACCAAAACAAGACTGTGAGGGAGCAGCATGTCCAAAAGGAAGTCCCATCCCGTGTTTCCGCTTCTTGTGCAACGCTGAAATAGCAATAAGGGGAGCTGCGTCAAGCTACGGAGAGTCACCGGAAACAAGGGTAAAGATGGATCTGGGAATAACAATACAGAGCAAATTATTCGTACAAATTTTAAAACTTGACGACAAAACTTTGATTATCCACCCAAAAAATTCTAATTGTTTACCGTAGCAGTAGTTTTAAAGTATTAGACATGTTTGTTTGGCATAATGGTAAAACACCGTACCGTTGGTAAATGAAGATACTTTATTTTGAAAGGTATTACCGGAAATGCTCAATACTAGCATTTTTAACTTTACTGAGTCAGTTTCTGCTTTAACCTGGATGTGACTGACAGGCGGCAACATTTCATAAAACAAACCAACCTTCGCTTACATCAGGAGCATTTTTTCTGAATCGTGACCAGTTTGGTTCATTTCCCTGCTTTAGATCCTGCAGTTTTAACTGGTTCGAACCGGCGTAGGCTGCTGCTGTTGTGGTTGCAGTCAGTGTTGTCGATTTCGGAGGTCAGAGGGTTTCCAGGTGAGACCAGCACGCCACCAAGATGCTTTCCCCGAGCAGGACCGTCTCCTCCCGGCTGCTCAGGCCGACCTCTTGGATCCCCATCCGGCTTGGTTCTGATGGGAGAGCCGTCAGCACTCTACACAAAGGTACCGACGGTCCCGATGAAGTTAGCACGCTTGTTTAATGTGCGTAGAGAGAGCAGCTAGCATGGAGCTAATCCCAAAGTGACGCAGTTCAGCAGGAGGGCTGGAAACTTCTGACCTGCTTCAAACTATGAGATTAAAACTTTTGTCCTACAGACGAGGGGGAGATATATACAGACATTTAAATACACTAATTGAAGGGCTGACAGCTGAGAGAATGTCATTAAACTGACAGATATTAAGTATATTGTCTATTCTCTATTCCAGTGTTTGCAGAGGTGTTTGACATCTTAACATTTAGGACATTTTATCATTTTTATCAGTATATATGAGTACCATTAGAAGTAGAAGTTGTAGTAGTAAGTATCCAAGTTTAATAAACTTTCTTGTGGAAGCTTTTTATATTGACCTGCAGTAAAATGTGGATTTTCTCAGTATTTTCTCCAAAAGAACCATTAAACACCATCACTCATAAAAGAATACAAGATGTTTTCACGATCAAAATAGTATTTTACATGTATTTCCAAGTCACAACTACTTGTTTTCTGTTTATATATTTAAAGTGTCACATGAAATTGACTGTAAACATATTTCATAAATAACACTAATAACCTTTTGGTGAACTGCGTTTAACATCCTGTTCCTCCTGACCATCTTTCAGAAAGCCAAGCAGACATTGCATCAGCCAAACTTTTCTGAAACATGATTAAAGTCAGCTTGTTTTGCACCTTTCTTGGGCTGTGAGCTGTGGTATTTATTATTTTTGCCAATATCAACACTTTTTTGTCAGATTATGTGAGTTAGAATGGTTGGTATTGATATTGTGAATGTCTTTCATCTGAGTCATGGTGAAGCTTTATAGCACACAACTTTATAAGTACTATATAAAAAAATCTTTGCAGTCATCACTTAAAAGTGTTTGTAACTCTTAATATGACCTTTTTATAGTATTAGAGTACATATTTGCTATTATTATATTGTTTGGTGTTTCCATATCGCTTCTTACTCCACAGAGAGATAAGATACTATAAGATTGATTGATAGATACTTTATCGATCCAATGGGCAATTTCAACCATCCAGTAGCATATGTATGTAACATAGAATACAATTAACATCTTAAAAGCATTATAAAAATAAAAAAAACTTAAAGCAGGAAATCTGTAAACTTTAAAACTTGATCAAACTCTGTTAAACCTCTATAAGAATTAACATTTTGTGAGTATCTTAAAATTCTGAATGAAGAACAGAAAAATAGCAGAGAGAACGGTTCATGAACTTATGAACCCAGCTGACAAATGACTCAGCAGAAACACTCACTGAGAGCAGAGACTCTGATTAATCTGAAGGAAGGAAGGAAGCTGGCTGTCTGTGGGTCTGGGGATGGAAATTAGAATAAAGGGGAAGAAAATGAACCTCTGCTTCTACACTGTCATTTCTGTGGTTTTCTTTTCTTTTGCCTTTTTTGGTTGTGTGTCTCAGAGAGAGGGTTGATGATCCCCACAGTAAATTTCTTAAGCTGTTTCCTTTTATTCAGTCATTAATGGAGATTTATTTGGTCATTTTCTGGTCATTTCTTTTTGAACTACCGGTGAACTCCATTTTTGCTTTTCAGCCCATTGGCACATTTCCCAGATACAAAACCCTGAAGTTAAACTTAGCTCTGAGCTGATTGTTGATTTTAATCAGTCACTACATTAGTCCTGTGAGAGTAAACTGAAGGACATTCCTGAAAGATGTGAAAATGACCAGCAGACGTTTTACCGCTCAGGCTTAAACACTGACCGTGTTCAGGTTTGGTACTCTGTGAATCTCTGATATACAGAGGTATTTCCAGGCAAGGTTACCCCTGTAGAGCTTTAGGCAGTGGGCTGTGTCTTACATCCCCAGCTGTAAAAAGAAACCCTGATGATATCAGGGGACACTTCTGGTCAGTCAAACCTCTGAATGCGTCTTTAAAAGTATTAATAACTGTTTCTGTTGTTGTTTTGTACGGCAGAGTTGATAAAGAAGCAGGAGCTGGAGAAAGATGAACCTCGCCCCCTCTACATGGACTTCCAGGCCACCACCCCCATGGTAACATTGCTGTCAGCCATGATCTGTTTTATTCTCATTTTCCTGTTTAAACTCTTTTGTTTAAATTCTTGGAAAACTCATTGAAGGAGAATGACTATTCATAATAGTTTCGTGGGGATCAATAAAGCTGCAGATTTGAATAAAATCAAGCATGTACAAATAAATTGGAGAAAAATCAGAGAAGGTGAGGGAACAAGAGAGAAAAATGGCCTAAAATCAAGAAGACCGATTAGTGAAAAGGTGAAAGAGCAACAGTTTAAAATCAAATAGATTTAAAAAATATAGAAACTATGACAAAAAAAAAAAAAAACTATGATAACATGAAAAACAAATATGTTTCAGATCAGTGTTATCATGGTTTATGGTTTGACATGTGTGTGTGTGTAGGACCCCCGGGTGCTGGATGCCATGTTACCTTACCAGGTGAATTACTATGGCAACCCTCACTCTAGGACACATGCCTACGGCTGGGAGAGTGAGACCGCCATGGAGACGGCCAGAAAGGTAGAGAGACTTTGACTTTTCATAGACAGTTGAAGGTAAATTTCAACAATCAAAGTTTGTTGATGTTCATTGTCATCATTTCACCAAATCTGACTTAACGAAAGAGAGAGAGAGACTGACCCGTGTGCCCTCGATCCCTCCCTCTCCCCTTCACTCTCCGAGCAGCAGGTGGCTGATCTGATTGGAGCAGATCCCAGAGAGATCATCTTCACCAGTGGAGCTACAGAGTCCAACAACATGGCCATCAAGGTCCTGCCCTGCTTCTTCTCCTCATCATCACTCATTTATTCACTTGATAAATTCAACTTCCTCATATTAGTTCAACAAAGTGTAAATACATTTCCTGATAATAACTGCCTTGAAGCACTCTTCAAAACAAGACATTAGAAGTGCTTTAACCCGGACTAAAGAGAACAGAAACAGCCTCAGAACCCTGAAAGACACTGAAAGAAAATTTCACATTAAACTCACAAGAAAGATGAAAAACATAGAGAACCTGTTTGAAGAACCCCCCTGAGATAAAAATGAAATGATTTACCTTCAGATTGTTTTATTTCTGTTTCCACCTGTAAATGAATGTTTTTCGAACTTAGTTTTTACTCTCTGTAAAATCTCTCTGGTTTTGGATTGTCTGCTGCCTCCTGAAACAATCCAGAGGTGATCGAAAACACTGACATGACAGATGAGCAGGCTGCAGTGATGTGTGATCAGTTTATTCTGTCAAACACTGAAGGACAGCAGTGTGAGAATTGACTGTTTTTAAACCAACTATCCCGGTAAAAAGAGATCAGGTCGGCTGATAGTCAGTATTTAATGCTGATATCACATGTTGTTGTTCAAAACAGCCATATGTGTGTGTTTGGTATTAAAAGAAGGAGGGGTTACAGTTTCCAGTTTATCTGTAAAAACCTCAAACAGATACGACTCAAGAAGGCTTGGTCCAGTATTTACACAGAAGACGGACAAAAGAACCAAATCCAGTTTTGTAACAGCTCAGTGTTACTTTTTTGCAGAGTTGTTTATGTTCTGATGAGGAGGTTAGATGAGACAGAGTGATAACAAAAGCCGAGATGTTCTCTCTGCTGAAAATTCAGCTCAGTTTGAACAGTTCACTCTTTGGTTTTTGGATAAATTCAAGCACCTTCACTGACCTTCAACCTTCAATTGGACCTGTTGGTTTTGTCTCCTGTAAACAACAGCGCTGTTTAAAACACAGCACGCAGTTTTAACCCAGTTTGTCCTCCTCCTCCTCCTGCAGGGCGTGGCCAGGTTCTACCAGAGCAAGAAGCGTCATGTGATCACCACGCAGACTGAACATAAGTGTGTTCTGGACTCGTGTCGAGTTCTGGAGTCTGAAGGTTTCGATGTTACCTACCTGCCAGTCCAGACGAATGGACTCCTGGACCTGGAGGTACACAACCTGAAGAACAGAGACTGGATACAAGTCACATGTGCAGAGATCATACAGACCAACAGAGACTACTGTCGAATTAAAACAACTCTGTGTGTGTGTGTGTGTGTGTGTGTGTGTGTGTGTGTGTGTGTGTGTGTGTGTGTGTGTGTGTGTGTGTGTGTGTGTGTGTGTGTGTGTGTGTGTGTGTGTGTGTGTGTGTGCGTGTGTGTGTGTTTTTGCTCAGATGCTGGAGGCCTCCATCAGACCTGACACTTCTCTGCTGTCTGTGATGATGGTCAACAATGAGATCGGAGTCAAACAGCCCATCAAGGAGATCGGTAGTGTAGTCACCATCATTTGATCTCTAATGCTCTTTGTGTTTTTCAGATTCAGATGTCTTTTATTTCCTTCATCAACATGAACTCTCCTGTCCTCAGGGAAGATCTGTAGCTCCAAAGGCGTCTTCCTCCACACTGACGCCGCTCAGGCTGTTGGAAAAGTTCCCATCAACGTCAGAGACTGGAAGGTTGATCTGATGTCCATCAGCGGCCACAAGATCTACGGACCCAAAGGTGAGCCAGAGCAGCACTGCTTAAGTGAGGAAGTACACGTCACTGTTACACACTGATTACTCTACATTAGCATGCAGAGGATGAGATAAACTAAGAGTCTTTTGTCAACAGAGGGCGCCAAAATCAACAAGAACCTTAAGTTCCTCACAGGACAGGAGCTTTAGATGACACAATATTTGTCCCTGTAAATTATTTCTATTTATTGATTTTTGTCCCGTTATCTGAAATAATTCAGAAATTAACTGTTAAAAAAGAAAAAAAAACACAAGACAAATTCTGGGGTTCAGATTATGAGAACATGTATTCAGGGTGGTTTTAGGCATTAACGTGTTTTAGATGGATGTTAAGGGGCTAATGGTGAATACAAGTCCTCTGGGTTATACTATATAAATTTCAGGTATCTATGTCAGAGTTGATGTGAAGTGTTAAACTGGATTTGTCTAAACATCATAAGAGATTTCTTATTTCAGCCGAAACAGTGGTTCAGTTCTTCAGGGTTAGATTGTCTCCATGCCTGTGTGTTTGTAGGAGTGGGTGCTCTGTTCGTGCGTCGCCGGCCTCGCGTACGTTTGGAGCCTCTGCAGAACGGGGGCGGGCAGGAGAGAGGGCTGCGGTCAGGCACCGTTCCAACCCCGCTGGCTGTTGGTCTGGGAGCCGCCTGCAACATCGCCAAACAAGAGCTGGAGGTAAAGGAAACGCAGCGAAACATCCAGAGACTCCAAACATTTAGATTTACAAACATGCAGAGACTCAACAATCCATTTGAACATAGTATGTAAGTGTATTTCTGTGTGTGCGTGTGCAGTATGATCATCAGAGAGTGTCCATGCTGGCGAATCGTCTGGTCCAGAAGATCATGTCAGAGATCCCAGACGTCATCATGAACGGAGATCCAGAGCAGCGCTACCCTGGTACACACAACTCTTTCACATTAACACGCCTAGAACTCCGTTAAACACCGTTCAACTGTCACAGCAGTGGAGGAGGGTGATAGAGTCCTCTCCTGACCTGTTGTTTTTTTCCAGGCTGTGTTAATTTGTCATTTGCCTACGTGGAGGGAGAGAGTCTGCTGATGGCGCTGAAGGACGTCGCTCTGTCATCTGGGAGGTCAGAAACTAAACTCTTGTTCCTTTGGTTATCAAACTGCACATTTCACAATCAGAAGAGTTTGAAAGATTTTATTTGTGAAAGAATCACGTGGAAAGAAACACCTTCAACGTATTTGTCAGACCTCACGTGTAAAAAGAGGGACATTTGCTCTGAAAGAACTTTGTTTTTATTCATTTGTAACTCATCACAGGAGTTTTTTGGCATGTTTTAGAGATGAATAAATCTTTGATTGTGTTCTTGCAGCGCTTGTACGTCAGCGTCTCTGGAGCCGTCATACGTCCTCAGAGCGATAGGAGCAGATGAAGATCTGGCTCACTCTTCCATCAGGTAAGACTGCAGCAGAAACAGCTGTTTTTTATGTTTTCCACAGCTGATTCATGAAGAGTGTTGCAGACATGAATGGAATAATGAGTTTTTGGGGCCGGTGTGGATGAGACTATGATTGTGTTTGTGCTTCAGCTGAGAGACACACACATGAATATAACTCTGCGTGTGTGTTTGTTTGTGTGTGGGTGTGTCTGTGTGTGTTAGGTTTGGTATTGGCAGGTTCACCACAGAGGAGGAGGTGGACTACACAGCAGAGAAATGCATCCAGCAGGTCCGCAGACTCAGAGAGATGAGGTGAGACCAGCAAGGATGAATGAAACCTGATGTGGACGTACAGTATGAATGATATCCAGTGAGGATAAAGGATTAGATGTTGTCCAAACTCCACCTCCATTCACATTTTCAGCTTCAAAAGTCAAAGCTGAAAATGATGAAGTCGAAATAATCTCCAGTATTTTAGCAAAAGTTGATTACATTAAGACCCTGAGTTTGATACTCGATACTCAACGACGATACTGTTCAATATTTCTGAATATCCACCCTACCCAAAAACATTATTTTGGGTGAATGAATTATTTTAACCTGTTTCTCCCATCGCTCTCTCTCTCTCTCCCTCTCTCTCTCTCTCTCTCTCTCTCTCTCTCTCCCTCTCTCTCTCTCTCTCTCTCTCTCTCTCTCTCTCTCTCCCTCCTCTCTCTCTCTCTCTCTCTCTCTCTCTCTCTCTCTCTCTCTCTCTCTCTCTCTCTCTCTCTCTCTCTCTCTCTCTCTCTCTCTCTCTCTCTCTCTCTCTCTCTCTCTGTTTTCAGTCCTCTGTGGGAGATGGTTCAGGACGGAATCGACCTGAAGAGCATCAAGTGGACGCAGCACTAGACTCCTCCCACTTCCCGTTTACTTCCCAGCTGGCAACAATAATTACAACAATAACAACAACGTTAATGACTCCCAGAGATTTCTGGGAGGAGGACCAGCTTTTTTTTTCCGCACACAAACACGCACAAACTTCCTGTCAGACTTGAAGTCTGTTGGTAGATGTCGCTCTGTCTCTGTAGAAGCTCCTCTAGTTTCTTTCTCAGGAGATGTTGCTCAGAGAGTCGCCCTCTGGTTTGTTGGTTTTGTTTTGTCGCACATCTGTTCTGTGTTTGCCTGAAACGTTGTGAGAGGCTGAGATTCCTCGGTCCTGTATCACAAAGTCAAGTTTTTGTCTGACTCTCTGTGGGAGTATTTTAGCAGTGAACAACTTGCAGTGTTTACTCGCCAGCCTGCAAGTGAGGTGATGTTTGAAACTGAGTTTTAATACATCCAGTTACATATACAGTCATCAGATACAACTAAAGTATTGAGTTTTTTAACTGGGCGGCAAAGTTGAAATATATTAAAAATAACTCAACAATAATACAATAACGTTGAAAGTCCGATTAACAGTAATATATGGTACATACACTCACCGGCCACTTTATTAGGTACACCTGTCCAACTGCTCGTTAACACTTAATTTCTAATCAGCCAATCACATGGCGGCAACTTAGTGCATTTAGGCATGTAGACATGGTCAAGACAATCTCCTGCAGTTCAAACCGAGCATCAGTATGGGGAAGAAAGGTGATTTGAGTGACTTTGAACGTGGCATGGTTGTTGGTGCCAGAAGGGCTGGTCTGAGTATTTCAGAAACTGCTGATCTACTGGGATTTTCACGCACAACCATCTCTAGGGTTTACAGAGAATGGTCCGAAAAAGAAAAAATATCCAGTGAGCGGCAGTTCTGTGGGCGGAAATGCCTTGTTGATGCCAGAGGTCAGAGGAGAATGGCCAGACTGGTTCGAGCTGATAGAAAGGCAACAGTGACTCAAATAACCACCCGTTACAACCAAGGTAGGCAGAAGAGCATCTCTGAACGCACAGTATGTCGAACTTTGAGGCAGATGGGCTACAGCAGCAGAAGACCACGCCGGGTGCCACTCCTTTCAGCTAAGAACAGGAAACTGAGGCTACAATTTGCACAAGCTCATCGAAATTGGACAATAGAAGATTGGAAAAACGTTGCCTGGTCTGATGAGTCTCGATTTCTGCTGCGACATTCGGATGGTAGGGTCAGAATTTGGCGTCAACAACATGAAAGCATGGATCCATCCTGCCTTGTATCAACGGTTCAGGCTGGTGGTGGTGGTGTCATGGTGTGGGGAATATTTTCTTGGCACTCTTTGGGCCCCTTGGTACCAATTGAGCATCGTTGCAATGCCACAGCCTACCTGAGTATTGTTGCTGACCATGTCCATCCCTTTATGACCACAATGTACCCAACTTCTGATGGCTACTTTCAGCAGGATAATGCGCCATGTCATAAAGCTGGAATCATCTCAGACTGGTTTCTTGAACATGACAATGAGCTCACTGTACTCAAATGGCCTCCACAGTCACCAGATCTCAATCCAATAGAGCATCTTTGGGATGTGGTGGAACGGGAGATTCGCATCATGGATGTGCTGCCGACAAATCTGCGGCAACTGTGTGATGCCATCATGTCAATATGGACCAAGCTCTCTGAGGAATGCTTCCAGCACCTTGTTGAATCTATGCCACGAAGAATTGAGGCAGTTCTGAAGGCAAAAGGGGGTCCAACCCGTTACTAGCATGGTGTACCTAATAAAGCGGCCGGTGAGTGTATATTTAAGGTGACAGTGCACAGGTGTGGGATTCTTGAGGCAGTTTTGGACCAAACAGTTTAGATTAATGATTAATGGTCCCGTCTGAGAAGTGAGGACCTACAAAGGATTTGTTATCATTTGCAAACAGCCCATGTAGGACCTCATACAGCCAGCTGTTGGTCTAACAGTGCAGATGAAAAAAATCTGTGTCATGACGTTCTTTTGTGAGAGAGAAATGAGTGTAAAGGAAAAATGGAGGAAAATAATCGAACATACAAAGTTTCACTTTCAAAAAGACTCAAATTTGCAACATTTTGCCATCAAAACATTGCCATTAAATATATGTTTGCCAGTTAGGCTTTGCTTTCAGTAGCACCTGGGTTTGAGTGGGGTATTTGTGCTCTGTAGTGGCTTTCATGGGATTTTCCTGGGTTGGAAAAGAGGCGCCATTGTTGGTTTATTTGTGCTCCTGTGAGGATCTTTTTGGTAGTGCTGATCTTGGCTCTCTCCTGGTCATAGTCTTCTCTGCCGATTTTGTACACATACGTAAATATACATATTTAAGTACCAGTTTATAACACACTGTCTGTCTTTGGGGGTCTAATTGGAAAAATGGTGGATCTGTCAGCCATGACTAATCACCAAGACCCGTGCCAGCCTACTTATTACCTTATTAAACTGAGCATCTTCTATCAGTCCAACAAATACCACAACACAGCAGAACACATATCTGGATTTGATGTGAAGAATACAGCTCACTTTTAAGATGATAAAAAAGCTATTAAAACTGTGAAATAGACTAAACCTGATGGTGATTTTGATAATCTTTTTATTCTAAATTTGCAGCTCATGGAAACAGTAAAAAAAGCTGCTTAGCACAGATGTAAAATAACTTTACAAAGTGATCCCTCTTCTCTCCGACTGTCTTGTTTATTTTTAGATTGTAAAAAGTCACCAGCATTCATTTCCCTCTCTTTTATTATCATGTATAAAATCCTCACGGGAGCTTCGATGCTTTAGGTACCCCAGGTTATCTCCTACTTCATCTGAAAAAGCAGCAGAACAGTCCTGTCATCAGCATACCATACCGAGGATCAAGGATTGTCCATCAAGTGTCTCTACTACTCTTAATTTTGTCATTTTAAAGTTGTGCTTGGTATTTTTTCCCTTTAATTGACCCGTGGAAGTTTTATGACACACAAGACCCAGAGTAAGAAACACAAAGACAGCTGCCCAAACCGCCAATCCTGCTTAGTGATACAGACTCTTAAAAAACAGCCAGGACTCTCAGTGACACGGAAATAAAAAGGAAATATAGGAACAGTGTTTTTCAGATGGGATATTGGATGGCAGCAGACTTAGAGGTTTGGTTTTGAGGATTCACTTATATTCAATGAGTCCGACTTTCTCCCTTGCTGAGTTGTAGATTCTCTCCCGCTCTGTTCATGATTCACAGCCCTCTCTACCTGTTTTTCCTCCCACATCAGCGTCTAGCATCATGTCAGTGTATCAGCAGTTCTCAGTGAAAATCCAGACAATCACAGTGTTAACCATCTTGTTATAAATACTCTGATAAACACAGGAACACTCTACAAGACCCTCGCCTGGACTTAGCTGCTGACTTTGAGGTGGTGGATGGTGAAATGTAGCTTGCTTCTGAAAGTCTTTTAAAGGGTCTTTAAATGTGAATTTCTGTTCCGATACAAGAAGGATTTATTTTCCTGGTCTTATATTCTGTTCCTCGGTTTAGTCAGCTGAGCCTGAATCTGTCTTATTTATGAAACTCCTGCATCTACCGTCTTCTACTGTTACTCTTATCAGACACATTATAACCTAATAAAGTGCTGCTTCATGGATATGCAATAAAGATTTGTTATGAATTGATTTTTCACGTCTTAGTAGAATGATTACATTAAACCATGTAAAATGAAAAGCCACAGTATTTCTCACTGCAGCTTACTGTTGTATGGTTCTACACTTCATTATACTACGGTGGCCCTGAAGTGCAAAACACAACATTTCGCAAAACACAACAACATTTCACAAAACACAAAAACATTTTGCAAAACACAACATTTAGAAATTTAGTGTTTTGAGAAATGTTTTTGTGTTTTCCAAAATATTGTTGTGTTTTGCGAAATGTTTTTGTGTTTTCTGAAATGTTTTGTTTTCTAAATGTTGTTGTGTTTTGCACTTCAGGGCCACCGTAATTATACAGCGCAAGCTAAACAGAAATCTCCAGGATTACTGCACAAACACTTCACTAAACACTCAACTACCTGAGGAAATAAAAACATTTAATTTATTATAATTAAAATAGTCCTTGTTTTAAAATCTCCAGGGTGAATGAAATGCTGCAGTGTCAGAGCCACTACAACCTGAACTGAGATGAGGCAGGAGAAAATACAGAAGTGCCAACACTGAATAAAGTGTCCATGACACCAAAGATCACGGTTATTGACATTTCTAAGAATCAGTGAGGAACATAAAGAGAAAGGCAGTTCATCCATTTTAGTCTAATTAAGACAGCTGTTCAGGTGCTGAAGCCCTCTGCAGGACAGAGAATACATTTATATAAAAGACATGACAATGTGTGCAAAAAAAGAGTTCTGTGGTGGACGCTGGACTTTTTTAATTGTAACTTGACACCTGAGCCCTGCAGGCACGTGTGATGGGTCAAATTTATTAATCAGAATCAGAATCTCTTTATTGTCCCGTAAAGGGAAATTGGTTTTGCAGCAGGGCTCACAAAAGACAAGAACGCAATGACAACATAAATTTAAAAAAGCATAGTACAATTAAAAACATAACAACACAATATCAGAAACACAGACACGAAACCACCCAAAATTCAGTCCAGAGCTCATACCAAAAATGGAGAAAAACTACTACCAAGTAATTAAAAGTGCAATGTGTGCAAATGAGCAATAATAGTGCAAGACAACATGAGCTGCCTGAGGGTCAACTGCTATTCAATAAATAAACTGTACTGGGGATAAAAGAGACCTGAAATCTTTTAGTCCTCCTCATAGGGGCCCTAAAACGACGGCCTGAAGGTAAAAGCTTAAACTCACATCTAAGTGGATGATTGGGACAACCCAGTCAAATTTATTACCCAAACCTAATCTACCCAACAGGCTCTGGGCTTCTGGTTAGGCTTATGCCAGATTTCGAAGCCTGGCTCAGAGGAACAGCTCCTATTCAGCCAAAAGAGTATTAGTGTGATTTAAAACCTCTGTGAGGGATAAATCCTTCCCATTGTGCCAAAACTGCTGCAAGGCATGTGGCTTCTCCGTGTATTTGGCCTACATAGTTAAACTGTTGATGTACAAACTTTTTTGTGTTATATGATGTTTTGATATCTACATATCTTATTTATTATATGTCTGGTAATATGCTTTGCTCTCCTCAACTTTTTTTTTTTAACATATTCAATTAATTTACAAAACTCTCAATGAGAGACAAGTACATGAGAGCAACATAATGTAGAAAGGAAAAGAGATAAAACACAAAACTTACAGCAAGGCCTGCCTTTGGAATTCATATAAAAAGCAAATGTAAATATTAGATAATTAATGATTCATTAAGTTACAAAAGTACATATTTAGAGACATCATCACACAAGTTTTCTAGCTCTAGACAAGAGTCTTTAATTAGTGATAAGGAATCAAAATAAGATTTAAAGTTCTGTTTTAAACAATGCAAGGGATTTTTATTTTTGCCATTTACTTTTATGGATGTGGTATTTACCCATAATTATTTTTATTATATTGCAAATTTTGAAACGTTTGTTTGACATGTTGTAATTTCCTTACAGCACTTGTTCCAATGTCAAGTGTGCAACTTTATCCATTTTAATTTTCAACCAGTTTACTAAATCATGCCAATTTGCTCTGCTCAACTGCCAGGGGGCATTATTGTAATCCAAGAGGAAAAAGTCTCGCGTCATCACGCCTGGTCTCGCGATAATTGCGCCGACATTTCGTGTCGCTGCAACCTGCACAGAGGAGAGGAGAGAAGAAAAGAGCTTCATTCATGACTTAAACCTCTGAGTTTTTGTTGAAATATCTCGGTAAGAATCCAGCAGCGGCAGGCCGCTCAGTGTTACACTCACACCGGGAGTTAAGCATCCTGCTCGTTTCACCGCTTTGACGCACAAACACACACAAAGGTTCCGGACCAGCGCGGCGGCTAACGGAGCGTTAGCTGCTCCTGTAGCTGAGCTAAGCTACGTTCATTGTCTCTGCGGAGGATAGCTAGTTTAATGGACTGTTAAGTGATTTACTGACGGGGTTTGGGTTTTACACAGTGAGTTGTTTCATTCCAAACGGCCACTGTTTTTTTCTGCTCTTGAAACAGACTTTGCTTCTCAGCGAACGACTGTTAGTGTCAGTGCTAGCTAACCGCCGTAATGTTTTCACACATTCTGTAATACACCTGTTTGCACGATGATAAAGTGTGTATATGAGCTCTGAAATGATCACCATGAGGCTGTTTTTTGTCTGTTTCCCTGCGGTTCGTAACCACTGCAGTCTAAACCTCAAGCCTCGCCCCTGTTCTTGACGTCAGTTGTTCGTTACATGAAGAACTGCTGATTGGAACAGATGATTGACAGTTGTCACGGTGACACATTTCTCTGAAAACCCCTTGTATCCACTCCTTATTGCATTTCCTCTGCTTTTTTAGGTTTTATTATGAGTTTTTTCTTACATAACGTAATGTAACGTTGACTTTTAGACAGATTGGTGTGCTCGCAGTTACGCTGCAAGAGTTTGTTGTAAAAGTCAATATCCGAAGAGAAATAACACGCAGTTGCGTTGGAGCATTGACCAATCTCAATAAGTTATTCAACACAGCAGTGTTAAACAAACAAACAAAAATGTGCATTTTGCAATATTTAGCAGAAAAAGGGAATAAAATAAGGTTAAATGAGTGTATAATCACATGAGTGTATGCAATATTTATTTTTGTGTATTCAGAATGAAAAATGAATTTTGTATTTAGTGGGAGGTGTGGAGTGCACCAGATGGAAAACAGAGTATGAATTTGCACTGACAGATGACTGTAATAGACTGTAGACAAAAAATGGAGGATCATACACATGTATCTCAGGAGTTTCGTGTCCTAGAAGGCCACCGCTATACCTATGAGAGGGGTGGGCATGGGAGCACAAGTCCAACAGTAAAATCAAGCAGATTTCATAAATATAAACAGGAGGGGAGGGAAATGAAAACCCATATCGTACAGATTCAGTTTGAGGGTGCAGCTTATTGTGAACTGAATTCAAAGTGACTTCTAAGATCCTCTTTTTGTGGTCTCAAGCCCAGGCAGGAGTTGAGGTGCATTATAGGCTTGTTTGAGTCATCAAACTACCTTGTAACATTATTACCTCAAAAAAAACATCCACAAAAAGAATAGATCATATTGGTCATAGGTCATATTGTCCACTCTTTATATAAACAAAATAAAATGACAAGTATACTTCAACACATTAAAGGCCAATTATACTAGCCAAACTTCTGCAGGGTTGATATATGGACAGCTACTAATATGTCTGTACTTTGAAAAATGTATAAACTAAAAAGGAAACATTAGGACCTCAAAGGATCTGCACTAATGCTGTCATCATCTAATAGTTGATAGGGGCTGTAGTGGCTTTAACTTTCCTGCCAATTAAATCGTTTTCTACGATTGTTTGAAAAATCTGTAATCAAAAAAGTTCGTTTTTTATACAGGGTTGCTTAAAGGAAATGTTTATCTGTAGATGCTCTGTTAATCTGAATTTGGATTGACTGTCTGTGAGGATAAACTGCTGTTGGTAGGAAAGGCAGATTTATCTGTAATGGGATTAACACCATGGCTCCTCATTTAGTTTTAAAGTTCAGTGTTTTGATGGATATTCTGACTTAGATGGATCTGTAATGGAAACAGCATTGCATGGATTCATAACATTTTATGAGTGAGGGTTTGGTGTTTGAAAATGTGTGGGATATGTTCTTCACCGTGGCCCAAGGTTTTACAATGTGTGGCATGAGCTGTGTGGTCTGAACTTCATGACTCCTGATTGCTTTGTCTGTTGAGATCGGGGATTTGCTAAAGTGAAGAGATTTCTCTGTTCTTTCCCTTGAATGTATTTGTCTAAGAATGGCTTTCCACTCAAATTGTGCAGCTTTCCTTGTTGCCATGTCTGGCCGTTGAAGTTGACATGTGCTTGAAGTCAAAGCAGCGGTTTACTCTTTTGTTCTGAATGTGCCGTATTGACGTCTGTGGTCTGTTTGTTGCCCCTTTGTAAGGATATGTTGGAGGATATCTGTTCTCAGCTTTATTTTTGGTTTTCATATATTTTTGATGAGTGTATTTACTGCTTCTATTAATCCTTCTGATCACAATTGAATACTGTTTTCTTGAAAAACATTGCTGTTTCTTCTTTAAATGCCTTTGTTCCTCTGGCTGTTGTCCATGTTTCACACAGACTATGAACAGGTTCAGAACCAGAAGTAAGAGGGTAAGCAGACGTCCACAAACAAGTGATTCTTGAAGAATGATTTGGTGAGCTTACAGACGTGTCAGTGCAGGTGGGATTGATCTTCACTGTTGTTGCAATTATTCATAATTGAGAAAAAATTTCATGATGGACGTTTTGAATGGTGTGTGCTGCAGGTAGCTGCCACACTTAAACTCAAGAATGAAAAGTTATGTGTTTTGTCAACATTTTCAACAAGCAACTACTAAAAGTTGCAGAGTGACTGAACTGTCAGTGTTAAAGGGGTTGTTTATTGTGGAACATACATTACAGTTGGGTTGGGTTGACATAAACTTTTATCAAAACACTTGTTTTCAATTTTGGAAAGGTCTTTGAGGAGAAAAAGAGAGACTTGTCCCTGGGTGATCAATGAACAGTGTCATTATGTAACTTGTTTCTGTGAAATTTTCAAAATTTGAAACTCAGGAAGTTGTTTGAAAGAAAGTTGGTAAGAAAGCTGATGGTTCTGGAGAAAGGGAGGTGTTGCTCCATCTCCTGAGTTAGAAATATGTGATCAGTGTTCTTCAGCGTGTTTTCAGTGCCTCATTTCCTCTTGCTTTTTCTTCTGATCAGCTGCTGACTTTGGTGCTGTGCTGGCAATTTGTGGCTGTTGATGCTCTGTTTTTCATGCTTACGTTGCTCTGATTGTTGTAATGCTAATGTTGCGCTGGTTGACATGATGCTAATGTTGCTCCTGTTCACATGTACCTGAAATTGCTATTTTTGAAAATGTTGATGTTGCTTTCTTTGCTCTGGTTGATAAATTGATGCTGTTCCTCCTGTAAATATGATGCTATTGTTTTGTTGATAATGTTTTGCAGATTTGCTGGTTGAGAGGTTGCTTTGGTGATGGAGCCTCACAGTTGTTGAAGTGCTGCTTGCTGGTATAAGGCCGCTTAAAGATTTAGGAAGCAGCAGGAGCAGACCTGCTCACCTGTGTGTTGTTGCTTGAGAGAACCTGGGTTTCTTCTTGGTGATCACAGGGTGGTGCTGAGTTGTTGATTGGTGGTCATTGACTGTTTGTAGATCAGCATGCTCTATCCTCAGTTCATTGCTTGTCCAAAAAGTTGTTGGTCTAGTTGGTATTTGATGTCACCTTCAAGGTTAGTTCATGAGTCTGTTGTTGTTGTTGAGATTCCTGTGTTTAGCCTTCGACAGTATTCCACTTGGTTGGATAAAATGTACATAACCTAGTGCATTTAATACATGAAACCATACTGTCACGATGATGAAGCACAAGGTGCTGACTGCTGAAAACACCAACCCTCAAAGTAAACATATCTTCAGTTAGAACTTCCAAAGCGTTTTTTTTACTATTAGGTTGAATATCACCCTTGAATTTCAATGTTTTCTGACCCTTTCACCAGGTTTCAGTGCCGTGCAGAACTCCTCTGTCTGTTTAACAGGGAAACTAGACACACAGCTTAGTTTCATTGGTGAGTTACAAGCTGCATGAGATTCATTAAAGTTTACTACTTTGTACCGCATGGTAAACAACAGCAACAGTTACTGTAAAGAACAAAATGCTCATGTCTTCGCTACAGCCAAGGGCTGATTCACATGGTGGTTCTAGTGAATTTTGGGGTCCCCGGTAATCTTAAAGCAAATCATTTATGGTTTTAATGTCATGACTAATTGTTTCCAATTTATCTCTTTTTCAAATTGAGATTCAGACACTTTAAGACTATTTGTTAAAAATTTGCATGAACTGAAGAATACTGTGGACTATAACTTCTGACAAAATGGGTTGCAGCTAACGTTTCTTCTGTAAACTGGTACAAAAATGAGATTGTGAGGCCAACAAGTTTTGCAAACTGTAAAAAAAAAAAATAAACTAAGTATTCGCAGACTCTGTATCCAATTTTAAGTGTTCTGGGCAAGTCAGAGATGGTTAGTTTTCAGCCAGATCACTTGGGCGTCACTTAAAGCGTTAAGAGAGTATGACCCACCAAAGTTGCATGTTTGCTTCTGGAAAAGGTAAACTGATACACTGAGCTTACCAGCAAAGTATTGGTTGGACTCAGCCACTAATGAAATACATAAAACACATATTACCCTGCTGTGTGTTTTTATGGATATGTTGGTGTGGAGGTGGAATATACAACAGGTGACAAATGAAAGGAAAAACCTGATTGCTTTACCCCAGCAATGACAGCATCTTGAAGCTCTGTCATTAATTTGCTGTAATGTGCTGCTTAAATCTGTTCAGAGGCATGAATGGTCTCAGCTACACAGTTCAAGGATGTTCTTGGTGATCAAATTTGTCCTTTGATGAAACATCCTGTTGTCGGGAAAATGAACATCTCAGCAAAAACTAAGATGCAGTTTTTCCTCTCATTCCTCAACTGTTATTCTACAAAAGTTGATTTAACAGGTATCATTTTTCTATTGTTTGTCATGTATTTTTACAGCACTTTGAAATTTCCAAAGACTTAAAGTTTAACAGTTATCCAAGAGTGCTATCTTAATACCCAAATTCCCCAAACCTGTTAAAAACACCTCTGGTTTCCATATGTCAGGACCTAGAAATGGGCATAAAAAAATTCCTGTTTTCCAGGGTTTTTTTTCTAAAAAACTAAACAAACCCATTTTTGTTAATTTTTTGGTAGCTTCTGAAATCAAACATGATATCTTGAAGAAACATCTGGAAACCAATAGTTGTCCTTTTTCTGCTCTTCATCTGATAAAGTGTTGCTTTCTCCCCAGGTTGTAGGGCTGTTGTTTAGCAGTCATTATGGCAGTAGTCATCAGGCTGCAGGGTCTGCCCATAGTGGCCGGCACAATGGACATCAGACACTTCTTCTCTGGCCTTACCATCCCTGACGGGGGAGTGCACATTGTAGGTGGTGAGCATGGTGAGGCCTTCATTGTCTTTGCCACTGATGAGGATGCTCGACTGGGGATGATGCGCACAGGCGGGTCCATTAAGGGTTCCAAAGTGTCATTGTTGCTTAGCAGTAAGACTGAAATGCAGAACATGATTGAACTCAGCCGCAGAAGATTTGAGGCTGGGGCAGGTGCTGTTGAAACAGCTGCATCTACAGCAGGAAATGCTAATCGTCAAGCTGCCACTCCTATCCCCACAGTACAGTCAGGAGCAGGGGGTAGAAGTGGAAGTCATGGCAACCAAGGTTTCAGTAATACTCCTACTTCAGTCACTGCAGCAAGTTCATCTCAGGAGCAACAGAGTAACAAGGCAGTGGCCAGTGTGGTCCCTAGCTTCCCCAACAGCTACAGCTCTGCCCCCACCATCACCACAGCTCTGGCATCACTCAATGCAGGACCACCACCTATTCCTCCACTTCCAAGCATGCCTTCCATGCCTCCCATGCCCACACTACCTACCATACCTGTTCCTCCTCCAGTCTCCTCCCTCCCTCCAGTCCCTACAGTATCCCCTCTGTCCCAAGGACCTCCAGTACCTCCCATGTCCCATCTCCCACATATGTCCTCCTTGCCTCCCTTCAATCCGTCTCTCCCTCCACCTGCGGGACTAGGGTCTGGCCTCCCTCTTGGAACCCCAAATCCTATGTTATTCAACCCTCTTTCCCCCCTTGCTTCCCTTGGCCTACAGGCCCATATGAAGGCCGCTGCTGCTGTTGCAGCAGGTGGAGCAGGAGGAGCCAATCCTGATGAGTTGTTTGTCCTCCTACAGAACCTCCCTTTCTCCTGTTCAGAGGTGGAGGTCAGGGCTTTTTTCAGGGGTCTTGGGGTGGATGGGGTTCACTTAATAAAAGACGGGCAAGGCCGACCCACTGGCAGAGCAATGGTTAAGTTTTTCTCCCCCCACGAAAGCTTTGAGGCTGTAAAGCGGGGAGGTGGCATGATGGGCCAAAGGTTTATTGAAATCACTCCAGGTTCTGAGCGGCAGTGGGCCAGTCTGAGCGATAGCATAACAGGCCTTGCTAGTCACCATGGCAGCAAATCAAATAATGACCAGTCAGAGCAGCTGCACCGTCGGGGTACCTCAGGGTCAGGGACAGGCAGCAGAGACCAACGAGGAAGGTCAAGATCTCCCCATCGACAGGAGTACTGTGTCTACCTGAAAGGTCTTCCTTACGAAGCAGACAAGAAACAAATAAAAGACTTTTTCAATAATTTAGCAATCATAGAGGACAGCATCTACATTGCTTATGGACCCAACGGGCGTGCCACGGGAGAGGGCTTCCTTGAGTTCAAAACAGAACAGGACTACAAAACTGCTCTGGGTGCTCACATGCAGTACATGGGCACTCGCTTCATTCAGGTGCATCCAATAAGCCGGAAGGGAATGCATGAAAAGATCGACAACATTCGAAAACGTGAAGCACAGGGTGATGGCAAGAATCAAGATGGGCTAAAAACTCCCAGGAATTGTGCCCACATCACTAACATACCATACAATGTCTCCAAGAAGGATGTTCGTGCCTTCTTGGAGGGTGTGGGGCTCTATGAGGACACCCTTAAGGTTCTGACAGATAGCCATGGCAATGGATTAGGGCAGGCTATCTTCCAGCTTCGGACTGAAGAAGATGCACGCAAAGCTGAAAGACTGCACCGCCAAAAGCTTAATGGCCGTGATGCCTTTGTTCACCTAGTGACCTTTGAGCAAATGAAAGAAATCGAGAGGAATCCCCCTCCTCAGAACAAGAGGGGCCAACGCAACCAGCACCAGAACCAGAACCAGATGAATCAGAATCAAAATCAGCACCAGCAAACTCAGCCAAATACCCAGCAACCCCAGCTGAACCCATTTGCAGGGATGAGTGGAGAAGAGTTTAATTTTCTCAGAAACACCATGGGGAACCTCAACAGTGCCCCTTTTGTGACTCCATTTTCAGCACCAGGGAATGGACTGGCAGGCCCCCCTCCTCTTCCTCCTCTGGCAGCAGGGTTGGGTGATGTGAACCTGGGAGTGGCTCCCCCACTTGTTGCTGGTCTTCCTGGAGCTCCAATATTGGAGCCCCCGGGCTACCGACCTGGAGCAGCTGCAGGGGCCCCATTTGGCCAGGATGGACTGAGAGGACTGGTGTCCTTTGACAATGCCAATAGGAAAGGAGGTGGTGCTGGACAGACCCGCGGCGGAGGAGCTAACAACAACCAAGGGCGTTCAGGGGGTGGGGCAGCTGGTGGACAGCAAGGCTTCGCTCCAGGGGCTGATCTCCGTAACCAGGCCAACCCTGGGGGATCTAGTAATCCAAATGGCCAGCGTGGTGGCTCCAGCCCAACAATTGTTAAGCTACAGAACATGCCATTCACTGTTACAGTTGATGAAATCATGGACTTCTTCTATGGCTATCAGGTCCTGCCAGGCTCAGTCTGCCTACAGTTTAGTGAGAAAGGCCTGCCAACTGGTGAGGCCATGGTGGCTTTTCAGAACCACGAGGAAGCCGCGGCTGCTGTCATGGACCTCAATGATCGACCTATTGGAGCACGAAAGGTCAAGATAAGTCTGGGTTAAATCCCCTCCCCCCAAAAAATAATCAAACAAACAAAAACTCGACTGTTAATGAAACAAAAAGACTCATACCTTGATCAGCTATCCAGGAACAAAAAGGCCAACAGTTAATGAAACCTTGGACTTAAACTCCACTGCTCCTAGATCATTTTAGATCTTGCCCTGACCAATGACTAACAATTGCTAAAGCTCCTCCCCCACTGTGTAGTATTGAGAGGTCAGCCTCGCCCCTGACAGTATGTCCACTAGGAAGACTTAAATCCAGACTTGGTGCTTTTCTGCAGTTCCTCTACTAACTCTGATAGCACAAAATGTTGGTGATAATGTTTAAGGCTGGTGTCTGTCTGGTTTCCTTCCGACTTTGTTTTCCATGAAGCTTCTTGTCAATACAAGCCCAGATTGGCACTCTGAACATCTATTTTTTTGCTAATGATTGATTATGACAAACTTTGTTGCTGTATGCGCTCCATATGCTGTGCTGCTGTGGTTTAAAATGTACATGCTCTTGCTCTGATGAAATGATGTTGAAATCAACAAAATATTGCCAGGATGAAATGTGTATGCTCTGTTGCTCTGCTAAAACTGTTGCCATATTAAATCTTTCAATGCTCTGTTGCTATATTGAAACTGTACGATGCTTTGTTGAAATGGTTCTACATGCTGCAGAGGAACTCTTTCAACCTCAGTGAATTGTTGTTGCTCTGTTCCTGCGCTCACACATTCTTTCCTGCTCTGGTAAAATTATGATGAAAAGCTTTGTGTCCATGATTAAATGTTTATGCGCTGTTGCTTTGGTAAAAATGCTGTAGAAGATTTTCCCCTATCACATTGAATACTGCTTTGTTTCTGCGATTAAGTCTACACACTTTGCTACTATGATAGAGGTGTGATTGAAAGCTTTATTTTAATGATCATTTTCTTCTGCTCTGTTCTAGTGGTGAAAATAATACTAACATCAAGTTGCTTTTACAGAACCTTCTAATACAATGTCGCTGTAGTAAAATATTGATCCTGTTCTGTGTCGCAGAAGTGCTCCGTTGCTCTTTAGAGGATGTTGGATGGATAGATTGCTTACTAATGTTTTATTTTGAAAATACTGTCTTTTGGCTGTTGACTCTTTCCTGTCACATTTTTGATGTTGCTGTATTTGAGAATGCCTCTCTCTCTCTTTCTTTCTCTCTCTCTCTCTGCCTAATAGGTGATTGACTATAGAAAGCTGAGACAAAGTCTGTAGCTTTTGAAGTTTATTAGGTTTTCTGTTGTATCTATGTTTGATCATGTTTTGGATTTTCCCACTTTCAATCTTATTTTTGTTTCTATTGTCAGTGTGAAAAACTTGTATGATCATGTAACATACATGATGTAGGGTCTTCTCTGCTTTTGGCTAATAAAAGGACATTCCTGATGCTCACCTACAATCAGCTTTTTCTGACTGTCTGCTCCTCACTCTCTGATGATGGAAATTGGTCCTGATTGAATGGGTTTCAATTCAGTGATTTAGCCACATTGACGTCTTCATAGAAGGTTCCCTTTGTTTAGATTAACGGCCTCAGGTGGTGCCATGAGAAGCCTTGTTTCTATTCTTAAGATGTGACCTGGGATGAAAAAGATCAACTTTTTTCCTGTTTTTGAAGAACACAGTTGCTGATGTCTGTTCTGTAGGATCACATCCCTTTTCAACCAAATCACACCTGAAAGCTTTTGTTGTGTTTAGCCAGGGAATCCTGCCATATTAAAGCTCCTGTGGGGAATTTTCAGTTGAAGATTTTGGCCATCTCTGTGGACAAAACAGCACCGCTGATTTAGTCCTGTTCATTTGCAAGTAAGGTATTTTTTGACAAAAATTGTCACCTGATAGTCGAATATATCATTTGTAATCTTTGTTGAGAATAATATAAGCAAAGGTTGTTTATTCAGCTTCTTGTTTTACCCTTTAACACCACTCCACTAGCAATGGTTTTAGATATTTTTAAAAATTGGTAAAGAAAAATCTTAATGACCAAATTATTTACTAGAGGAAAAAATCCACAGTATCTTTGTTGTCTTAAATGTAGTTTCGACAGTTAATATGTTGTCTTTGCTCATCTTTCAGTTTAGTATAGGACTTGAATGAATTTGAAATTTTATATATATTTATTATATATATATATGAACACACTGTACTCACTTTTGGTGAAGTGGGTTATACTCAATAGATGGAACCTAAGTTGCAGAATCATTGGTGTAACTTCTGTTTGGTGGAAATTTACCTCTGCTGCTTTCAGGAAGTGGTTAGCCTCCAAACAGGTACACTGAAACACTGGTTGTGCATGCAGTTTTCAATAAATTAACAGGCTTTAATACAGTCTGAGATGAATAATGCTGTAGGGTCATATTGTGGACCTTGTGTTTGGAGAAAGTATGATGGAGCCCTGATGACAGGTTTGGCCTCTGCACAGGATGAGAGTCTGATCTGTGAGTGAGTATGTGTGGGTGGTTCAATGGTAAAATCACATGGACTGATAATAGACAAAAGGCAGGACCTGCAGGTGAGTGACAGACATACTTTGGTAAAAATGTTTCGACCTGTTCAAAACAATGCCATGAAAACACTCAGTTGTAGTCTATACAAAGTAGTCATAACTCTTACAAAGACTAAAATATCCCAAAATATCTTATTTCAGAAATGAATAATAAGGGAGACAATGGCCTGTAAAAATATATAATGCATTTGATGAATGTCAGCGTAAAGTATGATTTGGTGACTAATATAATGTGAATATACAGATACTAGGATTTGAAATCTCTGTAAGTCAGTACCTCCTAAAATCTGCATGTTTCACCCAAAGACTACATAAAAAATGGCCTGTAGCTTTAAAGCATACTCTATTTAATATCAACAGACTTAAAAGGAATATATGACTCAAATGTTGGATATCAGTACTGTAACATTAGCAAATTTTCAGATGGCAGTAATATTAAAGTAATCCCCAAATGAGACTACAGGAAGATCACGATGAGATTTAGTCAAAATTGTGACATCACCAGGCAGTGGATATCCATAAATATGGCAACAGTGAAGGAGGCTTCCAGAATGTTGGATTGAGAGGCCTAAACAAAGTGTCTAAGTCAGAGACTGAAATTAGGGTTTTCAAAGGCGGCAGCATTTGTTGAAGTGTAAATGATGTAAAGCGGCAAAGAAGATATCAGAGGGGCGATGTAGACACAAAATACCTCCCCACACTTTACAGAACTCCAGTTTCTTTCTGTATTACCTCTTGAGAGGCCAAACTTCAGTGTGCATGTTTGTAAATATATCATCCTCAGATTATTGGATGTGCTTTAGTTAAAATAGTCTGAGTTGGTAAAGATAATGGAGGCTGAGCAGGGTTGAAATGTAGCACAGAGATGTGTTGGCTGAGAGTGAGGATGAAATGATACTGTGTAATACAGCTGAGGAAGAGGTTGTGTAGGAATGTTTGACTTTATGTGTGTTTGTCTTTGCTTAATCAGCAACAACGTATGTGTATGCTGACTGAAATGTTTGTATTGCAGTCTTTATCTGTCTCCAATGTTGTGGAAAACTGCTTCTTTGCTGGCGACGATGGGGTTCTGCTGCAAAGGATGAATAAAAGAATTGCCTGTGGACAGTGTGGATGGCTAGTTTGCTAAGTCTGTCCTGTTCTCTCTGTTGTTACAGCCCTCCATTAAACTATTCAACCTTTCCCGTTTCCTTCCCAGCTTTATTCATCATCCGCCTTACCGCCCCACACACCTTCAAAGCTTTTCGATTTAACGACAGCATTTCTGGCTTGACTGTATGGCCTTTCAACGTAAAAGCACAAAATGTACACAAAATTTAATTGAACTGTGAACTAAGTGTAGAAGTGACACCTGACAGTGTACAGACTGTCTAATCGGATCCAATCAGTTTGACAACATTTATATTAGCTTTAAAATGAATGAATGCCTGAATAGCGTCCTTTAGAAGCGGCTTTTTTTTTGTTATACTATTATTCTGAAGGGAATACATCGGAAGTTTTGGCTGTTGTGCTGCGCATGACAGAAGGCAGAATGTCCAGCAGCAGCTCCGAGTCACAGGGCGTAACTGACAGGCATTCTGTCCAATCAGAATGGGCGTTCGTACTCGCTTGCCCAATCAGAGAGTAGTGGGTCCAACTGCCGCTCCCTTTTAGCTGAAGCTACTAAACGGTGATAAACGGGCGTTTTCTCTTTCAGTTGCGGGTAGAAAGACAAACCAGCTGCGGTAAGTGTTTGTAAAAAGACCAAAAGAAAGGTTAGATGATAGCCACTCAACTCCAGGCGGTGTTTTAACTAACGGACTAGGTTTTCTTTCCTTTACAGCCTGTTCAAGTAGCACCTCATAACCCCTGGCTTTCCTCCCTCCGCTGTCATGATGAATTTACGACGAGTCTGAAAAGTTGATTTTCATAGTTTATGTTGAGACAAAGACGTGTTCATGGGAGAAATGTGTTGGTTTGTATTGCGAGTAATGCGAGTTGAACTGTCTGTGGTTTTACGAGCTCTGTCGTTCTCACGATGGTGATGCCTTCAGGTGCTGCTCGTTCAGTTCATTCAATCATAGAGGTTAGACTCAGGTAACACTGTGGTTACTTCAGGTGACAGGGTCCCTGTTTTTATACGGTCAAAGGTCAACTTGTAGTATCCCTGAAGATTTTAAGCAGAATATAATGTTGAATTTGATCGAATGTGTCTTTAAATAGTTAACTTTCAGGTGAACTAACACAAAGTTTGATCACTTTAAGGGATAGTTTTGATTTTGTGAAGGTTAGATGGGTTTATGATAGTAAAAGAAAGCTACTCAGGACTATTATGATACTTTTAATCACATACTGGATGATGACAGTGTTCCTGATTATGTATGTTTATTTCCTGTTGCTGTTTCCATTTGCTGGGAATTGGAGTAGACATTTAGTCAAACACAACAAGTAATTGAAGTGTAGCCATACTCTAAATTAAAGACTACATATACTAGTAAAAAACCAACTTTCAGACTCTAACTTTCATTTCACTCATCACGGTGCAGGGGTGACAGCTCTGTATTGTAATAACAATTTGATTAGGAGGTCATATCTTGTATCTTAATGCAAATTTTACCTGATTTACGTAAAATTCTGTTGTTAAATTGACCTTATCAATGCAGTATTTCATGCCCTTTGCAGGTCTTTCGAGCCTTTCTTTGCATAGTAAAAAACTTTAGTATTTTCCACTCTTGGCTCCTTTAACTTTATAATTGGTGTGTTACAGTCAATGTGGGACAGGTTAAGCATCCTAAATCATCATATTAAATAGTTTTACAAAAAAAAAATCAGCTGAGTACAATGAAATCTCTGTTCTGTACTGTCCCTTTAGACATGGACAGGTTTTGGACATGTTTGGTCTTGTAACTTCATTAATACAGATGAAATATTAACTTCTGCTGATGCTGAAAATTGTCTGGAGCTTCAGTCAGTTCATTTAGTGTCTGTCTGAGGAGGCTCAGCCTTGTTTGCATATGGAAAAAGATAAAAACACATTGAATATTATCTTAATCGACTTTGACATAGCACTTCTTACACACCATTATGTAAGTTAGATCACACTATCAGCAGCGCTCTCAATGCTCCCACTGGTCAGAGAAAGTGATATTTTACCACATTACAGACTGATTGTGACATATTGAGTTTGGCCAGGCAGTAAAATCATTTTCAATAATTGTTCTGGGTCTAAATTTGGCATGAATAAACCTGTAAATATACAACAGTATTATTTAAAGGGATATTCTGACGTAAAATGAAGGGAGGGTTAAACACACGGTAACACCGAGTTAGACACCCCGTCGAGAGATGAGTGTTGCTGACTGCTTGCTCCTTTAGTTATACCAACTTTAGTAACGACTGCAGATAGCAACACAGAGAGCCACGCGCTCAACCAAAAAGCCACTCTATAGCCACAAATAACACTCAGAACAGCACCTAACTTCATCAACTGTACATACAGGGTCCCAGCCACAGCACTAACCACCAAACATCTTTTTAACTTTGCCTGATTTCTTTAGCAAAGAGACTAAAAACAACGCACCTACTCTCATCCAGCAACCGCTTGTTTGTACGGTGACCTCCGGGTGAGTCCGTCGACTGCAGCGGGGTGACGCAGCTCAAGGAAAAACATTTGTTATCATTTCCTGATGGAAATGCAATCAGACCGAGACGCTAAAGCAGAAGAACTACCACGCCTGCAGTGCAAAATGATGATTATTACTTCATGGAAATGATAAATTAATGATCATTAATAATTTTTAATAATAATTTCAATAGCAAGACAGCTACAAGATAACTGCTGGGTGTGTGCAGGCCATCCAAGTAATCTGTAATAAAACAACAAACATCTCCAATATGTCGACAGATTTTTTAAAATGGAAGAAACTGCTCATGCTTTTAATTTTCTATCACTGAATTTATGTATTAAATATGTTTGTCTTTGCTTTTTGCTTCTTCCAGCTGAGAAAGTTAATACTTAAAAAGGTGCATGGCCTTGTTTTCAGTGGGATTTTGCTCTATTAAAATATAAACACTACTTTATTTTTCATAATCTTTAAGTTACATGTTTTCTTTTAGCAGTGGTAGTGGTTATTTTCAGTGGTAGCTAATTGTCCAGAGTGCAGAACACTGTTGCTCATAATCCCCTATAGCCAAAAACAGCATCTTTTCATACATTCTTCCTCTGGTGCACCTGTAAGTCAGACCCCACCTGATGTGTCTGATGACTCGGCTGGTTCAGAAGTGGTTGTAGATGGTGGTAGTGTTGATTGTAGTTGTTGTCATAGGGAGACAACACACTCCTCTGGACCAATCAGAATTGGTTTTGTGGCTGAAAGCACCAGGATGTGGTTTCATTCTGGAACAGATGTGTCTGAAGTTTTTACTTTATCATCTCAGAAGTGTGATCTTGAGAAAAAGATAAATTATAAATGTCAGAAAACACTTAATTTTGGTGATCGCTGTCCACTCTGTGATGCAAAGCAGAAAGGATGTTGTATTAAAAGCTGCGGTTATTACACAAGACACATACTTGAGTTTGAAACCCGTCAGACTCAAACCTCGACTGTATGCAGTTCATAAAGTGCTGTAACATCGCTGTGATGTAGCAGATTTATGTTTCAATGTGATTATTAATAACTTTGGTTGTAACCTGACCTTTGCCTCTCCTAACCTGAGTCCTATTCTGCACTCTCTCTCTCTCTCTCTCTCTCTCTCTCTCTCTCTCTCTCTCTCTCTCTCTCTCTCTCCCTCTCTGTCTCTCTCTCTCTCTCTCTCTCTCTCTCTCTCTCTCTCTCTCTCTGTCTGTCTCTCTCTCTCTCTCTCTCTCTCTCTCTCTCTCTCTCTCTCTCTCTCTCTCTCTCTCTCTCTCTCTCTCTCTCTCTCTCTCTCTCTCTCTCTCTCTCTCAGATGGCGACTGACTGCATCACTAAAGTGGAGCTGAGCGTCTCCTGCACTGACCTGCTGGACAAAGATGTCGGCTCAAAGTCTGATCCTCTGTGCGTGCTGCTGCAGAAGACAGGAGACAAGTGGACAGAGGTGGGATTTCAGGTCTCCGTGTTATAATTTAGTTTTTATTTGAAAGTTTAAACATCCCTCAGTTATATCTCTGTGTCTCTCCATCAGCTTGGTCGCACCGAGCGCTTGAATAACACCTCCAGCCCGTCCTTCAGTCAGCGTCTCAAAATTGATTATCACTTTGAGACCGTTCAGAATCTGAAGCTGGGGGTCTACGACATCGACAACAAGAGCGCTGACCTTGGCGATGACGACTATCTGGGAGGGGTGGAGCTAACACTGGGACAGGTATGTAACACGCCAAAACAGACCAGATTTTTGTGTTAAATCAAACTTTGAGAAAAGAAAAAAAACAGTAAAAAGTTTGTTTTGCTCCATTTGAAGGCAAACTGTAAATCACAACATGTCATTGTGAGTCTTCTGTTGTAATGCATACCATGATATTGCTCAGATCTACTGTAACAGCTCATGTATGACTCAGTAGGAGAGTGAGTCACTCTGTTTGGCTTAAAATCATTTCACTATTGAGTAATGTTGAAAGTATTCTTTCATGTAACCGATAACAACGTCATCACTAAGTTTAAAAGTAAATGTAAATAAAAATCTCTGTATTCTTTCACTGATACCAAAGATACAGCCTGAAAATTTCCTCTTTTGCTAGAAACTATTTCAAGATCTTCAAATTATTTAGTTTCCAATGATCTAAAATCAACACAAGCAGCATTTTCTTACATTAAAGAAGTTGGGTGGGAATTACTTTTTCTTAAAAATATCTCTGGTCATTAATTACAAACAAAAAATAACTACAGATTGATTTTCTATCAATTACTCTATATGATAAATGATTTACTTCATTTTTAGCTCTTTATTTAAAATTAGATTACTCTGCGGTGTTTCTCGTGTATGATGTAGCATTAGCTCCCTCTAGTGGTCAGATTGAGTAATGTCACTTACTTTCTGTATTTATCTAATGAAAATAGAAGAAGTCAGCGCCTGAATCTGTCACAGTGGAAGAGGTTGTTGATTACAGCAACAGCCGCACTGAGGGTGTGTAAACTAGTAAACAGTTATTCAGTTTAAATGAAGTAAACACGGTAACCAAAGTCCTTCTGCATAACCATAGTGTCTTTAAACTTAATGCAGAACCTTAATAAAATTCAGATTTGGGCCTTAGAATTCCTTCATCACAAAAAAAAAGCTTAAAGTTGTAAAGATATTCAGTGCTACTATATTTCACTGCAGCACAGATGCATGATGGGAGTCTGTAGACACTGCTTCAGAGACTCCTTCTGTTTGTATTGTAGATAGTTTCAAGCAAAACTATCACCAGACCTCTGCAGCTGAAGAAAGGCAAACCTGCAGGGAAAGGAGCCATCACTGTAAGTACAAAAAGAAGTGTTTGAATGACTGTGTAGTTGTGCAAAGATTGTTTATTGACATTAAGGTTTACTTTTTCATGAATACTTTAAGCTACATTAAGGTGCACTGACAATCCTGCTCTGTGTGTGTGTGTGTGTGTGTGTGTGTGTGTGTGTGTGTGTGTGTGTGTGTGTGTGTGTGTGTGTGTGTGTGTGTGTGTGTGTGTGTGCAGGTTTCAGCAGAGGAGATTAAGGACAACAGAGCCATTGAGTTAGAGTTTGAGGCTAAAAAACTGGACAAGAAGGTAAACCTGCTGCTCCTTATTCTGTCGTTTTTAAATTCAACAATATTTTTATTCGTCCCATACAGATATACACCGGAGACACATCACAAACACCCCCTTTCCCTCAAAACCCCGTCTGCAGCTGGGTATTTCTACAACTTTGTTTAAACAACAAATTATGGAGCTATAACAAAAAATAGAAAAATAAATAAATAAATACATAAATAAAAAAAAATTTAAAAAATTTGTCTAGGGGATTGTTATTCTGTCGTTTTAGCATCCTCCTGAGAAATCAGCACTTTGTAAACCGTCTGCTTACATTAAGAAATGCAGCAGATTTGTATTATTATATTTCGGGATATGATAGGAGTTAATTTGTTGCTCATTTGTAAGAAATCGTGTTACTTGGAAACAAGACTGTAAACGAATTATTTGCGATGCGCTGAATGAATCTTCCCTCTTCTGTGCAGGATACGTTTGGGAAGTCTGATCCTTTCCTGGAGATTTTCAAACAGGGAGATGATGGAAAGTGGCGTCTGGTCCACAGGACAGAGGTACGCCGGCACACTTACAGACACAGTCCTAAAACATACTCATAAGATGAATCAGCCTTTTTTAATCGCTCAGGGGTGTGAGTTTAGAGTCTTTGCAGTACTCTTCACAGGATTGATTTAGTGGAGATGGTGTCGATGGTTTTTAACGTCTCCTGTGTGTTTGTGTTTGTAGGTGGTGCAGAACAACCTGAATCCCACCTGGAGGAAGTTCACTGTTCCTCTACAGACATTCTGCAGCAGCGACCTTGAAAGACCGTTGAAGGTATGACCAATCAGATTTCACTCTCACTCCAAACAGTCACTCAGACTGCGTCATGAATTAAAACATTTCCGTTTCCTCCTGCAGGTGGATTGTTCCGACCACGACAGTGACGGGTCTCATGATTTGATTGGTTCCTTCACCACTAAGGTCTCTGAGCTGCAGAAAACGGCACACGGTTCACAGGTGAGTCTGCAGCTCATAAATACGGCCATCTTTTTTCACACTTCATGAGTAATGGTGTGGTTCAGCTGATGGTGTGCTGTCCTGCAGGTGGAGTTTGAATGCATCCACCCAGAGAAGCAGAAGAAGAAGAAGAGTTACAAGAACTCAGGGGTTGTCTCTGTGAAGAGCTGCAAGGTCAGGGACTAGAACAAGTGCTCGGTTCAGTGTAAAAAAACAGTTGTGGTACATTCAGTTCTGATTTACTCTTTATTATCCGATCAACTACCTCATTGATTATAGATGTTGTTTTATAAGAATAGATGCACCTCTGATTTAAACTCTCGCTCTGTGTGTCATTGTGCGTCTCCGTGTGTCTGCAGCTGGTAACTCAGTACACCTTCCTGGACTATGTGATGGGCGGCTGCCAGGTCAACTTCACTGTAAGCCAATCAACACAAACACATGAATGATTTCATTATTCCAGTAACCAGTGAAAATAACTACACATCTACACAGCGTATCAACAAGAGGTGTGTGTTTGTTATTGATCTGTGGATAAATGAATGTTGATCTGATTTCTGCAGGTTGGGATCGACTTCACGGGCTCTAACGGTGATCCTCGCTCGCCTAACTCTCTCCACTTCATGAGTCCAGATGGGCTGAACCAGTACCTGTCTGCTCTGTGGTCTGTGGGTCAGGTGGTCCAGGACTACGACACGTAAGTTCACACCTTGAATAAACTCATTCTTGTAAGCTTGTTGTAAGCGCCCTGAGCTCCAGACTCGGGACTCTGAACTCTGTTATCTTAATTCTGTTGTGTTCACCTTTTGGGTCCACCTGGAAACCCAGAACCCGAATTTTACAGCCTGAAACTAAAACTAAAGCATCTTTATCTTATCATTCAGCATTTCCAATGTTTGTGTTTCCTGTTTCAGCGATAAACTCTTCCCAGCGTTCGGCTTTGGTGCCAAACTGCCTCCAGACTACCAGGTCAGCTCTCTAACGAACCAATCAAAACACATCATCCCGTAACCTCAATGAGGCACTTCTGTGTTGGATAATTTTCATCTCTTTTCAGGTCATAATTTTGTGATGTGGTAAAACTAAATTAAGTTTGAGAAAAGCAGAAATTTAAAAGCAGATCACGTTCAAAAAGCTGCAGATCAGAGATGATCGGACTCTGTAGTGCTTTGATTTATTCTGGTCTGTTGTGTTTTTGATTCTGCAGGCTGCACACCACGAGTTTGCCCTCAACTTTAACCCCACAAACCCCTACTGCCAAGGTACACACACACACACTAACAATTATAATAATAATAATAACACTCAAATATTATAGGTAAATGGACAAAATAATAGAGGTTACAAACAGATACATAATTTGTATGTGAGTTCAAAAAGAAAAGGTTTTAATCTGTGAGTGTAATCCCATTATAAGTGCTCAAAAGTCTTAACTACAGAGGTGCCAGTGTCCTGTATACATCTTTAACTGGTTGACTCTGCTTGTATGTTTGGATGTCTCCAGCTGTTCCACTTTTCCTAAAACATGTGAACCTCCATGAAAACAGTCCGTCTTCATTTCTCTGGGTCTCTTCCTCTCAGGTATTCAGGGCATCGTTGAAGCCTACAGGATGGTTCTGCCTCAGCTCAGACTCTCTGGACCAACAAACTTCTCTCCCATCATCACTCATGTCTCCTCCATCGCTGCTGCTGCTGCACAGAGCAACAACGCCTCTGTGAGAACACACACACACACACACACACACACACACAAACACACACACACACACACACACACACACGCATGCAAGTAATAGATACACTCAGAATCTAATTCATGCGCTTGTGTCTTTTCAGCAATACTTCGTCCTCCTCATCCTCACTGACGGTGAGATCACCGACTTTGACCAAACCAGGGACGCCATTGTCAGGGCGTCACGTCTTCCTCTGTCAATCATCATTGTGGGGGTGGGACCAGCTGACTTCAAGGCCATGGAGCTTCTGGATGGAGATGACGGCAAGCTGAAGTCGACCGTGGGAGAGGCCGTCGCCAGAGACATTGTCCAGTTTGTCCCCTTCAGGCAGTTCAAAGATGTAAGAGAACTTTTTAAAGAGTTGATCACAGATGAGACAGTCAGCACTGAGATAAGACTTGCATTAACTTTACCCCTTAGATACATTATGATTCATATAAACTTCAGCGAATATGACATTTGTCATTCTTCAAATATCACTTTTTTATTCAGTCTGAAAAAGTGGAAGATGAAGTTTCAAAAGTTTCACTCTTAAAAAGCTCTTGATTAGATTTTGAAAATTTATACTCTCAAAAGATTTTAAAGGCTGAGATAATTAAACATCTTAAAGTCTTCCATAGAACGTTTAAAGTGAATAGCCTTGCTCAATTCTTGTATGAGATTATTTGAATTTTAAGTCTTTTTCCAAATGTCTTTGAGTAGATTTTGAAATTTCAAAGTCTTGAAGTCAATTATTGGATTTGGAAAATGTGTGGTCTCAAAAAATCTTTGAAAATTTTAAAACTGAAGAAGTCTTGAGTGAGATTTTAAAAAGACTTAAAAGTCACTGAAAATAAGAAGTCTTGACATTTTGACGCACGAGTCTTGGAGGAGATTCTTGGAGTTTCTCATCTCTAAAAATGTGTAGCAGGGCCTTTGTGAATTTGGATTTTTTAGAAAAGTATGTTCAGTCTTAAATAGTCTGATATATTTTGAGTTAACAGTTCATCAAACGTAATAATTGTATTTTGAACACATAGAGTCTTAAAATCTTTCAAGATATTTGATTTTATGATCTTGTTGGTGGTCCTGTGGTCCTGGTTCTTAGATTGCACTCTAGTATCTAGTGAGAAAAACTATCTTTTTGTGGATAAACACGTTCAGGTGACACTTCATGGCAGTCATTGTTTTGCCCATAGTCTCTAAAAAAAACAGCAGAAAAGTCGGAGATGAGAAACTTTGAAATCGATGAAATTTAGCTTCAGGATGAAATGCATAATGACGATGTGATAACCTGCATAATATGCAAAGACACTTTGAAACTTTGCATTTACTGAATGGTTAAAGTTTAGACATGTGACCCCTACCAGGTTCATAAAGGGCTTCTCACCTGAGAAAAGTTCCCCAGATTTGCTCCAGTGTAGCTCTAACTCTCTCCTTCTCTCCTCAGGCTCCCGCGGCAGCTCTGGCTCAGTCCGTCCTCGCTGAAGTTCCAAACCAGCTGGTCTCTTATTTTAAAATGAGAAAGCTGGATCCATTTAAACCACCAGCTGCTCCCAAATCCTAAAACCAGCCCCCAAACCAAGCACTCCCTCAACCAATCATAACGCTGGAAGCCCTCAATCATACCATTCCAGGATCAGACCACTTTGACCACAACTATAGGATCAATCTGATGACTCTCAGCCAATCACAGCACTGAACTCCCAGCCAATCACGACGCCTTTAGCACCTTTCCTTGATTTTTATAATAGTTTTGTTGTTGTTGTCGTATTATCACTTTGCTTTTAGATTTTTCCTTCAATCAGTAGAATTATTTTATAGCGTGTAGACGACTGATTCTATCTGCTGCTTCTGATCTAACTATGCAAATAACAAGTTTACTAACATGTGCAGCAATCATAGAGCCGCACACACAAGCACACACAGGAAGGATAAACTAGTCTTATGTTTGAGACTGAGATTTCTGACTTAGACCATCATAATTAAGCAGCAGCTAGTGGACAGTAGAGGAACTGCAACCTGTGCTGACACTGTGCACTGTGTACCAGGTGAGTTTGTGTGTGTGGCTTTGTTTAGCTTTATTCAGGTAGTGATACTTTGCACTTTTCCTTCGCTCTAAATGCTGGAAACTTGTATATTATGATTGAAAGTATTTACTTTATCACAGCTTTAATTCTGTAGCCTTATTATAAACTCTGCTGTTGCCTTAATCCCAGCCTGACTTTGCACACTGCTTCCTGAACTTTCAGCTGTCCTCCGACAACTCTCAGTGGTCTGTTGATGCTGCCATCTTGGTTCCCAGACAAAACCTTGTTACATGCAGTTAAAATAGAAATTTAAAGTTTTGATCACGCAAAAATTTTCAGAAAAGACGAAGGTGTCACTTGGTTTTAGCTGCAGAGCGCCAAGTGTCTCCCTGCTGCAAGCAAACACTAATATCATCTTCAGCCGCTCGATAAGGAAAGTGAAACGGGGATTAGAGCCATGTTGTTAAACTGAGCTTTCCACTGCTCTGCTGTTCTTACATTTAAGTAATAATCCACAAAACTGTTCAAACATCAGGCTTAGGGATCAGACAAATCAAGTCATTGCAGTGATCCATCATGAAAAATGTCTTTGTCATTCTGTATTTTATTAAGTAGGTGAGGCTTGGTGAGAGTTTGCTGACTGCTTTTGAAACCCTGAAAAGTTTATTTTTAGCCAAGAAGCACTGATATGATAATCATGTGTTGACAGCTGATGGGTTCAAAGTTTGTAAAAGTAGTACTGATGTCTCAAAGTGAAGTGCCTTTTAAAATAAGTTATCCATTTATCATACTTAAATGGGAGCCAGCATGGCAGCTTTAGACAGAAAGAGGTCATGTGGGCGTAAAACCCAGAACGGCCTTTATATCCTCACACTGTGTCAAAAAAGTGTCAAAACTCATGTTTACTGCTGCAAAGCCGCAGGTGTACTGCACACATGCACTTCTCATTCATAATTTACTGCCAAAGCTTCATTTGCAATCACATTTGACCTCTTAGAAATGACCAATTTAGCTCTTGACATTCTGGAAAATGTGTCAAAGTTTTAGTCATTTGTTTTGTTTGCTTGTTGGGGTCCATACTTACTCAAAGAAGACTTAACTGTGGTGTTTATGAATGTCAGAAACATTAATGTGGGTATATCCAACAGATCTGCAGTCAAAGATCGCCTTAAAGCAGTCTTCACAGACCTGAAGCAGTTAAATTCCAAATTTCTGCTGCTGTAATTCTTCAACTAGAGAAATCTTTTCTAAGTTTGACCAAGGAAAGTGTCATTTAACTCTTTAAAGTGTAATTTTCATTTGAAAGCCTTATTAAAAGCTAATCCAGAGGACCAGGACTTCTCTTTTTTCATTCTGTTTGCAGCGATATCTTGCATATTGAAGTGTGACCCTGCCGGGCTGTCATAATGTTTTCTTTATTATTTTTTTATTGTTTTAAATGTCAGTGTTCAATTTAAAGGGAAATCCTTTTTCAGTCATGTGGATCAAATTGTTTCAATCCTTGAAAAAGTTGAAATTGTAGCCAAAATATCTGCAGTTTCATTTTCAGACGACATGACTCTACTGTCACTTGAAAACCGTCACATGAAACTGTTATGCCATGAAGTATAAATGAAACTATTCCAAGTGCTGAGACCAAGAAGAAGAAGCTGCTTCTGCTTATCCTAAAGAACTACTTCTCCTATCATGCTTTGCTCACTGTGATTCCAAAGCCTTCTTCTTCTTCTTCGCAGAATGTTTTTCAGTTTTATTTTTGTTCAGCTAGTTGAGTCCCGGCATCATGTGACCACCGGCTCCATGGCTCACCTGTGCAACTAAATACCACCAATTAAACCAGTCTAACCAGTAACAGCGTCCCTGTATGAGCTTTGCCCATTGAAATGAAACAATAAATAAACTGGTAAGGAAAAAAAAAGTCTGTGATTTATTCAGTCCTCTGTTGTGCTGATGGTAACTCTTCTCTTTTTCATGCTGTGTTTTTTCTTTGTCACTCTGCTTGAGTAAATTTTATTTTGTTTTATGTATAACATACAGAGGGATACTTAAAGCTACAATGAAGAACATTTATTTGTGTGAATTTTGGTGTCCCTGTGAAAAGCAGTGTGGGTGATTTTATCCTGTACATGTTGGGGAGTGTTTCTTAAAAACATTTGAATCGTTTTGTGTCCAAAGGCTGTATTTGCAGTTGTTCACTTGGTCTGAATCCTAAACCCTGCCAGTAGTTTCAGACATTAAAGATAGTCATTTAGAAATAGTCTCTCTTAATTTTGATGGCCATGTTATGCTCTTTGTGAGAGCAACCCTAACCCTAACCCAACAAGTTTGATTTACTTTTATGGCATAATAAAATTTCTTACCTGAGCTTAAACGCTGTCCCATGAAGAAGCTGACAAGAATCTGTTATTAAGGAAGTATTACAAACCACAATAATTCTGGATAAAACTATCATTTGTATTTTATTTATTTCTTTATTGGTGTTGATAAATTGTTGATCAATTTTGCCTAAATCCTTCATTTAGTGTTATGTTTCTTAGTGTTTGTGAGAATACAGCAGCGATGGTAGCGCAGCGCCCTCTGCTGGGCCCCTGCAGACTTGAGTGGGGCCACCTCTGCATCCATTCCAGGTAGGTGAACTTGTAGTTTTAATGGTCAAACACGTTTGAGTCAATTATTTTTGCGATGAAAGTGATTTTTACCAATGAAATGTGTTTGGAAGAGTTTCAGAGCTCAATATCGATCAATTTCTAAACGTTTTGTTTTAAAGTAATTCGAGTTCATTACGGTGTTTTATTTTGCTAGCTAAAACTGTATTTTCAAGCTCTGTGATGAAGTTTGCTAACAGCCGGATAATTTAACGTCTTTTTTCCTTTATTCTAGTGATGCTGGAGCCATTACTGTAGAATAGGCTCTGACAACTGCGACCCTGTATCTATTCTGCTATTTTTTCTGGTACAAATGTGATTTTATTTACTGTTATAGTCAGTCTGCTGTTTAGTGTTTACATGTATTTGGTTAAGCTATTACTACAGAAGTAATAACATTACCATTTATGACCAGTCCTTCAATATGTAAAAGAGAAAGATGGAAATCTGCATAAATAAATAATTTTTAAACTTAAAATCATCTTTAATCTTTAAATAACCTGTTAATGTCTTAAACTGGGAAATGGACGAGACGATGTGTAGTGAACGGGTGGTTATGCAAATTAGAGTCCCTCAGGGTGAGAGGGGACCCCACAAACTGCATTTGCATGACTACCCATTCATTATACACTTTCTCTTATTAAATGCGAGCCCTTTTTTCCCAGAATTTCGATTGTAATTGAGAGGTTTTACAAAGTTTTAACAGTGTAAACAAATAGCTTCCACCACAATGTCTGTCTGTCTGTCTTCTCTAAGAAGGAAACTAGTTGTGCAACTTTGTTTGCCTTCTCAAACATTGGAGGGACCTGCCTTAACAGACACACACTGTACACACACTTAACAAGCTCTCATCCACAGTTATGCACACTCTAAAACACACACACACTACTGCAGGTACCTCCCATCATCTTGTCAAACAGAAAACACACACAGCACTTAGTTTCCAGCTGCACAGGAGAGAAGAGAGCAGGCAAGAGGAGAGAGGAGACATCATGTAGAGGGTCAGACAGGTGAGAGCAGGTCAGCAGGTGTGTGAGGTATCATCATGTCCATCACTGTGAATCTGAGAAGGATCTCCAACCTGCCGGGACGATACGACAGGAAGGTCGAACTCTGCTTCAGAGGTTAGTACCTCACACTCACACTCACACACCTGTATCTACACCAAGAAACAGCCTGAGAACATCAGCTCTAAACCTTCAGCCTTTGGTTGAAATAACACAGATGATTTCACTGTCTACATGAGATTATTCTGTTTTCCCACTTAAATATAGTGATTATTGTACACAAAGGTTAGCTGCTGCAAAATAAAGTTTATTTTATGAACGAAATATACCACACTTTAAAAATTCTCTGTAGTAAACAGCCTTTACTGTGAAAGTTGAACTGTATTGACCTGAATAGAAGAAGACTTTGATTCTTACCCAAAAACACCTGCAAAACTATTTTTTTAAATGATCTTTGAGACTGAAGTTTTACATCTAGATTGAAAAGATTTAGTCACATGTGTAAATGTAGCATTGATGGCACAAATGTTTACCATTGATACTGTAAAATTGAAATAACCTCTAGTTTATAACTTCTTATCTGGCCGTAATAAAGCAGAAGTAGCAGAAATGTGTTGGAGTGTGCTAAAGTGTAAAAAAAACTTTGTTTTTTTAGCACTCAAGTTGATAGTTTCCCTTCATTATTTGTTGTTGAGCTCATTTAAAGCTCTCCACATCCTTCTGTAAAGTTTAATCTCAGTAACTGATCATTCTTTATCAACACAAGATGAATTTTCCAGAAGGGATTATCTTCTTTCCATGAAAAGTAAACAGTAACTCCACCTGTTAGAGAGATATAAAAACAGATAATAAAAAGCTCTTTAAAACACTAGTGAGTGGATAAAGGTGGTGTTTTTTCTCTTATCTTTAAAACTGGAGTAATGTTGATTCTCTTGATTGTTGTGACTCTGATGTTTGGATGAATGAAACAGAAACATGTTTTATTGTCACTCTGCTGGAGCTCGATATCAAGACAAAGATATAATTCAAAGACTTTAGATGAACTTTTTGGAGAAGATTTGAACAGATAGGTAGTGGTACAAAGTTACTTTAGATACCTGACTGTACTCAAAGACAGCCTTAAGTTAGCTTTATACCACAAAAGAGATGAAGATCTCCACATTTTATACTTTTTCATAATAATTTCGAGCTTTGGTTGGGTTATCTTTACCAACTTTTAAAACTGTTTCAGTATAAAATCTTTTTCTGTCCTTCAGGTTTCACTCATAAAACCAGAGTCCTGAAGTGTGAGAATGTGGCCATCTTTAACGAGGTCAGTGCACCAGACTTACACTTGATTTCTTAAATAAATAATATTTGTAATTTACTGTTTGTTATTTGTGGCCATTATTATTGATAGGTGGTTATCTATTTACGTGTCATAACTAATTTTCTGTATTTATTAATTATGTTGTGTCCTCGTTGTGTTACCTTGTACCATCCTCCAGGGTGTCATACTTTATCCTTATTGTATTGTGAAGTATCTTGTTGCCTTTAATTGTTCTGCGTTTTTGTATTGTATTATTTGGTAAGACCATGAAACACCTCATACCAAAGCTTACTAGTGTCATATTGTATAGTACAGTCCCATCAAGTTAAATTTTGTTAGGTGTCATCTATTCTGACCAATCAGAGCACATATATAGGTGATGATGTCATCAATTATCAGAGGATGCTTTAACAGAGTTGACTGAAATCCCAAACTCCTCTCCTTTAACAGTGTGAAAAAACCTGTGTGTGTGTGTGTGTGTGTGTGTGTGTGTGTGTGTGTGTGTGTGTGTGTGTGTGTGTGTTACAGCAGGTAGCTGTTTGTCTGCTTCAGATTGAGAGTATTTTAATAGAGCTGATAGGACACTGTACCACTCCTACAGTAAACTCACAGACACACACACACACAGCCGCTCCTTTAACACACTTGAACCTCCAGCTGATGTGATTCTGTTTATTCTGTGAAACTCTACAGGGACTATCAGGACTCCTCCATAGAAAGCTGTACACATACAAAGAACGTGACTCCTGTTTGAAGGCTACTTAATACTGACAAAAATAAAGAAGAAGTGCAAATGTAATGTTGTTATCTCATCGGCATGCCTGTTAATATTTAGGTTGATGGTTTGAGAAAATACACCCGTGCATATTTAGTGTTTACTGAGTTATATGGTTTACATATTTACAGTAGGGGCCATTTTGTTAGCTGGAATAAGACAAAAATAAACGATAGATCATAAGAGGATGAATGGACTAAAACGTGGAGGTACTTGTGTGTTTAATGTTGTTAGTCTGGGTCAGTGCCATCATTAGTTCTTGGCACTCTGTCACTAAGTGTTCATGGGTGACGGCCTGAGAAAACAAACGGTTCCTGAGTTGAACCGGTCTGTTTCCTGACTGTCGCGGGTCATTAATCTAAATAAAGAGAAGGCTGGCCCTACAGGTCTGTAAGATGAGTTCGATCCCGTTCTGAAAAAATAGAATAGTCTTATATACAGGGTTTTCCTAAATATCGAGACATGTTACAACAAAAAGCCCTGTCTTGACTCACCATTACAGGGTGATGGATGATGGAGCGACAAGGAGAACAAAGATGCTCCAAAAGTAGGATATGTAAGCTGACGGCAGTAAACATTTGAACACAATCTTAGCCAACAACAAAAACACATCTGTTAACGACAACTAATACTAAACATGCAGATACTTCGGAATAAACACAATTTCAATCAGCAAATATTAATATGTCATCAAGCAAAGACAGTTAAAATATCATACTTGCTAAAAGCTCATGTCAACAGTATGTTATGGGCATGTTAGCATACTAATTAATAGCATTTAAAACGCTGTTGTAACAACTGTGAGCACAAGTCTCCACCTGCTTCACCACATGCTGCAGACAGGCCTCATGAACCTCCGTTTGACATGTTTCCTGTGACGCTACTGAGTCAGGCTGCTGTTTGCTCTTCAGGTGTGACCAGGTGTGTGTGTGTGTGTGTGTGTGCATGAACCCGTAGCACACACTGATAAATGTCTGTTGTACAAAATTTGGGTGCGAGCCAGAAAGAAGTCTTTGTTTTTATAGTTTCAGTTGGTCTGATATTAAAGGGACAGTTCAGGTTTTTATGAAAGAGAAAATAACTCTGGGGTGTTTGTGTGTGTGTGTGTGTGCAGCATTTTAGATGGCCTCACTACGGTAAAGTGATCAGAGAGGAAGTTTTGTCCGTCAGTGTTTATAACTGCAGCAAAGTTTTCTCCAACAGGTAACACACACACACACACACACACACACACACACACACACACACGTCTCTATATTGTTTTCATGTGACAGTTTCTCCTCATAACAAATGTGTGTTTGTCTGTAGATTACTGGGTAAACTGGTCGTCAGTCTCCAGCATGTTGTTAACACAGGGAGGCTGTTGCTACGGGAACCGCTCACCGATGCAAACTACAGCCTGACTGATGTAAGGACACACACGGAGACAAACACACACTTCCACAATGTTTTATTTGAGATTACCCATGAACGCTGACGTCATCTTCTCCCTCATAGATCTATATAGAGTTGGATATTCGGTATCATCCTCTTGAAGGAACAGCAGGGAGCTGGGAGGGACTGGATTTCCTGAAAGTTGAAGACAAGGATGAGTAAGAGTATTTCTAGAAACATCTTTCACACTGAACTCCAAAACTAAAAAGTCTGCTGCTTAGATTTTATTTCAAGACAGTAAAACCAGACGATTATTTCACACTTGGGATTTTAAGAAGACTGATTTTATTTATAGAGATTTTTCAAAAAATCAAAAACATGAAGAAATTTCTTTAAGTCAATTTCAGAATTATTTTATGGAGACAGCCAGAGCAGCAGAGGGACCTCTGACCAGTCTGAACTGTTAAGTTTATTTCTTTATCCTTGTCCTCCATCCTCAGGTCGGCCCTGGTCATCAAGAACGAGGGATATGATGAACCTGATAGGTGAGACGTTGCATAATCCACAATAATCTCAGATACTCACACAGATCTATGTATGAGAGGTTAACGCTGACAAAACATGTTCGAACTGTGACAACTAATGCAGCAGAAAAAAAGGGCAGCGTCGCGACAGGCGGATAAGTCTGTTGTTTTGTCACAGATAATTTGTGTTGATTTTTGTCTTTGATACTAACCTTTAAATGTAAAATAGTCGCACACTGTCCAGAGATGGGAAGACTCACACACAACATTATTATTGTCTGTGAACTTAACCTGCTCTTTGGAGAGAGAATAAAACACTAGACCATCTAGAATCATCTTTCTCCTCTTCCCCTCAGTCAGCTATCTTTTGTTCGGCCGGGTCAGCTGGAGAGAGAGGTTCGCCGTCTGGGCCGAAGTCTGGTCCGGTCTTCATCGGGGGATGAGGATGAAGACGAGGATGACGAAGATGATGAAGACGATGACATGATGGACCTGGAGGCTGCCAATATCATCTTCACTCCACTGCTCAGGTCTGATCGCCTGACTTATGTGTCTCAGTCAGTCAGGCTGTTCACCAGTTCTCACAGCTCATCTGTGTGTGTGTGTGTGTGTGTGTGTGTGTGTGTGTGTGTGTGTGTGTGTGTGTGTGTGTGTGTGTGTGTGTGTGTAGTCGTTCCAGGCCGGTGTCCAGGAATGTTACAGTTGCAACGCCCAGAGTGAAGAGCTTCCAGGTGAGTTCATCCGTCTCACTATTGTTGACCCGTTCACATCACCGTAGCAGCAGGCTAAACAAATCTGCACCTGAGAGAGAACGGGTTTGTAGTCACTCCTTTCAGCCTGTCCAGTATGTGTGAAACATACTTATTCTTATGCACAGATTTTAAACTGTGTGCACAGATTCACACATGTGTATTTTTCTACGTCTGGCACCCGGGGGCCTGTGTTGGTCTGTATCTGTTGCTGTAGCTTCACAAAGTTCTACACTTATGTAGCCTTCAACTTCAACTCCATACATGAGTTTTACTGTGCAACTATGACACCTAGACAAGCTGAAAAGCATGCAACAGCAAAACTAAAGCTATGTTTACAAAACTATGATGCCAAGTTTAACTTTTTTAATTAAATTTCATTTTACAAGCTTCACTTTCGCAGTTTTTGAAGAGTTGTTGCAGGTAAAGAAACTCAAAACATGCAGACAAGAAGGACAAACTCACAAGAATGTGGACATTTGTGAGATTTAAGAGGTTTTTGTTCTTCTGCTGCTGAAGTACATCCCTCATTGCTTCTTACAGGCACTTCTCATTAATAATAATAATAATAATACATTTTATTTAAAAGCGCATTTCTGAGCACCCAAGGACACTTTACAGGGCATAAAAACACAGCTAGAAACTAATTAAAAAATAAAAAAAATAAAAAAATAAAAATCATTCAGAGGTGTTGGTTGGTGCTGTTCAGTTACATTTACAACATTGTTTGTGTGCACAGGTGAATGTAAACATCCTGGAGGCTCAGAAGCTGGTGGGCGTAAACATCAACCCTGCAGTTTACATCAAAGTGGGGAAGCAGAAGAAACACACAGTGACACAGAAATCCACCAACTGCCCTTTTTACAATGAGGTAAAGCAGAGAGTGGAAATATCCTCCAGAACAGAACGGATCAGTACCGTCGAATCTCTGTTTGACCCTGTTCTGTGTTTCAGAACTTCCAGTTTGAGTTTCAGGAAGACCCACAGATCCTCTTCGATAGAGTCATAGAGATAAAGGTCTGCACTACGTTATTTTCCCCCACATCTGTTGCCTTGGCGACGAACCCAAAGTGAACACCTGTGATGTTCTCTCCCCTCAGGTGTTCCACAGACGAACTCTGGCCTTCCTCATGACCCACATCGGAACCTTTAAGATCGACATCTCCACTGTGTACAACCAGCCAGGTACCGGTGCGGCTCAAATACACCGACTAAGATGCTTTCTCTTTCTCTGACCTTTGACCTTTGACCTTTGACCTGTCTGTGTCTCTAGACCATCGATTCTACCAGAAGTGGGCTCCTCTCGTAGACCCGGCAGAAACCAGGTCTGGGATCAAAGGTTACGTCAAGGCTACCCTCAATGTTCTGATGAAGGGGGATGCTCTGGGCATGCCCAGTCTGCCTCCTGCCTCCTCGTCTGGTGCCAGTGAGGACATAGAAAAGTCCGTTTGAAACACTTGAATCTTTATCTCATGAATCATGATTATTGGAGCGATCATATGAAATACGTTTAAGGTTCAAGGTTCAAGGTTCAAGGTTCAAGGTTCAAGGTTCAAGGTTCAAGGTTCAAGGTTCGGATGTTTCCACCTGCAGGAATCTGCTGCTTCCTCGTGGCATTCCTTCTGAGCGTCCCTGGGCTCGATTCAGGATACGGATTTACAGAGCCGAGGGTCTACCTACCATGGATGCCGGGCTCATGGCCAAAGTGTCAAAGGTCACTGACAGAACAGTCTTCATTGATCCCTACGTCCGAGTGACCTTTGCAGGACAACAGGTATCTGCTCCAACCTGCTTTGTTGCCGTCTTTGGTTTTCATCCCTCAGAGTGACCCGAGGATCTAACATCATTTATGTGTTTGTGCTCTTGTGTGTGTGACTTTGTGTTCGTGTGCAGGGTGAGACACTGGTCGCTAGCGCCACCAGCTGTCCAGTCTGGAATGAGGAGATCTCCTTCATTGAGCAGTTTCCTCCCATGGCTCAGCGAATCAGAATCCAGATCCTCGATGATGCAAAGATGGGAGACATCGCCCTGGCAACGCACTACCTGGACCTGCAGCAGATCTCGGACCCCACGAGGAACGGTGAGACCCTCTTTTGATTCATTAAAATCTTTTATTCTTATCTAGTTCTGTTTACCAGTCTGAGAATGAAAAAGGAAACTGTCTTCATGTAAGACAGGCGTGTATTTTCCTGCTGACCGACTTATTTTGAAAAATGAAAACTTCCTTTCATCTGTTTGAGAATTAAGGTAAAGGGAAGCAACTGTCTGTTTGCAGGGTTCAACCCGACCTTTGGTCCATGTTGGGTCAACCTGTACGGGTCCCCTCAGAACTCCACCCTCGGAGATGTCCACCAGGTAAATACTCTCATTTTCTGGTGGAGTCGCCAACATTTATCTCATTAAGCTGAAAAAAGAGATCAAATCATGAATTAGATGAAGAGTATGTTATTTGAATTTAGACATTTTGACCTCCAAATGACCTTTTGGTGGTAAAATTAATCTACTCTTATTTTTTTGCATGATCCAGTCACAGTACAGGGAGGCCTGCCCTTTAGTACCACCTTCAAACCCCGTCTGTGTCAGCAGAATTAAACATGGCGGAGTATAATAACAGCTCTGACCTGACTGTCTTTTCTTCAGGCTTTGAATCAGGGTCTCGGTGAAGGAATCTTCTACCGCGGTCGAATCCTCCTCGCTCTCTGCGTGGAGGTTTACGTCTCCCCGTCCGCCGTCGTCACAGATGCTGCGTCGGCTGCTCTGGGAAAGGTACCGCCTCCTTTCAGTTTCCTCAGAGAGCAGAATAAACTGTTGAAGCATCACAGAGAAGCTCCACAGAGCCTTTACACAACAAGCTGGTTCATCTTTCTGAGTGTTTCTAAAGGAGTCAACATGATTTTACTTCAGTCACAAAAAAACATTGAATGGAATTTTATCTTTATTTGCTGCTCAGCCTCTTTGACTTCTCCTCCTTTAGTCTCATTTGACCTCACTGACTGTTTGTGTCTCTGAAGATGAAGGGAGCTCTGGGGAAATTTGGACTGAGGAAGAAGAGGGGCAGCAAGAAGGAGAGGAAAGACGGTGAGTCCTCCAAAGATGTAATGTGATGTCTTTGGATTTTGGACCCGCACCCAGGTGGACACTCCAGGAACTGATAGGTTTCATTTTCTCAAACTCAGGAGGCTGCCATTTAAACTGGATCCTTGATTCACACGCTGCAGTTTTGTTTTTTTATAATAATTGAGGAAAGTTGGCGAGGCAGCCAGGAGAGCAAATGTCTAACAATTTCAGAGCTATCTTTTTTGAACCCAGGTTTGAACAGAAAAAGGTTATTTCCCATTGTTTCAGCTCAAATGTATTCTGAGGAGTAAAACTTCTCTGAGGCCTCTTGGTTTGAGATATTCACCTGTTTTCTTGCAGGATCTGATGCTGGCGGTGGAATGGCTGAGGATTCAGGCGAGGCAGGAGTCGAGGTACCAGAGGCGGTTACAGTTGAGATTGAGGAGATCCATCCACTACCTGAGGTTTGTACCGGGTCATAAACAGTTGTAGACTAGGTCTGTTTTTGGATTCAGATGATGTTAAAGTCCAACATGGATAGACGGACATGTGGGCATCTGCAAATAATGTAAAAATGACAGCAGAGTAAAGCTCTGAAAAACTCTGGACAAATAATTCTCTTATGCAGACGCTGGTGTTGGACTCTTAAAATGAGCCGAATCACTTGGTTAAATCGGTCCAATCAGCAGCAGCGATCGACCTTCATGTCAGCTCTCTGTCGTGCTTCTGAACTAAAGGACCAAGCCGACCACAATATGACTGTTTGTGTTTTTGTGTTCAGGGTTTTCTGGGAGAGAGGGAGGAGTTTCTGCTGTTTGCGTCTCTCTTTGAAATCACCATGATGGACCCGTCCATCGGAAACAGACCCGTGACCTTTGAACTCTCCATAGGTAAGCAGTCGACTCTATGTCCCTAGTATGAGGATTGTTGGTTTACAGATGCATCTAAAAATGATTTGGTCTTTGAGACGTTCGAGCAAACGTCTCTTTACAAAAAAACCTCCTTATGAGCTGTTTTCTGTTTTGCAGGGAATTATGGGAAAGTGGTGAGGGTTGCGAAACCCAAGAAGAGCCAGAGTAAGGAGGAGCTAAGGCAAAGTAAAGAGGAGCTGAGGATGAGTAAGCAGGAGCTGAGGCAGAGTAAGGAGGAGCTGAGGGGGAGCAGGGAAACTCTGAACGAGGAGGCCAAGGGTCTGCTGGAGTCCGAGGAGGAGCTCGACAAAGAGGAGCTGCAGAATCCAGAACCTGAAAACAGATCCTTGTCTGCTGCTTTCAGAACCGAGCCCACCGAGTATGACAGGTGATGAACCGTTTCACCCACAATGAAGACTTCTACACCATCCAGACGACAGTCAGCCGAAAATCATCCTCGTGTCACTTTCTCCAAGTACATCTCCAGGTCACCATGGTGATGATGAGATGTTGATTCCTGGAGGACCTTCCCTGAACAAACACAGTTTCAGTGTCTTTGTCTTACTGTGTCTGTCTCTCAGGTCTTTCCAGTGTATCCCTCTCCAGCCGCCCTCTGCTAAACCCAAACCCTGTCTGTTTGTCTGGAGTCAGTTTGAAGATCACAGCTTCCGTCTCTATCAGGCGAACTTACTCAGCAAAATGGCCGACCGATTGGTGAGGATCATGTGATTTTATCCCACTGAGCATGTTTTGGTTTCAAAGAGGTCTAATAGACGTCTACATGTAGCCTAGACGACTGGTCTAAGATTAGGCTACCACAGGTCTAAATATGATAGTTTTTTTAAGACGTCTAAATTTAGACCAAGTTTAGACCAAGTCTTAATCTGGGTTATATCTATACTACACTGTATATTGCTCAATGGCTGTCATAATTATTTTAGATAAGTGCTTAGAGATCAGTTTTTCAACTCACACTTTTTGAAATGAATAGTAATCAAATAATGGGTTAAAGTGCAACATCTAAATTCTGTCTAAAAATATACGGAATCTCCATTTTGTCCAATAGCCGTCTATTGCTCAGTGAGATGTTCCATTTATTGAGAACTACATCTATAAAGAAAGTAACATGCCAGGGTTTGTATTCACGTGATCATGATGTGATTTGAGATCCCTTCGTTCGCTCTGATTGGAGTAACTTAAGATGGAAGTGGCTGCAGAGAAACAGGGTCTCAGGGTGGACTCGTGGCTTCACCTGCATGCAGAACTCTGTTGATGCAGCTGGAATACTCCCACATTAGTCGTGGTCACATCTGTCTTCTGTTTGTCTTGTAGGAAATCGGTCTTGATGAGGTCGAACGCCTCCTAAGGAGACCGAGGAGTAATGTCAAGGAGCGGCTGTTGGAGGTGTTGCTGGAGTTGGTGGCCTCCTGCAAGTCAGTCCCTTCTTTAGATTTAAGAAGAACAGATGTAATCCAGCGTCAGTTATTTGTTCTTCACCCAGTTTCCTCTTTTCTCTCGTCTTTTTTTCTGTCTCTCTGCAGACAGTTCAGCGGTTTCACCGACAGGAGGTCTCAGTCTCGTCCCAACAACCTGGACAGATGCAGACGAGATTTCATCAAGAAGAATTTAGTGAGTGTGTTCTCCCTTTTCCTTTTACTTACAGGTCTGTGTGTTAACCTGTTACTCTCTTATCTGTAAACAACCTTTCTGACCGATCGTCTCCAGGTGCTGCTGGCCAGGCAGGCGGTGAGAGCCAGGCGGAGGATCACCAGGCGCAACGCCAAACAGAGGCTGACAGACAGCAAGAGGATCCTTAAGAAACTCCGCTTGTTAGCCAAAGAGGTCAGAGGTCATTTTGTTCAACTAAGGGTCACCACAAAAAAAATGTTTTCTCAGATCTGACATCAACTAACGCCTGTCACGGTCTCTCTTCAGCCCCAGACCACCATCCCAGACGTGTTTCTTTGGTTGCTTACTGGAAGAAAGCGATTGGCTTACGTCAGGATCCCCTCCCACTCCATCTATTTCTCTTTGGTTGAAGAGCAAAGAGGGCGGGACTGCGGCCGACTCACCACGCTCTACTTGAAGGTAACTACTGATAATAGTTTCTGCTCTGATCTACAGCTGAATTTATCAGCTGAGCACACCATTCATTTAAATCTGTCTCCCTCTCCCTCTCTCTCTCTCTCTCTCTCTCTCTCCCTCTCTCTCTCTCTCTTCTCTCTCTCTCTCTCTCTCTCTCTCTCTCTCTCTCTCTCTCTCTCTCTCTCTCTCTCTCTCTCTCTCTCTCTCTCTCTCTCTCTCTCTCTCTCTCTCTCTCTCTCTCTCTCTCTCTCTCTCTCTCTCTCTCTCTCTCTCTCTCTCTCTCTCTCTCTCTCTCTCTCTCTCTCTCTCTCTCTCTCTCTCTCTCTCTCTCTCTCTCTCTCTCTCTCTCTCTCTCTCTCTCTCTCTCTCTCTCTCTCTCTCTCTCTCTCTCTCTCTCTCTCTCTCTCTCTCTCTCTCTCTCTCTCTCTCTCTCTCTCTCTCTCTCTCTCTCTCTCTCTCTCTCTCTCTCTCTCTCTCTCTCTCTCTCTCTCTCTCTCTCTCTCTCTCTCTCTCTCTCTCTCTCTCTCTCTCCCTCTCTCTCTCTCTCTCTCTCTCTCTCTCTCTCTCTCTCTCTCTCTCTCTCTCTCTCTCTCTCTCTCTCTCTCTCTCTCTCTCTCTCTCTCTCTCTCTCTCTCTGTGCTTGTCTCTGAAGTCCCCGGGAAGTTCAGCTAGTGAGATCTTTGCTAAGCTGGAGGTCTACCTGTGGCTCGGTCTTGCAAAGTACAGCAAAGAGGTCACCAACTGCGTACCGGAGGAGTTTCAGCCAGTTTATGAAGAAGAGGAGGAGGAGCAGAGGAGGATGGTCCATGCAGGGAACAGGAAGCTACCTGTCAGTCTGTCCTGCCAAGGTAAATCCCCTCTATTCAACAAGTGTTTGCCGGTCAAGCTGGGGTCCGTTCTGTGGAAATCTTGTGTCATGAAGAAGGAGGAGGAGTTGGATGAATCCTCCAATAAAAACTTTTCATGGACTTCACTCTCTCTTTCTTTGCAGACAGCAGGTACTTCCAGTTACGATGCCACCTGTATCAGGGGCGTGGCCTCATAGCTGCAGATGATAATGGCCTATCAGATCCCTTTGCCAGGGTCGTCTTCTCCACACAATGTCAGGTCACCAGGGTCAGTGCATCAAGAAAAGAAAAGACATTGAACTTAGTAGCTCATTGTGTGGACAGACTTTGGTGTAATGCCCCTTTAACGTCTTTTTTTCACACATATGTTCTTCTCATGTCTGTGTGGGGTCCAGGTCATGTCCAGCACCCTCTCTCCAGCCTGGTGTGAGTGTTTGTTATTTGACAGAGTTCTGCTGGAGGGATCGAAGGAGGAGCTTATACGAGACCCTCCTCTCATCATCATCAACATCTACGACCAGGACGCCATGGTAACGCTCTCATTTATATCCCTCTCATCCCTCACAACTGCGCACACTGGAGAAACCATCAGCTGTATGCATGAATGTACTTTTGTGTATGATTGCACACAGGGGGGTCCGAAGCCTCTGGGTCGAACCTTCGCAGAGCCAGAGTTTAAAACTGTGGAGCAGTTCTACCAGAAACCTCACCTACGTTTTTATGACATTAGCATGGGGAGGGTCCCTGCTGGAGAGCTGCTGGCTGCTTTTGAGCTCATTGAGCTGGACTACACCAAGTTTGGAGAGGTGACACCTTCTGGTTCATGAATCATCTAGAACTTTGTCATTTACACTATTTTACGACTAAAAACGCCACAAAAGTGTTTTAATTTGGAATCTGACTCTTGACCCCGCCCCCCTGCAGCCCAGCCTCCCAAGCAGCGTGGAACCCAAGGAGCTGACCTACCTGGAAGAACAGAGATGTTACATCATTCCAGAAGGAGTCCGACCTGTTCTGAAGACCTTCAGGATTGAGGTCTGATACTCCGCCTGTTGACATGTTGTTTTCAGGACACTGAGTGGACACATGAAGGATGGACTAACCAAAGCCTGTATGTGCACCGGTGTGTTCAGGTGCTGTTCTGGGGTCTGCGGGAGCTAAAACGGGTGCAGCTGTTTGAGGTGGAGCGCCCCATGGTGAAGGTGGAGTGTGCAGGAAGTCAGCTGGAGTCTGAGGAGATGGAGAGCTACAAGACTCACCCAAACTTCAAAGAGCTGGTCCTCTACATGGACGTGGTCAGTCCGTGTCGTTGGCTTCAGAAAAACTTTAACACAGTTAGAAATAAAAAAATGTGGTTTCCAGAGATCTGACCTGTTTAACCATCTACTCTGTTTGGTCCAATCAGGAGCTGCCTGAGCAGGCCTACCTCCACCCTCCTCTGACCGTGTTTGTTGTTGAACATAGAGCGTTCGGTCGGGTAGCTTTGGTTGGGACCCACGTGGTCCAGAGCCTCATGGCTTTTGGCCCAGATGAGTCTGGGGAGGAGCCAGAGGAGGAAGAGGAGGAGCCGAAACCAAAACCAAAAGGTAATTGAAAACCTGATCAGCAACAAGATTGAAGACTTCTATACTGGAGTTTTTAATACCTTCAACTGGTGCAGGGGGGTTGAGTCTCTGTTAAAGACCCACTGAGCGATAAACGGCTATTAGACATCTAGTTTTTTTAGACCTCATTTCAACCGTCTAGATTCTGTATATTTTAGACAGAATTTAGACGTCGCACTTAAACACATTATTCGATAACTATTTATTTCAAAAAGCAACTGTGAGTTGCATAACTGATCTCCAAGAACTAAACCAAAATAATTATGATAGCCATTGAGGAATGTACAGTGTAGTATAGACAAAGCCCAGATTTAGATTTAGTCTAAATTTAGACGCCAAAAAACACTTTCATTTTAGACCTGTGGTAGCCTGATTTTAAACCAGTCGTCTAGGCTACATTTAGACGTCTATTAGACCTCTTTTAGACCAAAAAATGCTCAATGGGGAGAAAGTCCTGGTTTTTCATTTTTGTGCATGTCAGCGAATGAAACAGTCTCTTTGTGTCTCAGCAGTCACCCAAACTCCAGTGAATGTTAACCCTCTGACGACAGTGAAGAATATCGGACTCAGCGGCCTGTCCATCACTCAGTCAAAGATCCCCATTAACCCCATGAAGCTGGTTAATGTATGTTACATTAATATCAATCTCTTTTTTTATTTACATTTTTTTTTAATTATTGAAACAAGCAAACTGTTTCAAAATGAAATGATCAAAAGGTGCACTGATGTTGCTCCTCAGGCTCCTCTGAAGAAGCTAATGGACACAGGGGAGGAGTTAGAGGAGGAGCCACCCGAGCAGGAGGAGCTGGATTGGTGGTCTAAGTACTACGCTTCAGTGCAGGAGATGGAGAGAAAAGTGAGAAACTTGAAAGAAGAAACAAATATTGAAAACTTTCAAACAAATCAAAGATAAGCTAAATGGACTGTCAGTTAAATCTGCCACTGATCATTTTAAACTAGTAATCTTAATATCTTCAAAATTAACATTAATTCATTAATCGTTGTTTTTCATACAGAGTGTGCAAACAAGTTATTCACACTGTTAACATGTTCTTGTTGTTTTTGCTGTAAAGAGGAGCTTTTTAGACTGGGTTTGGATGTGTCTCCTGGTTCCTCTGGAGTCAGCCTCAAGTGGACGGGTGCAGGAACTGCAGTTTTCAGCACCTTTGTATTCGCTTCATTTTTCAAGACCTCAGTTTGCTTTGAGCTGAGCTGCTTACTGACAGTTAGAACGCTCTAATGAGAATCAGTATCATCTAGATGACTGCAGTGAAGATGCTTGCTCACAGTGGGGGGTGTTAGGACTCAGTTTGAGCCCTGAAATGAGAAAAAGTCCATTTTTACTCAACTTGATGTGTTCACCGTCTGTAGGCTGCTGAGGAGGAGGAGAGAGCAGAAGCTGAAGCAGAAACAGGTATAATTTTAACTTTTTTAACACAACTATGCTTTTTTGAAATTTCTCTTTTTAAGTAGAAGTTTTAGAGTAGAGCAGTTAACTTGTGAAGATTTTAAAAGAAGTTCTTGGACTCTTAATCTCATACTTTAATGTTACTTTCCTTTAGTTTTGTTTTTGTCCTTTTTTATAAAAATGTGTAACTTCACAATATACAGAGTTTATCACTTCACTTAAGATGACCATGTCTGTCCTTCAATTTTGGTTAATTAAAACAAAAAAAGCAGAGGGTCAAAGTCAGAAGAATGAGATGCATATAAATAATAAAATAGTTCTAAGACTTTTAGTCTTTTTTGATGATGACATTTCGTGCTCAGACCAAGCTCCGCTCACGATGGCAAATATTGAAGAGGAGGAGGAGGAAATCGTGGTGGTGGAGGTCGAACCACCCAAACGAAAGAAGATCGCTACGCTGAAGGTGGGAGTCTGGGTTTTTGGACCTTCTGGGTTAGGGTCCATGCTATACCTCCCCCTATTTTACCAAATCTACATCCGTTTGTATTTCCATGTGTGCCCAGCTGTATGGAGGTGATCTGGAGTCAGAGTTCAGTCAGTTTCAGGACTGGCTGAAGATTTTTCCGCTGTATAAAGGCAGAGCGACCACTGAGGATGATGAGGACGATGAAGAAGAGAGGCTGATGGGAAAGTACAAGGTACAGCAGACATGAGGATTTCTGTCGATTAGTTTTTTTCTTTTTCAAAGATATTCTCTGAAATAATGTCTCTGCTGTCAGGGTTCCTTCCTAGTGTATCCACTTGATTCAGGAGATGAAGAGGACACCGCCTGTCGAATCACCAATGGAATCCCCAAAAATACCCCGATCAAAGTTTTGGTCCGAGTCTATATTGTGAAGGTATCTTTACCACCCTTCCTGTCTTTGTACCTGAACAGTTCAACATTTAAATAATTTACTTTAAACAGCCTCAATAGTGGTGTCAGATTCAAGCCAAGGTGTCTCAAGAAACAGCCAAACTGAAATCTCTCCTCATTAAAGTACTTTTCTGCTGCAGCACAGCGAGTCCACCGGGTTTAAACAAAAGTAAAAACAGTCGTCTCTGTTTCTGTCCTGCAGGCCACCAGTCTGACCCCAACAGACCCCAACGGTAAGGCTGATCCATACCTGATAGTCACAGTTGGAGAGCAGAGTCAGAATACACAAGACCGATACATCCCCAAACAGCTCAACCCCACGTTTGGAGAGTCAGTACCCGCCTGTTTACCTGAATAACACCCACTAACAACCTAACGGCCTCTCTGATCGACTGAACGCCTAAAAATGTCTTTCAGAGTCTTTGAATTCACCGTCTCTTTCCCACTGGAGACGGATTTGCTCATTGAAGTGATGGATCATGACATGCTGGGGTCCGATGATATCATTGGAGAGACACGGATCGACCTGGAGAACAGGTTCTACAGCCGCCACAGAGCCAGCTGTGGTCTGGCTCTCTACTATGATGTGTAAGTACCACAATTTTTGGTGACAAAATAAGTACCAAAACAAAGACACTTTAGCACCACTGCTTGAACTCAGACAAACCAAACAAGGCTGTTCTTAGATTCAGAGCGTCAATATTCCAGGAGCAGAACCACAGCATTGAGCTGCAGTGTGTAAGAACCGGTACAACAGAATGAAAGAACTAAAACTGTAGCATTCAGGAACTAATACCTCAGCATTTCAGAACAAGAGCTGCAGCGTTACAAAAACCAGAACTCGTATATTCCAGAACCATTTTAGAATAAGACCCTCTTCGTTCTGGATCTGAGTTTGTGCTCCAGTATTTTAGATCCTAAATCTGGAGCACTGTAGAACAATAACAGTGGCATTCTAGAGCAGGAGTTAAAGCGTTCGAGGACCATAACTGAAGCACTCAAGAATGATAACAACAGCCTTCTAGAAAGACAGCTACAGCCTTCTAGATGTAGCCACGCAATATGATTGAACCAGAACAACAGAGTTCCATTAATAGAACCAGGGATTCCAGAACTACAACAGCAGGATTCTACAACAAGGAATCTTGGAGTTAGAACTACAGCATGTCAGCAACAGAAACTGATTCCACTCAGAGATTTAAAAACTATTTTTAGATTCTTTTTATCAATTTCATTAAGTCTGGACAAAAGTGAGTGTTTGAGACTTGGGACCAAAGTTTTCATTAACGTGGATGATATTCAAAATTATCCAAATGCTGTGTTTGCAGATAAAAGTCCCAAAACTTAAAGTCTAGTAGGTTTTCTACTTCTGTTCATTTTATCTTATAATTTGCTCAAGAATTCAAAAATAATAATGAAGCACCTTTGGCACATATTGTGGTTAATCAAGCTTTAGTAAGAGGACTCCTGTCAGTTTGTGTTTTGTAACCGTATAGAACATGCTCCTCTGGGTGTTTATCTGTTCTGTCAACTTCTATGTCCCGTGTCCCTCTACAGTGACGGATACAACAAGTGGCGGGATTCAAAGAAGCCGTCGGCCATCTTGGCTGAACTTTGCAGAAAGAATGGCATCATGTCCCCAGAGTTCAGAACATCTGAGGTCAAAGTGCTCAACAAAATCTTCAAGATCCCACCTGACGCTGTACCTGAAGGTAGGAGAGACTGATAAGTAGACATGCCCAGACATCACTGATGGAGGTCATGTGTTCAAAGGTGTTTTATTATCAAAGAGATATTAAAAAGACTGTGTCAGTGCTGTTTTTCTTTTTGTTGTTTCAGTCCTGCTGAAGAAGAACCAGCGGACGCCTGAAGACGAGGCCGAGATCGAGGAACATGCTGCCCTGAGTGTGCTACACCGCTGGGGGGAGATGAAAGAGTTCATCCCTGGAGCCGTCTCTCTTGTCTCAGAGCATGTAGAGGTCCGATCCCTGCTGAACCAGGACAACCCTGGACTGCCACAGGTAACGATGACACAATAACAACACTACAAACAGGTACAGCAGCAGCAGCAGCCGTATCAACACACGAGAGCCGATCATCAGAAATGCATCTGCTAACGTGCGCTCATACGTGTGTAACAGGGGTACCTTCATATGTGGGTGGACCTGTTTCCAACTGATATTCCAGCTCCACCTCCTGTTGACATAAAGCCGCGCAAGCCTGAACAGTAGGTCAACATTTGAACAAGTAGAGAGTCAACAGTAAAGTATAAAAGACTGATTTCTGCTGCTGTTCTCATGCTGACAGGTACGAGCTGCGCGTGATCATCTGGAACACAGATGACGTGTTTCTGGATGACGTCAACCCGTTCACCGGTGACCCCTCCTCAGACATCTACGTTAAGGGGTTAGATTCACACACAGACAAACACACACTCACTCACACAGACAAACACACACTCACACCAAGTTCTGAAAAATCCAGGGTTACCTCCAAGTGCGAGTGCATCCCTATTTGTGTTCTTGTTACCTCCACCAAGGAGGTTATGTTTTCAGTAGCGTTGGTTTGTTTGTCTGTTAGCAACTTTACTGAGAAACTAACAGACAGATTGACCTGAAATTTTCACCAGAGGTGTGTCTCAGCCCCAGGAGGATCCCATTCAAATTTTGTGTTCTGGATACTGTGATCCAGAACACACAAAAATAAGGGTGTCGTTGGAATTTTCAATGCTAAAAGATAACTAATGGGCGGCACAGTGGTGTAGTAGTTAGCACTGTTGCCTCACAACCAGAAGGTCCTGGGTTTGAATCCCGGTCTGGGTGTTTCTTGTTTAAGGGGGGACATGAGCTGCTTTTCTCGTGAACCTATCAAATCGGGGTTTCGTTCTCCAATAGAGGACTCCCATTCCAACATTCATGCCAAAGCTCATGCTCAAATCATGCAGATATGAATGAATGGTCGGGCAGTTATGAGCTCATTTTGATGGAAAAGAGGAAGAAACCCACTGACTGAAATTTCAATGAGACGCTTTTGTGTGTGCAGATGGGTAAGGGGACTGGAAGGAGACAAACAGGAGACAGACGTCCACTTTAACTCTCTCACTGGAGAAGGAAACTTCAACTGGAGATTCATCTTCCGCTTTGACTACCTACCAACTGAGGTGCGCACACACATGTACTGAACGTAAACACACCTTTGGACTTGATGGTGGTGGGGTTTTTTGCAGGTTACTCAGCAGAGTTGAATTTATAATCTAAGAAAGTAAACTACTGGATTAAAAAATATTTGATTGATTCAGAGTGAACCACATTTATCTGACAAGTCCACATAAACATTTGACTTCACAATATTACAGACTGGAATCACACATTTTTACGTGTGTTTTTCTCCTCAGAAAGAGGTCGTGTATAAGAAGAAGGAGTCCTTCTTCTCTCTGGAGGAGTCAGAGTTTCGACAGCCAGCTATTCTGTCACTTCAGGTCTGGGACTACGATCGAATCTCAGCCAACGACTTCCTGGGTGAGACACAAACCCAATCATATGTTTGATGATTATTTCACCCCGATATTGATCAAATATGTTGACGTTTTCCCTCTTTCAGGAGCCATAGAGTTGCGTCTCAATGACATGGTGCGACCGGCAAAGACACCGGGTAAGTGTAGGATTGACATGGCGAAGGATCGTGCCAGCCCTCGATTCTCCATCTTTCGTGCAAAGAAGATGAAAGGCTGGTGGCCGTTAACCCGCCTGAAGACAGCTGAGGACTTTGAGAAGGAAGAGAAGGAGAAGCAGGAGGCCAAGAAGAAAGGAGGGAAGAAGAAGAAGAAGAAGAAGAAGGATAAGAGGGGCAACATGAAGAAGGAGGAGCTGGAGTTCATCGACAGCAGCGGAAACACCTACCTGCTCATGGTATAGATTTTTAGATTTTTATAGATTTTATTTCGGTCATAATACAAAACAAACAGAAAAGAACAAGGCAGGTAAGACACATATATACTGTACATATGTACATATATATATATATACGGTTTACATCGCTGTTTGACTGAAAAGGTTTAGGGCTGAAGGCGGAGCTTATTTTGCCCACCTTTACCACACCGCTGTATGACTATAGAAAGAACATGATACAAAAGTCAAACCAACACAACAATACAGATAGAGCATAACAAAGGGAGTCACTTTTTTCTCTCTCTTTTACCTTCTTCTTTTCCCTTTCCTTTCCCCCTTTAGTTTCTTTCAGTCTCTCACTTACTATTCCTTTTTTATCTTTTTTCCCCCTTCCCTTTTATTTTTCCCCTTTTTTATTTTTCCTTTTTTCTACCTTTCCCTTTCCTCCCTGTTTCCTTCCAGTTTTCCTCCTTTTTCTTTATTCTTCTCCTCCTTTTTGAGGGCGCTAAGAATAGTACTAAGAATAAATAATAAACATAAATAGATTACAAAAACAAAACAATCAAAAATAATAAATAAATTGATTAATTAATTAAATAATTATAAGAAATAAAATAAATAAATAAATAAAATTAAATAAATAAAAAATAAAAAGACTACATTTCAGTGTTACTGAGTTCTTCTCACTCAGTCTTCATGATTAATAAACTATTAATGTGTTTGTGTGCTTATTTCACTCTCTGTACATTATCATATAACGGTTGTTTAAACAGGCCTTTATAGTAACACAGGCATGTTCTGTTCATGCTGGTCATTATATTACAAGGATATTTTATTTGTTGGTAAATATACGGCACTGATGTTAACGACTCTAATCTTAATCCTTGTCTTGTTTCTGATTCTGTGTTTGTTTAAAGGGGAAAGTGGAGGCGGAGCTTCAGCTGGTGACGTTGGAGCAAGCTGAGGCCAACCCTGTGGGACGAGCCCGAAAGGAGCCGGAACCTCTGGACAAACCCAAGTATGCTGCTTTTACAAAAAAAAAACCTAAAACACTTCAGTGTAACAAAAGCGCCCAGGTGTCCTTCTGAGTTCAACACTCACAGGTTTTTTGTGAACAAACCTTTAGCTGTTGTTAATAAACGGTCTCTTGTCCCCTTTTCCTCTAGTCGTCCCACCACCAGCTTCAACTGGTTTATCAACCCACTGAAGACCTTCATCTTCCTCATCTGGAAAAAATTCAAGAAGTACATCATCGCTTTTGTCATCCTCGCCATCCTCACTATCTTCCTTGCCCTCATCGTCTACACGCTACCAGATAAGATCTCATCCCTCATGGTCAACGGATGAAGTTACCCGAGTCTTCTTTTCTCCAGCTGGACTGCCTCGTGTTTTAGTTTTGACCTTAAGACCAACTTAAGTCAACTGAAGTCAGCCTGATAAACTGTATCTAATCACTTTAAGGAATAATCTCAAATATGTAAATAACCAAAGGAAATGATTGAATATACAGTATAATATATATTTCTTAGATTAAGGTCAAATGTGTATATTTTGTAATTAAACTTTTGATCTGTAGAAAAAATAGGACCAGATAAATAAATAAATCTTACAATATGTTTAGTTTTATATCATAAAATATGAATTAAATGATCATTTTTGTTTCTGTATTTTATATCATTATTATTTTGGTTAAGTACTCAGAGATCAGTTATGCAACTCACAGTTGCTTTTTGAGATAAATAGATATCAAATAATGGGTTAAAGTGCAACCGTCTAAACTCAGTCTAAAAATATACAGAATCTAGACGGTTGAAATTAGGTCTTAAAAAAAAACTAGACGTCTAATAGCCGTCTGTTTCTCAGTGGGTTGATTGTTTCCTCTGAGACTCAGATGATGTTTGCCCGTTACCCCGGAGACCAGAGAGGAAGTGATGAACAGTAAGAGTAACAGTGGTAGTTTGTTTTGGAGGGAAAAAAAAGTCCACTCCTGTCAGAGAACAGTATTTATTTATTATTTTATGAGTAAAACTGCTAATACGATATCCATGAATAATTTTGACGACCCTCGTTCCTCAGGATGAATCCTAACATCACTGTTGGTCCTTTAATGTTCCCATTAGCTCAGTTGAAGAGCCCTCTGAGTAAATTGTGTTGACAATTTCTGACCTATAGTTTAAAATGTTTCTGCTCGGGCTGCCCAAACTTTTTTTTTTGTCACAAATGAACGAGTGTCTAATGCAAGAAACAAAAAGAATCAGATAACAGACTTAGCTCCAGGCTGCAAACTCTTCTCATCTAAAAGCTTTTATATTTCATATATCATTAAGATTATGAATTTTGCATCATTGTGGTTTCATGCTCGATTGGCTGAAAGTGAAGCTAAGTCAGCATTTCTGCTACAGCAACATCACTGAGACTACACCCAGTGGGTTTAACTCTGACATATCTCTGATGATATTGCATGACTTTGGGTGAGCACAGACATGAACACACTAACAGCCACGTATTGATTTGTTCATTTTAGTTTAGTTTTAGTTTTTAGAGCTGTTTTTGTACTGGCACCACACCAGGGCAGCTGCGTACCCCTTTAACACTTTATTTTTTATATTTACATTTGTGTTGAATGGACACTTTATCATGGCTGCCACTTGTTTTACAGAAAGCAAATAGTTGATTATTCTCCAGTACAGAGTCTTTACTTTTATTCAAACAGCCGCTTTATTTCATTTAAGTTTGTTTGTTCAAGGTTTTCAAAAATGTGATAAAGGTTTGGAAAAATAATAGATAGGCAGAGATATCAACTTTTTTGTAAACCTCAACACTTCAGAAAACCTCAGGATCGGGGGGCCCTTCTCAAAATGGCCCTCAGGATTTCAGCGGTGCGGCTCAGACTGGGTTCAGGTCTTAAGGGGTTAATAGGGGAGCAGATTTCTTATGACGAGATTATTGATGATTTTGCATCAAGGAAGAAGAGAAAGGTCAAGTTTGTGTTTTAGTTTTCTGTTCATTGAAAAATCACATTTTCTTTAGTGTGTTTTCAAATTTGTGTGATTTGCTATGTCAGATTATTGGTCTATATTTTATTTAATATTTTGTATTGTTTGGGGGGGCTTGGAAGGGGTCTCGCCCGGGGGAGTAATTTAGTCTCGAACCGCCACTGCTGATATCCCATTACGAGGACCTTTTCTGTGACGGGGTGCTGCTGCTTGAGACGTGTAGGTGCAGGGACCGGGGGCTGAGGGAGGCTGGGGCTGGACGGACGGGGAGGAGACTACGGATGTGGGGTGGTACAATGTGGCGCTGTGGGCTCCTGCTGCACTCAGAGGACGCATGAGAGCTGAGGATAGTCGGAGCTGACTGAGTCAAAGACAGGTAAGAGAGCAGCCTCATCACTGCACTTTTTAACACACTGTATTAACCGGGTTTGTTTGTTTGCGTTAATGCACGTTAAAGTTAAGACGTTTTTACCTTAATGCTGACAACTGTGGGAGGAAAACTCTGCAGATGAGCTGCATTCAGCAGTGTCCTGAGGAAAACATCTAAAGAGTTTATCAGCTTTCTGAATGTAGAGCAAAAAAAGGTCTGCATAAGTTACTTCCATGTTAATGGCTGTTGAGAGCTGACATGTGGTCTAATGTTTCACTGGAGAAAAGAAGGAGGAGCAACCTTAGAGCTCAGCCTGCAGTAATGACACTACAATAGAGAGAGGGTGCCAAGAGGGAAAACCAAACACACGCACACACACATGCACACTCCTTCCTTCCAGAGACTGGGGGTCGATGAGGGCACATAAAGGGATGGTCTTGAATTGTTGTTTATTTACTTGTCAGAGCTGCATGAAAGCTGAAGGCGTAAAATAGATGACAGCAGTACATCTCTGTCCTCAGAAACTCCCACTAATGAATTTGTGTTTGTGAGTGTGTGTGTGTGTGTGTGTGTGTGTGTGTGTGTGTGTGTGTATTGGGGGGGGATTTGGGTCTCTAGCTGGAAAGGGAAGGACTCGATTGGGGAGAGGGGGGGGGGGCTAATAGCTCCCAGATGTGTGCTGTGAAAACATATGGTTTCTGATAGCCACTGTGATGTACAAGAAGAATGTGTGTTTGTGTGTTTGTGTATCTGTGCGTGTTTCACAGACTTTAAGACACACACACGCGTTTAATGATTTATTAATGTACATGCACATGTGTAAATGGAGCTCAGATCACATGATTTTGTACAGTGTATCCTCACAGACAATACATGCAATAACTCAATATACACACTCAATTCAACACACACATTTCCTTCCAGGAAAAGTCATAAAAGTCATGAGAGGAGTTTTGAGAAAAGTTAGATTTGGATCATGACCAACAGGGGACCTTAATAATGACCTAAGGTCCACAGTTCGACTGTTATGTGAGTGCACACTAACACAAAGAGCCCCACAGTGTAGGAGGTGAAAAAAGCCCAAACTAAGTGCTCCATGTTGTGTGTTTGGAGAAGCCTACAGAGTGGCTGCAGCGGAGGAGGAGCATTCATATTTTCCACAAAGTGGGAAAGTAGTTCAGTCAGTGTAACAGGAAGCGAATGTCACAGATTTTACAGTTTGAAACACTTGAATTGTGACTTCCTCAGCGAGGGGAAGCGGTGATCTGGTTTTCTTATCAGTGAATGTCTTCATACTGTCAGAGTGCAGATTTTCTGCTTGCATGTCATGTTGACTCAACCTGGAAGGCTCTTTTATCTCCACTCCTCAGAGCAAAAGAAGGAGGAGGAGGGGGATTCGAGGAAATGACCAGTGCAGGCGACAGAAGGGAAATGAAGGATGTGGAGAGAGACAGAGAGGAGCGGGGAGGGATCAAGAAAACTCAGAGAAGAGAGGGGTGGGGTTCAGGGGTCCTCTGTTTCTTTTCCTGGAATGCAGCTGCGAGAGTGTCTGCTGCGATGAGGAAAAGTAGGAAAACAGAGCTCATAGAAAGACAGACATGCCACATTCTTGCTGTCAGAGAGGTCCCCCCTGCCCCCGCCTCTTCTTCTTCTTCTTGCCCTGGCTGTTATGGGGCCAGTTAGGAGGACGGAGGGGGAGGGACAAGGGGGTAGAGATGGGAGAGCAGTGGGGGGTTGGAGGGGTGATAGAGGGCAGGGGGAGAGAGAGGAGAAGAGAGTTCTGGAGACCAAAAAGAACATCCAGCACAAAGCTCTTTATTCTCCTAATGTTGCTCTGTTTTTACTCTTATTGCTCTTCTCTGCTCTCTTAATCCTCCTGCAGGGTTCCAGTAAGTCTACCTCCCATAGTGACCATGAGAGTCCTCCTTCTAATCTGCATGCCAGGTAAATCCGCCGTCGTCCCATGTGAGAAGAAACCACGAAGAAATACAGACGTCAAATCTGAAACTTCTCTATAACAATAAAGTTACAGCAGACCGCAGCTCCAACTCAATTGATGTTGATTTGAGTTACAAGGAAAACAAAAATGATTATTAACTAATATAACACATTTCTGTACCTACACATGTTTGCAAAATACTTTGGTTTGGGGTTATTTGGCATGGGTTGTACACAGGTGGTGTTGAATCTTTTATTTACATAACTTCATTAAGTACGGGAAAAGTTCTCCGACATTAAGGATTGGTTTGTTTGCATCATTATTTTTATTTTTGATCAGGATTAATACCTCTGAGCTGCACAACACTTGTACATAACACCCTAACACCACCACAACTGGTCCAACCACATCAAGAAACACTGTGAAGGAAATGTACTTTAAAAAAAGGAGTAACATAAATTCAAGAAACCTAATAAAGAAGAAAATCATTATTTAAGTGCTTCTCTAACCTCTAACTTTTCTTTCTTTAACAGTTGTGCTGCTCGTCCAGGGCCAGTACCAGGAACAATTCCCCTTTTTGGGTGAGTTTCTTCAAAGAACAGAGGCGTTGATTTTTGCAGCGTAACATCAGTTTACTTCCACATCTGTGTCTGATTTCTCTTTGTCCTGATGTGTCATGAAGCCCCCAGGAGTTTCTTCTCCTCCTTTGTTTTGTTATTTACCACCAACTAAGTAATTGTACTCAGAGTGTAAAAAACACTTTAACCACTCTTAAGTGTTTTTTGTGAATATCTTTCATATGAGGTCATGAAACAAACCCTCCCAAACAGCTCATTTTTGCATGCAGGTGGTTCATTTAATGGGAGACTGGGCTTTTGTGTACATCTGTGTGACTGTAATTGGTTTTACTGTGTTGATCTCATGACAAACTCGTCTCTCCTGATCTTTTATTGGCTTCACAGAGGACTATGGGCCGGATTATTTCCCAGGTGAGACATTTTCTCAGTAACACTGGATGATTTTACTTATAGTCAGGTGAAAATATGACTTGACCCCCAAAAATTCTAACAAAAGGTTTCTCAGCTGTATTTTTTTATAGTATTAGATGTCCTGAATAACATACTAAAAGTTTACCAAAGTTGACGACTAGAAACGTGTTTTTCAAGATGGCGTCCATGATGGGCAGGAAGTCGAGGAAGGACAACCCCGGGTAAATAAGGTAACATTTTTAACTAACAGATATCACCATGAAAATTCCCAAGTTCATAACTTACATTAAGACAAATATTTTTTGTATTACAAGTTTTGTCAAATGTTATGTTTGAATATGTAAATGAGGTAATATCTAATTAAATATGCACTAATTTGCATATATTTCCAGAACCCAAAACTAAACAACTGATAGAGCCCCTTTTAAAAATTCTTGTTTTATTTTGTTGACATACTCGAGTCAGAAGGGGTGGAGGATCTTAGATATCTTTATCACTCTGTAAATGAGAAAATACTGTCACCGCCCCTAAAAATTAAAGTGTGGCCATGTATTTTTTTCAGGTCCTAAAATGACCGTTACTCCTTTTTATTCCTTCTAGACCAGAAATACTGGTGCCTGATACATGTCTTGACCATGTAATATTCTAACTAGCATATTTTTATGATAGATAAGTGACTACAAATACAACTCCGGCAGTGTCGGATGGCGACATTTGAATTTTTAGGGGTGGTGACAGTATTTTCTCATTTATAGAGTGATAAAAAGTGATATCCAAGATCCTCCTCCCCTTCGTCTGACTCTAGTATGTCAACAAAATAAAACAAGAATTTTTAAAGGGGCTCTGTCCGTTGTTCAGTTTTGGGTTCTGGAAATGTATGCAAATTAGTGCATATTTAATTAGATATGACCTCATTTACATATTCAAACGTAACATTTGACAAAACTCATAATACAAAAAATATTTGTCTTAATGTAAGTTATGAACTTGGGAATTTTCATGGTGATATCTGTTAGTTAAAAATTTTACCCTATTCACTCGGGGTTGTCCTGCTGCGCTTCCTACCCATCATGGACGCCATCTTGAAAAAGACACCTTTCCAGTGGTCAAACTTTGGTAAACTTTTAGTATGTTATTAAGGACATCTAGTACTATGGATAAAAACAGCTGAGGAACCTTTTGTCAGGGTTCGGTGTTGTTTTCATACATGTACCTGTCTAATCAAAATCAAATTAATTCCTTTTTTTGAGTACAGATGCCGAAACTCCAGATTCTCTCCCTGGAACCTACCAGCAGCAGGTTCGACTTGAGACAGCGGTGCGTCCAGAAAAATCAGGTATATCAGCTGATCAACACTTAAGCTGAGTCATGACATTTGAGAGTTGAGTGGTTTGTATCTTACCAAAAGTTGATTTCTTCATCTTCTGTCCTCGGTTGTTATCAGGATCTGATCCAGAGACAGAGCCCACTGAGCCTGGCCCTCTGGGTAAGAACTATCAGATACAGGACTGCTCATCACTTGTTAAGTTCAGGTCGTGGGTGATTGATTTTGCTGTGTTTGGTCTCCAGATTGCAGAGAGGAGCAGTATCCATGCACTAGACTCTACTCTGTTCACAAGCCGTGCAAGCAGTGCCTGAACAGCCTGTGCTTCTACAGGTAAACCATGAATGACCATGTGACAATCCAGGAAGTGAAGATATAAGCAAACGTAGTTCAGACCAGATTCAAGACGACATCTGATGGAGACTATCCTCCTCAGCAGCAGATTTACACAGCTGATGTGCAAATGAGTACCAGCAGCAGGGTGGTGGATGCAAGATTGAGACAAAGCAGTGGTTCTCAACTGGTGGGTCCCGACCCAAAAGAGGGTCGCGGACATGTTCTGGATGGGTCGCAAACAGCTAGTCAAAAAAGTAAATATTTAATACGCATCTGATGTTTGACAGATCTTTTAATTTGACAAATAGCTTATTTTGTTCAATTTGATATTTTCTGTATATGCAACTTCAGTCGTTGTCGTCCTGAGTTCATGTGCTCTGAGATGCACTTTACTCACTAAAACAGGTGTATTTGTGTTAAAGGTTTGAGTCTTTAAGGTTATTTTCTTCTAAAAAATAAATGTGCTTGGTTTGAATTCTATAAAAGTGGGTTGTGACTTTAGGAACATGGGAAAATGTGGGTCAGAGAGTGAAACCAGTTGAGAACCACTGAGATAAAGAACATAACCAGACTCAGTGAGCAGATAGATGTTTGATATGATGGTTTCTGTGAACTCTCAGTGACACTTCAGTCCTTCTTCTTCTTCACTTTTTACTCGTCCGTCTGTTTTTCATTCAGTTTGCGACGGGTTTACGTTATCAACAAGGAGATCTGCGTGAGGACTGTGTGTGCACATGAAGAGCTGCTCCGAGGTGGGTTCAGCACGCTCTGTTTGACTTCTTCTTGTTTGCATTTGTTTATTAGGACTTGTAACTTGAACTCTTGTGTGTCTGTGTGTGTGTGTGTGTGTGTGTGTGTGTTCGTTTAGCGGATCTCTGTCGTGACCAGTTCTCTCGCTGCGGCGTGGCAGCTCTGAGCGGCCAGTGTGCATCTCTAGGAGCAAGCTGTGGACAGAGCTGCGGCGGCTGTTGATTGAGTTCAGAGATCAGGGACACAACCTGCCCAGACACTGCCTCTTCTCTTCAACTCATCCTTGTCCTCCTCCTCCTCCTCTTCCTCCTCCTTCTTCTTCCTCACTTTGTCTCTTACTCGTCCTACATTACTCCTGTGCCAAAAGCACTTCTGCATTTGTATTTTTGTCCTTCTTATCTTTGTCTCCTCACATGTACGTCTGCCCAGTAGATCCTGCGTGTATAGCTAAATATAATCCAAAGAACATTGATGATTGTATAAATCACTGGTGCTATAAAATCTTCACACTGGTGCTAGTACAGATGCACATAAAACATCTTTTTTTGTTATTTTTTGGCATATTGCACCGTATTATTCTCATGCTTTTGTGTTTTTTGATGCATTACTGTAGTTGTGTTGAAAAGCAGTTATGATAAAGGACTTGTAAATGGTGCACTGACATCAGGCAAACTTAAACGATAACCCAGCAGCCGATAAGATCACAAGTTGTGTGAAAACCAAACAAAAACAGGTGGTGAGTGACCTCAGTTTTTGTACTACTGCTACCTGGATCTGTGCTTCACAATCAACCGGCACTCTTACAGAAATATACTCAGAGTGAAAACATGTGCTTTGAAAAGGCATCCCCACACAACCTCTGTACTACTGCTTTGTAAAACTGTCACTATAAAGACTGAGAAACAAAAAATAAACTTTTTTTTTTTTGTACTACAGCTGTTCAGTGTGTGATTCACTGCTCTAACATAACTGCGTCCGCTGTTCGGTGAAGTCAAAGACGAGAGTTATGGTGCGCACGAGTTTAATCTCCTCCGGACATGTGGCTTCCATGTGTTTTGTTCGTACAAGACATATCACTGTTATTAATCATCAGTCTGTCAGTTTATATCACAAGTAAAAATTATAGAAACCTAAAAAACTAACAGTGGCTTTCAAAAGACTCTGCATGTACCATCAGACTTCAGTGCTAACGTGTCACATAATTAGTCAAATCTGTTTCAGGGACAGGACACAGTGCAGCTCCTTCATTAGACTCAGTCTAGAGTTTTCTAGCACCAACGAACAGAGGAGACCTTCCGTCCTTCCAATGCCAAACTGCACTACAGGCAGATTTTTGTTCCTCTACTCCCTTCAGGTTTTGTCTGCAAAGGGAATCTCGCTGTGATTTAAGTTTCTCAAGGATGTCTGAGAAGATGTTGAGTAAGGATCGAGTACAGCTGGCTGCCATAATCAAAAAGCTGCTGGTGTTTTCGGCACAGCTGCTGGATCACATCAATCTGCTCCTTTTGCCATGTCAGCGATCTTCTATTCGTATAAAACATCGATTAAACACTTTTAAAAAGACTGGTCCATTTAAAATAACAGCAGAGTTAGGGTATAAACGTTGTTAGGAATGTTCTCTATAAGTAAATATTGCTTTCAAACATTCAGAAGAGGTGCTCCCCTGGGTTAGACATGCACTGAGTGCTGGTGTTTCTGGTTGTGAGCTTCTTCTCAGTCTCCTGTCGTCAACAAGGTGGATGGAAGAGAAGGATGTCTTCGTTTGATTTCTTGCTGCAGCTGCTCCTTCAGGGTGGACACCTGTACTCATGCATGGAGGAGACCAAAGCAAAGCGTCAACTAAAATCGACTCTGTAGGTGTAAAAAGAGAATTATCTGTGGGTTATAATCATACATTTTATTTGTTAGGGCGCCCTTCAAGGCACTCAAGGTCGACTTATAACTGTTTGATCCAGTTTAGATCAGGCAGTTTGACTTAGTCACATTAACTCAGATCTAAAACAAAAATTGAAGTTAATTGGTTAAATATGGCTCGCTCAATCAGTGCACTGACTTTAAAGCTCCTATCAGGAATTTTGGTCAATGTTGATGTTGGTGCCAATCAGGGTCATGTAAGTACATCTGATCTCATTGATGATCTTGTCCTAGGAAGAGTCTCTAACAGAAGTGTTTATTGGTCAATCATCATTCCGACAGAATGATGAATGAATGATACAAAAACAGAAAAGGTCAGATTTTTCTGACTTTTTTCTAAGTGTTGTAAGCGGCTGCTGGAAGAGAGTAGGTGAGTTGTGTTTAGTCTCTTTGCTAAAGAAATCAGGCCAAGTAAAAAAGATGTTTGGTGTCTAGTATTATGTCTGTGACCCTATATGTCCTGTTGATGAAGTTAGGTGCTGTTCTGAGCATTATTTGTGGAGTGATGTTTTGGTTGAGGGCGTGTCTCTCTGTGTTGCTATCGTGCGGTCGTTACTAAAGTTGGTATAACTAAAGAAGCAAGCGGTCGGCAACATTCATCTTTCGAGGAGGTGTCTAACTTGGTGTTAGGTGTGTTTGACCCTAACTTAATTTTACGCCGGAATATCCCTTTAAATCAGATCTGATTTTAATCTCTGAATTCTGTAGAGAAAAAATCTAACCTTTAATTTGTGGCCCTAATCCTCCTCAGAATCACTCACTATGATAAAAAAAAGGGATAAAGGATGCTATGAAAAGCTTCATCAGTCACCTGTGTAGAGAGACGTAAAAAAGCTGCATAGAAATAATCAGTCTTGAACTTGATGGTGTTTTTTGCTTTCCTGTGCAATCAAAAGACATCAGAGATAGTTTCAGTCCACTCTAATGGCAGCTAAAAAACTCCTCACAGTAGCCTTGAAGGATGCAAGTTTTTGTTATCTGTGATTGAGGCCGATCCATCAATCTTTGATTTTAACACTATTAACAGTAGAGAAATCTCCTCTTCAAACTATAAAGGTCGTTGATTCTGCTGTTCCAAATATTTCAATATTTTTCAGTTACAGCTCAGACCAGCACATTTGTTGCACATTTCTGAACGTTTTCAGCTCCATTATATGTGTTTGTACCTGCTCCTCCAGGCCTTTGACTCTGTGTCGGTGAGCACGCTCTCTGGAGCCCAGTGTCCGCTCTATGTCCCTGTAGCTGTTCTTCAGTCTCTCCGACTCCCGCTGGGCCTCGTCACGCTGCTTCACCAGACTCTCACAGAGACTGTGAGACTGCTCCATCTCAGCCAGCTGAGTCTGCTCAGCAAACATACACACCAGTGAATGAGACCATCCTGTTTAGAGAGTCCGTCCAAAAGTCAAAAAGCTGAAGAGACTCACAGCTGATGAATGAACAGACATGTTGGTGTTGGTTTGAAGCTTATCAGTAAAGACTTTAGAGGGACAGCAGGTTGACTTCAATAACAGAAAAATATCATCTGAGAACTTTAAAGAAATGCAGCGCTCGTACTAAAAACATGTACATCTGAGTGAACAATGATAAATAATTGAGCTGCTGTGTGGGAACGTTTCCAGATCTGAAACACCAACGAAAATCGAAGCTTCAACAAACACAAAAAACTGACATGATGCCAAGTCCCACTTTTACACATTTAACCAACAGGCCATTTGTCTCAACGTCTACAGATGAGTAAACATCACAAAGCTGTTGTTTTTACGTTGATGAGACAACTAACAGCTGCACTTTTTATGGGTCTGGAGAAGGTCATCTAACAAAAGGTCAACAGCCCCTGGAGAAGAAACCTCCGTCATACCCATGGGTTCCTGTTTCTGGGTCACATTCTGGAGACGTAGTTGAAAATGTTTAAAGCAGTTGGACTTTTAGCCAAGTTGAAGATCACTTCTGGAGCCTTAGGAGTTTATTTTTTTCCCAAAGAAATGAACAGTGGGTGGTCTAAAGATGTCTGAAATAAACAACTTTTACGACCCTTTCAGAGATCTTATGAAACTCACTGTAGTTTTGTGTATGGCCTGTTGTTTACAGCATCTCTGTGGTTTATATAAAAAAAACACAGTTATGAGGATCATAAAACGAAGCCTTCCCAAAAATATGTAAGTGGTTTTTGATCAAATTTTTGGCCCGGTGGTGTCATTTATAATCAGTCTTACTTGGATGAGATGAAGTGTCAAAAGAAAATTTGTGTTTTTATTTCAAGTAACAAACTCCAGTCTTGCTATCCCTTAAGTATTTAAGAACCTTCAACTTTAAAATATTACAGTAAGGTTCCCAATAAGGCTTTAAAGGGATAGCTGAATTTTTTCAAGTGGGGTTGTTTAAGGTCAGCCTGCTCATCAAATAGTTAGATTACCCCCAAGGAATGCCGGTCAGCTCAGCCGCTGCATTGAGGAACAACCCAGAGAGCTGAAGTGCAAGAAAGAAGATGAGCCGCTGCAGACAGGGTCAGTTTTATCACAACAAAGTGACAACTTGACCTTACTGACCTTCACCTTTACGTCTGTGTCCTCTGCTCCCACTGAGAAATAGACGGCTGTTAGACGTCTAGTTATTTTTTAGACCTAATTTCAACCGTCTAGATTCTGTATATTCTTAGACAGAATTTAGACGTTGCACTTTAACTCATAATTCGATAACTATTTATTTCAAAAAGCAACCGTGAGTTGCATAAACCAAAATAATTATGATAACTGTTGACCAATAGACAGTGTAGTATAGATATAGCCCAGATTTAGACTTAGTCTAAACTTGGTCTAAATTTAGACGTCTAAAAAACGTTCATTTTTAGACCTGTAGCAGTTTGATTTTAGACCAGTCTTTACTTTATTCAATTTTTAGGAGCTAAATCAGAAAACCACAGAAGCAAAAAGGTGTGTGTCTTTTTTAGCTTTCGTTGTTTTTTTTCTTTTGCATTATAACACAACCCACAGTCCATATGATGTATGTCCCTTATCATAATATGCACCATTTCAGCGGTTGAAGGTGGAGACTGAGCTGAAATAACAAACTTTACAGCTATTACTGTGTTAGCTGGATCTTTTTAAACCCTCAGTGTTGCTGGCATTGACCCTTCTCACAGCAGCATGTCGATTTTTTCTGTTTCGCCTGAAAAAATTGTGTTGGTGTGCGTTGGTGTGCGTTGGTGTGCGTCGGTGTGCGTCAGCTCCAGCTGCTTACTCACCTGCAGCATCAGAATCTGCTGCTGTGCTTCCTGCAGCTCCTGCTCTGTGGAGTTCAAGGAGCGATCCAGGCGGCTTTTCTCTGCAGACAGCCGCATGCTGCCCTCCTCAGTCTTCAACTTCTGACGTTCAACCTACAGACAGAGGCATTTATGAAGCACACTGGATCTACATTTTGTATGTGATGTTTTAAAATGACATAAAAAGTATGTCAGAAATCTTTGGAATCATAAATGAAGAGTGTTTTCCTGTAATTAAAGGTTTTACTGATAATGGCTTCTAAAAGGATTTGGTGGAAAATAAAGAGTCTCTAAAAACTTTTTGGTAAATTTTATGGTTTCAAATTAACTGAATTGCTGGTAATGTTGGCCTGTAACCACTGTCACACCACTTTGGTCAGAACAGAAATATTTTAACTACTTTCTGCGGGATGAAGCCTGATGATGAAGCCTGATGATGAAGCCAAAGTAAGCCTGACGAGTCGATCACTGAGTGCAGCGGATCATTTCCCCTAAGTAATAATAATCATAATAATAATCATCATAATAATTTTGCACTGCAGACACGGTAGTTCTTCTGCCTTAGCGTCTCGGTCTGATTGTATTTCCGTGAAGTAACAATCATAAATGTTCTTCCTCGAGCTGTGAAACCCCGCTGCAGTCGGTGATCGACTCGTCAGGGCTCCCCCCACAAACACATCTGAACTTTTGAATTCACTGATGGCTCGATGTAAAGAAATAACTGCGTGTTGCAGGTTTTGCATCACAGCGCTGACCTTGTCCAGTGTGTTCCTCAGGGCGTTCTTGTCCTTCTCCAGCCTCACAGCCTGTCTCTCGGCATCTTTCTTCTCGGCCTCCAGCATGGCAACAGCTCGTTGAAGCCCCCGCAGTCTCTCCTCCACGGTGGCCCTCTCTGTCTGAGCTGACTGAGCGCTGCGCTGAGCCTCCGTCAGGCTGGTTGAGCGCTGACGCAGAGCCTGACAGCGAGGAGGCAGAAATGACTAACAGTGACATTACTATAGATGCTAATATAGACAAATGAGAGAGACCTTAGAGCAGGTACAAGTCGGACCAGCTGTGTAGATATCGATGACCCTCACCTCCTGACAGCCGTTGAGCTCAGTCTCTAGTTCCTCTCGTCTCAGCTCGCTCTGGCTCAACTCACTCTGCAAACTCTGCACGTGCTCAGTGAGGGCAGCGATGCTCCTCTTCCCCTCCGTAAAAGAGGACCGGGCTTCTTCTGCTTTTTCCTTATGGTTTATAGATAAATAATAACACTTACATCACTGTCTGTTTAATATTATTATTTAATATTCAGCATCAGTCTTTTTCTCCTTCAGACTCACCTGCAGAAGCCGTTTGTCCTGTTCAGCCACACTCAGCGTCTTCTGCAGAGCAGCCAGACGACTCTGTGTGCAGCTCTGTGCAGACACGGCCTCCTGGAGGCTCTTTTTCAGGGATGTGGTCTTTTCTTTGAGCAGATTCTCACCTTCCTGAGCTTTGAGCAGAGCCTGACTCAACCTATCCACCTCTCTCTGAAGCAGAGACACACGGGCCTCTCCTTCTGACACCTGCAGGTAATCCAAATCAAAGTGATGTGTGAGACAATAAAGAGGGTATTTTCTTCATGACCCAGGTTATAAAGAATTCATTTATACAGGAGGCCATGTGCACATGAACTCTGTGTCTCTGTCTGAACTGATCCAATCTGAAAACATATTTATTTCCACAGTTTCTTTGGTGCTCATTGAAGGGGACTGAGATAAAGCTACGTATGGTAATGTCTGCTCACCTTTTTGCCTCCATGTTGGCCGAGCCAACGCTTTCCCATACTCTTTACAGACACTCATGAACTGCTGTTTTATTACCGTTTCTTCTTTCATTATTCCCACAAATGTGATCTTTGTTAGGGTGACCATTCGTCCTCTTTTACCCGGACATGTCCTCTTTTTTGGGGGCTGTCCGGGGAAGTTTATAAAATACTTCAAATTTCCTCGGTTTCGTACAGAAGTTTTGAGTTTGTGTCACATGGACTTACTGAGTTAGAAGCGAGTAAAAGACACTTGATCAAACCAGAAAAACTCTCAAAAATCAACTTTGCGTGACTCCCTGACTCCGCCCCACATAGTCGTGTCCTCTTTTTGGGAAGTCAGAATATGGTCACCCTATCTTTGTGCTATTTTGAATAAATTTATTACCAACATCTGAATAAAATGCCATCAGTTCTAGAAACATAACCTGTTAAAATGTGTTTATTTGTCCTTCACATAAAGGATAGACACAAACATATAATTAATCCAAATAAAAATATGTTTGCTATTAAAGAAAATTCCCTTCACATACTTGGTTAATAAACCATAATCCATAAACCCTAAAAATATGTAATTATAAAACAACCAGCTTCATTTTTCACATATGAAAATCATGTTTTCGTTTACTGTTAGTTTCCAGCTGACTCTGGGCCCTGCTGTACCTTTTTCAACAGAGACTCATGGCGCTCCTGGGAGGTCTGGCTCTCAGCCTCACGGTCTCCAAGACTCAGTTTGAGTCTCTGCAGCTCCCCCTCCAGACTGCGCCTCCCCAGCTCCACCCTGGTGGCCCGAGCTTCAGCTGCCTCCAGAGCCTCCCGCAGACGTTTCTTCTCCGCCTCCAGGCGCATCTCAGCAGCACGCTGCTTATTCAACTGCTCCTGCAGAGACGAAGGGAAGACGAAGAGAACCTCATTCAGACCCGGATCACAGTGAAGGAATGCAGTCCAACACAGGTGACCTACAGCTGCATCAAGACTCAAATCTGACTTGTTTCCACTCCTGTTGTCCAGAAGGTTCGTTATTTACATCATAAAACAGACATATGGAGGGCTGATATGAGACGCCACAGGAGATGTAACACTCTGTGACCGTCGTTGTTATTACACCCGCTGACAGCTCAGGACTCCAGATATTGCTTTGTTCCTCAGTGCTGCCATATGGTGATCGTGGCAGATCAGTGATCACTGCTGTGAAAGTCACGACACAAACACATGGTGTGTGTGTATGTCAGTGTACCAGTATAAAACTGTGTGTGTACCTGTGTGTGTTTTCTGTCCATCTCAGCGGTCTGCAGAGCTCGCTCTAAATCCTTCACCCTGTCGATGAGGGTCCTCCTCTCTCTGTCTCCTCTCCTCACCGCCTCCTCCTGCTGCTGGAGCAAAATCTGAGTGGTGTTCAGGCGCTCGTCCAGCCCTCGCTTCCCTTCAGCCACAAACAGTAAAAACTTCTTTTACATTTTTGTCGTTGCGATACGATACAGAAATTTCACTTCAACATACAGTACCTTCTTGGTTTTCCTGCAAGGTGTTCTGGAGCAGACTGAGCCGACTCTGAGCTGAGTCTCGTTCCTCCGTCAGCTCCTCCAGCTCTCTCTGCAGGACTCCCATCTGCCGTCGAGCATCATCCTTCGTAATGAGCAATAACAGAAGACTTAGAGCGTATATACACAACATACCCTCGGACTTAAATGAAGATGTACTTTGTGTTTTCTTTTACCCGATCCCTCTGTGCCTCACGCAGCTCCTGCAGGAAGTCTCTCAGGTCACCCCGCAGAGCGTCGGGGTCCAGCTCAGACTGGGAGAGAGGAAGTGGTGTGTCCCCTCTGTCTGGAGACACTGAGCCTAAAGTGATGTCAGGAGTGCTCATTCTTATTTCTGTAGAAATGAAGAAGAAAAGGTTTCAGACACCAAGAGCAAATATTTCAAAAGAGAGAAGAAGAAATTATTTTAATGAAGTTCAACATATGAACACAGTTTTCTTCAGATTTGCAGTTATTGGTGTTTTGCATGTCTGCTTTGCTAATAACTTTGCTCATTCATTTAACCTTCAATATAATTTCATGAGCCTAAAAAGAACAAAGCAAAACATGTGACTGATCTCAGTTTTAATAAAAGATCCTGAATCATGAGTTCTTCTGTGTTTTAGACACAGACTGTATAAACTAGGGACCAACTTGGTTCCGCCTCCTGCCAGTATACGGATTTGAAGCTGAAAAGCTCTCGGTAATTCTCTGTTTTTTTTCCCCACTTCTGAAACCAACATTACGCAGTAGCGTTGTACGCTTACGGCGGGAGAGTCGCTGTGATGACGCTCGGCTCAAACAGCGTATCCCCCGGGTGAGCTACGCAATCTTCATACGCCCATAGGCTGTATCAGGTGTCAATCATAGAAAACATGAACCCATAATAACTTTTAAAACTGGAGCTGTACAGAAAAAAGAGGACTTGAGCACAAACCAGTCTGACAGTAACTACATGTCAACATCACAAGCAGGGGGGAGAAACATTTATATTCTGTGTCATTCATTTATAAAGTTTGTCCACAGCTCCCTAGGGATTGCTGGAGGAGGCGGGATTTATGACCTATACTGCAGCCCGTCACTAGAGGGTGCTGTTCTCAGAGTGGCTTCACCCAGTGAGGAGGCAGACGGCGTCTATTCTATATACAGTCTCTGGTTTTAGGTCCCACAGCTGTAGAAAACGTCTAAATCCTGTGATGTAAACGTAAAGATGAGTATTTCTCCTTTACCTTTAGGGGGCGACAGTGAGGAGCGCAGCGGTGAGATGCTCTGGTGGCGTGACATTGTGCCAGCAGATTGTGAGCTCCCTCCTGGGCTCCTCCCTCTGCCTCCTCTCCCTCCTGCTCCGATGCCCAGCGTTCGTGTCAGGGCGGACTGAATGCTGCTCAGGCGAAATTCAAGGTCCCTCTTCCCCGCCTCAGACCGGGTCAGCTCGGCTTCGGTGGCGGCTAAACGACCCTGAGCCTCGCTCAGCTGCAGGCTGGACTGAGCGGCGAAGTCTTGAGCCGCCTGAGTGCGCAGAGCCAGGTTCTTCGCCTCATCCTGTAGCTTCTTCTCACAACCACGTGCCTCCTGCAGCTGGGCGTTCAGTTCTTTTTCACAGCCACGCCAACCTGACTCAGACTCGTCCAGACGCTTAACGGTCACTGCAAGCTGAAGTAAAAAAAAGAATTAAAAACAGAAAAATCACATGAATCTTTTTATCTCTTCACACTCTTATCCGAGCTCACCTCTCTCTTGAGGGAGTCTCGAGCTGTTTCAGCTTCATTTAACTTCTGTTTCAGAGAGAAAGTATCCTTCCCTCTCTCCTCCTCTTTCTGCTCCTCCAGTGTGAGGCGAGCCCTCAGCTCTGCCACCTCCATCTCTTTCTGCTCCTTCTCTCCGTCCAGAACCTTCAGCTGCAGCCAAAGAAACACACAGCAGAGTCACTAGAGGAAGAAAAATCTGGAAACTACTACGAGAAACCAGATGATTTCAACACAGCAGGTCTGACCTGTCTGCGGAGCTCTTGGAGTTCTCGTCGAGCTTCCAGTCGAGATCTTTCGACTTCCCTGAGACAGCTTCGCAACTCCAAAGCCTCCTTCTGAGAGGAGGAGAAGTTCTCCTCCAGCACAGCCAGTTTCTGCTCCTTCTCCTCACACTGTCGTTTCAAACTGAGAATGTGCACAAAAACACTCAGAGTCCATGAATCTTGATGATTAAACTTCATCAAACAGCCTTTTGTTGAAGTGTTTACCTGATCCTCTCTGACTCTGCACTTCGCAGACTTTCTCTCAGCTGGCTGTTTGATTGGCTGAGAGCCTCTCTCTCTTTGGTGATGTCGCCCACGCTGCGCCGCAGGTCCGTCCTCTCTCGTCGGAGCTTTTCTCTTGCTTCCTGGGCTTGGTTTAGACGTCGCTCCATGTCTGACACGTCTCGCCTCAGCTGGTCTCGGCTCTCCTCGTTAGCAGAGAGAGAAGCTCGGCACTGGTCCAGCTGGAGGGCGTGAGTAAATGATGGTAAGATGATAAATGTAGAGGGCCACAAAGTTCATCGTGCCGAGCTCAGACAAGACTGGTGATATGTCCAGATATGACCCTGTCTCCTGGTCAGTAGCTGCGTTTACATCGGCACAAATAATAGGAATACAGTAGGGTGACCATATTCTGACCTCCCAAAAAGAGGACACGACTATGCAGGGGCGGAGTCACAGAGTCACACAAAGTTAGTTTTGAGAGTTGTGAGAGAGTCGGATTGAGTGTCTTTTATGCGCTTCTAACTCAGTAAGTCCAGGTGACACAAAAGACTCAAAAAAACCGTGGACATTTGAAGGATTTTATAAACTTGCCCAGACAAAGCTGGACAAGCCCGGACAGCCTCCAAAAAGAGGACAAGTTCGGGTAAAAGAGGACATATGGTCACCGTAAATCAAGGCCTGATCGGAGTAAAAATGTAAACATGTCAATCAAACATTCTGATCCAATTTGGCTCGATCGGAAAGAAATTGCTTTCCGATCTAGAGGGGTGGTTTATGCCGATCCTTATTCTGAAACGCGTCCATGAAAACACTTATTTCAATCGTGACTATCCTACCTGATTTGATCTTCACTCTTTAGCCTTTGGTTTATTTACTGAGGCCAGTACAGGAGGTTTCATTTCAAGGCGTACATACAGCATAATGATGTCACATCTGCACGCACAGAGCAACCTTTGACAGAAGAGTAAAATAAGTGTGCAAGGGCGCCATCTAGTGACAACATTTAACAGAGGGAAAACTCCTGAATTGGGTGGAGCGAACCACTACAGCGTTTGTTGGTTTGTTCACAGCACAGGCGTAAATACAACTCTTCTTCTTCTGTGGTTGTTTTAGTGAAATTTAACAACTCTGCACATGTCCAAATGCTTCTAATCTGAATAAAGTTTGGTGCATGTATACGCACGTCATGATCAGATTATTTGGTTCTGCACTCATATAAACAGTGAATTCAGATTATCTGATCCCTCAAATTCCTAATCCGATCAAGAAATTTTGCTCATGTAAACGCAGCTGGGATTGGGTCCAGAAACTCCAAATGATAAAACAGAAGGAAGAGTGAAACACATGAATGTTGCTGCAGACCCAGAGACAAACTGAATGTTTGTTTATTTGTTACTCTCTCCTCTGCCGGCCTGATTTTCCTGTAGGTATCTCATGATATATTGAACTTATTTCACAGAAAATAAAACGAGCAGATAGTCTTAAAAATAAATATCTATTATAGAAATGTCGTACTAAGTGGCACCTTCTGGTTTGTTCCTCATCATTTACCTCTTTCAGAGCGACATCAGCGCGTGACTGAAGATCTGTGCAGGTCTGCTGCAAAGTCTGGAGCTCTCTCTCATGAAGAGAAGCTGCATCCTCCAGCTGAGAACGAAGCTCCTGTAACTCACCGGTCAGAGCATCAACCCTGATCTGAAAATAGTCAAATTCAGAAAATCTTTTTTTAGTTGTAGAGAATCCTCATTATGGATTTGAGTCAAAACTAAGAGCAGAGAATCCAACAGAACAATAAAAGTTCGACAGGAAGTGCCATCACCTGCTCCTGCTCTTTGTCATGTGCTGCTTCTCTTGATATCCTCTCGGTCTCCATGGTTACAGCTGAGAGCTCAGACTGCAGGGATGACACTCTGTCAGATAACACAGTTTTCTCTGCTTCCTTCAAAGAGAGGGCCTGTGGGGAGAGAAGAGACCTTTTAGTATGATGTATAAGAGCTGATCGACACCGCCACTGTACCGTGTGGGGACGTTTCTGATACTTCATGTATGTTGATTTCCCACCCATCCCAGGGACCTGAACTCTGAACAAACCTGTTGTTTCTCAGTCTCAGCCTGCAGCAGACTCTGATCTCTGTCATGATGGAGATTCCTCAGCTCATCCTGAAGCTCTTCTCTTTCTCTGTCTGCTCTGTGAAGCTGCTCCTCCACCTCATGCCTGATCTTTCTCAGAGTGGCCTCATGCTCCATCAGCAGGCTGCGCTGCAACGTGTCCTGTGATGAAACAAAACCGCTCAGCTCACAGACACGGATTAAAAGAGCCACAGACTTATCTGAGAAATGAATATTGATGGCAAAGAAGTCTGAGTCTAGAGACCTTTTCCGAGACCAGCCTCTCCACTTCCTCTTGATGTTCAGAGATGGTCTTGCGCAGAGCCTGCTGGGCCTCCAACTGTGCGGCATTGAGACTCTGAGTCAGCGCTTGTTTCTCCCTCTCAGCCAGCGCCAGAAGGTTCTCCTCATCTGAACGAACTCGCCGCAGTTCAGCTGGAAATCCCATCCAGGAAGTCAGTAACAAGAAGGAAAAGATTTTTGAGTTCTTAATATGTCATTTTAATGTCTTTGCCATAATGATCTTCAATGAAGTCTTCAGATGTTTTTCTCTTCTGCTCATCTTCCTCTCCACAGAATCTACTCTCTCTTCTACCTCTTAATGTTTTTCTCTTATGAACTCCTCCTTTTATCTCGTGAATCTTTATAGAGTCAGATACAGGACAAAAGAATCTAGAGTTTCTTCACTTCACATTCAGAAAAACTTAAAAGAGAAGTCAAAAATTTTAAAAAGCACAAAAAGGGAAAAAAAATCTTCTTTTTAACTGACCTGCTGAGGTCTCACAGCGGACTCGAAGGTTTTGGTTCTCTGTTTCCAGCTGCTCTCTACGGGACTCTACCTGAACAAGCTGCTGCTGCACTTCAAACAGACTGGTTTCCAAGGACTCCCGCTCTGACCTGCAGATGAACATGAACACAAGTTACACACACACGTGTTTACACAAGTAGCAAAAACACATCCCCAAAAAGGCAACAACACACACCTGAAAGCAGCCAGTTCCTCTGACAAGACAGCGTTTTCTCTTTCTGACGCTGTTAGCTGGACCACCAGCGCTGCTTTGTCTCGAGCCAGTTCTGCCCGACTGCGACCCGCTTCCTCTAAGGCCACCTCGCTCCGCTGGCCCTCTCCTCGGGCCAAGTTCAGCTCCGATCCTAGAGAAGTCACCTCGCCACAAAGCTGTCAACAAGAAAACAACCTGAGTGAAAAGACACATCATGACTAAAGGAGAAAAAATAACATTTCATCAGGACTGTCATTTACAGGCCAGATGCTTTGATTGGATTTAAAACAAGTAAAATAAAAATCAAGAGGCTCAAACATGCAGCATAAATGTGAAGTAACTTTGGCTCACACTCAAGCTTTGAATGAGGATGTTTTATAACTGCTAACATACTTGAGTGACTTGCTCCTGCATCTTAATTCTGTCAGCCCTGAGACTCTGCAGCTCCTCTTCCATCTCGGTCCTGCTCTGCTCAGAGTCCTGCAGTGTGCTGTGCAGCGAGATACGCGTCGAGTCCAACTCCAGCCGCTCCTGCTCCAAGCGGACCAGCTCATCTCTGATAGTCAGCTTCTCCTGCTCTGCTTCTCGCCTTTGGAGTTGCAGAAGCGCCTTCTCTTCCTCCAGCTTGAGGACATTTAAAAGAGTTAGACATTCACAGCAGTGTGACCATTACATGTTACTTTCATTAATAAACTATAAATCTCTCTCACGAATATTAGTAAGTCTTTGACATTTATCTTTCGTATTATAATTCTGTTATTTGCATATCTATTTAAATCAATTTTTTGGATACAAATGTTTTATGTTTTGATTTTATTTCAGTTCAAATTTTTGTTTTGATATGTTTTTGTAGAAGGTCAGAAAACAGCATTTTTAAGAGGATTAGGGCCACAAGAAGTGAAAGAAATAATTAAAGGAGGGAGATAAATTTCCATTTCAAGATTAAAAGTCAAAATTTCGAGATAAAAGTCGAAAATTTAAAAAAGTCTAAATGAAATGCCATATGTCTTATATTTGTCATAGCCATCCATGTGCCAGAGTGCGCTGGGTCTTCGACTTCAGTAACGCCTGCGCCTCAGACACCGGACTCATCTGTGCTCCACGCCTTCAGGATCAATCAACTTGATCAGTCGGCACAGTCTTTTCAGAGTCCAAATACTTTTGACCACACTGTGTTTGTGCGCTAAAAGAGCAAGAATGTCCTTGTTACTAAATCCAATTCTAAAGTGAAGCTTTACAAACTCTTCTACAGAGCACATGTTGTCGAGTGACAATGCAGTTGATTAATTATCATTAATCTCAACTTTACGACTTAATTCATGAAATTTTGTCTTTATCTTCATCGACTTTAATCTCTTAATTTTGACTTTAATCTCAAAATTTCAATTTAATTCACAAAGTTTTGACTTTATTCGTGTAAAAACTTTCTTTCTTCTTTTTGTACAATCTTCTTGTCACTGAAAAATTCCTTAAAGCTCCTGTGAGGAGATTTTGACTCAAAGATGAGAAACACAGTGTAAGGTGCATCAAAAGCAGGTTTCAGCTTCCTTCTAAGTGGTGGCTTGAGGAGGGTGAAAACATTTGTGTGATAGTAAACTGTTGGACTCCTCCCATAGACTGGATCACTTGCTCACTTTAACCCTCTAAGAGGTCAAATACACTCCTGGGGATATTGTACCTGACGGATGTAGCCGTTTAAGTCCGCTTTGTCCTGGACCAAGCCTTCGTTCAAGCTTCCCATCTTGGCCAGAGAGTCTCTGAGAGCTGCATCTTCAGACTGCAGCTTGTTCAGCAGCAGGGAGAGCTCTGAATTACTGCTCTCAGCCTGAATGAGGGGGTGGGGTGGGAGGTTAGCAAACACATTTTATAGAAAAGTTAAGCATCATCAAGTTGAATTTTTCTCACCCTAGAAAGAGCTTCTGAGAGTTGGACTTTCTCTCCTTCCAGCAGCTGCCGCTCCACCTCCCCCTGCTGGTTAGTCTCCCTCACTGCAGACAGCTCTCCACGCTGTGCAGCTGCACGATTCTCACTCTGATCCCACTGCTTCTGTCTATAAAACAAGACATGTAGTGATATAACAATACATTAGAGGTATAGTGTCCAGTACTTACTGCTGCAGAGAGGGACAGACTTGGTATGAACTATAATATTCATGAGTGGGTTTAAATTACCTGCACATAAAAAATCTTTTTTATCATGCATCACAGGAGCTTTTTGTCCTTGAAGGCCACCATCGCATTACCAACAGTAGGGGTGAGCAAGAGGGCATTTCAAAGTCGAATCTGACAGCTCAGTATCACTAAATACTGATGATTTTAAAATCCAGACTCAAAACGTTCCTTTTTAGTCTCGCTTTTAACTAAATTCTATATCATTAACTTTAAGCGTTTTCTGTGTAAAGCACTTTGCGCTACATGGTTGTGTATGAAAAGTGTTATATAAATAAAGACTGATTGATTGATTGATAAATATTAATTTCTCTACACACTGTATCCTGAAGGGGAACTATTGAGAGAGCTCAGCTGTCTTTTTTAATAAAGATCGATGTTGTGCACAGCGGTTACTCTTGTTTGAGTCCTTGCAGTGTCCTGATGATGCAAAGTAAAGTGAGTGCAGCATCTGTTGAGTTTATGAACACACACAAGCACCAAATTTAAGGGACATTTGTAATTTTTATCCACCCCGTTTACTTTTATACTCTCAGTACTGCATTCAGGGTTCGTGTGATAAAACAAAAGCCCCAAAAAGTCCAAATCTGTCTTCTTCAAAAGTCTGTGAGCCTACTTATGACATGTGGGGGAAAAAAGGCAGAGTGTGTAAAGGTGTCACCTCTGGTTCAATGCTTTAGATAACAGGTTTACAAGAGATCAGTTTACTGATGTCTGAGGTCATGTAAGTTTAAGAGGTCATGTGCAATTACTGTCTGCTGCAGAGGACCGTATGGATTAATGTCCACATCACGTTCAGTTAATCACCTTCAATCAGATTACTTACATTCTCTGAGTCTCTGCCTTGGCCCGGTCTCTCTCTTGAATGGCCGCCTCCCTCTCTTCCTTCTCATGGTCTCGCTCTCGCTGTGTGAACGCCACAGTCAGCTGATGCTTCTCACAGTCCATCTGTAAGGCTCGACAGCTGCTCTGAGCGCTCTGTAGAGCCTTCTCCAAGCTCACCTTCTCACTGAAATATTCACAATGCATAAAGACGAACACGTTTAAGTCTCTCCGTTTCATATTCCTCAACCTGATTTAAAAGGTCGTACAAATGTGTGTGTGTGTGTGTGTACCTGGCCAGTGTGTCTCTCTCCTGCTTCATGCGCTCCTTCTCTCTCTGCATGGTCTCCCTCTCTCTCTGAGCTGCATCCCTTTCTCTCTGCAGAGCTTGGTTTCGCTGGTCGATGTCTCTTTTAGTCAGTTCTGTCTCTGAAAGCTGTTTACGTAGCTGCTGAATTGAAGACTGGTTGGAGAGCAGACGGCCACGGGCATCCTGCAAACAGAAGTGAAGTCACTTTATGGTAAAAAAAAAAACCCTGATAACTTTCTAATAAATTAGACAAAAGTAATGTCCCAAATCACAACATAAAGTTCTGCCTTTGTATTTCTACTTCCCACTCTAATACAGAATGCAAATATTGGTGTGCCATACACAATGCATTATAGTGAAGCAGAGACGCACCGTTTATAGACACACAGCAGCAGTGCTACATAGACACACACTCAGACATTCACATACGCACAACGCTGTAAATCCCTGTCAGCTCCAATGTTACACACAGCCCTCATCCTTCTCCATTATGCTTCTGCAGCTACCTCTGAGGATACCACACCATCTCCATCTCGCTTCCATGTGTGCACACTTTACAGATGAGATGTGACAGGTGTGTAAATGTCCCACCTTGCAATGCCAGTATGCATGTAACCCTCAGCTAGGACCCTACAGACCCTAAGTTTTTAGTTTTGTGTGTTATGTGTCGTCTTCATTTAAAAAATACAGGTTCAGGTAAATGTAATCAGTGCCCACAGGAGAGAGTGAATTCTTCTGTATTATGTTTAATCCTCTTTTGTCTCAGAGGGTTTATAATAAATGACATGTCACCTGCAGCTGCAGAGTCTTGTTTGTGACTGCAGAGTGCAGAGCAGACAGTGCAGCTTCAGAAATGAAAGCCGACGAGGAGGACCGAGAAGGGGAGGTGGACCTGCGAGGAGAGGGGGAACAGCAGGAGGTGGAGCCGTGGATCAACGACAGCAGAGCAGAGTTGTAGTTGTCCTGGTCTGCTTCTGATGATGAGTCTCCATCTGACAAAACTGTCTGTAAAGAAAAACAAAAGTGAAGCATATACAGTAAATCTTTAAAAAGTATAATATTGAGAGTGGATGAGTATCTTTTTCTACCTGGGCAATGTCTCGCAGGGTGTCACAGAGCATTTCAGTGTGAGCTCTCAGTGCCTGAATGTCAGACTCATCATTACCTTTCTGCTCCTGAAAAACAACAACAACAACAATAAAGAGTCACCAGAAGAAAATAAAGAAACCTGATTTTTTTTAAAAGCATTTAAGGATGAGACTGAACATTTTCTTTTTTATCTTATTGTAAAAAATGAGCAGAACAAAATTTAACAATGCACTTTTCCTATTTCTACAATATAATCTTTATCTCTGAGTTAACTGATCCGTCTTAAACCAAATCCTTTCTCACTACAACATCCTTGAGGTGATGAAGTTCCTTTTTCAAGAACACTTGTGTATTTATTGAGGACTATTTCTACCTGAAGTCTTAGCAATACAGAGAGATTCAGAAAGCAGGATGTACTGTATGTAAAGAAAAAACAGACATTTTGTGCTTTTAATTTTATATGACAAACAAAAACACCTCCAGCCTCCTCATCAGCACCCCAATTTCTTGGTCTCGCTCCTCAATCTGGCCCTTGAGTCTTTCCCCCTCTCGGACTGCGTCTGACAACCTGAAAGTTTGCCATCAAAAGAGTCATCGAACATGCCGTCACACAGCTGTTTTTTAATAAATAAAAACGACTAAAGCGCCATCGCTGACCTGGTGTTTAGTTCACTTCTCTCTGAGTCCGTCCTGGTCTGAAGATTCATCATCTCTGACACTCGTTCTCTCAGCTGCTCCTCCAGCTGGACCCGCAGAGCTTTCTCCCGCTCCCTCTCCAGAGCCGCTCCGCCCTCACGGCTGCTCAGGGTGGCAGTTAGATCCGCACAAGACACCTGAGCGGTATGTGACGCCCGGGACAGTTCGTTACGCATATCAGACAAGTCCCTGAGATCAGAGGGAGATTGACACAGCACACCTTCAAACCTTAGACTCAGGTCAGAGCAGAGCATGGATTTCAAGACTTCGCAAAATGTACGGACCTTTCAGTGGCGCTCTTTAGTTCACAGATACTCCTACGAAACCCGACCACCTGCCGCCACAGAGTCAGCAGTCTGCTATGCTCTCTACTGAAATAACTGTGGAAAGACTGAGATAACAGAAAATACAAAATTAGGTAATCAAATATCATATTTTTTCTTCTTTGAAGTATTTTCCTGTTTGCTAAACATCCGTATCCTACCTCTTCTTCTCTCCTCCAGTCAGACTCCTTTTGTTCCAGTTCCTCTCTGGCTCTGGTCCAATCAGCGGTGAGTCTACGGATGTCCTGGCTGAGCGCCTCATTGGCCAAACTGGCCTGCTCCAACTGTTCCCTCAGCATGGCATTCACCGCAGACAGACTGCTACTTCTGAGGGTGATAAAAATAAACGATTGAGCCACAACAAAGTCATATTCTGAGATGATCGATGGACACCACACCAGAAAACGAGATGAATTGGGTTGGCTGCTGGTCACCTCTGTTGTTCTTCCTCCAGACGGATTAAAGTGTCCTCCAGATTGCTGCATGGGTCTTCCTGATTACTCCCGTTTGATGCTTCGCTCTGCAGACATTGTGATAATAAAAGTGTTACTGGTACAGCGGTTTACATGCACACCCCATGCACAGAGACTACGGTCCACTCACTATTGGCCTCTGTTTCTCCAGCTCTGAAGACTTATTTTGCAGCATCTGCTCCAGATCCCCACACCTCTTCTTGTACTGAAGCACCTTAAGAAGCAGGAAAAATTCTGTCAAACTTAAAACATCCAGATGACAAAAACTAGGCTAAGGAGAGAATAAGCTGTTGTACCTTCGCCTGTAACTTTTGGACAAGCTGCGCCTGCCTCTGCTGACCTTCCTGATAAGCAGTAAGTTTTCGCTTGTAAGCCGCCTGCTCCTCATCCAGCCGCCGCCGTAAATCCACATTCTGCTGAGCCAAGCTGCGTGACTCAGGTGAATCATGGTCCCCTTCACCTGTCTCAAAGCGTAGTGTTTGCTCAAGCTGTGGGTTTAATTAAAAGTAAAAGGCAGGGGGTTAGCTTTAATTTTACACTACTGTACCTAACAGATGGTCATGGATCTTCTCAGTACTGTCATGCTGTGAAATCAGCCACATCATTACACAAATTAAGAAATTCATCTTCAGTCTTAACGTTTGATTCTAGACCTAAAAAGACATGTTGTCAAAAAATAAGATTTCTATCACATCAGACAAAAACTTCCCTAAACAAACTTTGCCCACATGCCATGCAGCTCAATCTGAATGAACACTATCGGGATTTCTTCAAATTTGATTCATTTTAAAATAAATTCCACAGTGAAGAAACAGCCCCACCTTCTCTTTCTCCACACTTACAGTCGTCTAAGTCTTTCTTATCCTTTTATGAACAAATCTGATGGCAGAGACATGGATTTTCTCACATTTACTCACACTCATTCAGCACAAAACAGTGAACTTAGATCTTATTACAATAACTCTGTGGACTTTGTGAAGCATCATTAATCTCAGTATTTAAAGGGGCCGGCTTATTGTTTTTTTCATATTTTACATGTAAACAAAACTTTGTTTGTACAGTTATGTGTTGCTTATAAAAGGACTCAGAACCACTTGACTTACTCTGTAGTATCATTAGACCTATGACTTAAATATGTTGTGGTGACTGCACTAAAAAGTAAATAATCTGGGAAAGTAGAAAACTGTAATCCATAATCCTTTAGAGTAGGTGGTCCAACAACACGTATTTAATACCCTACAAGACTAGTTACTGATGGTTCATAGTTAGTAACATGTTTTATGAAAACATTTGTTTATCTAAAGGGCAGCCGAACTTGTCTCTTGTTTTTTTTGGTAATGTTTAATCCAAACTGAGATGCGACGGCCACCCACTGCTACACCTCCTCCAGTCACCACTGAAGCCCCTGTTTACAGTTGCCCAGGGTGACAAACGCCATGGCGACATTCCACTTCAGTTCATTCCTACCCCCATCACCTGGGAAACGAACAAATCTCAGACAAAGACAGAAAAAAGTGAAACGAAAAAAACAATAAAATCCCTTTTCTGTGGGTCCAACTTAAAGAATTTGGGAGTTCTACTGCTTTACATAAAAAACAAAGAGGGCAGAAGATTTACATGTAAAGAAACCATCATACTGGATGTTATTCAGAGCCTTATCTAGTATCACCATCGTTTAATTGTATCCAATTTGCAGCTCACTCTTTTTCTTACCCAACATCGCAATCAGCTGTCGCCAGGTATTGTCCCAGTGCCTTAACCTACTTACCCTCTCACTAATTGCGCCGTACTTGATGGCGAGCTCATCTCGGTCCGCCCGGCTGTGCGCCAGTAGGTCCTCCAGCCTTGCCAGCTCTCCCTGCAACACCCGGTTCTCCTCCTGGATGGACATGACCGAGGACATGGCTCCAGCTGCTCAAAGAAAGGGTGCACATGGATAGGCAAAGAGACGGATTAAAGCGTTCATCTCGCTATGACAGGAAGAGCAAACCGATGACACTCACTGTTTTCATTGAGGTTCTTTGTGACAATCTCTCGAACTCTTGCTGGCAGACATGTAGGGGGGGCATCTGGTGAAGGACCCCGGACTGTCAGCCTCTTCTCCTCAGATAAAACACTCTCCTCCACTCTCTGGGAAACAACAAAAGACAAAGGGTGTTTTACCTTAAATGCATTTACACAGGTTAGATAGATAGATAGATAGATAGATAGATAGATAGATAGATAGATAGATAGATAGATATTCATGGAGAGGTGTTTGAAATGGGCCACAGAAACAACACAAAACTCATGAAACATAACATTGTATTCAGGCAATGTTTTGTAGACTCCACTGCACATAAAAAGGCAACAAAAACTCACACATTTCTTCACAAACCACAACAGTTGATCAGATATCAACACACGGATGGAGTAAGGCTCGGCGTGCCTCACCTGTATCACTGACTCCAGCTTGTTGGTGTCGGTGTCAGAGTTTTCAGCGCTCATCGCAGCAGATATTTAAAACCCTCCAGCGAGAGTCGGATTAACTCAGATGAGACGCGACGTTTCCACTCGCTTAAATGTCTTATTTTCTAAAGCGATATCAAAGTTCAAACTCAATTCTGGTGGAGGTCCCTGAGTGTTGTGTTTAGAGGTCCCAACAGTTCAGTCGCAGGGACGGAGCAGACAGAGAGTGGCCGTCCGCCGGTCACCGCCTCCTCCTCCTCCCCTCCTCCTCCTGCGGTGGTTCAGGAAGGCAGAGATTTGAGGACGGCAGGATTAGCAGGTTTAAGATGTACAGCCCTCCACCTACTCCTCCTCCACTTCCACCTACACTATTCCACTCTCACTGCTCTCACCAGTAAACCCTTTCAAGACCACTGCTATTCAACAGAGTCGAAGTAAAGGTTCATACCCAACTGTACAGATACGAAAACCATGTAAATATCCTTTAGACTTAGTGAGGACAGAATAACTGTCGTCTGTTTTGAAAATGAAGTTTGGAATTGAAGTTGAAAATAGCAAAATAATTTCGATTTTGAATCAAATGACTCAAAAGTTACAGGCTAGCTAACTTCGAGGCCCCGGCTATCAGCTAGCAGGCCTGAAGGGGAAAGTGAGTAATCCATGGGCTCCCAATTACATTTGGTTGTAACCATAGACTGTATAAACTACGGACAACTTTGTTTCGCCTTCCGCCAGTTTACGGATTTGAAGCCAAAAAGCTCTTGGTAATTCCGCGTTTTCTCTCCATTTCCTGAATGCGACATTGCGCAGTAGCGTTGTACGCACTCGACCACTTGCGCCGTAGCATTGTGCGCATTCGGCGGGAGAATCACTGTGATGACGCTCGGCTCAAACAGTGTCTGTGTCCGAAATGGATCCCTAACCCCTATCTCGGTGACTATATGGGGGTTAGCGCTATTTTTGAGGGGTGTCCGAAACCTCAGTGATCAATTCCAACGTTATCTCCACTAATAACATTTACTTTAATGTCTATTATGAAAGAACGAAAAGTAGAAGACAATCTGTGGTGTGTCACTGTTTAACAATGATGAAAATCTCCCCAAACTACCCTTGTACATTTTTATTTTTTACTTTGAAAGCAACATAACAGAGTAGCGACATTTAATCTGCTGAACTGAAACACCACACACAAAAAAGATGTTTGTCTTCAGTGTAGCCTCTAACAAGAGAAACAGTTAATGATGGCTTAGGATTTCAAGGTGGCCACTAAATTTAGTCCTGAGTTGGTATGTCTCACTCCTAAAGGTCATAACAGTCCCTTTTACATTGTTCAAGACAGCAACTTAACACCTCTGTTCATTTAGCATCAAAGTCACACAGGTGTAAAGGTGGGGCAAAGGTGTCTCACCACTGTGTTGGCATTGGAGGTAGAAACAGAGGTAACAAACATAGAAGCTGGCAGGTAGTCGTGCTGTTTACAATGCCATAATAACACTTTAAAATCACACTGGGACACCTTTTAGTAAGCTGTCGCTGGTAGCAGTTTCTAATACCCAGTATGTTTTGCTTTGTTAACTCTCAATGACTGATGCAGGTGAAACATGTTTGGTCTCGCCACAAATAGGAGACTATTTCATTAGACATCTGTTTTTCATTTCTCAGTGGTCTCAAGGAATCCTTCTGTGACTTCTTTTTTCAGAGAAAAGGTATAAAAAACCTGCTGACGAAGAGGTATTCAGCCTCAATTTACAAGTCCACAAAGTAAACAATAAGAAGCACTTGGACAGATACTTGGTCATGTTCATCGATACCCCAACAACAGTCAATGAATCTTATGACTTTAAAAATTATGATGAAAATGTTGTTTCGTTGGCTGCCTCCCTACCCTTCACACACTCTACTCTTGTAAGTAAGACAAGTTTTTGTCCGAGATGTTCACAGATGGGCTTAAAATCAGTCATTCCTATGGTGGTAAAGTTAACAATTCTTAAGTCAATTGTTTAGTTTCAGTTTAAATTTGAAGCAATTGTGTTTTAAAGTGTGTCTGTAAAACATGTGCATGCAAAACTATGAAATGAGCTTTCAGCATGGGACATCTACTCTGCTTTACTGTGTTTGCATTGTCATAGCTACAGACAGAGAGGATGATTGTGTCAACAGAAGACCCCCACCCCGGCCCTTACACACACTCCTGTTGTTTTACATCTGTGAGACCTCCCAGTGACTTTCCACATTCAGTCTATTCATCTCAACTATTACAAGTGAAAAACTACTGGTAAATGTGGCCTTAAACTTTGCACTCAAAGTTGAATAGAGCTGTATTAATATATTCTGAATGTGAACCACAAATGGTCTGTTTTAAGGAGCTACAATGCAATGAGAAAGAACAACAAATATCATGGTAGCAAAGCTTTGCAGAGATATAGCAGTAACCTACGGTGGCCGAGAACTGCCACTGCTGCAAATGAAAAAGAATGCAAAAAAAAGAAGCCACAATGGAAGTCACCGATGCAAAAGAAAAGAAAGAAACTGAAGCCCGCTGCAAATAAAAAAAAAAGAAACGGTGCAGATAAAAAAAAGAAAGGCCACAACGGAAGTTAACGACACTGGTGTTGTTAGCTTCAGGTCAACTTCATATCGACTCAGGCACTACATGGACTGACCACAATGAAAAGCACACAAAGTGAAATTAAACAATAACCTTTCCATTTACTTCTTTGCTCGTCTTGTGGTAATGACCTTAAGAGATATGACAAAGTAAAGGATTCCCTCCAAGTATCAATTAATTTAGACCAAAGTTGCATCTGTGGCGCCCCCAGCTGGCACATTGATCAAAATACTGCCACTACATTCAGTAGATGTGAAATTATTAACGTCTGATTAAGTTGCCATTTAACCTGTCAATTCCTCATCTGCACAACCAAAGTACGTCAGAGTACGACTCTGACTTTTGACTTTTTAATCCCCAATGACATGATGTTAACAACCAGTAATGCAGCCACAGAATATCTACTGAATTTAACCGGTTTAGTTTCCCATCAGGAATCTTCATCAGCTTCTCTATCATTAACTAACACCTCAAACATGTTAAATGATCATACTACGTACGGGTGTTTCTTTCATAAGCGTCTTCCTAATGTTAATCCGTTTTCATTAAAAGTGCATCCAAAGGACACACCCAAGTTTTCAAAGATCTGTCAGGAGTTGGAGGCGGGAGAGGAAGGAGGAGGAGGAGGAGGAGGAGAAGGGTAGAGGAGTGAGGAAAGTGGTTTTAGATCTCACTGTAAAGCACTAGAGCAAACCCGGCTAACAACGAGCTACTGATATTCTAATAAATACAAACGCTTTAAAACGGACACAACAGTTTGGATATTGAACGCCTCATTTTGGCCAATATCGCTGTTCACAGCCAGTGTTATTGTTGTTGGTCGCTGTGAAACATCCACTTCCCTGTCTGATTTATGGTCTCACCTCGACTGATGAGCTGATGAGAGTTAGCACACCGGTCCTCCATTCCTCCGAGCAGATTTTGCGATCCAAAATAAAGCAGAAATAAAAACCATTGGCAGCAGTTACTGGAAATACATCTACAGCTGCCTGCAGGCTGAACTGCTTCCCCTCAAATCTCCTCCATGCTTTTTCCGGGGAGGGACTTCCAGTTCATCTGAAGCAGCAGCAGCAGCCTGTGGTCTCCAACACTGTGAACCAATGCTGAGCCTGTTTTAGGTGATTACACGCATTGTTGTGTGTTTAAACATTTCTTTTTTTTTTTTTAGGATAATTTTTTAATGCCACGCTTTGAAGGAAAACGTGTGATGATTAAATTCCGCAGACTTTAGAATAAAAAAAAATTATATTATTTTTAAAGTTGAACTGTTAATTGTATGGAGGAGGATTAGGGCCATAAAAGTAAAAAGAAATTCAGATTTAGTATTAAAGGGATATTCTGGTGTAAAATTAATTTAGGGTTAAACACACCGTAACACCAAGTTAGAAACCCCCTCTAGACGTGAACGTTGCCGACCACTTGCTTCTCTAGTTATGGCAACTTTAGTAATGACCGCAATAGCAATACACAGCGGTCTGAGGAGCCACACACAAACCTCAACCAAAACGTCACTCTATAGCCACAAATAATGCTCAGAACAACACCTAACTTCATCAACAGGACATTTAGGGTCCCAGCCATAGCACTAGCCATCAAACATCTTTTTAACTTTGCCTGATTTCTTTAGCAAAGAGACTAAACACAACTCACCTACTCTCTTCCAGCAGCCGCTTGTTTGTTGGAGATGTAGACTGCTGTGTATTGCTATCCTGGAGTCGTTACTAAAGTTGGTATAACTAGAGAAGCAGGTGGTCTGCAACATTCATCTCTCGAGGGGGTGTCTCACTCGGTGTTGCGATGTGTTTGACCCGAAATTAATTTTACGCCAGAATATCCCTTTAAATTCTGATTTTAGATTCAGAATTATAAAATCAAAAGCAGAATTCCAAAATTAAAATCGGAATTGACTTGTTCCAGACAACTGACATTTTTTCCCTAAATTCCAACAGAAACCCAGAAAGCGTACCAGTTTATTGTCTGCAAAAACAATGATATCCGCAAGTGTCAAAATAACTAGTCAGATTAATGGAGGAAATCCAGTTTCATTACAGGTCTAAAACCACATAATCAAATGTTAATAAAGTTAGATTCACTCTGAATGAAATAACCTTATATGATGTTTCATATATGTAAGTGTGGTCAGTAATCTGTTGTTAAACCTAACTTTTGAATTTGAATTATCAGCATCAAAACAATTGAAGAACTTTAAAAACAACTTCTCTGCAATTAGTTTTAGACTCAACATAATGCTGGGCTATTGTTGGAAATATAAAAAGATCTTTGGTAATGCCCATCATATCTGTGAGTAACATAACCTCTTGAAAAGTAAAAAGTACTCTTTGAAACAGCACAATACTGAAAACTAAATGCAGTCATGATAAGAAGAAATGTCTGACCCTTTCTACAAACTAAAAATCACACTAGTCTACTCACAAATAAAACACAGGCCCGTGAAATATATTGTTTTATTTACAAGAAGACATACCATTTTGAATTTTAGATCATTTCTTTCCAGGAAGGCACTTGATCAAAATACTCAATTTTCGTACTAGCATTAAAGATTAAGGAAAGCTCAATTTGGTAAAAGGCACATGTAAAAAGGGACGACACAAAAGGCAAAGACAAATAAGAAGCAACACTACAAAGACAAATGGACAGAACCAAACATTGAACTATGGACAAAATGCCTTTTTTTCCAATATTAAAAAAAGAGTTTGGGTAGTTTTGGATGAAGGCAGAAAGAAGTTTAACTTATCACCAATCAGAACTCAATAGAAATGAAAAGGTTCTCCTAAAAGAATGGGTAAAATACAGAAACAACGAGCACACACACTGGTATACATCTACATAAAACATGGGTACTTCAATGGGTAAACCTTTAATTTCCCAAAAGGTTGAAACAACATTGAGATGAGTGTTGCTGATGTGAAGGGATCACTGAAAACAAGTGCTTGACACAAAGGCAGGGTACAGAGTAAAGAAAAGTTCCACTGGTTGCATAGCAGAGTGTAGAAATCGATTCTGATTGTAAAAAATATGATCATTTTACGGTTTGATCCTCCAGAGTTTGTTGGTCGGTGGATTACACTTGTTTATGAACAGTCTCTTTGTAGAAAGGTGCAGTGAATGAGCTAGTTTGCTAACAGCTCTCCCTCTTAGTTTCTCTTCCTTCTGATCGTCCTGTCCTTGGAATGTATGCAACCTGAGCACATGCACGCTTTCTCAGAACTCAGCTAAACTGCACCCATCCTGAACTCGCTGCGTCTTTACTGGAGCTGTGGAGGAGGAGGAGAGGGATGAGTGTGATGATGACGATAATGACAGCGGGGAAGGTTTTTGTCATGAACCTTTACTTTTTACGTGACATTTTTATTTCAAACTCACTTGGATCCAGCAGATGTGAAGTCCCCCCATAGGTCAGAGCTGGGCTGAGCTGTAGGGACCGGGGAACCGAAGTCTAAAAGAGGGGCTGGATTTGGAAGAACACAATCGTACACTGATGACTGCTTAAATCATGTAAGGATGTTAAAAGAAATGTTGTCTAATACCAAAGTTCAGTGATTACCAGGGTTAGACTGTGCAGCTGGGACTGTTTGTTGTCCCACAGGAGGGGGGAGGAACCCTCCAGCCTTTGCACCTGGTGGCGGAGGGAGCAAACCCCCACCCATAGGTCGTGCCTTGGCACCTCCTGCCTCCTTTTTCTTGATATTCTGTGTTAGGAACAACAATAGCAGTTTCTGTTCACATGCCACCATCAAATTTGGGTTTATTTCCTTCATAAGTTAGTTTTATATGTAACCATTTCATTTTATTCCTAAATAGTACCTCTACTTCTGTGCTGTTGGTGCTGAATACTCACCCCAATGCTGATCTTGATGGTCTGTCCTTCTTTGAAGCTGAGGTCCAACTTTGGTGCTTCACTCTGAGTAGCTTCCAGTTTTGCAAGCTCACCTTCTTGCTTCACCCATCTATAGGAACAGAGTTTTAAACATAGAGAGATTATCAATTAAAATATTTCGAATGCTCAGACAGAGTTGCTACAGTACCCAGATACAGTCAAAAACAAAACAACTTGAGAAGGTTTATGGTTTGGTCTGTTTATAAAGCTACACACTAAAATGATCTTAATCAAAATAACTCATGCAAACATAGTCTTGTCAGGTATCAGGGTATCAGGTTGTACAGACACAGTTTTTCAGGTAATTTTAGAAAGAGAGAAATCAGAGATAGAAGAAAAACTTACTTAAAATGGTCTTGTAAAGCTACATTGAAGTCAAATGAGTCTCCACGATCAGCAAAACCCAGGCCAATAAAAGCGTGTCGCCCTTTTTGGCACCATTTGTAAAGACAAAGACACATTAGGGAACCATTTACACCACATTTGAAACATGAAAAATACTGTCTTACATTTAAAGACCTAATTAAACAAAACACCACTTAAAATAAAACAGCATATTATATTTCAAAATCAAAGTGACTAGTGGAAATGTTGGCTAAATCTAAAAAATTATGGGTCACAATAATTTTAAATCAAAGGCCAAACAAACAAACAAAGCTTGAGTCTCAGCTTGAAAAGGTTACCGGCCTCAATGCAGATATGATGTGTCTGTACACTCATTTTTAAAATACATTTTTCTCCTGTTAACATTGGAAAAAGGTCTGATGAAATGGGATTACCATTGCCGTCTTCTATCCGGATCACGAAATACCGGCTTGAGTCTGTTACCGCTTCAACAACACTGCCAGGGTACTGTTCGACTGGAGCTTGAGCAAACAACTCTCCTGCGTAAAACATATTTACACCAAACAGTTAAAACGCTGCCGTGATCGTACCACGCTTTACTGTTATGATGAAATTACACATTTGGCAAACCTTTACAGAGCTTTTTTAAGAGGTTACCTTTAGAGAATAATGTGCACACTGACACATTAAAATCAGTATCAGCTGCATTTTTGTTTTTTTTCACCTGTGTTTTTGTCCTCTAACTTAATGAAGGCCATTTTGCCTTTAGCTGTGATTTTCATCCTTCCACTCCAGGCAGGCTCATCCAGCTTCCAGTCAGCAGCTCTACAAAAACAGGAAACACACTTCTGATTATGTCAGTGGTTTTGTCTACTTATCACTCACTGAGAGGGCTCACCGTTTTTACATGGGCAGCTGCAGTTTTTCACAGTACAAGGAAGTGAAATTAAAAAAAAAAAAATCAGGAAGAACAAGTTGAGAGTTGATGTACAAAGAGATCTATTTCTCTGCGGCAGTCTACAGGAAAAAAAAATCCGCTAAAGGACAGCTGAAACAACTTTGAAAGTTCTGTACTGTGAAAAACTGACACACTTATCGGCTCTTTTATCTATTTTTCATCCCATCGAGTTGGCTGGATGATTGCAAGATATAACTCCAACATTAATCTATCTAACAGTAATTAATATATATGTTCCAAACTAATACTATTAATAGTAATGGTAATAGTTTACTTGTAATTTTTAAGTACCTCCCATTGTAAAATTGGACATAGTGTTCTTCAATCCTTTCAGATTACAACATCAAAATTATGTTGGTCTTGGTTCGCTTTTCAAATCTGAAAATGTATAGGACAAATAAAGTCTGTACAATACGTTTTATACTCATACATTTAGACCAGTAATAGTAGTTGTTATATTCATGTGTGTTTATGCTATCCTGTGTGCACTCGCAGCCTATTTTATGCCACCCCAAAGGTCATTAGGTGAATATAAGATCAAATGTTGCTGTTCTGATTAAAATCTTTCTTATTGACAATACTATGTTATCTGTTTCAGTGGGGTATATTCAATTATGATCTGGTAATGATGCAAACAAATGAGAGTGTAGTTGCGAAATATAAGTGAACATTGTATTAAATGATTCTAAAATGAAAACTATTTTGATAAATACAATAGTCTGCAAAGGATTTGCAGGTATCATCCACCTATTGTTTATTCTTTTATAGTATATTACTGTTTATTTACATTGATCAGGCTTATTAACAATGTTTCACTCATATCACATGTACAAAACAACCCTAATTTAATTCTCCAACCAGTTTAGTGCTACCATGTTGCTTCACAGTGTTCTCCTGAGAGGAAAATGTCTGACAACAGAGTGTAATTAAAATTATTTTCAAGGCTGTTTACTCAGAAAAGAAAAACACATCCCCTTTTATGTTTAACACAAAGTTTTTACGGGTTGGCCCGTTGTTTCCAAGTCTAATCTAATCAAAAGTAGTACACCAGTTGAGCCCCCTCGGTCCAAAAGTCTGGGTACGCCCCTGGATTTGATAAACTAGCTCTTGAGCGCACTCTGACTCTGCACTGACTCTTCACCAATAACAGGGCACACTAACACGGCCATTTTTAACTTGTACAGGCACACTTATAAGTGTGCTAAATTCCTGTTTTCTCACCACTTGTAGTAATACTTGTGAGCGGGTGTAACCTGCTGTAGGTGAGGACTTAGTGGACAAAGTCAGGACGGAGGTGTCCAGTTGCTGAACGCAGATAAAGTTACAGCCGCAGACTTGTGCTCCAAAATAAAGCTCGCGTTATTTTCTGCCTAGCTCCAGGATTCAGTCTCAGCTGGTTCATGTCTGCTAAAGGCTTTCAGTCACTGACTATGTGGTCAGTGACCATCGAAACACAGAAGAGTAGCCCATTGCTCTCATCCTACTCGGTGGTTGTCCGATAATAGGCATGCTTCCGTTGAAATAGCTTGTTCAGCGGCTCTTGTTGATCACTAAAGTTTCTCCTTTCTCTTACCGATATCCACGGTTAGACGCCCGCGGCGGGATCCGATAAACATGGACCTCAGGTTTTACACAGAGCATTGACTCATAGCTGTCGTCTTCTGCCATTTTGCCAAGTTTGATGAAACTATCTGCACAACTTCCGACTTTCAATGTACACCTCTGGGGTTAGTTGAACCCGCTGATCCATCCCGAGGAACCGCGATGCTTCATACGGACAGCGCCGCGTCTGGTCTGGATGCTCCGAGTTTGGGACACACAGGCTAATGATTATTCTTCAGATTTTCAGAAACATTTGATCTGCATGGTTTTATTCCAAGTTTATCTATTTACTCCTTCTTAAATTTTCGCAGTTTTCCATAATTCCATCACAGTCTCTCTCTCTCTATATATATATATATATATATATTTTTTTTTCGTTTTGCAGCATCTCGCAATCTTTCCCTGTTTATTGAGACCTGTAAGGGAATCCTGGTTTCCACTGAGGGGACCTCTGCTCTACAGCCTCGGCCAAAAGTTTTGAGAATGACACTCACAATTATGTCCAAGAACACAGTCGTGGATAAAGAATGGTACCAAAGCATCCTCGGAGAGCAACTTCTCACAACCATCTGAGATCGGTTCGGTGACGAACAATGCCTTTTCCAGCATGACGGGGCGCCTTGCCATGAGGCAAAAGTGATAACAAAGTGGCTCAAGAAAAAAAACTAAAAATTTGGGGTCTATGGCCAGGAGCCTCTCCAGACCTTAATCCCATAGAGAACTTGTGGTCAATCCTCAAGACGTGGGTGGACAAATAAACGTAAAATTTGACACTTATGAAAGGATTGTAATTATACTTCAGTATGACATAGAAACATCTGACAAAAGATTTAAAAACACTGAAGCAGCAGACTTTGTGAAAATTAATATTTGTGTCATTCTCAAAACTTTTGGCCACAGCTCTAAAGTGGAGGGTGTCACTTTTATAGTGTTTCTCTTCTGAGAGTTAAGGCAGAAACAAGAATTTTAGTGTCATAATCGCCTTAAATGAAAGTATAGCAATATTTTCTTTGTTGCCATGTATTAAGTATTAGATTGTTTAATGTGGTGATTTAAACAACAGAACCGGGACATATATTTTTTAAGGCCTTACTAAATTTTCAGCAAAGATTGCTAGTTTAAAACATTAAGTGAAAGAAACAATGCTGGAACATGATCTGTAAGGCCCTAAAAATGCCCTTGTTTGTAGCGAGACATTACGGACTGCTGAGGGGTGACGCAACTCAAGGAAGAACATTTATGATAATTTCTTCATAGAAATGCAATCAGACCGAGACGCTAAGGCAGAAGAACTATCACGGCTGCAGTGCAAAAAGATTAATATGGTGATTATTACTTCAAGGAAATGATAAAGAAATGATCGTAAATGTTCTTCCTTGTGCTGCGTCACCCCGCTGCAGTCCGTAATGGACTGGCCTGAGGTCTCGCTATAAACAAACGACTATTGGAGTAGGTGAGTTGCACTTAGTCTCTTTGCTAAAGAAATTAGGCAAAGTAAAAAAGATGTTTGGTGGCTAGTGCTGTGGTGAGGACCCTGTATGTACTGATGATGACGTTAGGTGCTGTTCTGAGCATTATTTGTGGCTATAGAGTGGTGTTTTGGTTGAGGTTTGTTAATGGCTCCTCAGACCTCTGTGTATTGCTATCCTGCAGTTGTTACTAAAGTTGGTATAACTAGAGAAGCAATTGATAGGCTACATTTATCTCTTGAGGGGGGGTCTAACTCGGTGTTACGGTGTGTTTGACCCAAACTTAATTTTACGCTGGAACATCCCTTTAAATTACAAAGAAAAGTAACCTGTTACACGATCACTGTTGTCATATAGTAATGTATCGCCTGAGATAGGCAAATTGTACAGAATTTCAAACAAACATTGCTCAGTGGTCTTTATGAAGTGTGTTTATTAAAGGGTATTCAAATGTTATTTTGAGCTCTTCAAGTTTAATATAACACTGACATCAACAACTAGACGGATTGGTGTGAATGACTGTAGCTGAACTAAACTGGAAGTTCAAAAATGAGCTTTAACTTATTCATTTAAAATCATTACAAATCTCTCATTTAAAAAGCTAAACACAGTACCAAGGAACAGTGTTTTAGTTCCACAAATCCTTACTGTTGCAGGCCCATATCCAACTTTTGACAATGAATGTCCTCCCCTACATACAGTGAGCGCAGATACAAAGATGTTGAGATGTTACAGCTGAAATGGAAAATGAACAGATATCTTTCATGAAACATTAAATGTGCACTTTCTTTAGTAAGGTTGGACTAAATGATACAAATGCAGCAGGTTGTAATGGAAAAGCCAGCAATTTTTTCACAACTGTTCATTCTGGTTTTAATTTGGCGGAGTTCAAATATCAGCATTTAAATGATGCTGGAAATCATTTGGACTAATTGTTGTCAAAACCCAGGCTTCATAAAACCTTTCCGTAAAGAAAGCATTATTGCGCTCTTACTGTTGATTTGTATGGCCATTAAACCAGTGCCTCCATGGCATGTCCTCCGATCCCTGAACTTATGAACCAACCATAAGATCAATGCACACTGCACATTTACGTTCATGTATAAAACTGTGGATCATTTGTTATTTAAGGCATACAAGTGTTTCAAAGTCCCGAAATGGCATAGGTTCATTAACTGTGAACCAGGCAGAAACATCAGTACTGGTAACTCATCAGTGTCTGATAAATTGATCTATTTTTAAGGTTGCAAAATTCAGTAGGTGGCAGACAAGCCATGTAAGATCAGTTTGATTGAAAGGATTCTCACAATAAAGACAATCGGCAGAGCAAGTCAGATAGAATTTGGCATTCCTCTAAAAAGGGCACTAATCAATACACATTATTTCTAATGCTTCTCACCACAAATTTCCCTTGCATGTTAACTTCACAAAAGAAAGCAGTTGTGACATGCCTAAATCAGGCTCCATGCTGGGCATGTAAATCTGAGGAACCTGAATTGATCTTTTTTAAAAGCACTATTTTTCAATCAACTGGATTGGGTGTAAAATTATTTGTATCCTTCTTGTCTCTACCTATTTAGTGTGGTTATCCTTTTGAGTTTGGAAACGGCAAGGCGACACACACACACACACACATTTCTAAACTGAAGATTTTTGAATCCTGAATGGGTTGGACTTCTTTCAATTTGATAAAAGTCTCATTTTACACTACCAAGAGCTATGCAGGCTACATGATCTAATCTCTGATCTACTACAAGTCTTTTGACTTAACAGAAAGAAAAAAATCACAAACATGAAAAACAACAATGTAAACTATAAAAGAAAAGATCATTTGAAAGAAAGTACAGCACAAGTGTTTATGCGTTACATAAAAAATAATCCAGGGAGTAGATTTCTTATTGCTTGAATAGATTTAGATTTTGTGACATTCTCTCGTTCTTTCTGCAATCTTTGGCCTCAGGCTGTGTGCCCACCGAGCATTTGCTCCATAGCAGAAATTGCTGGTCTGCTCCCCACCACTGCTTTGCAGCTTCAGATTAAAACACACCTTAAAGCTCAGTGCAGTTTTACAAAAGGCTTGGATCAGTTTGACCCCCAAATACTTTGCACTTAAGCCGGTGAATACACAGTACCTTTCTGTCAAGCACTTCGTTTCCACGTAGCCAGACAAACAGTGACCAGCTACCCGGTGGACACCCAGCCATGACTCGCAGTCCATCGACGGGCAAGCCCTCTCATTAAGTTAGCTGTGTCTGGGTTAACCTCACAGACTCACAAGCTCTACTTAAACACCTGATACCCTGGCACCCAGCTGGCCAATCATACTTCTAAAATCATAGGGCACCTCATGGTACGTCAAAGTATCACAGTGTGCAGGGATGTGAAGCCAAAGCTTGTTCACAGTGTGGAACAGCCATTGTTTCAGATCTTTGGCTGATCTCTGCCAGCCCCTTTGTAATGATCCACAGGAGGAGGAGACTGGGCGAAAGGCAAAGACCTTATCAGAAAGCAGAGTAGAGAGAGGGTAACAGTTCTTTTCAGTCCATGCTACGTGTTCATATTTCTAATGTCTGTCCAATACATTTGTCACCCCCAACTCTACTCTTAATACCGCACACATCCCTTTAGATTGCCACCCTCTATGTCCTCTTAGGGAGACAGTGGATTTCTCACTCCAGGTAGCTCCTGTTTATCTGCCGAAGCGGAAGCCTGGAGTGCCATCTGGACCAGTGGGCTGGCGGATCACATTACTGTTTGGACGAACTTGTTCTGACGGTTGCTGCCCACCCACACGAGCTGGCCTATAGATATGGAGGAATGAAAATAGATTACATGCCATAACTTGTCTTTTTGGGGCTTTTTCTAGTTTTAGCAACAGTAAAAATTCTATTTCAACCTCTAGTTTTTCAAGCCATACCTGTCCTGACTTGGATTGTCCTGAGGAGTTTCATCTGAAGAAGCACTACCCAAAATCCTTCTCCGGGCTTCGGCATACTCGGCCTCACGTTGGGCTAAAGACTTCATCTGCTGAGAAGGTCGAGTTGAGGATGCGGGGTTTCCTGCGATACCATTGTTTGAGGGCCGTTTCAAGATTCGTATTTGTGGTGGGGGTGCTGCAGGCAAAGAGTCATCCTGGATCACAACAGCAGTTCGAACAGGTGAACCAGTCGGAACAAAGCTGGATTTTCTGTTTAAGGAAGCAAATGAATGGTAAAAAATGTTGGAAAATCATTTTATATTTTCACCAAAAATGCAACATATAAGTGTTCTCTTTGCTTACTTTGCCTCTTGATTTATTTTCAACTTTTGCTCAAGTCTTCGCTCTATTTCCTGAGGAGGGAAAAAAAACTAGTTATATTACATTTTTTTATTTCAGAGCAGGTCAATCTTTGGTCCTATTGATCTGAATGTCAAAGTATAGCACTCTAAGGTGGTTGCACTGCTATTGGATTAGACAGCTGGGGATTGAATGCATCGAGTTCTTGTCTGTTCCTTTTATCTGTGTCCTTACGCAATCATGCCTCACCCACTAACAGGAGTCAGTAATCATACAGCTTTGCCAAAGGATTTGGGCTATTTTGTTGATTCCTCACTCTTTAAGATTGCAGTTGTCGACCACATGCCTAAGTGGGTCTAATCATCCCACAGAGCTTTTTCTTGCCACTGTTGCCTGTATCAGAGCTGATGGGTTTCTAAACCAAGTCAACTTAGATATAATCTATATTTAAAGTGCTATATAAATACAACTGAATATTAATTGAATCTCAAAATAGGAAAATATACACAAAATGGGGGATGAGGATAACAGATAGAAATGTAATTTGTTAAGTCCTCTTTGCAATTTAGGTAGTGAAAAGGGGCCTTAAAGGGATATTAAGGCGTAAAAATAAGTTAGAGTCAAACACACCGTAACACCGAGTTAGACACCCCGTCCAGAGATGAATGTTGCCGACCGCTTGCTTCTCTAGTTATACCAACTTTAGTAACGACCGCACAATAGCAATACACAGAGCCACGCTTCAACCAAAACACCACTCTATAGCCACAAATAATGCTCAGAACAGCACCTAACTTCATCAACAGGACATATAGGGTCACAGACATAGTACTAGACACCAAACATCTTTTTAGCTTTGCCTGGTTTCTTTAGCAAAGAGTTTCACCCACTCTCCTCCAGCAGCCGCTTGTTTGTACAGAGACCTCCGGGCGAGTCCATTGACTGCAGCGGGGTGACGCAGCACAAGGAACAACAATTTATGATCATTTCCTCATTGAAATGCAATCAGACGGATACACTAAGGCAGAAGAACTACCACGTCTGCAGTGCAAAATGATTAAGATGATGATTATTACTTCAAAGAAATGATAAAGTAATGATCATAAATGTTCTTTCTTGAGCTGCGTAACCCCGCTGCAGTCGATGGACTCGCCCGGAGGTCTCCGTACAAACAAGCGGCTGCTGGAAGAGAGTAGGTGAGTTGTGTTTAGTCTCTTTGCTAAAGAAATTAGGCAAAATTAAAATGATGTTTGGTGGCTAGGACTCTTTATGTATTGTTGATGAAGTTAGGTGCTGTTCTGAGCATTATTTGTGGTTATAGAGTGGTGTTTTGGTTTAGCGCGTGGCCTTGTGTATTGCTATCGTGCGGTCGTTACTAAAGTTGGTATAACTACAGAAGCAAGCAGTTGCCAACAGTCATCTCTCAACAGGGTGTCAAACTCAGGTGTGTTTGACCCTAACTTAACTTCACGCCGCAGTATCCCTTTAACAGTACAGCAACTGTATGAAAAAGGAATTTCAGTAATTGTATTGTGTACAGCATCTTTAGACTGTTACGGGGTTGATCCAAACTGTCCATACCTTGGTAGAGGTTTGTCTGTTTATTATAAAACTACAAAAGTGGGATAAAATCATGCAACCCAACAATCAAATGTAATAACTATCAGTCTAGATGTCGTGTTTAGTTGCATTGCGCCTTAGCTAGCGAGTGTAAATTTGATAATAAGGGTTATCTTACTGAGTTACTGTATGTTGACAGTAACAACAGTCTCTACACCTCACAGATCATCCTACAGACGTTGCAACAACCACATTTAACTAGTTCGGCCTATAAACACAGTCAAGAAAACCCTCAGGATCCAACTGATAACAGTCCAAATAGTTTTGTTTAAAACATTCAACACAACTGGTTTGATTGTATTGTAGGGATTCACCCCAGAGCGGCCTGTCATTTCCGCAATGGGCGGGTCTAAAGGATAGGGGATAAAACTGGATGGAATACACTTTAACCAAGAAAGAGGCCTTCTGTTTGGGTTTCCATCATATATTCTCAGTTCTTATGTGACGAACATATACAGAGCCACAATCGGTCCCCTTTTTTACCGGACAGTGAGAGTCACCTAAAAAGAAGGACGACTTTCTCAGACCAGAAAACACGCTCACATAGATAACAAGATTATATATACGGATGCTGGACACTTCCAGTCTGCCGCAGGGTTTTCTTATGTTTGACAAACTTAACTGCTGTATTATTTATATGCCAGTGTTTTTTCTCACCCCGCTGTCGGCTGCTTCTTCCCAGCTTTCTGCAACCTCCTCATCCTCCATGTTTATCAGGACTGCTGGCTGGCTACCTCTTCGGCCACACTCGATCGCTATTTCCCCATCCACACAGAGGCCCTGATTAGTGTGGTGTCACTCAAAATGACCCACGGAGTTGTTAATACAACGTCTTATTATAAAAACAGGTCGACAAAATAGAAAATTTTGAAATACGCTTCCCTGGCCGCGTGTTAGCCTGCTAGCTCGAGAGGCTATTTCTGTAGGCAACCACCCCCCCTCAACCTCGACCGCTGCCTGCTACCTTAAATTTAGCGACACGTCCTTAACCAACCGCCGGTCACGGGGTTTGTCCAAACACCGCTGCTAAGTAAAAACACTACCAACAGTTGTTTTGATTGTCTTTTAGTGTTAACTACCCTCGGTTTCACTTTGGCTGTGTCTGAAGTTTAACCGTTTAGTTTCCTTGAGTTTAACGGCGACGGAAATGACGATTGTGTGACGTTAGCGTAAGTAGCGTTACTTGCTAACATTAGCTCTAGCTCTAAGTGGTGTTGTGTCGTTGGCGAACGGTTCTTTCAAAAGAACCGAGTCATTTAAATGAACATTCTGAACCGAATCACTTCTTCGAGTGTTTCGTTCGTTTCTCACTTCAGTTGAGCTGACGTGAGAAAAAGCATTGCCAGGCAGCCGGCGAACGAGGGACCAGATGCACCAACGCCTAAATCACTTGGTGAACTACATTCTCTGGAATCATTTTTGTTGGACAAAATGACCTTTTTTTTCACTGCGAAATTGCCACCACAACAACTTGCATACAAAAAGACACAGCAAAGAACAAGTAGTGCATTAAACCTGCAGCATATCATTGCTGCAGTTTGCGAGGGAACGGTGCATGTTCAGTGTGAATTCTTCTAGTATGAATTGAACTGAATCCTGAACTTTCAGCCGTGTATCAGTTCAGGAGGTCGGGGTTGTAGGCTCCTCCTGCCAAGCGCTGAATGATTTGGTGATTCAGTGAACGAATCTTTTGCACAAATCTTTTTAGTGAACTGATTCTAGTGATTCAGTACATCTAAAAGAACTGCCTACTAACACTAACATTAGGTCAAGCTTTAAGACTCCGGGACGAAATAGTTTTTTGTACGATGGTAGGGGAAGGTCCTGCCTCCTTCGCCTCTGATTGACTAGAAGTGCTGGGCTCTGATTGGTTATTCCTTATGGCTGTGAAATGTTATCATCTGTCAGGTTAGGGTTAGGATTAGGGTAAAGATTAGGAGATTCAGAAATGCAATTATGTTCTGTGATGTTCTCTTCGATGTACAGAGCCGACAGCCCACATTTGGCTTGAGCGTGTGATGACGTTTCCAGCTTTTCTAGCCAATCAGAGGCGAAGGCGGGCGGGACCTTCCCCTAACGTCCTACAAAAAAAAATCACCTCCAGCTAACTGGCAAGATTGAATACTTAACCCTTCCGGGCTCTTTAGATTGACTTCCCTCTAAAGTCCCTCGTGGCCGAAAAAAGCCACTTTTTTTGTCTGCTGTAAAATCATATTGGATTAATATTTTTTTCTGATTTTTTTTCACACATCTTTTATTTTACTTCTGCCCTGTTCGAAACTAGCAAATGTTTCATTGAAAACAATTTTTTTAACCCTTTAAGTGCCAATTTAAGACAAAAAGTCACTAATATAGCAAAAAATTAAAGGAAAATGACCCATTTTTTTATAAAACATGATCAGAAACTGGTAATCTCTTGCAGGGTATCAGAGTCTTGAATAGGTCAGAGATTAGTAATATAATTGACTTAGATGCCTTTTAGGTTTTTCTGTAGCATCAGATTTAATGAAAAACTGCGTTTGGCGCCCCTCAGTGGCCAAAACTACTTTGACTGCTGTAAAATGATATTGGATTAATATTTTTTTCAGATTTTTTTTTCATACATTTCTTATTTTACTTCTGCCCTGTTCAAAACTAGCAAATGTTTCATTGAAAATAAAAATTTTAACACTTTAAGGGCCAATTTAAGACATAAAGTCACTTAAAAAGAAAAAAAAAATGGAAGGAAAATTTTAAGGAAAATGACCCATTTTTTTTATAAAACATGATCAGAAACTGGTAATCTCTTGCAGGGTATTTAAGTCTTGAATATGTCAGAGATTAGTAATATAATTGACTTCAATGCATTTTAAGTTTTTCTTTAGCATCAGATTTAATAAAAAACTGCCTTTGGCGCCTCCCAGTGGCCAAAACTACTTTGTCTGCTGTAAAATCATATTGGATTAATATTTTTTTCAGATTTTTTTTCATACATTTCTTATGTTACTTCTGCCCTGTTCAAAACTAGCAAATGTTCCATTGAAAATAAACATTTTAACCCTTTAAGGGCCAATTTAAGACATAAAGTCACTTAAAAAGCAAAAAAAATGGAAGGAAAATGAAGGAAAATGACCAATTTTTTTAATAAAACATGATCAGAAACTGGTAATCTCTAGCAGGGTATCAGAGTCTTGAATATGTCAGAGATTAGTAATATAATTGACTTAGATGCCTTTTAGGTTTTTCTGTAGCATCAGATTTAATGAAAAACTGCGTTTGGCGCCCCTCAGTGGCCAAAACTACTTTGTCTGCTATAAAATCATATTGGATTAATATTTTTTTCAGATTTTTTTTCATACATTTCTTATTTTACTTCTACCCTGTTCAAAACTAGCAAATGTTTCTTTGAAAAAAAATTTTTCACCCTTTAAGGGCCAATTTAAGACAAAAAGTCTCTTATGAAGCAAAAAAATGGAAGGAAAATGGAAGGAAAATGACCTTATTTGCTTCATAAGAGACTTTTTGTCTTAAATTGGCCCTTAAAGTGTTAAAATTTTTATTTTCAATGAAACATTTGCTAGTTTTGAACAGGGCAGAAGTAAAATAAGAAATGTATGAAAAAAAATCTGAAAAAAATATTAATCCAATATGATTTTACAGCAGACAAAGTAGTTTTGGCCACTGAGGGGCGCCAAAGGCAGTTTTTTATTAAATCTGATGCTACAGAAAAACCTAAAAGGTATCTAAGTCAATTATATTACTAATCTCTGACATATTCAAGACTTAAATACCCTGCAAGAGATTACCAGTTTCTGATTATGTTTTATTAAAAAAATTGGTCATTTTCCTTCATTTTCCTTCCATTTTTTTTGCTTTTTAAGTGACTTTATGACTAAAATTGGCCCTTAAAGGTTTAAAATTTTTATTTTCAATGAAACATTTGCTAGTTTTGAACAGGGCAGAAGTAAAATAAGAAATGTATGAAAAAAAATCTGAAAAAAATATTAATCCAATATGATTTTACAGCAGAAAAAGTAGTTTTGGCCACTGGGAGGCGCCAAAGGCAGTTTTTTATTAAATCTGATGCTAAAGAAAAACTTAAAATGCATTGAAGTCAATTATATTACTAATCTTTGACATATTCAAGACTTAAATACCCTGCAAGAGATAACCAGTTTCTGATCATGTTTTATAAAAAAAATGGGTCATTTTCCTTAAATTTTTCCTTCCATTTCTTTTTGCTTTTTAAGTGACTTTATGTCTTAAATTGGCCCTTAAAGGGTTAAAATTTTATTTTCAATGAAACATTTGCTAGTTTTGAACAGGGCAGAAGTAAAATAAGAGATGTATGAAAAAAAATCAGAAAAAAATATTAATCCAATATGATTTTACAGCAGACAAAGTAGTTTTGGCCACTGGGAGGCGCCAAACGCAGTTTTTCATTAAATCTGATGCTACAGAAAAACTTAAAATGCATCAAAGCCAATGATATTATTAATCTCTGACATATTCATGACTTTGATACCCTGCAAGAGATAACCAGTTTCTGATCATGTTTTATAAAAAAAATGGGTCATTTTCCTTAAATTTTTGCTATATTTGTGACTTTTTGTCTTAAATTGGCACTTAAAGGGTTAAAAAAAATTGTTTTCAATGAAACATTTGCTAGTTTCGAACAGGGCAGAAGTAAAATAAGAGATGTGTGAAAAAAAATCAGAAAAAAATATTAATCCAATATGATTTTACAGCCGACAAAAAAAGTGGCTTTTTTCGGCCACGAGGGACTCTGGAGGGTGAAAATTTGTCCTGGCTTTATTATTGACCTGGTGAAAATGTTGAATTCATGTTTTCGAGTAGAATTTCAAATTAAGCTTAGAAAAAAAAATTCATCACATTTGCTGCAGTAAAAAAAAATATATATCCAAATAAGTCTCTTTTTTTTTCGTCAAATGGCCGAATTCGGCCACAGGGACCCGGAAGGGGAATGTAGTTTTGGCCAGAACTACAGAGCAACTCTTTTCAAGCAAAAGATGGATACACAGTAAAATGTGAACCGTTGTTTAGTGTTTTCAGGTTGGCTGAGGCCATTGTTGTTGACCTAATTTGTCCTCTAAACATTTTTGTGTTAAATTTAAATGGAAATTTTGATCATTTTCTTCAATAGCTTCCATTACATGTGACCAATTGACCTAAAACTGATTTCAAATAATAGTACTTAAGTCGACCAATAAGACACACATTATTTAATACATTTTTATTGTGCCCCTAAAGTTCTTTGTATGCTCCTTATTTTTTTAACTTAGGAACACATGTACTCCATCTGGAAAAAGTTAGTGTCACGCATCGCTGACTACTACAAGAGTCCATTGTGCAGACTCGTGCATCAAAACCCAAGAGAATCCTCTTTTATTCCCACTATATCTTATCTATGAGTCAATATCTGCTTTGATAAAAAAGATACGTCTTTAAATCAATAAAGAAGCATATATTCAGATTTTTATTCTCAAATCTTCTCTTTGTTAGCCGTCTGTTAGCAGATGGCTAACAGGATGGATGCTGCTAACAGACGAAAGGTGTGTCCAAAATCGTATACTTCCATACTAAAAACTAAAAATTTTGAGTATACTCCACTCAAAATGGAAAAAAGTATGGATAGTATGCGAATATTGAGTATGCAAAAGTACCCGGATAACGTACTCAAATCGGTCAAGATTTTGAGTATGCGACTGTGGACATTCGCCCGCACTCATTACATTGGTAAGAATGGCTGCGGACAGCTGTGGTGCCAGTGAGTCAGCAACAGTCGACCTGAAAGCTTTGTACAGATGTAAGTAATAAGTTGCCTTTATATTTTATATTATATTATATTTTATATATTATATAAAATATATTTAAAAAGTAGTTTTTTGTAAATAGTTCCTCTCTATTTTTAAATGGCCGCACGGCACTATGCGATTTGGAACAGCACTGCACCCTTGAAACTCGCGCACTGCACGATTGAGTAAAGTATGCTTAGTATACTCAATTTGAAAAATCTAAGTATTTAGTATGGAAGTATGCGATTTCAGTTTTGCTTTGTGTCGCGTTACGGAATTGATTTGTTTTTATACCATTGTGATTAATTAAAATACTTTTCAATTTATGAAATGTAGCAGACTTTTACTGCAACTTCACAAGTTAAAGCAACATCCGTTTATTATTGATTGGCTGATAGATTATTCCAATTAAAATCCGGATTATATTATGCTATTTTTTTGTTTATTTCCTTAAAAGCTTTCTATGATAATTTTAACTTTCCCTTGGGCGCCACATTTTCCCATGGCAGATGCTGGGGGGCCCAGTGTTTGGCCCACAGGTCCCACCCTGGTACCACAGACGGTCCGCGTCGCTGTGCTGCTGCTGCTGCGGAGGAAGCTGTTCAGTGAGCGGAAGATGGCGACTGTGTGGAGGCTGCAGAGAAAACTCCGGAGCTGATACCGGGGGAAGGACCGGAAAGATACACACCAAGAAACCGTTAAAAGACCACATCCAAAAAATAACGGTATGTCAAAAAAATACAGAGTGAAACTGACAACATATATGTGTGTAGAGGTTTCTGATCACCGAGGAGGAGCTGGTACCGGATAATTACTGCACACCGCCTGAGCTCAAGCTAGCGTTAGCAAAGATTATCAGCACTAGACTGAGATGTCAGCTAGCCTTGCCATGGGATATATAACATTAGCTGTGACTGTTGTCCGTGGAGGGTGTAAATACATAACAATCGGAGTGTATCCTTCTTTGTCAAGCGAAAGGGGTTTTAAAAAAGAACTAGTAATACCCCGCTAGCTAAAGGTTCAATGATGCTAGCTGACGATAGCTTGGATGCTTGTGGTCAGTTTTAGCCGGTGTTAGCTTTTAGTCTCAAATTTAAAGAACACGTAACTTTTAGACACAAATTTGTCAGTAAGATAGTCGTAGATAACACAAGCCGTGCATCGTTTGGTTGTATGATAAATAAAGGGTGTCACGTTTTTTCCTAGTTCCTCTGCTTCAGTATTTAGCATTAGCAATCTGATTTTTTTCATTACTTTGAGGTGGCTGTCGATTTAAGAGGGACGTGCTGTATGGAGGGGTCTAAAGAAAGGCCACCACCCGGTTTGGACAGTGGATGTTATAGTTAAACCTGTTAAGGGCTGAATAATATATTTCTATTGTGATAAAAGCTTTCCACAGTGCCATTTGGGTTTCTTTAACTCGCCTCCTTTTTGTTCACGGCCTAGAGTCACACGCATCCCCAAAAAATAAATTTACAGCAGACATAAATCGGACGAGTCGATCAGTCTGACTCAATCCAGACGTTTCCTAATTGACTCTAATTAAACACATGCTCCCTAACATCATTAAGATCAGACTGTACATTATTAGCACATCTTTACCATGTCTCCACAGACAATTATGTCCCGCTCCCCTAATGAAGATGGATACTTTGTTGCCATGGATACAGAGGACGACAGTGCAGAGCCTGCTGGGATAACAGATGAAATAGAGGCAAAGATGGGGTCTTGCCGACAAGAGGGGAACATGGACAGTTGTGCCAAAGGTGAAGGGAGAACAATGGTGGAGTTGCCAGAGGAGGTTCTCGAATATATCCTCTCCTTTCTCTCACCTTACCAGGAGCACAAAACTGCTGCGCTTGTTTGTAAGCAATGGTATCGACTTATTAAAGGTATGGATCTTTGCTATATCATCATGCATTGAAATATAATTAAAGATGAATCAGGCACAGTGGAGATGAGTGGGAAGTAGGGCTGGGCGATAAAACGATAACGGAATATAGCGAAAATTATTTCCCTCAATATCAATATAAAACCTGGTTAATATGCTTTTCAATAGTCGGCATTCTGCCATGTTTTGGTAGACCCAATCATGCTGAATTAGAACCAAGTAGTAAACAACTGCGTAGTAGCAGACTGCAGCTACACTCAACCATAGCGCTTTAACAGGTGAAGCCGACAGCACTGTCAGTGAGAAATAAAGAAAATGAGGGCTACCCCCGACAAAAATGCAGATGAAGGCTCAACAAATGATGACATTGTCGACAAAATTGGCACAGAAACATTGCTGGTGTGGAGGTATTTTGTTTTTGTTTTTTAGGTCGGACATGAAGCAGAGTAATGTGCACTGCAAATTATGTCGAGTACATGTTCTCACAAAGTTGGGGAATACCTCAAATCTTTTTCCCCACCTGAGGCAGTGCCACGCGGCAGAGCACACGCAATGCAAAAGGTTACAAACCCTGAACGGAGCAAGGAGCCCATGGCGCCTGTTCAGCCAAAACAGACGACCATTCAGTCCGCTTTCTCTCGCGCAACGCCTTACGACAAAACGTAGAAGAGACACAAAGACCTCACAGATGCAGTAGCGTACTGTATTGCAAAAGACGTGCTACCAATACGCACTGTTAAATTTCATTTTTTATATCTTGATATATATCAATATCGACTGATATGAAAAAAGTATATTGTGATGAACTTTTTCCCATATCGCCCAGCCCTAGTGGGAAGTATATTGTGAGCAGCATGGTTAAGTGTAAGTCTTGGTTTCTATGTTCCAGTTGTTTACTTGTGTTTTGTCCAACCTAGGTGTTGCTTATCAGTGCTACCATGGTTTCTTGAGAGCTGTGCAGGAGGGAAATATCCAGTGGGAAAGCCGAACATACCCATATCCAGGAACACCGATTACGCAGCGCTTCTCTCATAGTCAGTATATGTTTCTCATGTTTTTGATACCTAACACAACTCATACATTAAGTGTACACAAACACTTTTCTTCAGTTTTTGTATTCAAATTGTTTTAAAGCAGCTTGAAGTAGGTATCAGACTTATAGTCCAGTGTTTAGTGGACAAAGTAGTGTCTGGCCTGTGCAAGAATAGAGACTTATAAAGGGTGCAACATCCGACACTAAATCCATTTTGTTGTCTGATGTATTTCAACTACGCTTAAAATAGATCTTGTATTGAGGAGAGACATTGACGGGAAAGTTTAAAGCTGAGGGAAACCTTTTATCACCAGCTTCACAGTTTCAAAAGATTTTTTTTTAATCTTTTGAGCTTTAAAAATAGTGACAAGTATTTTATTGTGTACATTACCAGTTTCATATAGTAGCGCTTAGAGCTCTGTCATGAAAGGACTATTTACCTCTTAGTTTATTCTTATGTTGATGTTCAGTGTAATTCATTAAATTTGAATGATGTGATAACTTTAGTGTACTATGAGAATCTTAGAGGAAATGGTTACAGCAGTCAATGGAAGTGGACAATCATGTCATCCATTAACTACATATACATGGTGATTATGTGATCAGATGATATTGTTGCTTTTGTTTCCAAATAAAAATGCATGTTAAAAAAATCACTAAAAATTCACTGTCAGTTAAAATTGACCATTAAGTTGTTTTTGGATTTTTTTTTTATTTTTTGTGGTTTGCAGGTGCATGTTACTATGACTCGAACCAGTCCATGTATGTGTTTGGGGGTTGTACTCAGAGTAGCTGCAATGCTGCCTTCAATGATCTATGGAGACTTGACCTCAACAGCAAGGAGTGGATCCGCCCTTTGGCCTCAGGTAGTGATCAGCTGTCAGCAGTTAAAGACAAACAGGACACAGGAATCTGAGCTTTTTAGTGGCATGCAGCTCCAATAAAGAAGTGACTTTATGACAAGAATGTCCCCCAGGAGCAGCCTTGTCACTTTTGTACAGAGATTTCTTAATATTCTCTGCATCACGACACAATACTGTGGTTAATAAATTTGTCAAATTCCTTGTAGTTTTGTGCTGTAGAGCATTATTCTGAAACTGTTGACTATTTGCTGACACACTCTCTCACAGAGTGGTAGATAGTTACGTCTGTCTTTATGTCTGAGAGACTCAGCCTCCCTGGAATGACCTTTTTATATCTGGTCTAGAAATAAAGAGGGCATTACAGACAGGCTGAGTCTCTCTTTGTGTAAGCAGACAGTTCAACAATTTGAAAATATTGATATTAAGTGAAAGATTATAGTTTAATTTAATGTAAAGATACAGAAGATTTGGGGAAATCTCTGTACAAAAGTGACTGTGCTGAAAACCAGCAGTTGATGGCAGTGATCTTTGGACAGTGCTGCGTTCAAAACAGATGTGACTGTGCAGTGATTATCTCTACATGGGCTAAAAATCACTCTCTGCACACATTACAATAGCACGGCTCTGTTGTGGAAGAGTCTGGGTGTGAAACTTGCCTGCCAGCAGTTCCGACTTGTTTTCCATTGTAGACATAAAGTGCATCATGAAACAAAAGATATGACAACAGAGACCCCAGACTGTTCAGCAACTGATGTCCTGTATCAGACAAGCATGGGATTACATTTTGGTTTCAGAGCTCGCAAAATCAATCTCTTTGACGTCCAGATGTTTCAAGAGTGTTGCTAAAATAAGCGGTGATAAAAAGTGATGATAAACAAACTGTACTCTGACAACCAAAACGTTTGAATTTTGGTAACGTGTGTGTGTGTGTGCTGTGCTTGTTCAGGCTCTTATCCCTCTCCTAAAGCTGGAGCGACTCTTGTAATGCACAAAGATCTGTTGGTGTTGTTCGGGGGATGGACTCGCCCCAGCCCATATCCACTGCACCAACCAGAGAGGTTTTTCGATGAAATCCACACCTACTCTCCTTCAAAGAACTGGTGAGAGATGCCGAATGATTTTAATCAATGCCTGGGTTCAATTTGGGAAAGTTTAAACTTGAACCAAGTTCGCCCTGTTCTTGAAATATTTTCTTTTCCTGTCTCAGGTGGAATTGCATCGTAACCACACATGGACCACCTCCGATGGCTGGTCACTCTTCCTCTGTGATTGGAAACACCATGGTGGTGTTTGGGGGATCACTAGGAGCACGTCAAATGTGAGAAAATTTAACACCCATTTCAAACTGAGCTGTGCAAATTAAAAGGGAAATTAGATTTTGTTCATTGAAACAACAGCAAAGATAAGAGCGGAGGTGGAGGTTAATTTGTCTACTGCTCAGTTTCCATTAGCTATAGTCGTGCAACTTAAACGGCTGAAAACAGATTAAAAAGATTCAATGTGTGTCAAGTCAAAGTTACACAACAAATCTGATGCACAGTAGCAAACGCCTGCCGAGAAGAGTCCTCAACCATGGGGCTAAAAACAGTCATTTGGTTTTCAGTGGTGTTTAAAGGAATATTGTCTTCTAGTAGTCACTCAATATATTGTCCCATTTGATGGTTGTGTACAGGAGTAATGAAGTCTGGGTTCTGGATTTGGAGCAGTGGTCCTGGTCCAAACCACCTATATCAGGCCCATCACCTCATCCACGTGGAGGCCAATCACAGGTATGAACACTTAAACTGTTAAATTGGAAAAGGTCGTCAATTCCATCTGACATCCACAGAAGTGATTGAACATTTATCTTATTGAACATTTTATCACCTGATCCAAATAAGTGTGGTGCTCAAGAAATTGTCGATGAAGCCCTTTGGTAAAGTTTTTCCATCTCTGACTCCTCTGCAACTTGATGACTTTGAGCCAAAAAAACGTTTTTTAATAAAATAACGTCTTTTTATTTCTCTCTATTTTTGGACAGATTGTGATTGACGATCAGACGCTGCTCATCTTGGGAGGCTGTGGTGGCCCCAACGCAGTAAGTCCTAATTAAAAATAATAATAATATGACGCAGAGTTCTTTGTTGTTTTATGTCCACCTGTACCTTTAAGCAAACATTTTATCTAGTTAGTATCTTATGTGACAAGGCTGGTAGTGTAAGTTACTCTGTTGTTTTCTATGTTAAAGCTTCTAAAAGACGCCTGGCTCCTTCACATGGATGCCCCCCCATGGAGGTGGCAGCAGCTGCAAGTTGAAAACGAGGACCATGGAGCCCCTGAGCTGTGGTGTCACCCTGCCTGCAGAGTAAGTGTTTTTCTTATTCTGCATGTCTGTGAGTTTACTCATAAAACTGGTGACTGATGTCCTCTCTTTCTTGTGCCTAAGGTGGGACAGTGTGTGGTGGTTTTCTCCCAGGCTCCATCAGGCCGTGCACCACTCAGCCCAAGTCTTAACTCTCGGCCCTCCCCCATAAGTGCCACACCTGCCCCTCTGGGCCCTGAACCGCCTTCCCTGCGCTCCCAATCTCCTGTTCGGAGTGGGGCTGCTGGTGTTGTCCTGGGAGCCGTCGAAGAGGCTCCGTGTGTGAATGGTAGGTGGGGCACACTAAGACCCCGGCCCTCAGCCAGAGGAAGTGCCAGAGATGGAAGCCCATCTTCATCTCAACAGCAGTCCCCTTCTCAAGGCCCTGACAGCCCTCCTCTTCCTCCTCTCCCCCCTTTACTAAATGGATCGTCCCCTTCACCAAGGACCAGTCCAGCCCAGGCTGCGTCTCCTCCCTCCCGCCCTCACCCACCCGCACCCACAGACTATGGCTGGGATTCCCCCCCCTCTGCTGCTCACCACCCTGAGGTTCCCAGTACTAATGGCCTGCATACTCCCCCTTCAGGCTCTCCTTGTACCCCCCCAGGCGGAGTGTCCCCAGCCGCCTTGCGACGAGGTCTGGAGGCTGTGAAAAACAAATCTTCCCCTTCGTTACCATCTTCTTCATCGTCAGTATCCCTTCAGACACAGGGCGCCTCTTCTGGAGGAGGAAGCAGTGGAGGAGGAGGAGGAGGAGCAGGTCCCCCTGTAACCCCCCCATCATCCTCCAGCCCTCCACAGGCTGCAGGAGCTGATGGACATGCTATACCACCTATTGCACGTCGTCTCGGCCATCACCCGCCTCAGAGCCTGAACGTGGGGAAACCTCTGTACCAGTCTCTCAACTGCAAGCCCATGCAGATGTATGTGCTGGATGTGTCCCGGGCCAAATCTGCCGGAGTGGTGTCCTGGAGAGTTTATGGGAACGGCACCCCTGCTGCTGTCACAGGGCCGCCAGAAACCAGCCTTCACACGGTGGTACAGGGCCGAGGGGAGCTCATCATTTTTGGGGGCCTCATGGACAAAAAACAGAATGTTAAATATTACCCAAAAACCAACGCCTTGTACTTTGTACGCGCTAAGAGGTAATGCAGCTCCAGGCAGGATTGAGAAGACAAACGCTCCACCCTGTGACCTTACAGGGGATATGACACACAAGGCCTTTTTCCTATACAAAGGATTATGGGAAAAGAACATAATCAATGTTAGATGTTTCACTTCAGAAATTCACTATTCTCCCTTCTGCCTACTGCAAGCTTTCAAAATAAAACACAGAACTACACTTTGATAACAACATTCGGATGAATGGGAATCCTGACTCTGTGAGTGTTGTGTGTGTGTGTGTGTGTGTGTGTGTGTGGGCCGGTATGTTTGTGTGTGACTGCAGTTGCTGAAGAGAACAGGTTAATTTGTTGTTCTTCCACAAAAAGGTGATCAACCAAACAAGAGTTCTGTATTTCTGTGTCGTCCCCCTCTGAACTTTTGAGAGAGAGGACCCCTTAAGAACAGACCCAGTGACAGGATCAGTTGAAGACTACCTTGCTTTTTGTATCACTCTTTAAGCCTGCAATGTTTACATTGATACTAGTGTGAGTGTGTGTATGTCATGTGTGCACGGTGGTGGTGCAGAGCTGTTGACTCGTGTGTTGGGGGCCAAGTTGGGTGAGAGACGTGACACTGTACTATAAACATAGTTGAAAAATAAAGGCCTCCATGTCTCCTCTGTCCCACTCTCTGGGTTTCTTCTGTGAATGTGTGTGTTTGTTTCACACACACTGGAGCGTATGTTTAAATCACATTATCCTCTTTACTCCATGAAACTATAACTGATATCTAAGTTTTGAGTTTGTATTTTATTTGTCTGAGTGTGTGATTCAAGTTTAAACCTGAAGGCATGAGAAGTGTGGAGACTCAACAAAAAACCTTCATTAAATTTTCAAAAACAAATCAAAATCTAAACCACTGAAATATTTGACCGTGTATGTCTCTCTTGGGTACTTCAGTTTTTATATATATATATATATATATATATAAAAGTCCTCACCTTTATTAGACATAGAAGCCACAAAGAGAATGGAGATGTTGGGGGCAGCACTGCAGCCTTACAGCTGGATGGTTCAGAGTTTAGATGGGTGGGGTAGATAGTCCAGATAGGGGCTTTCAATTTGAAGCTTGATCTAATTTCTTCCCTCACAGTTAAGTCTGGACTAAGTTTTAGACTTCAATAACCTGGTAAAATTGCCCAATTTCTCAACAGACAAGCACAACAATGGAGGCATGTGGTGGTTGGCAATACTGCCTTACAGCAAAGTGGTTCAAAAGTCAAACCTGGGCAGGATCTTCCCTAAGTACAGCAACAGCAATCTTGCTGTCTCTTGCTGGGTTTGAAATCATAATCATAACTTCTCTAGAATGTACTTAAAAGTGAAATAGCCACAATGAGTAATAAATGCATTTCATGGTTTGAGTGCTGACCTTGGTTTTCCTGTGTGGAGGAAAAGCTTTCTCTCTTCCTCCCTCTGGAAAGTGGACCGTGATTTTGAACAACCACAATATACTTAAAACCAAAAGACCTGAGAAAAGTTGGCACTGCTGGGCTGTATAAAATACTAAAGTGGTTACTGAGGAATAACCGGCTGTCTTATCAATACTGATCTCAAAATTTTAGGTTGTTATGTTCTTTAAAGCCTTTAAAGGGTCATTAATGCATTAAATATATGATTATAGTGGCCAAATGGGTGGCCAAAACTCTTGGAATAGTCCTCAACCCAACAACCCTTTCAATAACTTGCAACAACAAGGTCCAAGAATTGCTGTCACCACTGTCCTTCCAGGGCTGGCCTTAGCCATTTTGGCGCCCCAGGCAGGATTCAGCCAGTGCACCCAATTAGATGGCTCCTTATATCCAGCTAATAAGCGACTTGCAACCAATCAGAAGGCTGCTTTTTTTCTGACTGCTCAGAAGGTTCCTTTTATTCAGCCAATCAAAGACTTGTTTCTAATCGACCAATCAGAAGGTTTTTTTTATCCAGCCAATTAGAGACTTGCTTCTAATGAGCTCTATGCACGATCCACTACTCCCTCAACTTATGCTTCATTCGAGATACCTCAGAAGTCAGATGTCGGAGCTGAAAATGTTTCCAACATATTTTTATTTTCTGGAATTTTTTATGTGTTTTTTCAAATATTTCTGTTTTCAATTTTTCAAATTTAATCTGAGTTCGCAAATTATTTTCATGTTTTTATGCTGCGTTCCAGTTACCTCAGAAGTCAGATGTCGGAGCTGGGAGTGACGTTTTACCCGAGTTGACGGCGTTCCAGTTAAACAAGTCAGAAAAACCAAGATGGACGCCTACAGTTACCTGTTGTTAGCTGTTGTTTACAATTGTCAGCTGTTGTTAGTTGTTGTTAGTAATACCAGTTGTAAACAACAGACAACACAGTATTTTACTGTTACAAACACCACTGCACTGTGTTCACAGTTAGACGTTACGCAGTACAACAGAAACCACTTATTTAATTTCACCAAAACAAAACAGAAATGCTAATGAATAATATATTACGAGAGCTTCCACTGTTACTCTTTACTGTTGATGCTCTGTGCTGCCATCTTGAATTATGATGTCGTCAAGTCAGGGTTGGAGAGGAGTGTCCGAATATCGAGTTGGAAATCTGACTTCAGGGGGGCATTCCAGGTTCTACCAACTTCCGAGTACAAATGGAACACAGCATTAGAATTCATATTTTTAATTTTTTTTAAATCTTTTTCTTTTTTCCTAAAGAACTTTTATGCATTTAGAATTTATTTGTTTTTTTTTTTAATCTATTTTTTCTTTAATGTATTCAGTGTATAGTGTACAGTGTTTCCAGGTTCTACCAAATATTTTTATACATTTTTTTTTGCATTAAGTGAAATGATTTTGTGTCTTACAAAATGTTATTGTTGTTGCTTTTACGGAAAATTTGTGCCGTTGACCTTCAGGGCCACCATACATGGGCGATGGGCAACCAGCCTAAAGTGCATTATCGCCCTCTACCGGAGTGTTGAGCAGGAAATAGGAGAGTACAACAACATTAACAAGGATAATAATAAATTCCCAAGTAACCTGAAGGAATTTAGGGAGTTTGGAAAAGGAATCATATAATCAAATTTCATTGAATAATTTTATCAGGAATTTGTGAACTTCTCGAAATGTGTCACCGAGTGGATAATCTCAGCTCCCCTTCCTCCTCATAAACACCACATTCAAACAGCAGGTGTGATACAGACTCTTAAAGTTCGTAGAGTTTAAATCTCCCAGTTGGATGTAGAGGGGGATGTATGGATGTATATGTATTAGCTCGGACCCTCGCTCTCCGTCCCCCTCAAACACTTCACTCCCTTCTTTGACCGCTTATGACCTTTAACCCAGAGAACTCCCATTGGACCAGATCAGGGGCAGTTGGAAGCGGAGCCCTGTGATTGGTGCAGACTCGGGGATGTGGTGATGTGGCAGACCGTCCTGGAAGCTCATTGGCTGTGACGTGAGACAGGGGGAGGAGAGTTGTACAATGAATCTGCTGAGGACACATGTTTACAATGATGGGAAGAATGGAGCGACACTGGAGTATGAGGGACGATGAACAGCGTGAGTTCTACCAAAATAACGCGATATTTTCTAACTTTATAGAAAGAACGCGAGACATTTCCTCAAAGAGTGTTTGTTTCGGTTCTTGCTCTGTACTTTTTTACATAGTTGGGAATTGTTTGAATGAATCTGAACTGACTGGAGTATAACTGGATCATATCAGGTCATCTTGTGTGTTAAGATTGTCTTTCTGTATAATGAAGAGATGTTTGGTGTGATATTTGAAACGTTTCTGTGTTCAGTAAACTTTTGTATGAAAGTTTCAACGATTCAACAGCAGGAAACGTTTCCTGACAGCTCTTCAATACTGGTGATGCAGGGAGTTGTTGTATCATGGAGATCTTTCTCATTCCAGCAGGACTTTTCTTAGTTTTTCTACTGATATGTGGGTCAGAGCCATTGTAAAACTGTTGAACATTGTAATTGAAGAACCTGATGTATTTTGTCTTGCAGATGGGGCCCCCCCTGAACAAACTTGCAGTAATAAGGGAGCTAACTGAAGACACCGAGTGACACCAGAAGGGGAAGATTGGACTGCAGTGTCAGAAGAAAACAAAGATATTAATCAATTATCTTAACAACAGCTGGTTTGTTTCTGACTTCACTTATCTATTTTAAGCTCTACACACTCTCTCAGTCTCCTTACAGTCTCAGAAAAGACAACATTAACTGTGGAGATCCCCTCTCAGGTATGTCCAGTGTTCGACTGCTGAAAACAACAGAGGAGTCTGTTTTTGGAGCCCAGTCTTCCCAAAGGATGGCCTCTACTGTGTCTGCTGTACCCCGAGGCGTCTTCGCCCCCGCACCACACCCTCCAGCTGTCTGGCCCCCTCTGGACTTCGCCCTCGGTGCTCTTGCCTGCTGTGCCGCCTGTGTGTTTACCAACCCTCTGGAGGTGGTCAAGACTCGTCTGCAGCTGCAGGGAGAGCTGCGTGCTCGGGGATCGTATCAGAGACACTATCGGGGAGCCCTGCAGGCCTTGTGGGTGGTGGGCCGCACAGATGGGCTCAGGGGCCTGCAGAAAGGGCTCTCGGTGGGGCTGATGTACCAGGGTGTGATGAACGGTGTGAGGCTGGGCTCCTATTCCTACTGTGAAGCCCTGGGGGTCACCTCTTTGCACGGGGGGAGTCTGTTGTCAGGTGCAGCTGCTGGGGCGCTGGGGGCCTTCATCGCCTCTCCTGCCTATCTGGTAAGTTTGGTTCTCCTCATGCCTCTTTACATATATTCATTTGAATAGGAGTCTACCTCTTATATCACTTATATCTCCTTAAAACTGGTCTGCAGTATAAAAAGTAAATTACAGAAAAAAGAAGTCAGGAATACAACTGCAGCTGAAATCATGCAGACAGCAGTTGATTTATGCAAATACAGACAGAAGTGAAAATACTCTTGATATATGATAGCAAGACTATGCAAATGTATTTTAATTGTTAATGATTATAACAGGAAAAACATCAAGAATTATGTTTTGGGAGAGTTGAGGAGAGGCAGAATGTTAATAAAGTGGAGAACCAAACCTGAAAAACAACGTCTGCAGTGTACTTGAGCACCCTTAGCAGAGTAAGCATGTGTAGAAGTCAGAAATGGATCATCTGGGGGAATTTGCAGACTGATCAGTTAAACTGTTTTATACAAAAGATGGCTATTACAGTTGTGACTTCTCATGAATGCTGTGTACACTGATGGTACTCATTATGATTTGACTTGTATGGGAGTTATCTCACGTCTCTTTTTTTCACTGAAATGTGCTCTAAGGTGTCTGCTATTGTGCCCGTCTTTGTTATGAGCACACAAGGTCATAAAGTAACAGGAAATTTGAATCCTCAGGCACCATTCAGAGAGTATGTTTAGATAGGGTTACTCTTAACTGCACACGTGTTCAAGAAAACCACAAAGAGGAAATTAACATCCTCATGATAGATGAGAGGTAAAAGACAAGACAGCTAATGTGGAAACATGATACGTGTGATTGTCCCAGGCTAGCACGTCAATTATGCAAAAGGTTTTAGCGAGAAGTATATAAACAACACACATATCTGTGATCAGCTGTGAGCCCAGGTTTGCTGTTGGTCAGCCCCTTACCCTTGATGAAAACGTGTAACAAAACTGGTTTAGATCAGCAGCATAATACATCAGTATGTCAGCTCTTTAAACAGATCAACTACAGGGTGTTTTAGTTCAAGATTACACAATTATTTACTCAGAACAAAGCTTACACAAGAGATATCACGAGTTTCCTCATATCAGTCACTTTTAGACAGACTTTGAGCAATGTTGCTGGAAATTTCTGCATTTCACATTGACGATGACATCTCCTCATGTCAATGGAGTCTGTGTTTTGTTGCCGTTATCACTCTGTCTCCCCACTGAGATATCGTGTGCAGACATGACATTATGCCCTAAAAACATTCATTTATGGAGTACACTCACTTGAAACTGTTGTTGACATTGAACCCAAAATTAGAGCCATCAGAATAATGAAGGGACAAACAAAAGCTAACACAAATGTCTTCAATACACTGAAGTCATGTAGTCATGTGAGTGTTTTTCCTGAGATAGACCCTAAAAATGTGAGTCCATCATGGTCCAACAATAACTCAATTACTGGTGGCCGTTGACCAATGAGTCTCGTGCAGCTCAACATTTCTGCCTGTAGAAGAAAGTCTTTTCCAGCTTCTTTCAAATGCTCATCATTGTGTAAAAATGCTGGGTATCTTGAAATCACATTGTCTGAAAAATGAAATTGCCTAAAGGAAACGAATTGGCTCAGATAAAAGAGAATTAAGCATTGAAAACAGTATTGAACAGCGTTGAAAACATTGAAGGAGAACCAGAAAGCTGAAAACTGGGTCGTAAATAGCGTCAGCATTTTGCCTGAACACAAACAGTAACATGGAAACACAGCAGCTTGATTTCAAAGGCGTCTCAAATGTCCTCCGTTTATTTTTGTCCGGTTGGAAGACCGATGAGTCAAAGTGACATTACATGGGTGTGTGCGGTAAAACCAGGTTAGTGTGAGGTCACACCTAACCTACTTTCAAGTCCAGTTCTTAAAAAGCTGGGGTGCTGAGCAAAATGTTCATGAAACAGAATTCAAAGGTTTGCAAATCATCGACATTTAAGTGTTCTTCATTAAAGCGGGACAGGAACATGTTCGACATTGTGTCGCATCTCCTCTTCTTTTAATAACACACTGTCAAACAAGGAGACCAGAGTGAGATTTTTTCAATCTTTACTTAGTAGAATTGCAGCTGGTCAATAGTTCAGGTCCTCTTTATCAAATTTTCATTTATTTTTTCTTTTTCTATTGTCATGCATGAGGCAAACTTATTTTTATAAACCCCATTCTGAATGGATATAAGAGAGAAATGGAAACATGAATTTATAACAATGAGCAACGAGCCTCTGACTGATTAAATTATAGTAACACAATAAAGGGTAGGACTAGATAAGTTTTATCAACTTCATCCTACACCTATCGAACAAAGTATGATTATCTATGTTGCTACAGAGCTGTCTCTTTAATTGTTTTTCAGCCAAAGCACATTGTATATTGTATTTATTTTGTTTTTCTTTTAACCTGTTTGAATAAACAAATAAACTATCTAAACTAAGAATTTTAAATGGCAATAACAAGTTGAGACGGCCGGTAGACCAGTTTTCTGTCCTGTCCCCTCTACTTCAGATCCATGCTGTTATACGGTGGGTATGGAAAGTTGTTTTTTTTCCCTCATCAGTGTACACCCGGCAGCCCATTTAGACAGAAAAACACAGAATTATAGACATTTTATTCAAATTCATTAAAACTGAAAATTTAAAGTATTCAGACCCTTTCTTTTTTGGCATTTATTTAACTCCGGTGCTTCTGATCATCTTTGAGATGGTTCACTTTAATTAGAGTCCAGCTGTGTTTAATTAAATTGATTGGACTTGATTAGGAAAGACACACACCTGTCTATATAAGACCTTACAGCTCACTTTGAATTACAGAGCAAATGAGAATTATGAGGTTGGAGGAACTTCTCGAAGAGCTCAGAGACAGAACTGTGATGAGGCTCAGATCTGGCTGAGGGTACGAAAGAGTTTCTGTTACACTTTAGGTTCCTCGGAGCACAGAGAGGTGAACCTCTTCCTGTCTTTGCTTCTGAGGGTCTCTGAGTTTCCCCTTGTGTACCCAGTCAGACCACCAATCTGTTGCAAATGAACTTAGTTGGAAGATGTTCCTCCAGGTTTTTTTCAGCATTATACAACTTTTTCAGTCTTTTTTTTATCTCCGTCCTAAGTTAAAAAAAATATGTTTTGGCGTCAAATGTAAAAAGATGGCTGTATGTTTTTCATAATATATATATTTTTCCCTCTATTTCACAAGTTGTCTTTGCACGAGTTTTAGTAAAATGTAGAGTTTTAAAGACTGGCAAACCATCAAAAGCAGGTTTGATTAAAGTTTGAAGTGTCCAAATTTTATTGGAACTGGGATTTTATATCAAGTTTAAAGCAGCATAAACATTATGATCACAAAGTTGCTCAGCAAGAGTAAGTTAAATTTCTAATAGTTCTGGTAATTAATGTGCTTCTTTAAACAGAAATCTTGTTTTTTTATGTGTGTTTTGAAAGTAACATCACTCTCATATTTTACCGTCTCTCCTTTTACTGCACCATGCAGAAAATAGTCTCTGCATATCCAGACTTAAATACCACACAGAAGCAGTGTTTGTTATATCTTCTCTCAGATGTCAGTCAATACACAAAAATCATTGGATCTTTTGCGCAGTCATGGAAAGACAATATTGTTTAATGTCATGTTTGTGGGGATCTAGGTCACTGAATATAATGTGCAGGTTGCCGTCACTCCCTTTCACTGAATGTACAAGACACTGTATACAGTATCCAGTGGCTCTTCACTTGTACTTTTGGCAGACAGTGTAGGGCAGACGAAGGTTATTCATTAACAATATGAGTGTCAATAGATAATCTTGTGCATGCTCTGCACACTATTACATCTTGTACATGCTGTAAAATATGCAACCGCTTTTATTCGAGGTTTTGTTTTCTCTTTTCAGTTAAAACTATGTGTCATGTTTTTTATGTTATAGGTGAAGACCCATCTGCAAGCTCAGAGCATGGAAGCAATAGCTGTGGGTCACCAGCATAACCATCTGGTAAGGAGGATATACAGTGAATCACAGAAACACATTATCGGTTCTCTTATCTGTTTTATTTCATGCCGTGTTTCCAGATGATACACCGACCGTTAAATATCCAAGTATTACCAGAGAAGTGTGTTAAATGTAGCAAAGCTGAAAGTCTCTATGATAAGATGTGAACTTGTGATATGTTTGTCGATCCTATTAATATGTTACAGTACAAACACAGTCCTTAATGTACAAAAATCTGCTCCTCTCCCACCCACACTTGTTTTCATTCATGCTCTTCTCTGGTGTTTGACAGTCACCTGTTTCACTTCTCTGATAGTTTAGTTCAACCTGAAAAACAGGATATCCTGTTGTTGTTGTTTTTTAGTATGACTACCTCACACATGTCATTTACAATACAGCTCCACCTAACTTCTACCTGACAGTAAGCCTAATAATAATCCAAACATTGTCTTCAACAAGCCAAGTAAGAGCATCTTTAAACATGTAATTGAACACGAACTGAATATTCCTTTGTTTCCTCATCCAAGGGGGTGTCGGATGCCTTTGCTACCATCTATAGAAAAGAAGGAGTGATTGGTCTTTGGAGGGGTGTGAACGGGGCCGTGCCGCGAGTCATGGTTGGATCAGCTGCTCAGCTGGCCACCTTCACCTCAGCCAAGGACTGGGTGGCACATTCCCAGGTAGACGTGGTGAACAGCTGACATTTTTACAGCGCATGTAAGACCTGCTGTTGCGTCAAGACTCTGTTTCTGTCTTTCTTATCAGTGGTTCAGTCCGAACAGCTGGCTCACAGCCCTGATAGCTGCCATGGTTAGTGGTGTTGCAGTGGCGGTTACCATGACACCGTTCGATGTTATAAGTACACGCCTTTACAACCAGCCGGTGGATGAGTCTCATCGGGTGAGTTCACCGTTAAATTTATTCTTTCACACGAGAATACTGAAATATCAAGTGTTTCTGAGCTTTGTTTTTGTCTTCTGTGCCGATCAGGGGCGTCTGTACCATGGATTTTCAGACTGTCTACTGAAAGTGTGCCGGGCTGAGGGCCTGCTGGGGTTGTATAAAGGAATGGGCCCCGTCTTCCTGCGCTTGGCCCCGCACACTGTCCTCAGCATGCTGTTCTGGGATTTGATGAGACAACAGACAATAAAGAACCAGAGCCAAGAACGGAGCTAAAACACACTCAACTACTGCACCTGGTTCTCTGAACTGGACTCCCAGTCGTCCATCAGTCAAGAGAAGATTGTATACAAACCAAAAATAGGATTTGATGTAACACTCTTATTTATTTAGTTGCTCAGAGTTAGATGAGAGGATTAATGTCAGTTCTATTTCTGTTGCATATCTAAAGATAAAAGCAGGTTAGCCTCACTCGGGATAAAGACGGGTAAACAGGTTTAGTCCAAAGGTTACAGGAAACACTTCCAAGCACCTCTAAGAGCTCACTGACACACACCATCGAGCGAGTTCAATCTGTATCAAACCAAAAGTGTCAAAATCTTATTTCTGAATGACTGACTGCTTTGATACTTATTACCTGATGTTGGTTTCCTCTCACTGCAGTCCACCCTGTAACAAACAAAGGCTAAATTATCATTCAGACATTTTTATCTGCATTAAACAATATTTATATAAACTGTACATTTGTCAGTACGATGAGCTTTTTCCAGTTGTCTTCCAGCAAAAGCTTTATGGTCAGCCTGAAGCAACAGAAGTAGTATTGATCGTCTTATCTGATTGTTTGCAAGAAGGTAAATAAGAGTATTTATCGACTCCTCCTTGAAGGGGATCCTCTGTCTGAAGAAAGGTGCACAAATCAACGTTGAAGTACTTGAAGATGGACAAAAGCTGCAGAGACTTTGACAAACATTCAGGGGTTTCTGTCGGATTAACACTGAAGCACTTGAAGATGGACTCGAGCTGCAGAGACTTTGACAAAGATTTCAGGGGTTTCTCTCAAGTCTGTAAAATACTAATTCATTGATCAAGTATCTGACGTGGCCTTCATACCTCTCAGGATGAATGTACAAGTTGAGTGTCATAAAAGGTCTTCATGTGAAAAGATAGAACTGGAGACTGGCTTGTTTTTCATGGACTTTTTCAGAGGGAATAATCTCTGTGTCCGAGTCCGTTTGGCTGCTGTTTTTCAATTCTTCAAAGTTAAACACGTAACTCTCGTTGCCTTTTCTGTTCGATGTAAAGAAGGACCTCTGATGAAAACGCCTTTAGTGACTAACACATCGAACTACTGGTTCCTTAAGCACAGAAAGCCACTTGATGTTTTGTTTTACTGTACAGCAACTTAACTTGTTAGTGTTTTAGACGTTTGACTAGAACTAAATGATAATAAAGACTTTTTTGTATGAAAATTAGTAAGTCTTGTTTTTGTTTGAGTCTTGACTAAGAAGCTACATCTTTAAAAAAAAAACCTGATAGCTACAATCTGTTGTAATCACAGTTGATTTTGAAGCAGTGCCACGTCTCCAAATGTTCCTTTAAAGCTATCATCCTCTGACAGTACTATCATCAGGAAATGATCAAACTCACTCAAATCCTCCCTGACCTTTGAACCCTTTAGAAAGTGACTCAGATCAGGTCAGTAGGGTGAGAGAAAGGCTCGTACAGGCTCAGCACTTCTGTAGACTGTTTGGACTGTTTTTTTTAGTTTCTTGAAATAAAAGTAAAACCGAAATGTTTTCCTGGATCCTGGGAACATCTGATTGGACACCATTTGATTCGAGTCCCATTGATAGTTTTTTTCAGGGTGAGTTGAGTTTTGTCAGTAACTCCATGTCAAATATTTTCTTTATTTACCTCTGTGCTCATTCATTTGTGTCTGTCGTCAAGGACTCGTGGGTGCATGTGCAGTATCTGTCCTCTGCAGTTTGATGAGAGTTCACTTCTTCATTCAATCATGCAGGTGAGTTACACACAAAGTTGTGAAAATAAACACACTTTTCTGCGGTAAATGGATCATCGACATGTCTTCTTTTCGAGCAGTGACTCTGAACCTGAAAACACACCAAGGTCATCCTCTCCCTGCAGTAATGTCAGCAAAAACTGGAAATCATCTCTTCAGTTCTGGTGTCTGGTGGTCCTCCTGTCCATGGTGGGCTCGAGGGTCTCCTCTCTGATGGTTCTGGAGTTTTGTCTCAGGGCTGTTTCTGCGAGGATGTCAGGACAGGTGAGTTCCCCCTAAAAAAACAGACACAACACTCATCTAAGCTGGTTTTAAATCCACTCTGCCCATTTTTTTTTACTGATGAAGATGCAACCTTTTCATCCACCCTGAACCCAGGATGCCAGTGGACAAGGCCCAGACATGCTCCTGATCCAGAGCCAGTTCTCTCTGGGCTGTGGCCTCTCCTGCACCGTGTACTTCCTCCATCAGGGGGCACCACACAGCTCCCTCAGCTTGTTTCTGGCAGCTGCTCTGAGCTGGGCACTTGCGAGCTTCAGCCACAGCCTGTGGATTCATGTGGCCAGACTCTACCCACTACACAGCACCGAGCGCTACTGTGGGAAGTGCATCAGCCTGCTGACCTCCGGGCAATCCCTTCTAGGTTCACTGCAAAGAGTGGTCGTCGTGTTCTTTGCTCTGGCTGCTGTGGCCTCCACCGCTACGGTTTATGACCACTTCCTGTCCCAGAAGGATGCTCTGAAGTTTTGGACTCCACTCACACTCTGCTACACCATGTTGGTGGTCTACATTCAAGGTGGTTATGAGAATGATGATGAAAGTAGGGGTTGTGGAAAGTTTCTGCTGAAACTGATTGATTAGAATAAAACTAGATCATTTACTTTTATGTTATTATGATGGAATTAAAATGGAAATGCTAATTAGTCGTGCCATAGTGGACAACAACATTCATGTAGCTCCTTGTGTAGGAGACCATTAAATTAAAATAGATGGTTGAAGGTAGTTTTAGGTTGAAGTTAAATTAAGGAAAGGAGTAAAAAAATAATGGTTAAAGGGATATTCCGGCGTAAAATTAATTTAGGGTCAAACACACCATAACACTGAGTTAGACACTCCCTCGAGAGATGAATGTTGCTGACAGCTTGTTTCTCTAGTTATACCAACTTTAGTAACGACCGCAGGATAGGAATACACAGCGGTCTAAGAGGCCATAAACAAACCTCAATCAAAATGCCACAAATAATGCTCAGAACACCTAACTTCACCAACAGGACATATAGGGTCACAGACACAAACATCTTTTTAACTTTGCCTGATTTCTTTAGCAAAGAGACTAAACACAACTCACCTACTCTCTTCCAGCAGCCGCTTGTTTGTAGCGAGACCTCGGGCCAATCAGAGGAAGAACATTTATGATCATTACTTTTTCATTTCCTTGAATTAGAGAAGCAAGTGGTCGGCAACATTCATCTCTTGAGAGAGTGTCTAACTCGGTGTTACCATGTGTTTGAACCTAAATTAATTTACGCTGGAATATCCCTTTAAATCAGTAAGATGCACAAACCACTATAAAAACTCAGTCAAATACTTTTATATCACAAATGAATAATGTACATAACAAAACTTTAAGATATCAAACCAAAACTATCTCCTCCAAGAATCATGATTCTCTTATGTCCGTTTAACTCGAACCTTTGTCTTTATGTTGCACAGAGGATCAGAATCGGCACTCGGGTCCAGAGGCTCTGCTGCACACCGTCGTGCTTCGACTTGGAGCCTTGCTGGTCCTCATGCTGACTGTGGGAGACTGGACCGACGTCCTCCACGTCCTTATTACTTTCCTGGGTGAAGCCGTGTGCCTGCTGCCTTCTCAGGACCTGCTGCAAGCCGTGTTAAAGGTCTGTGTTTATCATGTCATCATCATATATTTGATTCATACATTTATTTACTCATGGTTTTATCATATCAAAGTTCAGAAACATACAAACAACATTTGGTAATTCTTTTTTAATGTTTTAGGAAGAAGAGGACACACAAGTGAGAAGATGTGAACAAAACTCCAGTCACAGAACAAGAGACAGCACCAGGAAAGCATCAGATGAGAGTTAAAATCGCCTCTGAAACATAAACTGAAATTGCAATTTAACCCAAATTATTCCACAAATTGCACATTTGTGTACTCTCAATAACGACACAAGAGGATTATGGGTACTCGATATTATAGCCTTTCATGTTAAGAAGAGGGGATGATTTTGCAGCTGCAGTCTGGTCTGATTTAACAGGATGATTATGAACTTCAGTAAATGTTGTTAATGTCAGACTTCACAACTCTTCTGTAAATAATAGATGACTTTTTGACACATGACAGCTGAGACTACAGACACCTGAATTTCCTTTCAGGGATTAAATAAATTTATTCTTGTTCTTAATTGTTTGTACTGTAGCAATTCTTCATGAAATGGAAGAAAAAACATGAAACGGATTGTCAAACTTCAGAGTGTGCAATTATACAGAGCCTAAGAGTGAGGGACTTGGCATGTAAGACCATCATCAACAACAGATAACAGCTGGTAAAAATGCATCTGAAATGTTTAAAGACAGAGATGGAAACTGTATCATGTTGAAAACTCCATAATTAAAATTCTTTTTATACATAATTTCTACTTTAGCCTGAGTACGAAGAAGATCAGCGTTTGTTGTGGATTCTTTTTATCCTCTTTTTCTCAAATGAAACAGAAGATTTGTTCAGTAGGTTGTTTAATCGTCTAAATGCCACATTAACACTGATATCCTGCTGATGGTGACCATTTACCAACAATTAAAGGGACACTCCAACAAGTTTACACATGGGGAGCATTATTTGTGTCTATAGAGTGGTGTTTTGGTTGAGGTTTGTTTATGGCTCCTCAGACCTCTGTGTATTTCTATCCTGCGGTCGTTACTAAAGTTGGTTTAACTAGAGAAGCAAGCAGTAAACAACATTCATCTCTGGAGGGGGGGTCTAACTCGGTGTTACGGTGTGTTCGACCCTAAATTCATTTTCAACGGTGGAATATCCCTTTAAATCAGCATATCAGAAGAAGAGGTATCTAAGGAATTTAACTATTTATATGCTATGAAGAAAGAAACCACAGAGGAGCTTTGTTCTTTCTAGGGAATAAGAATCAGAAAAGTTCAGCCTCTCTTGCTTCTATTTTTGTTTTGTGTCTTATAATTTCCTCACCAGCACAAATTCACTCGATCAGGTATTTAGATTTCAGAAATGTTTTGGTAAAGTTACAGTAGTAAGAAGAAAAACTTTCAACCCCTTTCATATCTATTTACAGTTTTGAGTCAACATGAACCTTTCAGTGTTTCTCTGATCTCATTTGTGTGTGTCCTTCTGTGAGTTTCTTCATTGTTCCCTCTCTTGTTTCTTCCTCTTCCTTTTCCCTCATTTCCATCCATTCTCTCTCCGTTGTTGCTCTGGTGGCCCAGATAGACGAAAGTTTGGCCTAAAACTTCATCTTCCTGTGTGACATGCGGTTCAATAAAATGAAACGTCATGCTATAGAAGAGCACTGAGGAGGTTCACAGAGTTTAATGAGGGTTTTGGCTGGATTTTGGGAGGGGCGGAGCTTGTAGATGTGGGGATTGTGTCATCAGTAGGCATGCTCCCTCCTGCAGCTGTGACATCACTGCAGCATTCCTTTCCTCGGAGCTGGAACAACAGAGACCCCAATCACTCTCCTCATCTCCGTCTCCTGTTCCCCTTCTCTCTCTCTCTCTCTCTCTCTCTCTCTCTCTCTCTCTCTCTCGCACACATTCCTGCCTCACTTTTCTTTTTTGCTCTGCTCCACATTGTTCAGGAACATTTTATGCAACTTTTTACTCTCAATCTTCCATTTTTGGTTTGTTGGAGCAGAGTAGACTCCTCAGACTTTGGCTGCGGAAACTTACCACAACATTTGCTGATTGTTGGACCTGATAGTGCTCAGACTCACTCTGAGGGGGGGGGGGGCAGCAAACACAACAAAGCAGCTTTTTCATCGCTCAAACACACACCGCTCACCCTCCCTCTCCTATAAACCAATATCTTCTCTCCACAAGGCTCTGATACAGCGCGCTGTAACACTGCTGCTCATTTGCTGTTGCTTTATGAGACACTGATGAAGTCCACCACATCTTATCAGATGTGCTTGTGGCACAGATGGAAGCAATGCCATGTGACACTGATAATGAGTGCAGGCCTAAGTGATAAAATGTAGTTTTGGGGGGAAGGGGAGAAAGAAAAAGAGGACTTAGTCGATGAGGGAGGAAGGGAAAATAAAGCTGATGGAACAATAAGAAAAAGAGCTGCAGAGGAGAGAGAAGAGATGGAGAGTTAAAGAGAAAAGGCAGGTACAGTCATATCCTGCTGACACATTCAAAGATAACATGGAGGGAGGTTGTTTGCCTTCCCTCCAGGGCAAAGACCTGAAGTGCCTTCATAATACTGTCAATTACATTTGCACAAAGTGCAACCCTGAGTGTGTGTGTGTGTGTGTGTGTGTGTGTGTGTGTGTGTGTGTGTGTGTGTGTGTGTGTGTGTGTGTGTGTGTGTTTGGTTGGATTGGCCAACAGTTGCAAGAGTTTCTTTTGTGTGTTTGTCTGCACACAGGCCTGTGTGAGTGTATGTGTTTGCCTGCCAAGTTTACATAGTACATGAATGTGTCATGTTTTTTACCGCTCTTTGCCCGAGATTAAATGTTCACCTTTTACGGTTGGGAGGGAGGTGGTATTGTCATTCAGCCAGAGAAGGAGGAGGGGTCGATGGACGAGTGAGCCGGGGAGAGAGGGAGGGAGGTACAGAAGGAAAAGGAGTGGCTTTCTGCTGATAGTCTCTCTCTCTCTCTCTCTCACTTCCAGAGTAAAACCTTGTCTCTGTGGCAGCTCACAGGAGGGACACAAACCAGACGTTTTGGAGAGACAAAACAGGGAAGGAGAAAGAAGAAACGTTTCTCACAGGTATGTAACGGCAGCTCACAGATAGACTGAGTGGGTTTAGAGGAAACAGATGACTCAGATTTATGCTTTCTACTCCTAAAACCAGTCATTCTGGATAATGAGAGCTGTGAGTGTGAGTTTACCTCTGTAAAGTGAGAGTTAACACACCCACAAAGTTGACTTTAAGTGCGGTTACGCTTTGATAAAACATTTTCCAGATCAGAAGGATGAAGTGTTGTGTCTGTTTTTGAGGATTTTCTGAATTGTCTTGAAAGATCAACAAAGTGTGAGGTCAGCGATGTTTCTTCATGTCACAATAGTCCTCTCAAATAGTGTTATGAAACATTTAATCACACCAGTAAACTGAAGAAGTCTTTACACACATCCTCTCTTCCTGTCAGGCCGTAGGTGGTGTTGTACAGTCATGGCATCAGCAGCTCCACCAAAAAGGATGGTGTCCTCTGTCTTCATCACCCTGGCAGCTCCTCATCGAGCCACTTTAACGCAGCAGAAGCCTGCCCTCCAAGCCCAAAGCGCCCCGGCCAAAGAGAAGCAGCAAACAGCTGTACGAGTCAGCCCGAGTGACTGCATCCCTGCTATCAGACTCAGGAGAGACTCGCCATCTGAGTCCAACAGCAGAGCAGATGACAGAGGCCTGGCTCCTGCTGGGGCCTCAGCCCAAGTCTCAGCCCCTCAAAGCTCAAGACCGTCTCAAACTGGACCCAACAGAGCGAAGCTGCAAGAAAGAAGTGGGAATGCTGCAGGTATTCATGACAGAAATGTCCTCTTCAACTTTAAGAAATCTATGTTTTAATCACATGCAGAGTAGTTAAGGTTACTACTTTTATTTTGCCTTCTTTAGATATAAAGTGGGTGTTTTATATAGATGCAGTTTAAAAGAGGAGTTTAACCAATTACACATATTAACAGTGTTTTTCATTTTCAGGGAGTTTTGCAAACTTTTCAGAAATTACCTTTATTGCATTCATCAGAGTTATAGTAAAGAGCTGCACTGTGAGCTTGTGTAGAGAAAAACATGACCGACTTAGAAAACCAGACATCTTCATCTCTGTGGCGTACACCAAGGGACTTTAATGGCCATGCTAGGTACTGCTACGTAAATATAGGTGCAACCTTTGAAAAGGAGATTATGAGGAGCAGACAGATGTGAGCTGACGTTGGCTTCATAAATCTATACATATCCTTATCTGAGAATGAATTTGAATCGTCCACTGTGAGCCTGATAGTTTTACACTCATTGGTGTTGGAGCGTCTCATAAACCGTCTCTCACTCTCCTTTAAGTTTTGTACTTTATCAGGCTGGAAACACAAGAATATTATCAATGCAAGACAGTTCCTACCAACCCATAAACTTCAACTTGTTCATTTATCAAAAATTTGTGATGACTGTTTTCCATCTAACTGAAAAGTGAAATTACTTTATTACACAGATCTCTCCCCTCCTCTTCCTCCTCCTCCTCCTGCTGCTGCTGCACTCCCTTCATGTGTGGGAATATCGCTCCCTGAAGACTCAGCTCTCCCACCACCTCCTCCTGATCAGACGCCTCTTATCCACCCTCTGACCCAAGGCCAGCGCTCACCTAAAAACAAAACGGTACACTCTCTCATAAAGACCGGACGTTGTTCCCTTTATTGATGGATTTCAACAGATTTTACAGAGAGTGGTTTACGCTGTGCGGAGGGTTGTACAGATCGTTTACAAAGTTCATCATGGGGCAGAAAAAGCTGTCCTTTAGATATGATAAATGATCAAGACTGTTCATCTTTGTCCCTCAGAAATAGAGCACCTTTGTTCATGTCTGCTGATGTCTTTGTGAGAATCATTTACTATACTGCCTCATCTCTGTGGAAACCATCAAAGTGCTCTTCAGGACGGAGGGCTGAGTTACACCAGGACTTACCTTCAACCTCTAAACCAGATGTAGAAATCAGAGATGCACTTTTTTGAAATTGATGTAAGACTTTAGGGGGTTTTGTTTTCAATAGAGGTAATTCAGCGACTGTGAAAGTTGGCATGAAACTGACGTACAGTTTGAAATACCTCTACAGCACGTAATCGGGCTGATCTCCAGCAAATAATTAGAAAAAATTCTTGAACCTTAACCAGCATGTGTGTCTGAATTTTGTGCTTTTTCAGTAAGCTGTACGCAGAAGTATGTTGGTATACACAGCTGATTGCAAAATTGAACATGAGTATGAATTTGTATGATTCTGCTGAATGATCCTGATGTGTATTACACTACCACTCTTTCTCCTCTTCTTTACATTCACTCAAAATGTGTTCTTAACCTTTTAGGTAGAAACTCGCACACCATCTAGTGGGTTGAATAAAGATGAACAATCCCAGACGATCCCAAAAAATGGTCAAGACACGTGTAGTGTGAGTAAAGGTAACATGATCTCTCTTTACGCATTCAGCGCACAACTTAGAGCCACTGGGCTTTGACAAAACACACACGATCACCTGCTCTGACATCTTGTGTTTGTGTTCAACTCAGAGGTGTGTGGCTTCTGTCGGAAACCTGTGGCTCTCTCTGAACCTGCGATAGAGGCTCTAAATAGGACGTACCACGAAGGTTGCTTCCAGTGTAGATCCTGTCACAGCCCTCTGGCGGGTAAACATTACTACAACAAGGCAGGAATCCCCCTCTGTGAAGAGTGCTACCAGGTACAGTCAACACAGCATCCAGTGTTGGATAATGACATGCCAGGTTACTAAAAACATATGTGCTTTTCATTACTGTTTACTGAGGGAGATAAAATGTTTTCTAGACTATCTGTGTTCCTTTAATTTATGCAGCATGCACATGGACTTGCAGAGTCTCAAAACCACCTTAAAATCCACACTTTGTCTCTTGCTTTATGTTTTGTAGTAGCACTGTTTAATTGCAAAGTCAGTGCAAAACATTAAATAACTGATAGTAATAAGAGATTACTACTATAAAAGATTTTTTCTTTTCATCACAGTGTCGAGTGTCTAACAGTTTACATTTTTTCAAGAATAACTCAAAAACAAGAGGAAAAGAGAGAGAAAACACTTACTTGGTAACAACAATTCAGTTTTAATTTAGGTAATGGCTATTTACATCATATTCAGGGTATTAATAAGCCTTTAAGACAGTGGGTTCAACTTTTGAAAATGCATGTTTTGTCTTTTGATAAGGAAAGGTTCGTTTGATGAAAAAAAAAAATATTGCCTAACTTAAGTTGACTGAATTTTTGTTGTGTTGGTAAGGGTTTTTGTTGGTTCCTCTTGTACCGAGTCGTGTTTTAGAAAATTCTCATGAATACCACTTATTTTGCAAAATTAAAAAGAGAAAATAATTTTTATATTGGATTTGTTTCTCCTAGGCCAGTCTTGAGCTGTGCTGGGCCTGTGGGGAGTCCATCACTGACAATGTGATCCGAGCTCTGGAACGAGTGTACCATCTCTCCTGTTTCACCTGTGCAACCTGTAAACAGCAAATTGGGGAGCAGCCCTTTGCTCAAGGAGAAGTTGGAGAGGTTTATTGCCTTCCAGACTACTACAGGTAAATCCCACATGTCCTATATTAAAGGGATATTGTGGTGTAAAATAAATTTATGGTCAAACACACCATAACACCGAGTTAGACGCCCCCTCAAGAAATGAATGTTGCAGACCGCTTGTTTTTCTAGTAAATACCAACTTTAGCAATACACAGTGGTCTGAGGAGCCACACACAAACCTCAACCAAAACGCCACTCTATAGACACAAATAATGCTCAGAACAGCACCTAACTTCATCAACAGGACATATAGGGTCACAGACAAAGTACTAGACACCAAACATCTTTTTAACTTTGCCTGATTTCTTTAGCAAAGAGACTAAACACAACTCACCTACTCTCTTCCAGCAGCCGCTTGTTTGTAGCGAGACCTGAGGCCAGTCCATTACAGACTACAGCGGGGTGACGCAGCTCAAGGAAGAACATTTATGATCATTACTTTGGCATTTCCTTTTAGTAATAATCACCATATTTGCGGTAGTCCTTCTGTCTTAGCATCTCGGTCTGATTGTATTTCCATGAAGAACGACTGCTGTGTATTGCTATCGTGGGGTCATTAATAAAGTTGGTATAACTAGAGAAGCAAGTGGTCGGCAACATTCATCTCTCGAGGGGGTTCCTAACTCAGTGTTGCAGTGCGTTTGACCCTAAGTTATTTTTACGCCGGAATATCCCTTTAAGACAATGTGTCAAATGTTTAAAGGCGCTATACAAGTGAAGTTGTAATATTTCCTGTCCTTCTCATTGATTTCCACAAAGAAAGTACGCTCCACAGTGTAATGCCTGCAACCAGCTAATCATTCCAAAAGAGGATGGTACTGACAGCTACAATGTTGAATGTCTGGGACACTCTTACCATGAAAACTGCTACAGATGTGAGGTGGGTGTCCTCTCAGCAAACAGTGATTTAACCCAAACAATTAAAAACACAGTTGTATTCCTAAGTAAATGTGTCTGTCATACCTTGTGCAGGTGTGTGTCATCCAGCTCTCTCCTGAACCCAATGAGCACGGCTGCTATCCTCTGGAGGGGAAGATGCTCTGTAAAACCTGTCATCTGAACTTGGTCTCAGGGCAACACTAACACTGGCCTCTGCAACTGGGATAAAATGCAACAAAGGGAAAGAGTGTACTAGTGACTCTTGAATACAAACGTCTCATCACAGTCATAATCCTGTAGAAAGAAAATATCACAAGGCTATATTTTGACAATATATCATGCTTTCTTAAGTTCCTCCTTTTTACTTTTATACTTGATTATTTTGCACTTAATAAACTCTACCAAATGTACCAAACATATTTATGTAACATGAATGTACTGTACATCAAGCATTATTTGAACTTTTTACATCTCAATCTGTTTTTCAATCACTTAAATCATAAAAAATCTTAAAACAAAAAAAGCTTGTATAAAGGTTAGTAAGTATATATTATGAACCTATTTATTAGCCTATCCTGATAGGCTCAAACTATTAAACTTCCACAAAGACAAAGTGTTATAATGTGAAAAAATACTGTAAGCAACCCTGTTCAGCACAGTATTTTTCTACATTTTCCTTATAGCATGAAAGGCTTAAAAGAGACAGCTGCATAGTTTTTGATGGATTGATGGGCTGAATGAAATTACTCCTCAGGAAGAATTCATTCACCTGCTTAGATAAAACAGGCAGGAAAAAAACTTAGCATTACCGATCCGGCCCATTTACTGAACTGCAAATGATACTTCAGACTGAACATTTGTGATGAAACATTAAAGATCAAAGTTGAAAACAAAGATTACAGAATACTAAAAAAGGGATATTAAACCCTTAAAAGCATCTATGCTGAACCAAAACACAAAGGTGATTATTATGTGACTATGGTCACAATTAGAGATAGATTGATTGATTGGCCTTCTGTGTCATATCAGCACTGGCCCTCAAGGCCAGTATTTTTCCTAAATTCATTTAAAATCTTAATGATATTTAATTTGAATGTGCATGAAATAATGGATTTGTTCATGACCTGTTAACATTTTCATTATAGTATTTACCTTGGATTTTAGTTCTTTTTTAAAATAATTTAAGATGGCTGGATAAAATTGTGGCAATATTTTACGGAGCAAAATTATTTTCCATCTACAGTTACTTAATAAAATGTTCATTAATATTCTGGAACTTTGTTTCTAATATGTTAGTATTACTATGCTGTTGAATTTTTCAAATACACAAAAAGGGGAAAAACAATAGGTGATATTGGCATCATATATCCACCAATGGCCACACTGCTTTCTCATTATCGCAATCTGCTGTTAAAATAGTAAAGTATTGACCACTAATCACAAAAAAAACATGTGCTATTTTGTTTTTTGGTCTAACGACAGAGAGATTCAGATCCTGACTGAATTATACACACAATAGTCATTTCAAAGCTAGGAAATCATAAACTATAAGTTACAGTGTGTACTGAAAAAATATGTGTTGTGTCACCAAAACACTGTTTTGGACCTGGTTTTAATCATAAATCAGACTTTAGTTGTATAAAACATATTATAAAATATAAATTGTAACACAAAGTGCTTTACATAATGAAAAATAATAAATAAAACGAAAATAATAATAAAATTAAAACCCCTAACTCACAATCAAGGTTAACAAGAGCATATATATATATATATATATATATATATATATAAGCACACATATACACACCTTCTCATTCAATGCATTGTACATTCTAACTGAAGGCATCAAAACTATGAATGAACACATGTGGAGTTATTTACTTAACAAAAAAGCTGAAATAACTGAAAACATGTTTTATATTCTAGTTTTTTCACAATAGCCACCCTTTGGTCTGATTACTGCTTTGCACACTCTTGGCATTCTCTCGATGAGCTTCAAGAGGTATGTAAATAGTCAATGTACAATCTAAATACTAATGAAAATAAAGAAAACACACTGAATGAAAAGGTGTGTCCAAACTGTTGGCCTGTACTGTGTATATATATATATATATATATATATATATATATATATATATATATATATATATATATATATAGATAGATAGATAGATAGATAGATAGATGTGTGTGCAGGAATTTTTTGTTCATGAATGCCTAATTTCTGTTATTTTGTTGCATTTTTATATGGTCCCCTCATGGCACTTCCCCCCCTCCTTATGGACATTGCACAGTCAAAAATAAAAGAAAACTACTTTAATTTGTCATGTATTGTCCTATTTTGATATATTTTGACGACAAGCCCTTGTCTTGGGTATATTAATTCGGGTAAAAAGCGATAGTGATGGTGTTACTAATTATAGCGACAGTGTTCTATGGTTAAGTTAATCAAAACTGAACTGTGTCGTTTGTTTTGGGACGGTAGAAAGAATCTCCTCTGACGAAGTTCAACTGCTTCCATAACTTTGCACACTTCCCTGACAGCAGCCGCGTGTTCGTAATATGAAATCAGGAAACGACCAGCAATGCTCTTGAAGAAATCACGTGCTCACTGTTGCGTATGTACTTTCGGGCCCGCGCGCCGTACATCAAACCGGGGCCGCGCTGCTCGCGCCCATAAACATCTAGGAGCGAGGCTCAAGCGCGTTCACGTGCACGGACCGAGGACGCAGCAGCTAAAGCTAAACGGGCAGCAGCAGCAGCAGGGCTACCAGGCCCAGATTATTCACGGAATCCACCGTCGTTCATTTTGTCCAGGCGGATCTCCGACCGGCAGGGATTAGAAACGTGCAAGATCATATGTGTGTGAAGGGGGGAAGAGTCGCGCAATATGGTTCGGGAAACCAGACACCTTTGGGTGGGAAATTTACCCGAACATGTCCGAGAGGAGAAGATTGTGGAGCATTTTAAACGGTAGGTTACGCAAGAGTGGTCCGTGTTGGTGAAGCAGCGCGCGCTAACAGGCAGCACTAAGGTTAGCTAACAGGCGCTGGGGGCAGCCGTGGGACTCATGCTAACAAAGCTAACCTTAGCATTTTTCAAGTTTTACAAGTTACTTTACGATGTGCTGCACGTGCTTTAATGCATTACAGCCACATTTGTTAAACCGAAACGCCCGTAGTGGAACAACTTAAAGGAAAATGTTAGGATTGAAAATATTTGGCTAACTTTTTAGTAATGCCAGAAGGCAAGTGAGCTAGCTAGGTTTGCTAGCCGCCGAGCTACCACCCAACCAACCATTTTGTGGGAAGTCAAGACGATTTCACAGTCAGTACAAGCCAAAAACCAGCTAACGATAGCTAGACAACAGGTTTTAACTCTGGAAACATCAAATAACAATGTTGTTTCAGATAAACGTCGGATACTCCACATTAAATCTCTCTTAAAGAGATTTTCTGGGTAAATACTCCGATACAGAGAAAACCTGCGACCGACCAGGGAGACCATCGGACCGATCAAACATTAAGTGCCACTGAAATCATGTCTCTACTGATATTTGGCACAGAAATCTTATTAATCTGTGAACGGAGGTGCCCCGAGTAGCATTTTCGCCAAATTACAAGTGAGCTACAGACATGGTGTTGTTAGTAATTCGGTTGAATCGACATGGAGCAGCCAGCAAACACTGACATGCTCTCCCGTGTACGATAAATGTATTTATTGACTTATCAGACCAAGCTAGTCTGCAACAAATCCCTTTCAACTACACAGACCAGTATTTGGTGTAGTTTTGTAATAAAGAGTATGATTTTTGTAGTCCCTAAACATATTGGCACCAGTACTGTATCAGGTCATAGAATTATGTGATTTTTGAAGTCATTAAGAAATCTTCTGACACCATTAAATGATGTGCAAACAAAGTGTAGTCATCCAGCATTTAATTGAGGGCACTGCTTTGGACGTATTTTTATTTAGATAGTTTACTCTTGTATGAAACACTGAAAAGAAATATTGGTCTAAACTTTCTGAAGAAAGTCATAAGTATATGCTCAGAGAAGCTGTACCTCTCTCTAGTTCTATATTTACCCCACTGGTTACATACCAACATAGATCAGATTTGTACATAAATCTTGTTTCCTTTTGTTTGTTATTGTTATTTCCATACAGGTATGGGCGTGTGGAAAGTGTCAAAGTTCTGCGGAAACGAGGGTCAGAAGGTGGTGTTGCGGCCTTTGTGGATTTTGTGGATATTAAGAGTGCACAGAAGGCTCACAATGCCGTCAACAAGATGGGAGATAGGGACCTTCGGACAGACTACAATGAACCTGGGTCAGTGCCTAGCGCTGTACGGGGCCTTGAAGACAGCTCCCCTTCAAGCAGTCGAGAAGTTACAGGATTCTCTAGGGGCACAGTTGGGCCAGTGTTTGGCCCTCCTGTGTCCCTTCACACCAGGGAGGGACGTTATGAACGGAGAATAGATGGGTAAGTGGACACGGCTTCCCCTTGAAATCCAGGGGAATCTAAGTATTGGATAGGTGTAAAACCCAAACACATAGTGGGATTATTTGTGAGGGATACATCCCTTCATTGGGGTTAAACAAAGGTAATTGGGGATTCTTCCACTTTTCATCATGTTTGCCTCGGCTTTCCCATGGGATCTATTTAAAATTAACTTCCCATTATCATCGGGTAAGGTAACTAAAATTCAAGGTTTGACATCTGGTTTGGATATCACACCTGTGAGGAATATCCTGGTGAGTTTTGGATTTATTACATTTTGTGAGGAATTACCAAGTGAGCTTTTTGATGTTTTTTCTGAATTTTTTTCCAAAATCTGGGATCTAACTTTGCTTTTTACATGGAATCGCTCAAAATTGGAAGTAAATCCCAACAAAGACGGATGTACTTGAAGAATCACTTCAGTCAGTAAAGCGTTTATCCCCCCTCTCAGTTATCATTTTTTTTCTTTTTCAATTTTTTTTCGTGTCCGGCCCTTTGCAGCAGATGATGATTGGACTACTTTAATTGCTTTTTGTCCATGGATACGCCTGCTCTGGATTTAAGTTTTGCTCAAGTGTATGGAGGAACTACATTTTTCTTACATCAGAAGAAAAGACCGATGCAGACCATAACCATCTCAAGCTTTCATCCAAGGAAAAGTAATAGAAATATAAACACTTTTTGTCCCAAACATGGAAGCTATACCAGGGAGGTTTTTCCAAGAGCATTGAGGATCCAAACAACCAGTACTGTTTGTGGAGCTATTCTTGCTTTGGATTGGTGCCATGAAGATACTGGAAGACCGCAGAGTTGGGATGTTTCTGCCTGGATGTAGTATGCAGTACTGATGCGCAATGTTGGATGTACGGATTTGAGCCCTAGTATGGATAGGTGTAGCTGTTGTGTATTTGGATTACTTGAGTGTGGATGTAGCTGTGTAAGTCTTCAGTGAGGTGAAGAGCTCTACATACATGTTCCAGAGCTGAAGATAACTTTCAGAATAACTCAAAGTATTGATACAAAACAAGATAGTGTCCCAGCATGCGCCTGATGAAGATCCATGGATTGTGGAATTATGTCAAGAGCCCATGAGGATTTTATTTGCTACGGCTGATGTGTCTGCGAGTCAACAACTTTGTGTAATGCGCAACTACTTCAAAGCAACAAATGGAATAAATTTTTCAAAATTTATTTTTTAATTCCACTCAAACCCCAATTGTTGGAAAGTATCAAAAAACCAAAACAAGACCAACAACAAGATGTGACTGATCCAGTTGGATGTGTGTCCTTTCAGGCACCAACTTTCTGTGTTGTCAAACTGGATTGTGCTGAATTTCCCTGAAGTAGCTCTCCTTTTTTGAAAAACCCACATTTATTTATAAAGGTCTTTTATGTTCCTATTTCGAACCACATGTCCTGAAATCCATTAAGGTCCATCTCTGTGATTATTTTGTTTTTATTTTTGTCTTTTTTTCCCATCAAGTGAAGAAAATTAGTAGCGTAACTGTGGACTTGACGTCAACAGACATCTGGCCTGATGCTCCACTGTATTTGAAGAAAATGCAAAGTACAATGCAAGAGAACCATTTTTGCCTAATTAAAATCAATAGATTTTTTTTCCCCTTGTTTTTCAATCGGGCTCTCACATTCTGACCAACTAGATTTTATTTGGATTAGTTTCGATAACTTCTTTTTCCAAAAGGTTGGTATTTTTTTGCCCTCTTCATATTTTACTTCTCTAACGTTCCTGAGTGCCTTGTCTAATATTAAGTTTTTTGCCCCGCTTTTAATGAAAATATGGATTTGCTGAGAAGATACCAATTTAAAATACCCACACAATATACTGTGTATGTGCTTATTACTTTACATTTCATCTTATGACATCAATCATTGATCTCCATTGCATGGCCCTTTTTAAATAAAGTGTAAAACTTTAATATAAGAAATTTCTTGTTGAGTAGTGAATGGAATTAATATTTTATTGACAGTTGACCTCTGAAATGAGCACACCTGGACACTCGGCGCAGCCCAAAGTAGTCAGTGATTTAATTTTACAATATTAGTGAAAAAAAAAAAAATCTCAGTGAATCAAAATATCTTACAGACAGACATTGACTTGATTTGATATCTTGATCCTTTAATGTTATGCCTCAAGACTAAAGTCATTGGTGTTTTAGTCAGCTGGGGAAAATTTGATATCATTTTTCCAGTGATTTTTTTCCGTATACCTCTGACCACAAGAACTTCCAAAAGCAAAGATTCAATGACAGTATGCTGCTTTTGTTATACTTGTTGCTAAAAGTTACAAGTATTTACACCCAGTGAAGACTGCTCTGTTTTTTTAATTAGATACTGCTACTGCTCGTGATACCAGTTTTTAGCTATTTAAACTGTCCTCCTACTTAATCTGGCTTGTTGTCAGCTGTGCCATTGATAAACATGTGATAGCTTTTGGCTTTGTGCATCAGGACGGCAAAAGATGGCCATGAAAGGCTATATTTATTTACAGTTTTAGTTGTTAGTCATTTTAATCCTTTCTCTTTTCTATCCCCTTTTTCTTTCACAGTAGCTCAGAGAGCCGTGATCGTGCATATGAGCACAGCCCTTATGGACACCATGACCGTAGCAGCACCTTCGACAGGCAGCGTCACTATAATGCTGATTATTACCGAGATCGCTCCATTTTTGCCGCTGCTGGCCCAGGAAGCAGTGCCATTGCTGGGAGCTTTGAGCCGTCAGATCCACATTTTGACTCCAGAATAAGAGACCCCTTTTCTCTGACTAACTCCTCAAGACGAGACCTATACAGAGATGACAGAGGCAGACGTGTTGATAGAACCTACCATCACCGTCGAAGCCGATCATCTCATTCCTCACAGTCGAGGCATCCTTCCCCACAAAGGACTACAGGACAAACCTCTAAAACTCCTCATTCCCCTAAAAGAGCTCCTTTGTCTCCTGGGAGAGGCCCGCGATCTCGATCCCGCAGCAGATCTTCAAGCTCAGACTCTGTCAGCAGCACCAGCAGCACAGGCAGTGGCAGGTGTGACATTTGTTTAAAGACCTCAAGGTTCCATGTTTCACAGGCTTGTTGACTGTTCAGCGTGTTTGTCAGTGAACAATATTTCAACAGTCTTATAAAAAATGCTTCATTAACTCACACTGACCAGTGTATCTGGTATTTTTTCTCTCTCATGATAACAGTGATTCAAACAGCAGTTCAAGTGATGGATCTCGGGCACGATCTGTCCAGTCCTCTGCTACACACGCACCTCCTCAGTCTTCTTTGGTGCTTGACTCAGATGAGCCCCGCAGAAGCTTTGGAATCAAAGTGCAAAACCTACCTGTGCGCTCCACAGGTGAGTTGCTACACATCTAACAAAGGTTATGCGAATCTCAGATTCAAAGCAGAACTTTTGTTTGCAGCATGATAAAACATAAAAGAAATCAAAATGAGTTCAACAAGAAGATCATGTGACCATCTTTGTGTGCTGCTTACAGAAATTAATACACAATTTTTTTGGAAGTGATCAGTACTCTCTATCTAGCATTACTGAGCTGAGAGAAAGTAATGTAGATTGTAGCTGTCAAGAGGAATTTTGCTGCCTTTTAATACAACTCTCTATGTTTCTGTTGTCCAATGCTGCGTTAAATATAAAATTAGAAGTGGTTTATTACCAATCACCTCTTTGTGTTTTTATTCTTGGTCATTTATTATAGTCACAGCTGCTGAGTCTCGCTTGGTAGCATTTATTTTGGATGTCATTTCACTAATTTACAGTTAACTGTGGCCTGTAGCTCATGGCGATTTAAAAGCCAGGCTTATGAACCAAATCGTTTACCTCAGGGAACGTTAATGAAAATCAGGAGAGGACAACAGATGCACTGAAAGCACCACCTCTGAATTGATAGCATAATTTGCCTATTTTTAGGAGACACTTCCTTGAGATGACATGTAGACTTAATCAAAAACAAATCTATGTTCTGTATCACTTTTGACAAATAGCATTAAATGATCACCTTCTCCCCCCTCCCTTCTAGACACAAGTTTGAAAGATGGACTCTTCCACGAATTTAAGAAACATGGTAAAGTAACTTCAGTGCAGATCCATGGAGCATCGGAAGATCGCTATGGTTTGGTGTTTTTTAGACAGCAAGAAGATCAAGAGAAAGCCCTCAATGTTTCCAAAGGGAAGCTGTTCTTTGGAATGCTTATTGAAGTCACTGCCTGGAATGGTCCAGGTAAGTGTTGATGACAAAACACTTCTGTGTCTGATTTCAACAAGTTAATAAATGAACACTTTAGAAAATTGTACTTTAGTTCAGGCGGTGAAGAATGAGATTTGCATTCATAAAGAATGTTAGTAATAATGGCTAACTCTCCATTCGTACAGAAACAGAGAGTGAAAATGAGTTCAGACCCCTGGATGGGCGAATAGATGAATTTCATCCAAAGGCCACAAGGACACTGTTTATTGGCAACTTGGAGAAGACCACCAGTTATCAACAACTGCTTGATATTTTTCAACGCTTTGGAGAAATTGTGGTATGCTACCATTCAGCCTTGTACTCTTAACTGGTACAACCTACTTGTGATTACTTGATGTTTCTAATAGTTTTCTTTCTTCTCCTCAAGGACATTGATATCAAAAAAGTTAATGGAGTTCCACAGTATGCCTTTGTGCAGTATTCGGATATTGCCAGTGTTTGCAAGGCCATTAAGAAGATGGATGGAGAATATTTGGGGAGCAACAGACTTAAGGTAGTGCTTACAGTTTACAGTAGAAACATTTTGGCCTGCAATCAGCAATCTCAAGTATTCCCTATGTACAATTTGACTTTTGTTCTTGCCCTTTCAGCTTGGATTTGGGAAGAGTATGCCCACAACATGTGTCTGGCTAGATGGCCTGGCAACCAGTATCACAGAACAATACCTCACTCGGCATTTCTGCCGCTATGGGCACGTAGTTAAGGTAAGGTAGACAAGGCAAAATATTTACTGCCTTTGATTGTGATGCTTTGTATTTTCTCATCAGTCCTTTCTGTATCTTTTGTCCTTTTTCAGGTTGTGTTTGATAGATTGAAAGGCATGGCCCTGATCTTGTATAACAACACAGACTTTGCTCAGGCAGCTGTGCGGGAGACTAAAGGTTGGAAGATTGGAGGCAATAAGATAAAGGTGAACCAGAGCACTTATTGGGTAAATCTGTAAAAACTATTTTTGTATGTAAATACATGTGTGCTTTGACACTTTTTTTTTTCAATGAAAGGTGGATTTTGCAAGTCAAGAGAGTCAGATGGCATTCTACAGATCTATGCAGGCATCTGGTCAAGACATTAGAGACTTCTATGAAATTCCTCCTGAACGACGGTAAATTTTCGCAATAATTTTATTCAAATGATGACTTCTCAACTAACCATTATTTTGGAAGTAATCCTCAGCCAGTTAAATTTCTTATCTTTCAATTCCCTCTACAGAGAGGAAAGGAGACCTCCATACCATGAATTTACAGCAGAGAGGGCCTACTATGAGAATATACGAACCCCTGGGCTCTATCCAGAGGACGCCAGAAGAGAATATGCTGCTCGCAGCAGAGACAGATTCCCTGAACTTGAACACTATCAGGGTGATCATTTTGATCCACGTTATCATGAGGACCCAAGAGACTACAGGGACTACAGGGACCCTTTTGAGCAAGACATCCGGAAATATACATACATTCAAAGGGAGCGAGAAAGAGAGCGAGAACGTTTTGAGGCTGACCGCAGCAGGTGGAGTCCATCCCATCCGAGGCGTCCCATTACTCCTACAGTGTCACCTTCACCATCTGATCGCGCCCCCAGAGACTCAGAGCGTCGCGTTTACAGCCAGTCCTCAGAGCGAAGTGGTAGTGTGAGCTCAGTGTCACCACCACACTTTGACAAACCTGATAAGACCCTACTGGATCATGCTTCAAAGAGTGAAAAGACGGAGAAAAGTAATCAGCCGGATCGTGTGGCTGGCGCTGAGAAAACTAAACGTGCAAAAAGAAAAGAAAAGGGTGACAAAGCAGAAAAGAATAAATCAAGAAAAGCAAAAGGGCAATCTCCATCCAACCCATTGCCTGAGCCTGAGCCTGAGCCTGGTTTTGATGGAGGTTCTGGAAGAGGAAGGGTACCTGACCCGGATGCTCATGAGAGACAGAAGTCCAAGGGGGATAGTGACAGTGGGAATTCATTGTTGGCTGCTCATCATGACTCTGCTAAAAGTGAAAGATCTGAAATGAACAAAGGTGAGAATTCAGATGTGGATGGGAAAAATCGGTCAAAGAAACATCAGAAATCCGATGCTGGAAATGATGTGAAAGATTCATCAGTAGATTCCGAGCGTCTAGCTGCAAGAAAAAGGCGATTTGCAGACTCTAGTGGAAGGACTATCCGTCAAAAAAGAGGCAAGCATGAAGAGGAAGATGGCATTCAGTCCTCTGAGTTTGGTGCTAGTGCCACATATTTGAAAGAGTTGGAAACTGACAAACACAAAGATTCACAACGGAGGGACTCGAGACTCAAAGCTGAGAGAAGTGGCTCACAGAAGGATGGCCAAGAGGACCCAAGGGGACAAAAAGAGAAATCAGAGGGATGTTTGGACCCTCTGGAATCAAAACGTCATCCGGGGCATACTTCATCCAGGAGGTTTTCACATGAGGGAATTACAGACCAAAGCAGTGTGAGAGAGGAAGAGCACCATCCTGCTTTTAAATTTACACAGAATGCTGACAATGACAAAAATGTGAAGACAAAGGAAGACCACGTTGACATTGATCTCTCACAGAGTTACCGCAAACAAATGGAGCAAAATAGACGATTACATCAGCAGCAACAGCAGCTTGAATCTGACAAACCTGACAAAGCAGGAAGTCCCCAAGGGAGTGAACCAGAAGACTTGGAACATCGCAGTCTTGTGCATGAAGTTGGTAAACCACCTGAGGATGTTACGGATAATTTTCCATCTCACAAGCTTAAGAAACTAGACCAATTTGACGCAGATTCTGGGATAAAGAGAGAGCGTGTCTACAGGAGTTTTAGACAAAAAAGTGAAGATCCTGACTGGAATAACGCTCCCTCTCCAGGACATCATCACTTTTCTCAACATGTAGATGAGGACTTTGTGGATCATTCTCAAAAAGAGTTGAGCAGAAATGAGGAAAAAATTCACGCAGATCTGGAGCTTTTGGTCAAAAGGACACATAATACTCAGGTAAACAAGCCAAACACTCCTTTACTTATGATGGAAGAAGAGCAACAAAAGAGATGGGAAAGCAGAGTAAAACATGACTTGTTACCTGCGCTGAACTTCTCCAGAAGTCTTAGTAAAAATATTCCCAACCGCAAGCGTTTGGAGTATGGTATTTGGCATGACCTGGAGCCTGGGGAAGTAAGATCTGATCCTGAGGAGGAAAGAGAGAATAAAACCCACTCGCCTGTGCCCTCAACGTCTATGCCTTTTTCTGATAGACAAAAAGTTGACAGGTTTTCAGACCCCAAACTGGCACATCTTGAAAGAAACAAATTCTATTCCTTTGCGCTTGACCAGACCATCACACCCGATACAAAGGCTCTGCTTGAACGTGCAAAATCTCTTTCATCTTCCAGAGAAGATAACTGGTCCTTTTTGGATTATGATTCGCACTTTGCAAGTTTTCGCAACAGAAAAGATACTGAGAAGGTGGAATCAGCACCTAGACCTACACCCCCCTGGTACATGAAAAAGAAGAAGATAAGAATTGGCTCTGAAGATAAACTTGATGACAGGAAGGAGGAACCAAAGCCAGAGGAACATGAAAGGAGGGAACTTTTTGCCTCCCGCTTTCTTCACAGTGCTGTCTTTGAGCTCGATTCTAGAAGACTTCAACATCTGGAGCGTAAACACGAAGAACCTGAGCATACACAAACCCAGCAATCTAGTCAGCAAGGGGCAGGAGATGGTGAACTGGACTCAGGGCCAGTTGTCCTTTTCCATAGTCGTTTTTTAGAACTCACACGACTACAGCAACAGAAGAATAAAACACCACAGCCACAAGAGGCAAAAGGAGACCCGATACCCACAGATGAAATGGTGGTAAAAGCATCAGTTTCAGAGCAACAGGCTTTGCAGTCCCCAGAAACAACAGAATCTGTTATGGAGCCAGAAATTAAACCCATCAGTCCTCTTGAAGAGCTGATTTCTGAACCACAACTCACACCTGCACCTGTTACACAATCTGTGGTCAAGGACATTCCTCCAGCAGAACAGAAAAGTGTTGTCCAAGATCATACCCCTGAACCATACCCTGCTTCATCTTTCATGAAGGAAGAGGTAAAGGAAGAAGCAAAAGAAATCGAACAGGTTGAATCCATTCAGCATCTGCCAATGGAGACGTCACCTGTTTCTGAACCTGCTCAACCAGCAATAGCAGAGTCTAGTTATTCAGCTGAAGGATGTAAGCTGTCACCTTCTGAAGAGAAAGTGGATATTGTAACAGAGGACATCAAGCCTCTCAGCGCAGAAAAATCTAACCAGCACAATTTTCATGAGTTCACTGGCAGTTCAGAAGCAGAACTGGACCCTGAAACAACACAGACAGAGGAAGTGCCAGAAGTCACTTGTCCCAAACCATCCAATCTTGCAGATGAAGTAGATATGGTCAAAAAAGAGACTCCTTCCACTTTCAAAGCAGCAGAAGAGCCTGAAGGAGAGAAGAAATTTCAAGTTAGTAAAGAACAGGTGCCAACTGACAGTGACACAAATGAAGAGCCAATGTTGCCTCAGAAAGAGCATAAAACAAAAGAAATGAAAATTAAAAAGTGCAAGCAATCCCCTGCTCGCATTTCTCCAGTTTCTGTTGTTTCTACCGCTGGTGCTGAGAAGCAAGCAACACGCAAGAGTGAACGCATTGACAAAGAGAAGCTAAAACGTGGATCATCTCCAAGAGCTGAAACGAAATCCACAGGCAAATCTCCCATTCATAGCTCCGACCCTGATATATCAGAGCCAAGTATACCAATGGGCAGAACAAGGCGACGAAATGTTAAGTCAGTATATGCCACTCCAGTTGAAGATGATACACCAGTTCGTACTGGAAAGGAAATGACAGAGTTGCCTCGCTCTGTGCGAAAGCGGGGATCAGACAAAGATGCAACACCCCAACCAAGTATTGAACAAGATCCACCAGCTCCAACCCCTGTGACCAAGCGAGGCCGTCCTCCAAAGAATCGCAAACAAGGGGATGAGATTTTAACCGCCAAAACAGAAAAACCCAAAATGGACAATAAGGACACTGATTCAAATGAATCAGAGAGTGGTGAAAGAATTCCAAGAGTGTCAAAAGGGAAAACATCCCCTCATAGCACAAAGGTTCAGTTGAATCAGATGTCCACAGCTCTGGGCCCTGGATTAACAAGAAAGGCAGAAAAAAATGAGGTGGTTGATGATGATGATCAGGACATGGATTTTACAGATGAAGATTTGCCAGTCTTGCCAGAACCTTCAAATTTATCTAAAGAAGATCCATCAATAAGAAATGACCAAAAGAAAGAGGACAAACAAACTTTAAGCCGAGATAAAGATGTTCTCCAAGAAAAAGCATGTGGGGGTAAATCAAATGGGAAAGAGGCAGATTCACGAGTCTTGGAGGAGAAACCCATCACAGAAAAAGACAAGTTGGTTCGAGGAAAGACCAAGTTGACAAGGACTCCTAAGTCTCCTGTCCTTAGGAACCTCAGTATCAAACTTAATGTCACAGAAGTGAAAGATCTCCTTCAGTTAGGGGAAGATGGGCCTGGTAATCTGGAGGATGCTTCAAAAAAGTCAAAAACTAGCGACCAGGGTGATCATGTTTCAAGTTGCTCCAGTGCTGATGTAGGAGGTCCTAACAATGAAGAAAGGGGAAATTCTACTCCAGAAGTAAAAGAGCCAGCTGAAACATCAAAAAGTTTGATTTCTCAGGAGCAGGAATTGGAGCAGGCTGTGGAGAACATAGCTAAACTTACAGAGCCAGCATTTCCAACAGAGCCACCAACACCACCTGTCTCACTTTCAGAAGTAAAACCTGACCAAGATGAAGAAAAACCTTCTAATCCTGCTAGTGAGACAGAGCTCATGGCTGCTATTGACTCAATAACTGCAGAGGAATCAACTGTACCCGTAGTCCAAGCACCCCCACCAAGTGCAGATGTAGGTTCAGAGCCTGAGATGCAAGACTTCATTCAGCCTAACAAGGAAGATGAATCTGAGACTGCAGTCTCTGTACAGGAACAGCCTATTCCCCCAACCACGCCTAAAAGAGGCTCCAAGGGAAGACCCAAAACACCAAAACGCCCCAAAGTCCAAAAGCAAGTAAAAAAAGATGTGAAGGAAGGACTTTCAACAAGTGAGGAATCGTCAACTCCCCTTGAAGATAACACAGCTATGAGTGTACAGATTGTCCCTGAAACAGCTCCACCATCAGCAACTGCTACTGTTATTACTCCTACCTCCTGGAAGCAAGAACCAGAGCCTTCTGCTGTTAAAGCTTCATATGTGGATGAAGATTTAGAGCCATCTTCTGAAGAACAGAATCCAAACCTTAAATCAGTTAACCCCAACTCAAAGAGTCCTGTATGCCTGAAGCCCCTGCAGGTTCCACCTGAATGTATCACTCCTTCCTTGGCTTTACTAGCCAACAGGCCGAATATCAGACCCATTACAACCAGTAGAACTCATGTTTCACCCCCAGATTGGCCCCATCAGTCTAAAGAAACAGGACTGTCTTCTTCACCTGTTGTGCCATTGGCATCCAAGGAAAATCAGCCTTTACCGTCAGAATCTGAAAACATGGAGATTGTTCATGGTACAAGTGACCTGAGACAAATTCTAATGAAACCCAAAAATATTTCCCTTACAAGCGGTGGTTCTATCCCAAGTAATCTGCTCACTCTGCAAGAGCAGAACCTCTCTGAAGGTAATACTCCATCAGCTGTTGCGCCAAATAAGACGCCATTACCTGATAGAATGCCTGCTCACTCAGCCCCACCAGTCGTTCGACCTTCAGCTTCATTACCTTCACCAGAGACCAAGTCTGTAATCTCTGTAATTGCAACAGCAACCTCTGTGATCAGTCGTGTTTGCAACCCTCCTGAGCCAGAGGACAAATCAAACATAAGTATAGGGAATCCCTGTGTGGACATAACTCTTCCTAAACAAACATATAGGCCTGGCAAAGATGACACTGGATCATATCATGTTGGTGAAGAGGGTGGAAGTGCTGCACGATTCATTGTTGATAACCCAAATCTTGGCACCGGATCTTGCCCAGGTCTGAGAGTAAACACGTCTGAAGGAGTTGTAGTGCTGAGCCATTCAGGCCAGAAAACAGAAGGACCACAGAGGATCAGTGCAAAAATAAGCCAGATTCCACAGGCCACAGCAGGTGACATGGAATCTCAGCAGTTGGTATCCATGCCACAGATAAAACAGGAACTGTATGGTCATTCTCATTCAGGACTTCAAAAAGGGCCTTCATTGCAGGCAGATCCTGGGCATCTTGGGAAGACTCAGTCAACTTTGTCCTCTATTAAACAAGAAAGCACCACCTTGGAAAAGACGGAATCTGGTTACCAAACTGGACCTCAAGGAGTAGTGAAGCGCCTCACACAGGGAAACCAACAAGTAATGAGTTATCATCAAGAGTACATGCCGATGAAACATCCAAAGAAAATGGACACTGTTGATCATCACAGCACAGATGGCACTAAACCACCTTGGACTTCTGCTATAAGTCCTGCTATAAGCCCTCATTTGCCCTCTCCACCTGGTAATCATGTAGGTTTTGTCACATCAGCTGGAGAAAGAGCCTCTTCACATATCAGTGGGGTCAAACAAGAACCACGATCACCCCGCAAGTCAGGCCATCCACACTCTCCATTTACTAAAGTATCCTCACCCATTGGCTCCTCATCACCAAAAGGCATACCGGTTATGTTACCCACTGGTCATCCTGCCATGCAACAGTTCATTACTGGTGTACATCATCCAGAGCAGTCTGTAATTATGCCACCTCACAGTGTACCTGGGGGGCTCGGACGGATGTCTCCTCATCGTGTCACACAATCAATTCCAGTGGGGCATCTTGTGCAAGGAGATGTGCGAGTCAATACTCCACCTCTTTCTGTGATGAGCTATGGGATGCACAGTGACACTCTTGCCACTCCATGGTCCGGTTCTATGCAGCCAAGACCAACATCACCCCAGGCAGTAGGCAGAGACAAGGTCCTCAAGGTAAACCCTGGTTCTTTGAGGAGTCATGAGGGAGAGCAGGAAGAAACCAGGCGCTACCACCAGGCTCAAGGGAGGCAACCAGGCACACAAATAAAACCTGAGACATTGCAGTCAGATCCCAGAGGACCTTTACGAACTAGTGTCCAGTTAGAGACATATATGACACAAAGGGATATTCGTGTGCTCTTGCATCAACAGGGAGAACGACTTGCCACAGACCCTCATACTGGACACATTCAAGAGACTCTTCCTCCGTCTTCTGCACCCTCCAGCCTGCCTTTATCCTTGTCTCCAAGAGCTCTTGTTTTGTCTAAAAGTGTGGCTGAAAAGGATATAACAAAGCCATTGGAGGCAAAGAGGCCGCACTCTCCTCTTGCAAAAGATGGGATGATGGGAATTAGACAACCTGGGCAAGCAATAGCATCTCCCCAGAGAGTTCAGCTAATAACATCAGGACCGAGCGGCTCATTCCCAGAGTACTCGTCAATGTACTCAAATCAAAGAGGCATCCATTCTCAAATACAAGAGGCGTCCCCTGGTGGAATGAATCAGCCACCAATAAGTGTCACACCGACCTTGGTAAGTTCATTCGTCTAACACTCTGGTCTTATAAACGCCTTGCACACTGAATCTCAATCCACCACTTGCTCATACCACTTCGCCTTACCCCTACAGTTTGTGCATTAGCTCTAGGAGTAGGATATCCAGATTCTGATTGGGATTGAAGTTTAAGGCTTGGTGTTGGGACTACATGGTCCTCCAACAGAGACTGAGGGACACTCCAGCAGTCTCACAGAATGGCTAACAGTTCAGTGGGAAGATCATTTTCTGAGCAACAAAAGAAATTCAAAAATATTTTTTCTTCATTAATAAGATTTTAAATTTACAATACACATTGTATAATCTTAGTTTTATGTTGTTATAATTGATCATTGTCCATTTCTTTACAACAAGCTTTAAAAAATGCTGGAATGCTAATGTGGAGACTAGACCAGACTAGTCAGCAAGCTAAAATTAACTGCTCATGATTTGTTTCTGAAGGGATTGTCCCATTTTGGAGAGGAAGATTTTACTAGTACCCGTTTTAAATCTGCTCAAATGGAAACTCTGAAAATGAGGGTTACCAGCAGAAGTGAGAATTGGAATTGTCTATATTTAATTTAGTTTGGTTTTTGAATGTTGTGGGTTTTTTTTTTTCATCTTCAGTCTGTAGTCTGAGCCTCATTATATAAGCCAGGCAGACAACAAGAAACTATTCATCTGGGTGGGTATGCTAACCTGGCTTGTTGTTTACGCAGTACAGACTGCTCATTAATATTTCAATGTTTTGCTGTTCCTTAGGGTGCAGACCTCCAGGCTAAACCAATTGACAAGATGACACAGCCTGTTAACATGGTGCAGTTGCTCACTGTAAGAAACCTCAAACCACAAACCCTCATCACAACAGTTAAAAAACTGTAGTCAGGATTTTTGTCCAAGCAAGGGCCGCTTTGTCTGACACATGTATCTTTGTTTGTCTGATATTAAACCAGAAATACCCTATTGTGTGGCAAGGCCTGCTTGCACTCAAGAACGACACAGCTGCAGTCCAGTTGCATTTTGTCTGTGGCAACAAAGCTTTGGCTCATCGATCACTTCCCCTGCAAGAAGGAGGTGCATTGCTGAGGATTGTCCAGAGAATGAGACTAGAAGCTTCACAACTGGAGAGTGTAGCCCGAAGAATGACTGTACGTAGCTCTCTCATTTAATTTATTTATGCTTTGTTTGTTTGTTTGTTTGTTAAATTGAAGCTGCAAATCATTCATGATGTTTTTCCTCCCTTAGGGGGACACTGAATTCTGTCTCCTCCTTGCTCTGCCATGTGGCCGAGATCAAGATGATGTCCTGAACCAAACTCAGGCCCTTAAGGCAGCTTTCATCAACTACTTGCAGACAAAATTGGCTGCTGGTATCATCAATATACCCAATCCAGGTTCCATTCAGGTGAGTTATTAATGCTATTCTCTGATTTACTCCAAAGATCTGGTTTCAAACATGAGCTCTCTGTAACAATAAATGTCCACTTTTTTCCAGCCTGCCTATGTGCTCCAGATCTTCCCACCATGTGAATTTTCAGAAAGCCACCTATCCCAGCTCGCTCCAGACCTTCTGAACAGGATCTCCAGCATCTCACCACACCTCATGATTGTCATCACCTCTGTGTAACCCTCACTGCTGGGAGCTATCCCATTGATGGATGTTCTCACCAATGAGCCTCAGGAAACCAGAGGAATGTGGAAATTATGTTTTCCTGGACACAGTGGGAATGTGTAGGATGTACCTGATCAACTTTTTACCCGCTTCCATCTGTCTTTTTTTCTTTTGTCTGGTAATTTTGTCCTTCTCAAGAGAACTCAGGGATGGACCAAACCAGAATCCAGTCTTATTTGACCATTTCTCTGCTGTATTTCTATTTATTGGAGTTTAATTTTAATGTTCGGAGATGCTCTGAAGAAAAAAATCAGGATGTTTGATGAACAAGATTGAGTGACTGTCTGGGTGGCCTTTTTTTTTCTTTCATCGGTCTTTTTATTGATTTGTCATATTCATTTCTTCACAACAGAGGATCACAGAGGCTGTTGTATCACAATGACTTAAAAGACATTTCTACATGTAATTTTAAATAATTATGTACAGACCTCTTCGCCCAGGCTTTCTTTAGAGGAAAAAGAATTACCTTGTAAACTATGGAGACCCTGTAGAGGACCACGTTCGCTTAATAACTCCTTTAATTCCACCAGCTCTGCTCGTTTTCTCACACTACTGAAGGAGTTACACCTCTGGCCGCCTGCCTTTGCATTGGACAAGCTACAGTATGGTTTGGGAGTTTTCGAATACAGGACTTTGTAAATATTTTAAATATTTAAACTTTGACTATGGAGCTTGGACACTTTGACACAGACTTGAACTCTGGGACATACCAGTGCACATAGTGCGAAAAATTTGATGGATAGCCTTGATTTTTGGGTGTAAATACTTGTAACACAGGAAGGTTAGCAAACTCTGCTGTGGAGTCTGCTGATGGCACTTCATATTTTGTAACTCAAATAAAACAAACTCCAGAAAACTTGAATACATAAGATACCTTTATTCTTCATGTGTCTTTTTTTTTTTGTTTTTTGGAAAATCGTCCTCATTTTGGTTCATGATGTTGATTAAAAAAATTTACCTGCATAAGAAAAAAAAATACAGTTGAACAACCAAAGAGGGTCTCAGTTGGCCAAGTACAAATGGTCTGCAGTGTTATGCAAGGAACAGAGCACTTTCATGAGAGTAAAAGAGGGGAGATATTTTTGTGTAACACTATAACTATGTTTGAAATAAATGATACAACTACAGTTCGGTAGAAAACACACCCTAATGTTTTAAATCGTCACTGGAGCCAAACAGGGCCACCAGCTGGTCTTCATACTGGGAAATGTTCCTCTTCATGATGTCCATACAGGGTCCCAGTAAACGCTCAAAGGCCTGGATGTCAATAACTGGAGGACAGGAAAAAAAACGAGGTTATTTTGTGTTTGATATCCTTGGATGATCTCTGCACAGCAGTAGACAATGGTGCTGTTATACATCTGTTATGAACATCTATTCTATTGAAGTTTCACTATTACACCAAATACAGTCAGAGGTTTCAGCAGGTAACTTTGTTATACCGTATGAATGTGATGTTCAAGAGAGGGTAAGAAAAGTGGTAATAAAATGCTTTTTGAATACAGGGGTCAGTGGCTGTAACTTTTAAAACTACAGTGAAACTCCAGACGAACGGATTTGTAATCCTTTTCAGTCCTGAAACTTAAATCTTTGAAGTTTAAAGTCGAGGAAATAATCAGGTCTCTGAAGCCTGAAGATCAAGACCTCTTTTTCACTGTAGCTGCTTTTCTGCGCAGCCTCGCATTTAAAAAGATTTCCTACTTTTGGATCTTTATAACTTTTTTGTGTGACCCCTACAGATTGTTTAGCTGAATGCTGATATTCTAGTCAGAGTTCCTACACAGTTGGAATTTCCATACTTTTCCATACCCTACTTTTTGGAATTATTCTTGAAAATACCTGCTTTGCTATTTTAGAAAATGGTATTTTATAACTGTGGTAATAGTCTGGAAACATAAATATTTTTCCATATTTTATTTTTCATTTACCAAACTTTTTAAGACCTGGAAATTGATCAGATTACTTCCATACTTTACATACTTGCGTAGGAACCCTGTCTAGTTGTCAGCATTCTTAAACAACAAATCAGATTTGCTAAGTAGAGCTGTCTGCCTGTCATTACCCAGTGAACAGTGAGTTATCCTGTGCACACCATAGAGCCATTACTCTGGTTTTTGCTGGTAAATTCAACTAGAGGTGCCAGTGAAATTTTGTGAGATAATGCTGTGACATATTTTTTCAATTTTCTAAGCAATTGAACAGTTAAATTCAGCAAAAAGATGCCTTTTTTATTCTTTGACCCTCAAGAATTAAAAAGTTAATTAGTATAAAAATTACTGTATTACAATTATAGATCTTGTTGCCGTAGATCTAATCTGCTGTGATAGGTCATAAAAAGCATAACTTTATAAATTGATTTTTAAAAATCCTCTCAGGAGCTTTTAAGCGGAAAGAAAAACCTCTCTTTGACAATCACCAGCTGTTATGAACTCAAAAATAAAGGCAGCATAGCAGGGACTCTGAACACACTTACTTTAAACTGAATGTACTGCTTTCTCTTAAACAGGAAAAGACAAACCTAACAGTTTTGTTTCTCCCACAGCATAAACCGATGCTGCCCGAGGTTTGTTGGTGACCAGCGCCAGCTCCCCGAAATACTGCCCCCGAGAGCATCGAGCCACCTCCACCTCTGTGTTGTCCTGCTGGCCTGCCTTTGTCTGGAACACAAACAGGGAGGAACCGCTCAGTCCTGAAGGTACTTAACAATCAAGAGCAAAGCTAGAACAGGGACAGAGTCAGTCGAATACATAAAGCAAATGGAGCTCAGCAGTTATTTACTACATTATCAACTAGGGCTGGGCAATATGAGAAAAAGTTTATCAATACATATTTTTTTCATATCAGTCGAAATCGATAAATATCATGATGTAAAAAATAATATTTAACAGTGCTTATTGGTCTCATGTCTTTTGCAACACAATAATCTCCTGCATCTGTGAGGTCTTTGTGTCTCTTCGGCGTTTTGTCGTGAGGCGTTGCGCTCGAGAAAGCGGACTGAATGGTGGGCTGTTTCGGCTCCTCGCTCCGCTCAGAGTTTGTAACCTCTTGCATTGCTACATGCTCTGCCGCGTGGCGCTGCTTCAAGGGGTGAAAAAGATTTGAGTTATTCCCCGACTTTGTGGAAACATGTACTCGACATAATTTGCAGTCCACATTACTCTGCTTCATGTCCGACCTCAAAAAAAACAAAATACCTCCACACCACCGACGTTTTCGTGCCAGTTTTGTTGACGATATCATCATCTGTTGAGCCTTCATCTGCATTTCTGTCGGGGGTAGCCCTCATTTTCTTTGTTTTTCTCACCAACAGTGCTGTCGGCTTCACCTGTTAAAGTGCTATGGTTGCGTGTAGCTGCAGCCTGCTACTACACAGTTGTTTGCTACTTGGTTCTAATTCAGCACATGATTGGTTCAGTGCGAAGCAGACTTGGAGCAACTCCCCTTTTCATTGGTTATTCATATAGTCGACCAAAACATGGCAGAATGACGACTATTGAAAAGCAGATCGACCATGTTTTATACTAATATTGAGGGAAATTAATTTTTGATTTATATCCTTATCGTTTTATTGCCCAGCCCTACTATCAACACAAACTACATACTAACACAAAAGTCCAGATCTGTCTGGTAACACTGAGAACACTGGACCCTTACTTTGCTTTTAATCATGATCTTCACCTCTCCTGACTCCACTATGTAGAAACAGTCAGCCTCGTCCCCCTACAGGCACAGAAAAACAGTGAGGACACATTTATTGAGTATAACATCTTCATCAAAAACATAAAGGCAGTCAAGCGTCCCAACACCATACCTGTGCTATGATACGATCTCCATCTTTGAATGCTCGAGCTCCCAAAACATCCACAATCTTCATCCTCTCAGAGAGCTGGTAGGAAAAAAATTGACTGTTGTGACTCAATTTCATTTACTCTTCAATTCTTCAATCTGTAAAGAGCTTGATATTTCACCCCAACCTCAAGAGACTTCAGCAGAGGAACGCACTCGATGAAGGCCTCATATGTCTTCCTCTTCTTTGCATTATTTTTAACTATCAGTCGGTGGAATGTGGCACGATCCTGAAAGGTTTTAAAAACACAGTTTTAAGAGCTTTTAAGAGCTCTGCCTTTAATTTTACTTTAGATTTTACTCTAACAGTAAAATTAGCCCACAGATGTGTTTGAACCTGTCTCAGTCTGTTTGTTATTGACACCGTTTTATCCCTCTTTCACTGACAGTAACTAGTAAATAAGGAAAGAAAGTGTGCACTGTGGTTATAAATGAATATAAAAATGCTTTCTGATGCTCACCAGCCCCCACAGAGCGCCCTCCTGTGTTGCAGCGATCGTGGCGGCTCGTGGTGTGTTGTACATGAGAGCCAGCTCACCAAAACTTCCCTTGTTGTCATACTTTCCAACACACACACTCACTCCGTCCTTCTCCACTAGAATATCAAACACACCCCTGGAAAGCAGACAGATGTAGACGTGAAGAAAACAAAAAAATCCTCCTACATTGGAAAAAAATATCAAGTTTTCTGTTCGTCACTTCTCTATGACGTAGAAGTTATCTCCATCGTCTCCCTGGTCGATGATGTGCTCCTGAGGTTTGACCAACACCTCAAACATAGCGTCTAACACCTCTGAGAACTGCTCCTGAAGGACAGTAAACAAGGACGGTATTATTGAGACGAGACTTAACGTGGAAACAAGAATCAAATACTCGTGATGGGGTTTTGAAAATAATCCAACTGAGCATTTTTGGTCCAATAGAGGTCTTATAGACGTCTTAATGTAGCCTAGACGAGGCTTATTATTATTATTATTATTATTATTTTTGAAATAAATAGTTATCAATAATGGGTTAAAGTCTGTCTGAAAATACACAGAATCTAGACGGTTGAAATTAGGTTAAAAAAAAAAACTAGTTGTCTAATAGCCGTCTATTGTTCAGTGGGATGCAGTAGATAAAGCAAATGTGGAAGAATGCATATAAAAAGTAGAGGAACTGTTGCTGCTATAGTGTTGACCGTGTCAGATATATCTTAATTAAATAAAAAGCAGACTGGGAGATCTTAAATTTTTGCTGCAGAGACTTAAGATCCAGGTATGTGATCTTCAAACAAACTGGATGCTGCTTCTTCGTGTTGCAGTTTCATATTTTCTTAGTTCTTTGTAGATTAAATAAAGTGTTTAAAGATAATTTTACTTCTCTGTAGGACTCTACACACTGAGCATTTTTGGTCTAAAAGAGGTCTTATAGACGTCTTAATTTAGCCTAGACGACTGGTCTAAAATCAGGCTACCACAGGTCTAAAAATTAAAGTTTTTTAGACATGTAAATTTAGACTAAATCTAAATCTGGGCTTTATCTATACCACACTGTATATTGCTCAACAGCTATAATAATTACTTTGGTTAAGTACTTGGAGATCAGTTATTCAACTCACAGTTGCTTTTTGAAATAAATACTTATTGAATAGTTTACAGAATCTATAGGGTTGAAATTAGGTCTAAAAAAAAACAGGAATCTAAGCGCCGTCTATTGCTCAGTGGGTATTTATTATTATTGGGTGGGTATTTATGATATTATTTTACTGTTCTGTAGAATTCTTGTCTTGTATATATAGTATCTTCTTTCTTACAACTATTTGTACTTTTACTACCTTATCTTTACTTGTCTATTGCACTGGAAAAGGAGAAGCTCTCCAATCTCGTTGTACTTTTAGTATAATGACAATAAAGGGCATTCTGATTCTGATTCTAACAGCTCATATTGCTCGTGTTAAAACAGGCCAGAAAAAGAAAAAGGAATCCAAAGAGAAATAATCCTTTCTACAGAAGCAGCTCTGTGCCGTACCGGCTCCAGTGTCTTGAACAACAAAATGTCTTTGCAGGCATCCTGAAGTCTGCGGCGTTGTCCGTCTGTTTTTGGATAAACCACTCGTGGCTCCGAGTCATCATCCTCATCATCATCGGGGTTGTACGGCTCTGCACACACTGCAGCAGGACACACACGTTGAAACAGCTTGCACGGTCAATATGATTTAAAATGGGTTAACGCTGAAAGTTCCAGTTACTGACCTGAAACTCTGCGGTTGTATTTACTTGTTGTGGATTCTGTGGGCAGAGAAAAGAAGCAGTGAAGGACTTTAGTTAATGAGAGTTATTCTGTGTCCTGTGCTCAGACTGTTTTAGTGAACTTGCTCTTTTTTTTTACGCCTATATTTGGCCTCGTCTGCTCTTGTCTGAGGTTTTCCTGAATGTAATTAGTAGGTCACAGTTTTCAGCTTGTGCACAGTTTCTCTATTTTCTGTCAGCTCTGATAGGAATTAAAGCTTTTGTGGTTGAGAGTCAACATAATGACAGATGTTTAGGTCGTATCTTTAATTTAAATCAAAGACAAAGTAACAAAAATACTCACTAACAGTGTCCTCCTCCTCCTCCTCCTCCTCCTCTTCATCGTCCTTACTTGACTTGGTGTCAAAGGTCACTCCTTTGCGTGTAGGTTTGGAGCTGCGTTTCTTGGTCTTTTGGTCATTTTTTTGACCCTCAAGAATTTTCGTAAAATGTTGCACCGCAAATTCTGCCAAGTTTGGCGGCCGGCGGCGCAGAACCTCGACCGTGTATCCCTGCAGCAGCTCCTTCAGACCCACCGGTATCTCCACAGCGCTCATCACTGAAGTTCAAAGGTCACAGACTGGATTCTCAGAGTTAAACCACAAATCTACGTTTGAGAAACATCAAATATAGGAGTCATGAAAACACATCTGCCTGGACTATCATCACAGGGACGATGGGACTCCTCCTCCTCTCATCCTGCTCACTCTAACAGTCGACAGCTTATTGATTTCTGTATTCAGCCTGTTGGAAAGTATTGATCAGGACTTTTTACATCACATGTAATTAAAGGCTGCACGATGGATTACACGTCAGGACTTTAGATGGCAAAGAGCAAATGGGGGGTTAGTAGTTTTAATGGCAGCAGAACCAGAAACCATCGCTAAACACTTTCAGGAACTTAAATCATAAATATCTAAGTTTGGTAACACTTCAATCAACGCCTATCTCTATAACGCATTATGAATGTATGTATAATGCCTTATAATCCCATTATAGTACTGTATAACCATAGTTATAAACAGTCACAAATGATCATAATGCTTTATAGCAATAATCATAACACATTATAAAGCATTTTATCATGACTTACAAGGTCAGGTATTATAATGTGTTATGCTCATTGTTATAAAGCCTTATAATAATTAATGAGTGTTTATAATGATACTTATATACGTTTATAAGCAAATTATATAAATATATGTATAATGCATTAGCTATGTGGGCATTGTCAGTGAGTTGTTAACAGTTATAACACATTATAAGACCTGAAAAAGTAAAGCTCCTGTGTATGTTTGTGGTCCAGGTCAGGCCAATCAAGCTCAGTTATACTCATGGTCAGTGAACCAGTTTCTGTTCGTTTCAACGTTGTGGACATGTACTGGGTCCTGTGGGAAAGGACCTTTATTTCCAAATGAAAATTTCACTAGAAAGCAGGACTTTGGACCGCTGAGCAAAGTTCTCTCTCTTCGTAGTCCAGGTGAGACACGTGTGATGTTGTCTCTGGTTCAGGAGTGTCTTGACTGCAGGAACATGACGTTTGTCGCCCATTTTCTGGACACTTCTGTGCGGTGGCTCTTGATGCTCTGACTCCAGCTTCAGTCCAGGTTAATTCAGTTCATGTTTCATTATAAAAATTTAATTGTTCACCCTGTTATACACGTAAGAAAAAATCAATACAAATGGAAGATGAGATAAATAATTCAAAGTCCATTGTGTAAATATGGAATCCTCTTTTTATTTCTATACATGCTGATATTCACATAGCTTTCATTCAATCTCATGGTAACCACTCACATAATTTCACATTTAAACAGAAAGGTGTAGTTATCATTGGTGGCCACTGGGTGGAGTGTGACCTCACAGACAGTAATAAAGGCATGTATTGCTGTTAGACTGAGCACACGCAGTACAAAATGTGCACCTTTTTCCTGATATGTGCACCTGCTTGTAGATAACATAGGTAAGGCACGACATGTTCAATGCACTCCTTTTATATCGTACAAACACAACAGATTAAAAAAACAATCAGAAAACTGGTAAAACAAGGAGGAGCGAGAACATTCGACTGTGTGTGTCTTACTGAGTGTGTGTGTGTGTGTGTACCGGCACCAGTGCAGAGTCATCGGCTGTGACTCTTCAGCAGGTTTGAAAGATCCCAGCACTGAACACTACCTTGCACTTAAGAAGATCATCAAGTATATTTTTGGAAAAAATTGTTAAAATCTCTTATTTCGTACGATCATTCATGAGTGTGTGTGTGCGTGTGTGTGTGTGTGTGTGTGTGTGTGTGTGTGTGTGTGTGTGTGTTGTGTGTGTGTGTGTGTGTGTGTTTGTGTGCGTGTACTGCTTTTGATTGTGTTGTGATTAACAGTCCTATTCCAGATTTCACATATGAAGCGGTGTGTGGCCTTCATCACAGGTCAGGTGCTGCCCAGTTCAGGAACTTCATTGCGAGCTCAAATCCTAAGAAACAAGCCTGAAGAAAATGCACACGAATAAGACAGTTAGGTCAATGTCAGGTAAATAATCACATTTAGGTAGTTATGAGAATATGCAGAAGACAGAATATATGATTTTCTCTGATAAGTTAAAGAATAACTGCACACTTATCCATTTTTTGAAGTGTTAATTATGTTTTTAAATGAAGTTATTATGAAGCTTCTTTACAGACAAGGCTGATCAGAAACAGCAGAAATCATAAATGTGAATTTAAAAAAGTTTTCCCTTTTAAAAAGTGAAAAAGTGGTTCATTTTGAGTAGAAAACATTAATTTCTCCCACAGTTAAAATATTCCCCAGATCATTCTGGTGGGATAAAGTATTGAGATGTTCGAACAACAATATGTATGTTGGTGAATGAACATATAGGTTTTAGTTTTGAATGATTTATGTTCTTATTTACTGTATTTATGTTCTATTTTTTATTAAAATAATGTAAATATGTCGGAGACTGACTGTTCATTGAGTAGAGGAGAAGGGGTAGGTTTAAAAAAAGGCATAATGCTTCATCCTGCTCCTTTTCAGACATGATTATTATTAGTATTTTTATTTTTCTATTTATTAGTTGTTTTGCTTTGTTTATTGTCATTATTGTTTTGAATATTCTCATCTTTTGTTTGTTTTCCGTTTACTTTCTTGAGTTGCACGCACATGTTCGAAAAAAAATTAATAAATTAAAATCAATGAAATAGTTTAACTTGGAACTTTTATGTTTAAACACTGTCTCTACAGGTCAAATCCTGACTGCACTACACATTGGGCTGTAACTATTTAAAGGATTGACCAAAATGCTGCTACTAATCACCAAGTCAATATCCTAATAATGTTCAAACTCAAACATGTCGATGTCAGATATACCGTCTGTCTCCTCTGAGCCCTGCTCTCTGTGAAAAACTGGTTAAAGTGCACTCACCGCATTCGCTGGGAAAGCTCGAAGCATGACGGCGTTGAAGCCTTTATACAGAGAGGTCACACCCTCTTCTCTGACCAGCTCTCTCAGAACGTCCCGGAAACCATTTGGATATTTCCCCTCCGGAGCTGAGGGAAAAAAAAAAAAACACATTCTTTTATTTTTTAAATCTACATCAGTTTACAAACCAAGGTGCTGCTTTCATACGGAAATGTTAGTGCAACAGGGCTAATTTCAGCCTTACTTAAATTTGTTAAAATTTTACTCTTTGTTATTGTATTGTATTTTATCTATTGTATTGTATTTCATTCTTGACTTGGAAACGGACCTGGGTACTAATTTCGTACCACAGACTGTCAAAGGTGTGGGGTAAGACAAATAAAGTTCCTTGAATCCTCATCTACATGTACAATGTATATTTGAGACACATCCACTTGCAAAAGGAAAAAAAATTCTTAAAAACTGGCAAAAAAGCGTCCAAACATCAGTGACTTTCAGCTCTGAAACTCAAACTTAAATTACATAATAGCACTGAACCAATGTCACAATGTAAAGAACAACCACTTTCTCCTACAGAAGAGGACCAACATTTTTAAAAAAGCTCATAAATGAAACAAAGAATAAATGTATTTATGAATAAATCACCACATAATATATATTTTATCTTCAACAAATCATTAAATCTAAAGACCGACCTGTCTGGAAGCGAGACTTGAGCACGTCGGGTGGAATTGCGACCGCCCAGTTAAAGATCCCCGCCATCCCTCCTGCAAACAGCACGCTGGGAACGCTGAGCTCGTTGTGGCTGCAGGGAAAAGACAACGAGTCCAACCGCTCAGCTGAGGTCTTTTAACTGTATGACAGAGGGCTGTAAATATACTGTGAGGTAAAAACAAATATTGACCACGTTATTCACCTTTTTCCTGGAGGTGTGAGGAGGTTCTTTATCCACTCATATGAAGTGAAGTACATCCCGCTGGCTGGAACATCTGAGGCACAAAACAGAATTAGAGTTCAGTTTTATCCAACAGGTCCATCTCTGAATGGACACAAGTGAAGGTTCCTACTGCTTTAACTCTCTGATGGAATAAAGGAGGTGTTAGGGTGAAAATTATACTGTTACAAAGTCAATCCAAACAGGTGATAAGTGTATACACAAAGTTATTTTACATTTATTAGAGTCACGTTACTGAAGAACAGACAAAATAAAGACAACACCAACGAGGCATTTAGTGAAAATCAGACAAAGCTTCATCACACCTAAAGTTTAGGGGCTTCATAGAGAATATTTAACAGGCAGTCTGACCAAGAGCAGGTAAATATATCCTTAAAGCTTCATCAAAAATACCAGCGTTCTTAAGGAGAACCCACAACCAGAGAAACTGTCTGGACACGGAGGAAGAACGATATGAAACGGAGAAACTTACAGACGCTCTATGACTCCAGCAAGAAACAAACACCGGAAAGTGGGAAAAATGGATCAAATAAAAATCTCTTCACATTACTTAAAAAAAAAGGACAACTCTGATGGAGGCTACATGGACAATTTTCTTTTCTTCTCTGTGAATGAAACCAGGTTTTGTGTTTGTTTGTATTAATTTATACTTTTCTGTCTGACCGTGTGTCTTGTTTCTGTTATGGTTAAAAAACGCAAATAAAATTTAAGTAAAAAAAATAAATACAAGTTTTCTTGAAGTTCAAAGTAAAGTAAATGCAGCAAGAAAACAGTAACACACGATGACCCTGTATAATAATGTGAGTATATTTTACTCTAATAGTTACTTCACTGAGTGTTACAGCATCCAAGAAGAAACCACAGACTTCTGTTAAACTGATAATTATAGAGACTTGGTTCGAGATCAAATCATCTTTCCGTTTTGTAACCACTTCAAAAATCTTTTTATTTATTCCCACAAACATGTATTTTATTTATTTTGACCCCTGGTGTTGATGTGTTATCAGTGTTTGTTTTACCTCAGGGGTTTCCACTTCTTGTTTTAGTGAGTAACACTCAATGTAAACAGCACCTTTATTTGCACATGAAAACCTCACATGACTGTTTTTATGGTTTATCTCCTTCCTCTATGTAGTGTTCTCCTCATTCACTCACACTTTATGTATATTAAATGTAACACCGTCCTCCTGGCTGAGTTCAAACTCTACCACCGTAAAGACTCACCTCTCATGAGTGTCAGAGCGGTGCCTTTATAGATTCCTCTGATCCCAGACTCTCTGTACAGCTGTTTGACACAGTCCATGGGTCCAGCATACTTCACCTGCCCTGTTGATGCCTGGATCTGCACCCACAAAAAAAAACACCATGTTAGAGTACTGACATCTATAAAAACAGGAGCATGACCACACACCAGCTCCTTCTCTAAGACAGTGAGAGCCTCTGACCTGTAAGAGGCATTTGATTCTCTCTCCAGGAGCCATGATAGCTGTGGTGAACACTCCAGACAACATCCCAGCAGCAAAAAGCTGTGGATACCTGCAGAGGGTGATCAAATGTTATCAAACATGACAAGATGCATGATTACAGCATGATGGCAGAGCTTCACCTACGTCAGGATATCATCAGGAGATTTTTGTTGAAGCTTCTTTCCCAAACCAAAGCCAAAGAAACAGACGGCAAACATGGGGGTTACTCCGATGATGGGGGCAGCCATGCCTTTATAGAGACCTTTCACCCCCTGTAGGGAAAAAACAATCATGAAGAAGAAGAAGAAGACAACAAATTTCACATTTTGGCCGATACTTTGTCTTATGTGTGCCAGAGATAAAGGAAGGAAACATCCTTACTTCTTTGGCAAGAGTCTTTTTACAACAATCCAAAGTTCCAGCGTACAGAAGGCGCTCTCCAGGTTTGGGTTTGGGCTGAGTCTGTAAACGCACCTGAGAGAGAGAAAAAAGATGCTCTTAGTTTTCACATCATGCAGAAAAAAAACATCAGAATCACAGCTGTTGAAGAGTAGGGGAGAGTGGGGTAAGTTGAGCCACTCCCTGTTCCCTTGAAATGGTCAAATAAATTGATCATGTGACCAAATATTTAGGAGATGGGCATCAATTCATGGAGTCTATGAAGGTTAGAAGCACATGAGTGAAGAGGTTAGACATTTATTTACAAAAAAAACATTTTTTACTCTTGAAAGTGAATTTAGTCTGTCATTAGTTTTATTAGAATTGTGTTCAGACCAAAAAAGATCATTTTAAATCTGTTTTATACATCAATTGTTTTATCTATGAGCTACAACATGACGTCAAAAACCCAACATAAAACTCCACCATTTTAGTTTAGAGGACTAATAAAGTCATAATAGTAGTTCTGGGGTAAGTTGAGTCAGTGGATCAACTGAGAAAGTAAAGAAGTCTGATGAGAGGATCAGAGTTTCAGTTCAGATTGTTGAAATGTTTTACTTTTTCTTTTCAAAAATACAGATCTGTGAATGTTCTGAATCACTTAAAGACATTCTCATGTTAAAATGACTTTTTATAAAACAGATTTTTACCAGTTATATCCAATAATAATGAAAAGAATTATTGTACCAGTTGAATAGTGTATAATAGATAAAAATATTTAGGGAGAGAGAAGGTGTGAGAGGGCTGGGGTGGAGAGTGAGGGGGTAGTAAGGATACGGTTCAACTTACCCCATACACGGGGTAAGTTGACCACAGGAGACCACTTTTTTTGGCCTGCTATATTATCATGACAGTTCTGTTTACACTCATTCTGTTGGTTTTCAGGGATGAACAACATCTTGAAATATATGCAGATACACTAATTAGAGACAAAATTATGACTGACTTGATGTAGTGATCAGAAATATGAATAATGGCTCATCTTACTCCACTCTCCCCTACTGAACTGAGTGTAGTATCAGGTGAGGTCTGACATTAGAGGAAGCCATTACACCTGCAGTGAGCTGAGTCATATAACCCTTTGAATGTGGGTCAAAGGGCAGCAGCGGGCTGCTCTGCTGTCCTGAACTCTCTGTAGTAACATGATTATTTACATTAATCCTGCAGCAGATTGTTCCTCACACATTTCTGACTCTAACATATGTTTGTCTGGACAAACTGGCTCCACCAGCTACAGTGTCATTAGACTAACTCTCTACGGAATATCTTTATAAACCAAATGTGAGACAAAAAAAAACATAGTAATCACTTTAATCGTGTCGAGGGGGTGTCCCGCGAAGACGAGGCAAACCCCTCCAAACCCCCCAGCGAAGAAGTTCTTCAGCGGGCTGATCGGCTGCGGCTGTTTGGACATTTTGACTTTCCGCTCTGCAGGAAGAAAAAGACACAAAGACACACTAAACACACGAGCGAGGTTAACTCACAGACTGAGAAAAAGCAGCTCAATGAATACCATCTCACCTGGTCGACTGTAGCTCTCTGAGGTATGTTTGTGAGCGGCTGTCACTGCTGCCTGTCTGTCGGACCTTTCACCCACTTATTTACCCGGACTTGTTAGACCGCCGCACCACCCCACGCTGGTACGTCTCCGTTTAGTGCCCGGGTGGAAGCTCGAGTAAATTAGCTAAATTAGTTTTTTGTTTTATTTTTGATCCACCATTAGTTACAACGAAATATGTAGTAAGTACTCTTCCGGGGTTCTAATCTTCTTTTCCGTTTTCATTTTGAACTTAGACAATTCAGTACAGGCCGAAAGTTTGGACACACCTTCTCATTCAATGCATTTTCTTTATTCTCATTACTATTTAAAATTGTAGATTCTCAGTAAAGGCATCAAAACTATGAATGAACACATGTGGAATCATGTGCGTAAGAATAAAGTGTGAAATAACTGAAAACATATTTTATATTTTAGATTCCTCAAAGTAACCACCTTTTGATTTTTTTATAGCGCTGCAAACTTTTGCTCTTCTCTCGATGAGCTTCATGAGGAAGTCACCTGAAACTCAAAAGTGCCAAAAACTCATTTTTGTTTTATTTTAAACTTAAAAATACTATTCCGACCACTCTCACTGTTAAAATATAGCTTTATTAGTTGTATTGTTACAGAATTGCATCACTTTTCCAGACAATGTTAATCATAATAAGAGACACTCACCCCTCTCACACGCACAGTAAACAGACACACAAATAATTAAAGAAACAGTCAGACATAAACAAAAAAAAACCTCTTCTCTTTGTTTGTGTCTACCTCTCAGAAACACGTTTTCAGGGAAGTCATGCCAGAGACAATAAAAGGAAAGTCAAGTTTAAAATGGGAAACGACAATCACTACACCATGGAGAAACAAGGAATTGTCTGTTAGTGTAAAGTGTTGAGTATTTAAACCACGAGGAGATAAGTTCTGTACTCCTCCTCCTCCTTTTTTCAGATCGAAGATCAACTCGGCAGAAACACTGAAAAATGAATCGTCTGAATGATCAGGGTCGATCACTTTTGCCTCCAGAAAGCTGTAGCTGACATCAGCTGATACTCGTTATACTACAGCGAGAGGACAAGCTTCTACAAAGCCTTAGTGCAGCACAGCAAGATTGAATATGAATGCAGCATATGGACGAACATGAATCTGTCAAGAGTCATCGAGTTCTGATGCTTGAGGAGCTTTGCATATGTGAGTGCAGCGTGATCATCTCCAAGTGTTTGAAAAGCAGTAAAGACAAAAGTACCGGATTCAGAAAACTGCAGTCACAGCCACAGGAGAGACTTGATATGTAGCAGCAATAACACGGCTAACTGCTCAGATAACACAGGTCTGACTGTGCTTTTTTTCCCACTATTATTCACTACACTTGAATTCTACAGAGATGAACGATAGAGAAGTCCGTTTTTAAGAGTATTTTATCTTTTAAGAAAATAATGCTTTCAGTAACACACAGTAGTTTGGTCCGATTTACAGGGAAGCACATCCAGGGTCAAAGTATTCTTGCAATGGTTCAACCTATGGCACTACTGTTGGTAACATGGCTTCACATCTGCCTTATTCACTCAAAATATTTCAACTTGTTATGAAAATAAATACTTTTCAGGGTAAATTTGCTCAGAAAAGGCTGAAGTCTCTGTGACTTCTACTCAAATTCAAAATACTGAGTACGTCAAACGACCTTTTAAAGTTGTTCTGCTGGGAATTCACATAAAACAGATCTATGTTTGGCATTTATTTAGGCTTATTTTAATCTCCAGTACTGGCCAAACCTCACAGGTTTAAGAATTTGCTATACTCATTCTTCTCAAAGACCTTGCACAGCAAAAATAACATGCACGCCGCAGCCCTGGACTGAGAGTCCAGAAAAAAACTGGCAAAGTGGCGTAGGAATCAGGGTGTCCAATCAAACGCCAGCTCCTCTTCTTCACGCTTTGCTGTACCTCCCTGCAGCAGACAGGAGCAGACTACAGTGTGTGAGCATGATACTGATATGGTTAGTCCTAGTTCTCATGGATCTGTGGAAACTCCTTGTAGATCTGTTGTACGATTAGCTTATCCATCTGTTTTGCTGTAGCACACCCCTCCTCTTCTCCTGGATCGTCTTCCTCCCTGAGGATCCTCTGCAGCGCTCCCTGCAGGTCGGACAGGCGGTGCTGGTGTTCAAGGTAGTCCGTTGAGCGTATAATGGAGTGCATGAGGGAGAGATACTCCATCCGCAGCTTTATAGGGAGAAGAAGAAGAAAAATTACAACCACATGAGGAAACAAACTGCTGATACGTCATTAAAGGAGGGACTGAACATTTTGGGACATATAATTATTCTAGACATGGAGTCAACAGCTGTTTCTGTCATCAGGAATGTGATGTTCAAAAGCTGTTATTAAGCTGTGCTGTTGTGTTTCAGGGTGTGAACACAGCGTATCTGACTGTTGGCAGGTAACAATTCATCATCTCTGTTTTAATGAAAAGCTGATGAGACAAGAGATGAAAATGTGGAAAGAGTTGACGACTTTACATCTGATACAACTGCCTTATTCTTTTTTTGTATTTAACATTTTAATTGGGTTTTAAGTATAGATTTACGAAGGAAAAAGGAAAGGAAAAAAAAATGTATATAATAATAAAAATTTTCAAAAATAGTTTCTCATTTTCTTCATAGAGTCTTGTGCTTAAACATACAACGTGAGAGAAACAAACATGGACTAACAAAGCAGAAAATGAACAGAAAACAATCAATTAAAAGTGCGCACTGTTCCCCAAGTTGGCGACATCTATCAAATATTAAAATGGATCTGACTGCTGGATTGACCTCTTAAGTTACAGATACTGGAGGCTAAGCAGTGAAAGGGCCCCATGTAAGCATATATTGATCTATCTTGTCCAACAGAGAATATGTTACTCTCTCATAAACTGCTAACTGAGTCACAGTCGTGGGCCATTCTTCATGAAGAGGTGGACACTTCTTCCTCCAGTGTCTCAGAAGGATTTTTTTTGGCTATGGTAAGAGCCAGAATGATCCATCGTTTCTCAAAAGAAGACCGGTCACAGTCTTGAAGATCTGAACCCAAAATAACCAGTTTAGCAGAGACTTGGAATTTTTGTTTTTCAGTACCTCAGCTGCTTCATTCTAATGTTGTTAACTTCAGCCACTTCCTTGTAAACAATTTCTGGTCGGTGTCTGGACACTTGCATTGGCTGTTGTAAATGGTTTCTCGGACGTGTTGCTTTATATTCAAATAAAGTATGTCCACTGTTTATTTTCTTTCCTGTATATGATCAATTTGTGGGCGGTGGATTGATACTCATCTTAAAAATTCCAAATTTATATTCAAAAACTCAGAGACTCAGCATTTGAGTTTCCGATCCAGAGTATGATATCAGAGGAAAACCCATGCAGGATAATACTTCCAAAACTTGACTGAAAAGTTCAACACCAATTAGGAAGAAAACATTTCAAAATGAATTTAAAATGTCAAATCAAAAATTTAAAATGACATCATTACAGCCTGGAAACCTTTATCAGCTGTCAACAGGTCTCACCTTGTCTCCAGGTGAAAGATCAGATATCTGCCGAACAGCGATGTCGATCATCACCATCATGTCGGTGCTGTAGAAGATGTCAGCAGTCTCTCTGTTGGCAAAAACATCCTGCAGAAACTTGAGCACCGAGTGTGGCGCAGGCGGGGTGTGTTTGAACATACACACGGGGTCGTCTGGAGGGGAGGAGGACAGAGAGCGAGTGATGAGGTCAGGGCACTGAGAGCATAGATGAACATCGAGACACATTATAAATAAGTGTTGATATCTTACCTCCTCTGTTCAGAAGGAGCAGCACTTTCTCCGACAGGATCTTCACGTTCTTCTTCTTCAGCTCCTGCATGATTACATTACTACTGGGTGCTGCAGGTGGGAGGCAAAAAGTACCAGTGAGGAGACAATTAAAGCTCTTCTGTAGGTAAATCAGGGCATTAGATAGCTGTACTTTTATATATTTGTTCTGAGAATTTCCCACTAAGACTGATTGAATCATTTGCTGTGAAATGGTGAACAGTACAGCTGCTGTTCTCACCCGTGTGATGCAGGTTGAAGGACAGAACGAGGTTCAGGAAGATGTCAGGCAGCTGGTCTGTAGGATCAGAGGGAAGGCCGTCCTCCACCACGCCCAGCAGAAACTGAACAAAGTCTGCGTTCAAGTGTTCTGACAGCAGAGAGCGACAGGATTAAACATGAGCCATTCAATTCACCTGACGAGGAGAAATGTCTGTTTCTCTATGCAGAGGTAAAAACAAAATATTTCATACCATAGTGATGATATGGCACCTGTTCTCCCATTGAGAAGATCATTGTGAGTACCAGAGCGGTGTAGCACATCTTCTGGTGTTCTGAGGAAAGTAAAACCAGTCATAAATACTTGACTGTGATGTCAAATTTGAATCCTGGAGAATATTGAACGAGTCAGAAACAGTGAAAGTAGTGAAGAGACAGTAAGACGCTCACCTTGTGTGTCAGTTTGCAGGTCTCTGGCCAGCTCCATGGGGAGGATGGAGTTGAGGAAGGTAGAGATAAGAGCAGCATCAAGGCTGCACATGGCCCCGAACACTTTCAGCAACAGCAGCCGAAGAGACACACGGTGCTCCTGCACATGATCACAACGACGAGCAAGCACTTAACAAACACACACAAACTATCACCAAGATACAGCTCACATTTTTGAGGCTAAACACCTCATATGTTTCTGAAAGACGCTCAGTCCTTTTGGAAGATAAGATGTTCCTTTAACAGTCCAACGAGGGGAAATTTACAGCAGCATAGTGTCGATACAAAAAGAGGAAAATTAAAAGATAAAGAAACTTTGAGTTAAAAAATTTACATGCATCATATTAACATCAGTACAGAATTGACATAATAATAGGAAAATAGGATTCATTGCACATTAAGGTTCCTGTTTTGGAGTCTGACAGCTGCAGGAAGGAACAACTTGCGATACCTCTCCATCACACACTTTGGGTGGAGCATCCTGTCCCTTAAGGAGCTCCTCAGTGCAGTGAGTGTGTGTTGGAGGGTGTGAGAGTCACTGTCCAGCATGGAGGACAGTTTGGCTGTGATCCTCCTGATCAATGTTACTTTTCAAGATGAACCCGACAGCAAAGTGTCCCTGAATAGAATTTGTTTTGTTACTAAAAGCTGTTTTAAAGTCTTATCGTTCTGTCTTACCATCTGATAATAGGAAACCAGAGACAGCACATTTTCGTAGTGGTTGGCCTTGCACATCCTCTTACACACCTCTGGATCTGCATCAGTCTAAGGAGAGAAAAAATAGCTCTTAGATGTGACTGCATCATTTCTATTTTTACTATGATCGGCTACAGTCCCTGAACACACCATCGGATTATGAAGCCCATTAACGACTCATCAGGACATCAAAGCTCTGATCTGGTCAGGACAAAGTGCCAACAAAGAACATTTGGCCGCCTGAAGAGTTTACAGATCCGGTCTTAAATCACGCTGTTGGATTTGTAAGGTCGTCTGAGCCGCTCTGATCCTATCAAACGTGTCTGGAATTTGCAGCGCAACATCTGGACGAGTCCTGTGGACCCATCACAGACTGATCCTGAGGGGACACTTTATATAATGAAGTCAGCTCCCCCTGAAAACGGTCGTTCCTGACACGACTGAACTTGTTTCATTGCTGTTATTATATAACAATAAGTTTGACGTTTTTACTTTAAAAATGTCTTTTTCACACTTCATTACATCGACTCCAGCAGGAGAGAGAAGACAGCAGTTTCAGAAACCGTACCAGTATCTTCAGCAGCTCTTCCAGGTAACAGGCGATCAGAGCGTGGTCTTCATGAAGCGCCCAGCTCCGCTGCTGGGAGTCGTCTCTGTGACGGGCAAGGTCGCTGAATATCACCTCCAGCCTCTGTTCATCGTGACAAACCTGACCCTGCGGCAGCCCAGTGTTCAGTTCCTGAAGAGACACGTGACATCATGACACACCTGTTTCTGCTGATACTTAAATATCAGTCCAGAGCAACATTTCTTATTCTTGAACAGAAACTAACTCTTTCTCCTTACATTAGTGAAGTTTTTATCTCTCATTTTCAAAGGAATCAACGAGATTTTAACAGAAATTAAAAACCAAAGTAAGATCGATAGAAAACAGAAATAACTAAATGTGGAGAAGCAACATACTGTTGGCTAAACACCATCATATTATCATCTAATGATACGATCATTTAAAGCTCCTGTAGGGAACTTTTGTCAGTTTTGGTGCCTCCTTTTGACAAAACAGTCTCAGTTTATCTCATCTTTTCAATGTTTTGACCAAAAATCTCATCATGGTAACTTATGACAGTCAAATTATCATCTATTGTAAATATTTAATGTGATGATTGTAAAATCAGCGATGTTTCTTTAGCTGCTTGGCTGACACCTACCCCCCTTTACACTGGACTGAGGCATTAAAAACTACAATACAAAAACGATCACTATTGTTTATGGTCTTGTTTGCTTTTGTGTCGGGTGACCATCTTCTTTTACCTGAACATGTCCTCTTTTTGGGGGGCTGTCCAGCCTGTCTAGGGGAGTTTATAAAATCCTTTAAAAATCCGGTGTTTTGTATGGAAGTTTTAAGTTTGTTTAGCATGGACTAACTCAGAGTCAGAAGCATGTAAAAAAAAAAAAAAAAACACTCGACCCGACCTGAAAAACCCTCAAAATTTCACGTGCGACTCTGCCCCGCATGGTAGTGTCCTCTTTTTGGGGATTCAGAATATGTTCATCCTAATTTTGTGCATCATAAAAAAGCATAATCAAGAATTTCAGTCGATTTCATAAAGGTAAAAAAACTCATCAGGGAAACTTCAATCATACACCTGAACTTTTAGCCTGTTGTTGAACAGCCAGAGGACACAGAGCAACATAAACATTCATTTGTTCTAAATACCTTAAAGGTAAGATAGAGTCAAACTTCATTGACACCCAGAAGTTAAATTTAGCTTTCTCATAAAGTTGTAATATGTTAAATTTATGACATCAAGTATTCACTCGCTCTGAACCTTTATTAAAGTGGGTTTTTTAACAGCTAACTGTTACACTGTGTCAGCTAAAGAGCCAGGAGTTAACTTGAATTTCTGCTTTTCGGTGCTGTGCAGTTTTTGTGTGGCACGATCTGGATTCATCTGGTCCTGATTCATCTACACAGAGTCTTGCTGCCCTCAAAGAGGTGGTCTTCAGGAGATTTAGAAATGAAGAATTACACCGACTGCTCTTGACTTTTGGCATCGAATAACCAAAAATATGAGCCACAGAGCCCTTTCTTACTTTTAACAGTTATTTTATGTTTAAATAACATCATATTATTAATTAGAGCAACATTAGAGGGTGATACCAGATTAATCATTTTCTGTTTCACGCTACAGTGTCTGTGAGAAGGTGGAGGAGGTCTTCTCCATCAGACTGGTGAGGTTAGAAGAATTCAAACAAAATATTCAACTTAGAGAGCGACCAATCTAAAGACCTCTAACTAGTTCAGATGACCTCACTTTCAGAGGACCAGGTTTAACGTCTTATGGACCACACAGGCTTCCTTACTGGATAAGCAGTGTGTGCAGGTGTCACCATGTGAGTGTATGGGATGCAGCCAGAAGCTCTCAGCTACTCATGTTTGGTAGTTACAGAAGTCTACCTCCAACTTTACACTGGGAAGAAAAAGAGGAACTGTCTGCCAAGGGGAGAACCAGCACTTCATTTCCAGTTTGGGTTGACACGGCAAAGCTTGCAGGACACAAACAGGAAATGAGTGAGTGATACTGTGAGAACTGCACTCAGTGAGAAATGTCATCTAAAAGCAGACCGAGCTGTAACTCTAAACTGTACTGGTATTCTCCCTTCAGCTGGCAGGGCTCCAGGACGCTGAATCCACACGATGTAAAGTAAACACATCTGACCTTGCTTTCCACCAGAGAGAGGAGGACCTGCTCCAGAGCAGAGGAGGCCTGAGGTAAGGCGGTCTGCAGGTGGCCCACCACCACGCCCACGGCGACTCGCGACAGCTCGTAGCTCAGGCTCGTGTTCTTCCGTACCAGCTCAATCAGCTCGGCTCCGATGGTCATGGGAACTGGCTCGGAGGTAGTGGGGCTGCCAGGAGGGCTTTCAGCGACAGAAGGGGGGGCAATTGGCCATTCACCCTCAGGCTGGTCCTCCACAGCGGGCTGTGAAGGAGGAGGGGTGGCTGAGGGCTGGGGAGGCTGGGGAGCCGGGCTCTTCTTTGAGGGAGCTGGCTGAGGAGTGGAGTCAGAGGAGGATGCATCTAGAGGTGGTGCAGTGGCCTTCACACGGGATGGCACAGGGGGAGGCGGGGTGCTGGACACACTGGGCAGAC